GGAAAAAAATCTTTTCGAAGAGGCTTTGTTATTTTATCCATTCATAGTTTTTTTTTCCTGTGGTGTCTGATTTTTTCATTTCAGATTTCCAACTTTAAAGTTTTCATGTTTTTTTGAATTCCGATTTTATTAGGAAAAGCAGTTAGCCCAGTAGACAGGTGCATAAATGTAAGAATTACAGGAAATAACAGCTGAAAAGAAGTTTTCTCGCTTGTTTATCCAAGTTCAAACGAAGATTTAGGTTTTTTTTCAATTTTCTCAATGTGAAATACTCGAACTATTTCAAAAACCCTCTTGTAGGATCATTTCTGTTTGCTTTAAATGCGCTTTTCGGAAGCCGCTCAGCAAACGAAGAACAAAGTAGGCGCAATCATACCAACGTGATTGCCACCGATTTCCAACTGTTGCGCTCCAAATTTGTCCAATTCTATGTCTCACAATTTTTGAAAGTTGCCTTTTTTGACCGCTCAAATTTGAAGAAAAAATGCAGTGAATAAGAAGTTGAAAAAGTGGTAAGAATTCGTTTCCGTGACAAACAAACTTTCCTGACATAAGAATCAACCATCAGCTTAAACTTGGAAAAAAATCAGATGATTTTTGCCAAAGCTTCACAATTGGCTCAAAAAAATCGACAAACGATATTTCTCCACTTTTTTGATAGCGTCAATTTTTCATTTTCCCCTGGTTCCGTTTTTTTATCGCATTTTTATGAATAACTCCATTTGAAATCATCCTTTCCGCTATTCAAAAAAGTTTATTGATCGGAAGAAATTATTGATATTTTGAAAATTGGTTCTGTTTGAGGTCTTTTCGGTCCTTGAACTGTATTATTTTTCGTATTGAAAAAATAATGATGATGGTGATGGAAAAAGGTCGTCCCTTTGGATCAACTTTATCTCTTAACTTCGCAAAATGAATTTTTTTTGGGCTCCAGAAAAATAATGAAGATTCAAGCCACTCATGAATTTTTATGAGAAATTGAAATGAAAGGAGTGAGCAATGTTTATTCAGGAATAATCCATCACTGAAAATAACCACTCAATAGAGTGTTTTTGATTCACAATGTAGACGATCACACATTAGTCTGCAGGATTACGATCAGGCATGAGATGTTGCTTTTTTTCTAAAGACTTTCCACCCACTTTTTATGATTTCTGCAATAAATACTTATCGTAGGTCTGATCTTAGAAACGAGATCATCGGGATTTTTTATACATTTTCAAACTTTTTTGTGAAGGAAAATTTCCGAAATCCTTATTCTTCCAAATTTCCGTTTTGTTATCGAATATCATAATTGAAAGGCGTGATCGGCTTTCTTTTTGAGGTGCAAGCGGAGTCCAGGTTGCCAGTGCATCGGATATTTTCTGAAAAAAAAATGTGCTTCTTCTCAGTTTTTTTTAGTACAAATTCAACTACAAAATCTTTTCGGAGTGTTCCTTGTTAACAGGCTGCACTTCTGACGTACAACAAGCTTTTTTTCTAGACTTCATTTTTCCATTCATCTCAATCTCTTTTTATTTCCCCCATGCGTAATTGAGGATTTCGAAAATACCTGCTTTAGTGTTATTGCTCTTTTCTTGGTGACCAAATATCACTGAAGCTTTTTTTCGAAATCCATTCAAGAACTATCTTTTTCAAAAAGAACGTATGGCGGTTTCTTCAATGACCAGCCGAAAGAAAAACAAGAAACTACTCAAAATAGGTTTTCTTCTTTGAAAGAAAGGGTTATCTGAATTAAATCGGAACCTTTTTCTCGATATAAATGCAAACGACTTTCCAGTTCTTTAGCTGTATTCAAAGTATAATCCGAAAAAATAGTCTGGCAGTCATTTGACTTTTAAGCTCCTTTACTTCCAGTTTCCAGCGTTTTGTTTGTAAACAAACTCTTTTACGCATTTTTAATCTTCACCTTGAACTTTTCTCGTCATTATTTTTTTATAGTATGAATGAAATGCAAATCTGAGAAGGTTTGAAATGTCGCAAGCGCAGCTCCGCGGAAAAAAAGATTTTAAATTGAACCGCTCTTTGCAATCTAGATAAGAAGATCCGCGAACGTTGAACTGGATACATTTTTCCAACCTACTAGAAAAGAGGATTTCAAGTTTGAATAATGGGGAAAATAAAAACGAACGCATGGTAAATTATATTTAGAATTTAAAAAAATGACCTTTAAAATAAATGTTGAGTGGACTTTTAACTGAAAGGAAGTGCCATTTATAAAGTTCAGTGATTCCGTTGAGAAACTTTATCAAATGCTGCCATTTAGGAAAATGCCGGTTTTCAGTTCAAAAACGCAGGTTTTTCTTGTTTGCTCTGCATGTCACTTTGATATTTAGGTAATACTTCCTGAAATTTATTTTTAGCTTGCTTTATCAAAGTTTTCCCTATTTCAGGCTTTCACCTGGAGTACACGGTTTTTGATCTCAGGTGGAAAAATCTGCCATAATTTTTTTCCTATAAGGATACCTCAAAATCAGGCTTGCAATTTTTGTATTAACACGCTTGGCATTTGGTTTGTCAAATTCGGTTGTTTGCAAAATTTGAACAACTTTGGCACGCTGTTCAGTAGATTTCGATTCAGACTAAAAAAAATCCAAAAAGTTTTGCGCAACGGTTTTTCTGCTAAGGCTTTAAACATCACATAACTTTGATACTAAATACTCATTTTTTAACCTGCAAAACAGTCAATCAGAAAATAGTCAGCAGTTGTGATTATCTGCAAGAAATTGCATGGAATCCCTTCTGTCCTTTGAAAATACCCTCTAAGCAATTCATCTTTAAACTTTTTGGTAATTGCATGTTTTGAGGTTTGGAAAAACAAACAGATGCAGTGGTGCAGCGTCTTGATTAGAAACCTTCCCATTTTGCGGAATCCAGAGAAGGCTCCCAATTGGAAAAACGTGCACTTGAGCCCATGTTGACGCCGGTGTTCGAATTGTAGTTTAAGGAAGAGTCTGAGGGGGCGAGACTGCGAAAAGGCGTTCTTCCTTTTTCTTCCTTCTGGCTTTCGAATCCCTTCAATTTTTCCGAAATTTGTGTTTAGATGTTCTCATTTTGAATAAATAACAGCCAATTTCAACGCAGAATGGTGTTCGGACAAGTTTCCGAAATGAATTTGTTTACATTAAAAGCGGCAGATCTTCCGCTTGATTTCTTTCCCGCACTTGTTTGTTTCATTGAAAACTTAATCTATTTCAAGAATTGCTTTTAATCTCATACTCCATTCTGGTCTGTTCTCATGCTCGACCGCGCGGAATACATTCATTCATCAATTTGAAATAAGAGCTGAGGCTTATTTTCCTCACTTTCTTTTATTTTCCGCTCAGATTATTTCTTGATGCAGGCTCCAGATAAGTTTCTCTCACTCTTTTTTTCTCGAAAATGCCGCTCTTCTCGATAAAAAAAAGTATTAAAACACCCACGTCTAAATGAGGCAATCAGTTCCTGACGCATTGCTTAAGTTTCCATTCAGTCCGAATGGTTTCTTTTTTTTTTCGACTTAATTGGCATCGTTGAGGATCTCACTGAGGAAGACGCTATTTGTGAAATTTTTTCACAGCTGTCTTCGAAAAACGTTTGTTTTTTCAAGGTCAGGAACTTGAAGCAGTTTCCTCATTGTTTCAGTGTTTTTTTTTGTCGGAGAGAGTCGGCAATTCAATTTCACGCCACATTGAGGATGAAGTTGAAGACCGCTACGAGAGTAACTGAACAAATTTGAAAAAAAAAAACTGCGAGTCACGTGCCAATTCCAACTCTCAGATTTCTCTTTGTTTTTTCCTAATGTAAAAAAAATGAAAAACTTTGCGCCAATAGCTTTTTTGAAATTCAAATTTTATTCGTCAGGTTTACTCTGAAAAAGTTTGCAGTTTTCTTTTTCGTAGGACGTCAATCTTGAACGTTCTCTTTGGACTTTCCTGGTTCTCTAAAGGAATTACTTTGGTTAACTGCAACATGTGACCTTGAAGACGCGAGTTATTTTAAGCAACAAGACTGCTTTTCTTAAAAAACGAATGGCTCAAGAAATTCAATCAAGCTAATTTACGGTTTGAAACACCCTCCGAATTCCTTATAATCCTTTTCCCTTTTGTCATTTTTGTTCAATGTTTTTCGTCTCCCTTTGAAAATTTATTTTTTAGTTCGGGAAACTGTTTAAAAGTGAATTCAGATTGAGTGATGTCATTCAAGTCTTAGTAACGCACTAAGGTTTTCTCCGCAACGCTCAAAGTTAATCAAATTTTTGCAATTACGCCGTTAGACATGACTCAAGTTAGACTTAATAATACTGCAAAACCGAATTAGGTTTTCGGCATTGGCGGCGTTTCCCAAAAGTCAAGAACTTTGACCACTTAACCTAGAAAAGGAATTTTTCAGATAGTCGTAAATTTCGCAGCATATAGTTGAAGAACCTTTCTTAGCACATGTTCCTCTTGATGTGTCAAAAAATTAATGCGTGAAAAATAATTGAGAATATTTTCAAATACGAGTAAATGTCTGAGCACTTTGAACTCATTCACCTATTGCGCCGAAGATTTTCTCAGTTTTTTTTCTTCTTAGAATTTGCAGAAATTCTGATGAGATTTTACAAAGAAAAAAAATTTGAAAAGGAAGACCGCATAATCTTTTCGCATTTGAACATTTTTTCTTCTTGCTGTGTAAAGTAATACTAGAAAAATCTGTAAAAACAGTGAGAATCAACTGTTTTCGGATGGTATTTCCTGTCAAAGCGGGAACCTGAAAAAAATGACGAGTTCTAGATATATTTTCCTGTTCAAACATTCATTCAGGTTTTTCTATAACCGTTCTCCGTTCTGACAGTTTCAATATTTTACCGTTGTTTGGAGCACTCAAAAAGACAGAGGAAAAATGCCTATTTTTTATTTTGGATTTCGACATTTTCAACAATGCCATGAACACGGCTCTTTTTGCCTTGACTTTGCCATCTCATCCTTTTTACTGCTAGAAACCTGCCTACTTGTGGGACTCCTATCAATCCTTCGCTAATGCGCGGTTTCCGGGAAGTGGAGTCGACGGTGGAGCACAACTGGCCTCATTCCTTGAGCTCCGTTCGGCCGCCCTGGGCGCCAATTAACCGGCGCGTGATGTCTTGGCGCGTCCATCATAATTGTCGAGTTACAATTATAAGAGTCTTGCGTCTGAGCTTGAGCCGGCTCCTTGTTTGCCGGCCTCCGCAATTTGCAGCCGCTTTTTGAGTTTCTCCGAATCCCGCTTTTTTCTTTCGATTCAAATACAGAATGGTAGAATTTCGACCTTTCCTGGCGATAACATCTTTTTTTTTAGCGTAGATGCTGATTCCTTAACATGTTTCCGAGGTTTCCCCATTTTCAATGCCATTATAAAGTAGATTTCTTGTATTAACCAGAAAAGGCATCCTCTTCAATTTTCAGAGAAAACGAACGCGAAATTTTAAACCACTCAATCTCCTATCGGCATTCCAATGTTTTTCCGTCTCGAGTTTTTGTTCTAATTGTAGATTCCAAAGACGCTATGAGTTTTTCGTATTCATCGCTGACAATGCTTCTTTCTCTTGGTTTTTAAGTCATTTGCCCAGAAAATATTTTGGGAAAACCAAATTGTATGGGTTTTTATTTGCACCAAACAATTTTTATAAAGGTTATAGCCCACACTTGTTTGCTGTCTCAGGCGTTTATGAGTTCATTTTATTCAGAGATCTTAGAAAATGTTAGTTGATGCTAGAGTTTTTAACTTGAGCTTACGCTCCAATACGTTTCTGCAAAAAATTGCCAAGAAAAAATGGAAGAAAATTGTTTTTCGAATCACCGGTTTTCATTTTTCTTATTTAAGAAAAAATTTAGTGGAAACGTGCTTCACAATTCCTCCTATTTTTCGTTTGATCTCGACAAAATAATAGTTTCAATAGCGTTTCACTTGTTCATCGTTCTATTCTGCTTGAATATTCTCAACGGGCTCTTTCAGAATGGACAACGGCTCATGTCTGAACCTCAACTCAGAGCTCTGGGAGTTCCGCGGCGATTATTCTTCTCAGGTTTGCCTTGTTTTCCGCTTTACTACCGCTAATTGCAAAATATCAGCAAATAATGGGATGAATAATTCAGTGGCCGGCGATGGGCGTCTTTTCCGTGTTGTACGCGGTCATAATAGCCTCCGGGATCATCGGCAACGTCTGCGTAGTGCTGGCCATCACCAGAAACAAGTAATGACGTCTAATCTCTTTACGAATCCAATAAGAAACGTGGGAAACGTGGCAAAATACTCGGATCTCGTCACTCGAGGGAGGAATCAAAATAATTACGGATTAGTCGACTCATTCGCACTTTTTTTGGAAACTTGAAGTTCTTCCGCTCTTTGAAGAAAGATGTGAATCAACTTCTTGAAGAAGAGAAGCTTAAGAAAAAAAATTCTTTAATTAAAGGTTTTTCAAAGGGTTAATCCCAGAAATGCACTTCCTAATGCACCCGTCGGAATTCATTTATGCTATTTCCAAACTTGCTTCCCAAGCTAAATAAGGAAGAGCGAGAAAAAAATGACATCAGATTCGTCGATTCAAAGTTTCCATCTGAGCTCTGCAAGTTACGAAAAATCTTTGGCAAAAAAATTCTAGCAATAAAACCTAATTTTCTATTAATTATACAGCAAATTTGTTAGAATGATAAAAAGTATAATAATGATTCAAGCGAACTGTTCATTCAAGGAGAAGTTTTTCAGATACAACTCAACTAGCCATGCTTTCTATGAGGGACATTTTTCGAATCGTATCAAAAAGCCAAAGCCAGGCGGTTTTAATATTAAGTGACTGAGAATTTTTTTCATTTTGACGCTAAAAAAAACCAACTTTGGAACAAAAAAATGTTTGCAATGTAATCGCCTCGAATATTTCAGAGCTCTTCAAACAGTCCCGAACATGTTCATTTTATCTCTGTCATGTTCGGACATCGTCGTCTGCTGTACATCAGCCACAATCACGCCGATCACTGCATTTCGAAAAGAATGGATGTTCGGCGCCGTCTTGTGCAGAATTGCTCCATTCATTGCGGTTTGTGAATGATTAACAGAAACAAAATGTTAATGGAAACTTATAGATTCCATAAAACCATAAAGTTTGAATCTACAGGGGCAATTTTTACTTGAAGAAAGTTGATTCATTGCAATTTAACTTTCTGCAAGACAACTTCAAATTACTGGTCTTTCAGAGGAACTTCTCGCGTTTTTCAAAATTTTGAGTCTGTACCAATAATTTATCTTAGTTTCGACAGATTTTGCTGATAAAAACAGAGCAAAACTCGATTTCACTTCCAAGAAAACGAACGAGCTTTTCTGCTGAATAATATTCAGAATCCACGATTTTTGCAGGGTATTAGTTTATGCTTCTCAACCTTCACATTAACTGCAATATCAATCGACCGGTATCTGTTGATCAGGTTTCCCATGCGGAAGCAAATCAACCATTATCAAGCCTTCGGAGTTATTTTAGTGAGTTTTGAAGATGTTTAAAATTTCGAAAAAAGCAAACTTTCAGTTAATTTGCACAATGGCAGCTTGCATATCGTCGCCCATCATGTTCAAACAACAATTAGGGCCTTTTGAGAATTTCTGCGGTTTATATTGTACAGGTTCGAAATATTCATTATCATTCTTCCTGATGTTTTGGAAAAAAAAACTTTTCAAAATCGACGAGAAAAAGAGTGCAGCTTTCTCTGAAGGTCACTTCACTGAAACTTCCTTTCTCTCTCACGTAGTCGGAGTTAATCTAATCTTCAAAGATTTTTCTTCAAAAACCGCTTCCTATAGACTTAAAAATCGCATCAATGCGATGAGAGGAAGTTATGCAGCTCATTTCCGCTACCACAGGAAACCGTCTTAAAAAGGAAATTGCGTTAACGTTCAAATCCAGGAAGATAAATTTTTATTCAGGAAGAAGAAAAATGTTTCCGATACATCATCGTGTTTATTTTTTTTGCAGAGGATTGGAAGGGCAACGAGAGCCAACGGAAAATTTACGGGGCCATTTTGACTTTCTTACAGTTGGTGATTCCTCTCACTATCATCATTATCTCTTACACCGCCATATCCTTGAGGATTGGTCAAGTAAGTGATCGCTTTTCACGAGTCTCAAAAGTTTCCACGAAAAAAGCTTCTTCGAGTCCTTTTTGAATCAGTTTGATCTTTGGAAAGTTTTCCGATTTTTTTTGACCCACTTAATAATTTCATTTTCCAAAATACGATCTCAAACAAGTATGAATTTCAAATTTTCCATTGATGAGTGAAAATTTATATTTGGATGGATTTTTCTATAAATCGACAATATATTCAACATTTGTAGTTCAGCCTTCATTTGGCTGTGAGCACTAGGTCAGATTTCCCCCAGTTAGAACATATATATATATATATATATTTTTCCAGTTTAATCTCATCAGTTAAACGGTAGTCATGGCATGAAATTCTGCACGTCGCGAATTCAAATTCTTCCTGCGACATCTCCGCTTTCAGAATTCCAATCCTGTTCTACGAGATTTCAAGGGATAAATAAAAAAGAACTATTTATTTGCGCTCCACTGAGAAGTCTTTAATAACAAATCCAATTAATCTCAACCTATGTAAAGAACTAGGAAGCGTGAGCAAGTAAACAAGATGCCATGAAAAAGTAGAGAGAGACCAAATTTCAAATATAATAAACAAGACGGAGATTTATAGAGCATGATCCTGAAAGACGCGAAAAGACACAAGGCCGAGCACTGGGAAGTGGAACTGAGTGAACAACAGCGCGCCGCCGTACGAAGACGTCAACGAACCAACCGGATGCTCATCGGAATGGTCGTCGCCTTCGCCTTGAGGTTTGCTTCGGGTCTAGTTGTCTTTCAAAATATTATTCACAACCAAAAAAGTAGAAGAGAGACGCTAGAAGATTCAAACTTTGGGAAATTCAAATGGAATTTCCAAAACCAAGTCATGAATAAATCAGTTTGTGAAGAATGACGAGAAAAGCTGTATGAACATGAAAAAAAAAACTAGAATTAAGGAAACAAATGATAATAATTCAACAAAAAAAAGCCAATTTGAAGGTTTTCATGAAAAAGCGAAAAATATTTTGCTGAATCCTTCGAAATCAAAAAAAAAAAGTACTCTGAGAGATTTATACCAAAAGTAAATGTTACAAGAATAAAATTATGATAAAATTTTCAGCTGGATCTGGTCGGTGACGTTCAATATTCTTCGAGATTATGACCATCTTCCGCAAATGATCAAGAACCAAGAGTACCTTTTCGGTATTGCCACTCACTGCATCGCCATGACATCAACGGTAGAATTTTAGAAAAACTTTTTTCCGACTCAAAAAACTAAATTGTTGAGAATTTGCAAGGAAAAATTGAGCAAAAGCCCGAATTCAGGTGTGGAACCCGTTGCTGTACGCAATGCTGAATCTGCAGCTGCGAGCGGCCTTCATAGATCTTCTGCCAAAATGGCTCCGGGTCAAGTACAACCTCGGCTCTGACACCAACCTACCGCTTCTCCAGAACCATACGACGATGAATGTGACGGCGTCGATGAAGTACGGGGCCAATTCGAATCAGGTACACCTTGGATCAATGCACGGCCAGCTACCTTTTGCACTTTTTCGAAATCTTCTCTTCGAGTTCTTTTCTTTGCACAAAGAATGATCTTCTCCTACTTTTCGTGCTGTACATCTCAAAACTTTCCCGTGGAGCATGCTCCTTTAGAGTTCATAAATTCTGATTTCAGATATTTCGCTGTATCTTTGGCTTGTTTTAATGAGTAAAAAATGAACAAAAGCAAACGGAATAAAAATAAAGAAATTATTCAACAACGCAAACTTCATTTTCTTCTCTCATAGAAAAATTCGATAAAGAACATATTTTTATTTTGGAACTTCGCTAGTCTAGTTTTCACAATCGCTTGTATAAACTCCATCAAACTAACTGAAATCCACACATTTAAATCTCCAAATTTTGTTGAAAATGTTTTTTTAGAATTCGGAAAGAAAAAAATATTTAAAGTTAGATTTGACTTTTTAGATATTTCGGCAAGTGATTTTCATAAAAAGCTGTATTAACTATAAAGTGAAGTGGACGTTGGTGACAAGTTTCTGTATTAGCACGTGCTGTTCATTAATTAACGCAGAAAGCCACTTTTTTGAATCTTGGCATCCAAATTTGAAAGATTATGAGTTACGAGAAAAACTCTTTTTTTTTAGCGAAATTTGAACAAATTTCACCTAAATAATATATCGAACTTAGGCTCAAACCATGATTTCTAGGAGTAAAGTTTTCTTTCCTACTAGAATCCTTAATTCTATCAAATTGTCGAATTTGGAAACCAATCGACTTTTAATTGCTCTACAAGCGAACTGAACTTTGTACAGAGTAAAAAGAACTTTAAGAGTAAATCAAAAAAATTAAAAAAAGGGTTAGCTATCAAAAAGTGCATGTTCCAGGGTGGTACTTCTCTTTCCGTCCTGTCTTCGTGAAGGAACTTCTCTTTGGTCGAAGTGAGAAAAAATGACATAGAATTCAAACTTTTTTTTTAAATTTCGAATTTTGAGAAAAATGATCGTTTTCACTTTGGTCCACTCAAAGACTATGTTTGTACAGCAGTGATTGTGAGGTTTGTCAATCTATAAAGAAAATTGTGAAACTTTCTTCTATCACTCACAGTGCTGAATATCTTAACGCCTAATAAAATTTTGTTTTTAATGAGCACTTGGTTGAACGAAAACGAGTCTAATAGGGCTAAGAACTCTGTAAGTGTTATAGTTTTCTCCGGTAAACACATTTTATGAGGATGGCATGTTTTAAAATCCTTTAGGAAATCCAAACCTCTAGCTATTTGTCTGTTTTCTTCATTGGTAAACTCAATAAGCAACAAATAACACTCAGTTAAAGTTTTCAAGTTGTTTTTTTATAAAGATTAGCATTAGAAAAGTGTCACAGCGATAATGAAGTTCAAGAGTGAAGAGTTGAATTATACAAAGACCTCACCCCAACCAATGAAATCTCACGAATTCAGGCGGTCGGAACTGCATGCGTCGTGTCAAGCGATGGGCGATCAGTCCTTACAACAAGTATGAAGAAGGCCAAGCCGGAGCCTCGCAAAATCTCCATGATACGGGTGCTGGTGCAGAAGAAGACGCGCTGCGACGAGGAAGAGCTTCTGATGAAGGACCAGTCGGATTCTCCTCCTGCTGAGCTGGCGCTTCTGACCGCCGCCAGAGACGCCCCCGACTCTCCCGCCGGCGTCCTCCGACGCAACAGTACCATGTGCCATGCCATCGTCCGTTCGGATATTCCTCGCACTTCTTCTTTCTAGCTTTCTTTTTTATGTTGAAAAAGCGTTGATTCAAAACATTTGTTCAAAAAGTTCTTCTGTTTAAATTCATCAGAATTCGACCTTTCTTGCAGGAAAAAAGGAAAATATATGAAATTATCAGGCTTTTTCGTATACTTTTTCCGTCTTTTCTCAACAAGAATAAAACCGAACAGACTAGCTGTATTTCTTCAGCCCTTTCTGGATTTTACTTGAGAATCGATCAAGAGATAACAAGAATATGCAAAAATAAAATAGGTCAACAAAGTCTTCTTCTATGAAAAAAAGTTCAGACAATCTCTAGAGCAAGATTTTTTTGAATCGACGTTTTTCAATGTCACTTGCCTTCAATCTTGCTGATTATTAGCTGCTGTATGTCTGTAATATTTATTAAAATGTTTTTTCAGTACGTCAAAAGGACAGAAGTATGGCTTCGTGGATTTCAGAAAAAAAAATGCTGCTCGTATATATAATGCGTAAAATAACGGATAAAACTCATTTTCAATTGAGAAACGTGATAAATCTTGAAATGACGCTATTGGCTTATTTGTATGAAAAACGCTTTCTTTTTCGTGTCGTGGGTGTTGATAAACTTATCCAAACTGAGAGAACATATGTTTCCGCTATCAAGATGTATGTGTATAAATGAGATTTTCGTATCAAAAATAAAGTTTCAGGGTTTAGTATGTTTCTTGTTGCAGCGAAAAATCGGAAACTTCCTCCGGATCAGAGTGAAAACTGACTATTCTGGACGATCTTTTTTTTAGTAATAAAATAAGATTTTGGGCTTTAAAACTCAAAAAAATTCCATGTGTTTCCAGACAAATTCTTTCAAGATTTGAACTTTTCATCAAATTCTTTCAGAAATGATTGCCCTAATAGAAATTACTCGAGAAAAAACACAACTATGTAAACTGGAAAAGCTCCTAAAATTTCTTTGGCGCAACTGAAAGGTATTTGACAAAGAATTTAATGTTCTTGTGTGTCGTCAGCCACAAGCTCGAAAAAGTTTATTTTATCAAGAAATTTTGAAAATGACTATGTTTTTAGTTCGAAATATAGCCACACAATTTGATCATTTTGAAAGATAGCAATTATAGGAGAAGAAAAACAACAAAGAAGATGTTCAGACCAATCATTCTCTGCACTCTCCTATCAAGTTTCATTTTTTGTATGATTTTCCAATAAACTTTTGATCAAGTAATATTCAAAAAAACCTATTACACGAATTAAACACGGAAAACGAAGAAAAACGGAAGTAAAGTCTTCGAATTTCAGTATTCGAAACTTTCTGAAAGGCCATATCTTCTCAATTTTTTTTTGGTCTTTTGGAAAACTCATTTCATTATCTTCCATCTAATTACATCATATCAAAGCCAGATATCTTTTTTTTCAATTTTCCTCATTTGGAAAGTCATAAATTTTCTGAGCAATTTTCTTAACTTTTCATTTTGTTTTTTGAAACCTTTCTTATTGAACTACTTTAGAGTGTTCCGAAAGTCTTCACGAAAATAAAAATACAATTCATTTTTCGATATCTTGAAGTCTAATTATAACTTGGCGACTTCATCAAGTCGATCAAAGTCCACGCGCCAAAGTGCATTCGCCGTTTCTCACGTGTTTCTGAAAGCTTCATTTTTTTATATTTGGATGGAAAAAAACGCGGCGGCTTGTCATAATTGTCCGTCTTGTAAACATGTCTTTGCCATAGATCTGCTCACATTGTCGGAATCGTCAGAATCCGTGGGAATAGAAATTGAACTTTTTATAGCCGGTAAGCTTTCATTAACGCCATTCTCTGGTATTGTATGATCTTTTATTTAAAGATTTCCTGAAATCACTTCTAGATAAAAGGCAGAAAAGATTTAATCATGAAACCGCAAAAAAGGCCACATAAGCTTAAAAAAGAGCTTTTATGGAATTTATATTACTCAGGAATTTTCTTGCGAATCGAGTTCAATTCCGTATTTTGTAGAACCTAACAGATATAATTGTCTGAGCAAGTTATATTCTGCCCAATCCCATGAGCACCGAGAAAATTCTTGTCTGACATTTCCAGGAAAGTCCCAAAAATCGAAAAGATAATTTTCTATTAAAAAAAGCCCTTTTGAAATTTTCATTTCTTGCTTTTTTTAACAAAAAATTTGGAAAAAATTCAATTAAAAAAAGTTCAACAAGATTATAAGCAGGCTATTTAAGAAAATTTAAGTAAATGTTCCTATTTTTTCAATATCTTCCAAGTAATCCCCAAAATTTTCATACACCTTTTTGAGTTCTGAGAACGCTTGAGAATGCTCCAAAGTGTTCCCTAAGAAAAAGTTATGAATAGAAACGGCACTTGGCTTTGCTTGAGAAGCCGTGAAAGTGCCCAATTATAGCGCTATTCACACAAATTCCAGAGGTGAAGATTTTGATGAAAACAGCTTTTATGCGAAAAAATTCAGAGCACGCACATCTTGAAAAAAGCAGAGTTTTTTTTTTTTTGGTAAACTTTCGATTTCTTTTTTTGGCTCTCCCGTTGGGGTCATTAAAATGAATTTAATGGCTTTTCCTTTTATTGATTCCACAAAACTGTTTTTTCAAACGTCGGTTGTGTTTTTTTGAGCTTTGAAAACAGAAATGTTTTCCTTTGGGATTTTTTCACCTATCTTCAAAGGTTATAAAAAAATGCAAAGAACTTTTTGCCAAAAAGTTTTTATGCCGCAATTTTTCTTTTTCATTCAGTAATTTTAAAAAAATATTTCTGAAAGCCGTACATTTTTTTATGATGAACTTTTTCGGATAAATTTCGGAAAAAAATCCTTTCTATAAATTTGAAAATTTATTCATTAATGTTATGAAATTCAGTCTCAGCTTCTTCTTATTTAATTACGTGAGGCAGTCACAATTTTTCGTTGGAAAGGTTCTTCATATTAAATACGAAACTAATTGCAATTACTGTTACTACTCAAAACCACTCTGAGGAAAATCTTTTTTGATTATCAAACTAATAAAAGATCACTGATCAGATACATTTTCTGAAGCTTGTAAATTTGCCATGCAACTAATTATCGTTCTCAAGAGAATTTAATGAATTCAGCTCCCGTGAAACCGGGTTTATTTTTCAATAAACTTTTAGATCAATCTACGTAAACATGGATTCTTTTACGAAATAAGGTAGGGAAATTGTCTTACCTACATTTTTTTGCAATTAAAATCAAATTATCAATCATTCAATTCAATTTCCTGCAGATCATCATTTAAAATATTTTTCTGGATTCTGAAATTTGCGCGTTCTCTGACATATCTCTGTTTGGGTACGCCGTTCTGCGCTCTTCGCCATAATTTGGCCTTTTGATAGGACAGTTTGTGTCGACATGACGCATTGATAAGGTATCCTGATAAAGCTAAGAGTGTCAGTCTCTTGTGATTTTAGATAAAGAAAAAACGAAGTTCGACGACAACGCCTTGTATTCCTAGAGTTGACAGAAAGAAGTTTTCGGAAGTGAAACTTTTTAAAAAATTTTGTGGCGAGGTCAAAAAAAAAGCTTTACGTTTTAATCCGATTTTATTTTTTGTATCGCTCCGATTTCAGGAAAGAAGCCTCTTATTGAGTGGCCCACTTCTATTTCCTCGAAATGTTTGTGGATTTCTTGGAATTTCGTTTTATTTCAATACGAAAATCATCAGAAAAAGACGGCCGCTTCACAACAATTCATTATTTTCCTATCACATCCCATATTTTTCTCCTATCCAATAATTTCATCTACGTGGAATATGACGTTCTAAGACCTTTTAGTTTCCCAAGAATTAATATGCGGAAAAAAATTGTTTTGTGAGAAATCTCTTCAATTTTAGAAGTTTGTGGCATTTTCTCTGATGGTCTTTCTGTTTTTCTGATTCGCAGTACGGAATCTGTCCCTCTTCTTCAAAAAAAAGTTTGCAAAACAATTTACTGAAAAAGAATTTTTTTCTGAAAAAGGAGAATAAGATTATCAAAAAAGTAGAATTTCAGTTATTGACTAAATTTAAAGCCTTTTTCCCCTTTCAAAAAAACTGAAAAAAAGAATAACTGCTGTCTCATTGTAAAGGCAACCGTTTAAGTTTATGAAACTAAACATTTTTTTATTATTTTATTATTTTTTTACTTTGGTCGTTCATATGGAGAAAAATTAGGAACTTTGATTTCCTAGTCAAATTTGAACGACTCTCTTTGTTCGTGTCTTTGCAATCCAGAGAGAAAGATGAATCTTTCAACTTGGCGCCCTCTTTCCGTGTAACCAGCACCGATTTCTCAAGATAAAACTACACACATTTTTTTCCTCTGCACTCTTTTTAATCTTTTATTTTTCAAATCAATGAGCAGGTTATCTTCGCCGCTGAAGCAAGATTTTATCAATAGTTGGCTTTCACTGGCCCCTTGGTATATTCTATTTGAGTAAGTTCTTTCCAATATTTCCGAAAACCAGTTTGTTTTGGAAGTGTTTAAAAAAAAAATTCGATGCATCTAAAGTTTTGTTTTTAAAAATGTTTAGTATTAAATTTAATATTTTTGAATATTTTTTTATGATTTTTAAATGATATACTGTTTGCCTAAGATCAAAAGATCGCGTTAAAACAACCTGCCGTTTTCAATCGTTATTAAAATTCATGAAAATAGAAGTTTGTTGAGCGCTAGACATTTAAATCGAAAAAAATTCAGATTTTTTTCTAAGTACACACAATTGAGACAGAAGTTCTTGAGTCAAAGATCATTCAGCCGAAATGCATTTTCACAAAGATCAGGGAAAAATAGAGTGTTTGGTAAAAAAATTTCAAACAAGAGGTGCTTTTCAAAGTAAAGTTATACGCTCCTCTCGATATTTTCCCCTCAAGAAATTTTCATTTTCTCATTTTTTGATCTTTCGAGAGCATACGCAGAGCCTATTTTTACCCTTGTTCTCTCCGAAATTGGTCTTTCTAGCTTTTCCCCACGTCTTCAAGTCAATTCTCTTGCTCACTTTCTAAGAATAAAATTTCGATTAGAAGCGAAAAACTTTTTTTGCGACATAACGGCTTTTTACTTGTTATTTTCAGATTTTGTCATTTTCGTTTCACTTTGGCGAAAGACAGCGCGTGATGTTCGCATAAAAACCGTTAAAAGCAGGGAAAACATCAACGCGTTATTCCATCTCTGATGGAAACAAAAACGAAGGTTAATTGCCAGCGATCACTAAACCATCCAAGTGTCTGGTTTTGTTTATTTAATTTCCTGGACCATTTTTTCGCCGTCTGCGTTTTTTTCGGAACGTTTATTTTCTTGAAAAAATGCATGATTCTGCCAGTTAGTGTTGCGGAATTTCAATGAGAAAAAGACGTGTCATAGGAAAATAAGGCCATCCAGATAGTCAAGGTCTACCGATTCATCTTTTCATCGTCTTCCTGATATGTGAGTTCAAATCTTTGAAAATCTAAAAAAAAAGTAGAACCGGAATTTTAATGAAGAAACTAAAGTTTACATATAAATGGATAAGCTTCAAAGTTTCCATCTCTTTTTTGCAATTTTGAGCACCGGTTAGGAACGGAAATCCCTTGAATTCTTGTTGTTCGGAGATCATATGGGAAGACGGAATAAATTCTTTCATTGCTTTTCCAACAGCTCGTCTCTTCAGTTTTTTCTTCGATTTCGTATTTTTTCGTCAGTATGACGTCTTCTTCAATTTTGAGATTCACGTCAGCAAAACAGCTCGAAAAACTATCAAGTGATTTTATTCTTTTGTATGACGTTTTCACAAAAATATTTTCCAAAAAAAATCAAATTAAACACGACATGTTTGAGTTTCATTAGTCATGTGAAAATAAATACGATTGAGAATTATGAGTCAACCGCTGTCAAAAAAACTTCAACAGCTCAATATATTTCAAGCGTGAGGAACAGATGAACTCTGAGTGGAGTTTTAGATCTTCTCTTTACACTCGGATCGATGTGCGTCTAGCAGCAACGAAACACGACCCACTCTGGTGTTTGTAGTTTGGTCACTTACCGCTTTATTTCCCTATTTGGAATCGGGCCAACAAAAACGTAAAAATACAGAGAGGTCCGTATCAACATAAACATAGAATAAGAATGTTTGATGATTCAAACGCGAATGACTTTTTCTCTTTTTCAAGTGTTCTCCAAGTTCGTTCATACATATAGTCTGTGTTCATCAACACAAAAAAATCGTATTATCACCAAAAAAGCTCATATTTTTTGGACTATAACTTTTTTTGAGTGATACATTAAGTGGACATCTATCATAAAAGACAAGAGCCACAAGAAAAGAGCCACTCGAATAACTACATTCTAGTTGTCTTTCGTTTCTCCGTTTAAACAGAGTACTTGGTCCCCTACAAGCTACACACACAAACTTGTCCGTTCTTTCGGCATTATTTCTCTTTTTCGTGGTTTCCTGAACTCTCAGCTGGGTTCCTAGTATCCAACGCTCCGCGAGAGACCAGAAATTTGTTTCTAGTTGAATAAGTCCTGCGAAGAAAGAAGCTTCATCAGAATCGCTGGATGATGCAAAACATGACCATGAAAAAATAATATTCTATGAATTCAAAATTGAAAAAGACCCTCCGCATGGAATAGAAAAAAAGCCGAGAGACACATTAATTTTTCATGAGCTAGAAAAAATGTTGACATCACGGCTTCTTAGTTTATTCTTCAGTCCGCAGAATTTTTAATGAAGATTAACTGATAATGCATGGCCTTATCAGATTGTTCTTCGAGAGATTATTGGGAAGTTTTTATTCACATTTCATGCTTTCTTGCATTGTTGGTGGATGGATAGCTATGAAAAATGGACAACTTTGAAACGGAAAAACTGGAAAGTTTTGGACTATGAACGAGTGCATTCAATCTTTGAACTGTTTCTTTTTGTAAATTCAAAATATTGAATGAAATACAAAAAAGCTACTAAGACTTATTGTTAGAAACAAACTGGATTTTATAAAATGCATCCCTATGAAATTTTTTTTTTCAAATGAGCAAATAAGAAAGAAAAATACAAATAGTTTCAAAAGACGAGATTTTCATATTTCATGTATTTTTTTTTAGTTGAAATTCTTTCTTATTCTGTCCTTCGTAAGTTTTTTTATATCAATTTTCAGATACCCGCATAGTCTTTATAACTATTTTTTTAAAGCGTAATGGGTTTCTTCTAATAATTTTTTTCTGCAGAAATTTGAGAGCTGAGGCTTCTTTGTAGACAACATGTTAATGAGAGAACGTAATTCCTCAGAACTACGAGAGCTATGTATAACTTCTTCAGAACAAAGTTATAATGATTCTTAAAACCGTCCAGCACTTGATTGGGGTGATCATAAAAAAGTCCGTCCTTTTGCGAAAAATGTTTCTCTAAGTTTTTACTTCTCTGAAAAGTACTTTCGTCATGATTTGCAACGGGTAAATTTCGACCTTCGTTAAATAATACTTTTGCGAATACCGGACTACGCTATCTGGCAAAATTTTGATCACGTATCAAGAAACCGAAGCGTCTGTATGTTCCCAGAAAACTGTACTTGTTCCAGGTCGTATATTGGTGCCACTTGATCCTGAAAATCTCCCAAAGTTCAGCGTTGAAACGCAATGACGCCATTTTTTCCCTTCGGCGTAAATTTAGAGGTTGGAGCAAGCTTTCGCAACTGTTCAGAGCGGCTGTCTTTTCGTGAAAATTCTTATTTTGCCCCGGAAAAATTTCTGATCATGATTTGCAATCGGTGGCACTTGACCGTGGAGGTCGTCAACGAGCAGAAAAACAAGATTCCGAGATTTTTGTCGCATGTGTTCAAGGGGGCGCGTGCGTCCGTGAAGTGTGTTTGGTGCGTGGCCGTGGGCGAAGGAATCGATGAAAGTTTGTTCGTTGAGCGCGGCGCCGAGGAAGGCGGAGGGTCCAGACGGCCCGAGGGCACCACGTAGTCGCCGTGCAGGACGATCGTCTCCGACGCTCTCTCCTTCGAGCTTCACAGCGTTTTCCGGTCTACCGCCGGTCCCTCTAGTAACGTTCGCCTTTTGCGAGCAGCTTATCAGTTGGTGGAGCCTCAGGCGCCGCGAGTTGTCGCCCCGACCTTCTTGCACTCTCTTCTCACTGATTTTTTCTTTCTACAACCCAAAAATACACGCTCCTCGCCGACTGCAACTTTTTGGTGACCTCTTCTGATTGCGGCGAAACCATAAAAACATTAATCACAACTCGTCTACTTCCCCTTTGAAAGTGTTTTTCTGATCGCTGAGATGTTACTGCATCGCATTTCTGCTATATCAGAGAACAACGGAACCGCAGAGTCTATTTTGCACGCATTGCTCGCAACTTTGGAAGACGGTCAGTCTCTGATAATTTTTTTTCCATAGAGCGAAAAACTCATAGCAACAATCAGAAATGGAGATTTTCACTCTGATAATTGATTCTATCATAGTCCAAAACGTTGGAAACTCTTGCAGTTTTGAGTCCGGAATTTTTTGTAGCAAACTTGCATCCAAAAATCTTATTCAACAGTTTTATGTTTGCCTCTCGGCTTTTTGGTCAGATTTTGATCCTAGAAAGACCAAACTAAATATTTCTTTTGTCTGCCGTCCTGGTGAGAAAGATATTATAATCTTTTGGAGTTTTTTTTCCTATCCAAGCCATTTAGCTTGATCAATCAGACAGCTTGGAGACTGATTCAAAAAAAGTATCTCAGTAAAATTTTTCTTTGCTCCCGGTTTGATTCATGAATGATTCGAAAGAGAAAATATTTTTCATTTTTGTGACTCTCCTTTTTCCCACACAAAATTCAATTTGCTAAAGAAATTCAGAATGAAACACATTATTCATGCAATTCAATCGTTTTATCAACTGTTTGTCATAAACACGAAACAATTTTAAATGGCAAAAACAGCTTTGCAAGGTTTTTTGATGGTATGTTTGCAAAAAAAAGCTCGTTCGAAGTCTGTTTTCTAACTTCATTCTTCTTGCCATCGGGCATCTAGACATCTTCTGTTTTTTTTTCACAATCTCGAAACCTGTTTGACCTGATTTTAGTTACGGTCGAAAAAAAACATAAAGTTGTTTGATCGTTGCGACTTTGGAATTTTTCGAGAAAAACGATTGCTTATAAAGTTTTTCCGATCTGAAACTTTTCACGGTTACCTATGAATACTCCCTATCTGATGCGATCTTCTTCAAAAAGTCACAGTGTCTTGTCAATTGAGAACAGTACATTTTTCGAAAGTTGGATAACTCGTACCTAGAGAAGTTAAACTATGAAAAACGAAACTTGCACTTTTTTTTTACGGCAAAGCCCTTCTTGGAAAATCAAGAAGATCACGTTTTCAACCTGATTTTTGGTTTCTTAGAGTTTCCTGTTTGGGGTCACCTACACATATATGATTCAAAATTGCAACGCTTCACGCTGCGAAGTGGATAGTGACACTTGGAGAAAAATCAAAAAAATAAGATAAAAACAATTTCGAAAGATAAGGCTCCAGATATGAATACCAGCTGCCTATCAAAAAGTTTGCCGAATTGAAAAATTAATGCGTCTTTTCTAACATTCAATACTTAAAAAAATGATGATGTAGGAATTAATATAAAATTCGGAAAGGTATATAAAAAAAGAAAAATTATCCTTTAAGGGTGAGGATAGGAGTGGAAAGTTTTAAAAAGTATTACTTTTGACACAAAAGCTTGGCAACTCAAGAATAGTTAGGTCACAAGTTTTCCATGAGCAGTTCAACACAAAATAATTTGCTTAACTAAAATCTGGAGCTCTTTGTGCTTTGACAAAAAAATTTCTTATTGGAGTTTTTCATGAACTTCCTAATGAGCTCTGTCAGTAGATGAAAATTTTTTGAATATGTAATCTGCCCCTATTTTTAGTTTCATTTCCAACTTCATCTCACCACCTCTTCATTAATTTTGGAAAATTTTCGAGCTACTTCTTACACTGATAGTAATTTCGCCATTGCGAATACTTGAAAAATGACCAGAACACTTTTTGAGATATCAGAATAACTTTATGACAATCTCAAGCTGCACAACAATCATGTTTTAAATAGACAGCTCGAAGCTTGATAAAAGCTCATTTCAGCGGTTTTTGATGATTTTATTTGACTTCATAGCTTCTCTTTAATTTTTCAAGTTCAAACTTCCGGGCTATTCATCGAGCAAAATAAGTAGTATATTGGCCATTTTCCAGAAATTTCCTAACCGTAATGTGAAATTACTTTCGTTGTCAGGAACTTTTAAATTTAACACTGAAATCACTTCTCTCGTTTAACTACCAGCCGGGCTTGTCTTGATAATAATAAAAAATTCCTCGTTTTCTGAAGTTCACAGAATACCAACTTATGCAAAATTTTCCGTCTTTCAGCTCGTAGAAAAAGTTTTGCAAAACATTATCAGCCGTAGGAGTCATTAATTGATACCAAGAGTTTTTTTGTGCAAATAAGAAACGTTTCCATGATTTCCACTACCGTAGATTTGTTTTTCCAATTAATCAGACACTTGCGGTCAACTTGTCAGTAGGACTTTTAAACAGGATAATTGAAACATAATTGAAAAACTGCTTGCGTCAGAAGTGTAACATCGGTTTAGTCATCGTAAAGCACTTTTGAAACCGAAGAAAGCAGCGATGAGAAATTATCAGCAAATTAGTTAAAAGAAAAATAATTACCGGTTCAAACTCTGGTTGCTTTGATAATGCAATAACTTTCTTTTGTGAGGTTCAGACGAAAACTTTGATAAAAAATGTCACCAAATTAGGGCGAAATGTACCTTATTTTGAATGTTATGAATTATTTTATGTACGCTCATCCTTTTCGTCAGACAAACTAAAGATATAAACGAAAGAAAAAGCAAAGAGCGATTACATCAGTTTTGGTCAGTTCAACAATTTTGAGATCGGAAAAAAAACGAGTAATTAGTATTTCATACGAAAAGAACACGAAAAGAAAAGATCCAATCTTAGTCACAAGTATGGTTGCTATTTCCTGAGTTTTATGGTGGGTTTTTCCGCAACAAGGAAGATAATTTTTGATCTTCTCATTCAAAACTATGGATTTTCGACTCCACTCACCTTTTGCTAACCTATCGATAGAAAAACTTAGACTTCGAAGCATAATGACTTAAAAAGGAAAACTTTGAGTAAACAAAGGAAGCCTTTCATATTATCTTCCAAGAATTATTCCAATCAAATCAAATACAATTCCCATCACAAAAGTTATATGTTTTTGATGAAGTAGCACAATTTTCGATTAATTCAGTCAGGCAGTTTTTCGAACATCATGCGATGTTTCATAGTACATTGAGAGTCCTGTCAAACATAAAAAAAAACGGCGAAAGATCCCATGAGTCAGAAGTACTTCGCCTACGTGTTGAATTTTGTTTTTCAATTACTGGCGTCAAAAAATTGGTTAGTCATTAAATTCTTAGTAACGTCACTACTATGATTTTTGCCAGCCAAGTTCATTTCTTCCGATTTTCATTAATCCCGCTTGGTTTCTCAAGCGAAAACGTAAAAAGAAAAATAAAAAAATTGGCGGGATGCGTCAGAAATACTGTATCCACGTTCATATCTTTTTTCCTACCTTCATTACTTGGCCACGCATCGGTAACCAATTAATCGTGTACAAGCCCACCTGCTCGTCAGATGCCAATTATGGACGTCAAGGACGGAGACTCCGCCTTTTCGAAATCAGGCTTCGTCCAAATCCCCGTGGCTTCTCTTTCGGTTAATCCGTACCCTTTTCAAGAGGAAATCTTTCTATCTACGATCTATCGTCTGTACTTTGATCTTTTCCGCGGCGATGTAGACGCTCTCGACGTTTTTATCGCCGTCAAAAAATGTTTGGTCAATCTTTGCACTAGGATCGTTAGTTCAAGAAGCTCGAAATACGCTGAAGTTTTTCACGTGACTCTGGTTTCTCCCAGAGAAGGCATTTCCTTTGAAGGGGAAAACCTCTCGATAACATCTTTCAGATTTAAAGTTAGTTGAGTGAAAAAAATGGATACAAGTCACAAAAATCATATAAGGTCGATGCTGGCTAAAATACAAGGCTTTACGAAAAAAAAAACTGACAGCTCTTTGTAAACAATCGACTTTTGTACGCTACAAAAAAGTTGAGTGAAAGTCCAATTTTTTTTTGAGTTCAAACACTCAAGAAAGTACAAGTGCCCTTCATTTGAATTATAGTGCAAGCTCCCATTCTCACAAATGTTTTTACTACGAACGAGTTGTCAGAGAAAAAACCATAAAAATGGAAATTTTAATAACTTCCCGTTTCTTGATAAGAGGACCAGAAAAATTTTGAAAAAAAGATAAAGGCTCTGACTTTTTTTCGGAAATTTTTGAGATTCATAAACTCACAAATTTCTATAACACATATATCCTAAAGTTTGAAAAAAATGAGAACAAATTTTTAAAAATTTTTCGAGTTGAAAAAGTATGAACAGTGATCCTAATCAAAAAAACTTCAAGGGAAAGTCAATTCTTGGAAGAATGAAATATTTTTTTCAATAGAAACTTTTGAAGTAGAAGTAACTCCTTGAAAAAAATTCGTATTTCAAAAAAATTAAATTAACCATTTTTTTCCTCAAAAAAATGTGACGACAAAAAAACAGAAATTATTTTCCTACCTCATATTGTCATACTTGAACTTTGAATGAAAAAAATTCAACAGAAATGTTTAAATCATTGATAAAACACAATAACGATTTTGGACTAGCAAGGAAAGCCAAAAATCTATAGTCCGAACGGTAGATCATGCCGTCCACAGCGCGATATTTGCACTGTTGGCGCGAATTCGGCGGTCTCGGCGGACTTCAACAGCCGCCTCGCTCGACCATTCATCAGCTCCCTCTTTTTTGGGATATCCTCCATTCTTTCCTGTATTGATTTCGTTCCCTTTTTTTTTAGCGATTCTTGTCTCTTCTCACGTTTCCAAAGTTCCTCATTCAGAATGAACGTGGGTGGCGCCGGAGGTACGCCTTTGGCTGGATTCACGCATGCTCAACTTCAGGTATTTTTATTTTTGAGAAATGAAAACGATAACAAGATTCCGAAAAAAAAACACTTCTTTCAAAATCGAGACAAAATTTTTTCCACTATTTTTCTTAATGCGTCAAATTTTCGGCAAAAAAAATATAATCCCTTTTCTTTGAATTTATCAGGTTAAGTATGAGCAATTGATGATGTATGTTCAAATATTCTATATCAAAGAGTGTCTAAAAAAAGAAATCAAAAATTTTTTTTTCGTAAAAATAGTTCAAAAAGTTCTTTCGTGCTAGGAAAAAAAGCTCGAAAACCTCATGAAAAAATTTTACGCTGTTCTTTTTAAACGCAAAAATTTTTTTTCAAGTAATGTGCTGCAATTTTAGGAATTATTGAAATTTCCAGTAAGATAAATAAAACCAAATAATTTGTGTTTATTTCCACGCAAAAACTCTAGCCTAGTTTCTACCCATATGAAGAAAGAAAGTTGAACTTTGGTACTGTTGATTTGGTTTCTTTCTTAGACTGTTATCGCAAAATGTTAATCTTTCCGACGCCTAAAGCAATTAAAGGCGTCTGATTTGAGACACGGTTATGAGATAAGAACACGTCGACGAAAGATGTCATTTTTTTTTTTGGCGCGTAAGATGATAATCGCGTCGGGGTGAACAAAACCAAACCAGCGGTGCAGCAGAATTCCTTATCGAGTTGTAGTCGACGAAACATTTATCGATCGGTCCAGCCGGGGCCTTATCATAAATAGGCGTTGCGGGAATGGCAAACATTGCCACGACAGTTGCATTTCGGGGTCAGCAACGGGATTGGATTGCAGCAGCTCGCCAGTCAGTTAGGAGGCAATCCGCAGCTCGCCAACCTCGCTGTCAACGGACTCCAGCCGACTTTGACGCCGCAGCCGCAGCCGCCGACTCAGACGACTTCGGCCATGCCGTCCGCCGTCACCACTCCAGCCGTCCAGCAGACCGTCGTCGCGCCTGTCAGTTCCTCTTTTCTTACAAAATCACTTTTTAGGTCAATCAAACCGTGGAAGATCTTCGAATCATTCGGAGTTCACAGTTGCCTTTAAAAAGGATTTTTGACTTCCGTTCTTGCAAAGAGTTCAAAGAGTGCCAACTTTTTTTTTTTGTTCTTGAGCTTCCAAATTCAACTTAAAATTTAAAAAAGCTATTTTTTTCATAATGTATTCGAAACTTGCCGGCTAAAATATCTTCAGAACAAGAAACATAAAATTAGACCAATTGTAAAATGCATTTTGAAAATAGTAATTTTTTTCAAGCCTTTCGAAGAACGCAATAAGCGGAGTTATTTTTACATCTGATAAGGAATTTGAAAATTTTTTCGAGATCTTCTAGTTTGCAATATTGGTTATTCAAAATTTCTTTTTTTTTCAGTATCGCAGAAACTGCGGTTTTCTAAAAACCATCGAATCAACCTTACTCAAGTTTTTTTTTTAAAGCAGCTGCTTTTTTCCGATTGCGCGCAGGTGCGAGTGGCATTCCAAAAAAACGAAAGACAAAATGGCTACAGAATTTATTTAAAGAACTCTCAGAAGATTTAGTTTCTCACTTTTTTGCTCTCACTTATCCAACTGAACTTAATTTGCAGCGAATAACAAAGATAATGAGTATCGTACATCCGTGAACTATTTATTTCCGCCTCTTGATACTCTTATTATAGTTGTATAGCAGCTCTTCGGGAAACGTTTCAATTAATCTGTTGACTCCGACCGTGCACTCTTACTAATTAGCAGAATCAGCAATTAACTTCCTATAATCCGGTCGTTGTCTGGGGCATATGGGCGGTCCTTACTGCTTATGGTAGGCATCGAAAACCAGCGCAGATAGCTTGGATCATTTATATGCGAGCTCTTGTTGCAATCCTAACGGGTTGAGTTTCAGAACGCAGCCATGGCTCATGCCCAGCCAGTTCCATCTCTTCCGTGGCCACTTCTCAATCCGGTCATCAACGTGCCGCACTTCGATGTAGTCACCTACCGTAATGTGAACATGGAAGCCCAGCCAAGTCACGATCCTTCTGGCATGGATCTCCCTTTGACCGACATCACCACCATCAGGTATTCATACCTGCTTTACCACAATTTTCGTATTTGCCCAGGTTTTTCTTCAACCTTGGAGTCCAGCAGGCCAGAAACATGGCTGCTCATAGATTTCCTGAACCGTTGAATCCTCTTGCTGCACCTCAAAACCAGCTACTCAGCATTGTAAAGATCGAAAAATTTACCAATAAAATTTCTTCTATTAAGGCCTACGCTGGCGGAGCTCAAAACTACGATCAGCTAACGCAGATTCTTAACACCCAAGCTATGATACGGTTTGATAAATTTTCTGGAATTCTGTAGATTTTTCCTAATTAAGGCAAGCTCAAGTTCAAGCTCAGGCTCAAGCAGTTCAAGCTCATGCTGCTGCAGCAGCTACACAACAACAAGCTCAACAAGCTCAGCAAGCTCAAGCCCAGCAGGCCCAAGTGGCTCACCAACAACATCTGAACCGTCTGGCGGTTGCTCAGCAGCATCAGCATATGCAACAGGCCATCGCACAGCAACGTCAAGCAGCCGAACAACAGGCTCATCAACAGGCTCATCAACAGGCTCAACAGCAAGCTCAGCAGCAGGCCAACGCCGCTCAACAGGCGCAACAAGCACACCACGCCAACCCTCTCGGAATCGCTAGGTTGCCTGGCCATCCTGATTTCGCTGCTTTTGCGGCTTCGAACGCTCTTGCTGTCACTTCCGCTGCTGTCAACCAGGTTTGAACCGTCCAAGAAAACATGAAAAATCTTACTGAATGCTTGATTGGATACGTTTGGCTTCTTGAGAAACCTGATTGAAATCACCAATTTGAAGTTTTCCAGCTTGTTGGAGGAAATCACGGTGTCGGTGCTTCGTCATCAGCCTCTCAAGTTGTTCCAGGAGGACCAGGAAAACCTGGCCCTAACTATGAAGATCAAGCTATGCTCTTGCAAAGAGCTCTGCTCAACGCTACTGTTGCCAATAGTTAGTAATCTCCTCAATGTCTAGCTCATCTTTGATTCAGCTCAAGCCAATGCAAAGCCGAGCTTGTATGAGATCCGCCTTCAAGCTTTGGCTACGCAGCAACAGCAACAGCAGCAGCCTCAGGCTCCTAATCCAAACGGCTCTCGCACAATGAATATTCATCCTTACTTGCGACCTGCCGAGGTAATATAAACTTTATTAGCTTCAAAGAAATAACCAATTTTCGATTACTTTTAGAGGCAGGTTGGCAAAGATAGGGTAGACGGTTGAATGAATAATAACATTCCAAAACAAGTTTTTTCGCTCATTATTTTTGCACTGCGGTTTTAATACGCATTATAAGTCTGCCAACCTGTCTTCATTTTTTCCTTTCTGGTCGAGAAACGTTGACAATATTAATCACTTTATTCAGAACTTGAAGCCGCCCGCAGCGAATGGAGATGCTCCTGTTTCTCCTCGTGCTCCAATCGTTATGTCGACTAGTCCGGTACCAGCACCATCCGGTGGCGAAGGTCCTAGACTTCAAGCTGCTGATCAGCCGTCTACTTCGTCCAGCAACGAAGAAGAGCAGCGTGCCGTCCCAGAGATCGCAATTGATGCCAATTCTGCCATCGTTCCTGTGGCTGCCGCTGGACCTTCGTCTAGCCAAGCTGTATCATCTTCGGTCAACAGCGGGATCCCTTCTCTCTTTCAAATGTCAGAAGACCATTTCACCGAAACGTTCCTCAAAAAAGCCATGAAGTTCGTTGAATAATACAATGAATTAGCAAAAAAAAAATAATTAGTTCCAGACGCCAAGAGGGTGAACCCGCCAAGCAGGCCTCGCCCAAGCCTCGTGAGCCTGAAAAAGAGGAAGATGACAGCGAGGACGACAAACCAGCGGTAAAACAAAAGAATAAAATTTTCGGAAAGAAATTTTGGATTCTCAGTTGGCTCCAATTCTTATGATGTCCTACTTGCGCACCTGCATCGGTAACGCCAAAACTCAACTGAACGCCAGTGGTGTTCAAGTCGGAGTTGACGACAATGGCATGCTGGTGCGAATTATCGTGCTTCCAAATGAGCTATTCTATTTTAAGGTCGATTTCTCGTCACGACCGGTCGACCCGATTTTCAAAGAGGCCAGAGAGGAGTTGGCACGCAACCGCGACTTTCGTCAAGATCACAATCGCTCCTCTCCAAAGAGACCTCCACTCCCAGGCCAAGCTCTCGGCCCTGCGAATTCTGCGCCCGCCGCTGGCGTCTCCACTTCCACTCCATCACCATGTCAACGTACGGATTTTATCTGCCGTCTGACTAAGATGCTCGAACAAACTTCAGAGATCACTTTTTTATTTTCAGCGGTCGTCGGCTCGCCTGGTTCGACCAAGTCCGAGTCTCCGTCGACTCGCGGATTCGCTCCCATTGCGCAGAATCCTTTGGGAATCAACCGTGCTGTTGGTTTTATATACTAACACGAAATTTGAAAAGTATTCGGGAAATTTTCTGAAACTTTCAACTACTTTGACGTCATTCAAAAAAGTGGAAAAAGTTTTGAAGTGTAAATGTAGAAACGAGATAGCTAACTCAAAAAAATTACTAAAAACTTGAAAACAAGCTTTTTTGAATTCAGATGATCGATGCTACGACTCCAACCAAGCGTCCGAATCCGGATTCGTCTTCATCGACTCCTGTCCGCGTTGAAGACGACGAAGATGAGGCTTCATCTCAGAAAAAGCTCAAAATCGACGAATGAGATCTCACTCGCCAAATAGAAATTATTTCTAAACTGTTCCAACTTTCTGTGATATATTTATATATCGATGATTGCGTTGTGTGATTTTACAAACGGGCTGAATATCCCCGTAAATCTATTCAAGCTATTAATTTTCCTAATCTTTTTCCTCCTTGTTGAGGCTTTATTTGATTTCATTATTTCATGATTTTTTTCATTTGCCAATGTTGGATATTTCCAGCCATACTCTCCATTCCATGAAGTTGATGGTTTGCAATTCTTTCATTACTGTCCAATGGGTGACTTCTTTTTTAGTAATTGGTACATTCCACCTTTTTCCTTATTTCCGGATTCAGTCGAAATCGTTGAGATTATTTTTTATACTTTTCTTATTTTTCTGTATGGTCTAATGATTTATTTTAATAATCCTCGCAAATACGTTTCATTTGCGTGTTTCCTATTGTGTTGCATTATTTTATCCATGTTATATTGAGTTTCGAAATTCTCTATTTTTATGGGAAAATTTGTTCTTCTCTATTCCAGTCGTCTCTACTGATCTTTTCTATTTAGCGGTTTATCTGATTTTATTTTTGCTCCAACGTCGGCACATATCCAACTAGTTATTTCCGCGGATTTTTGTGACGCAAAATAATTATTCAACAGTTTATTTATTGGCTCTATGGAGAATAAAACCAATGTGAAATCGAACGCAAGGTTCAAATTTCGGGAGTTCTGACTTGAAGTCTAGAAGCTCTTCTACTTCAACTTCTAAGCAGTTAAACTGAAAAATCTATAAAAACTAGCGTTGATATGTTCGAACTATAGAGATCAAGTGGAAAGCGACAAGCAGCTAAGAGAAGTGAGTAGGGGTAGTTCTGAAGATTACATGAAAATTTTTGTAACTAAAGTGGGTGCGAAAAAAACAATATTTAGGTGGATCACTCGAAAAAGTCGACCTCGTCGTTGAGGACGGCGTATTGGTCTGGGACAGTTTCGGTTTTCATTTCCATGTGCTTCAGTTTTTCGAAGACCTGAAAGGTTTATCATTTTGTAAAATGAATATTTTGAAAAGAATCAAAGAATATTTCGCAAAATTCGTTTGTGTTGCGGCTCACCTTTTTGTCGTTGCTGTGGGGGATCAAGCTGGTCACTCTGCCCCAAGCCTTACTTTCATTTCCGATGATGTCGTCGCCTGAAAATGATTTTTCAAAAAGAAATTCTGACCGCACGAGGTGGAAACATATTCATTAGCTGCAAGTTTCCAGCATTATCGTACTCACTTTGACTCCAGAAGCTGACCACTGTTTCGGCTTCCTTGGTCAATCCTTTGTTGAGATCATGGAGGAATCGCGAATATGCCAGCTATAAAAAATCGTTGGTGATATTTTTTTTTTCCCCAGAACAAACATGATGACATGGCTTGTCGCTCAAGCAGTCCAGTCCTTCGCAGCTTCCGGGAAAAAAACCGAGCTTAATTTTTTGAGGTATATAGCTTTATGGACCTTTTTGTTACTTTTTTGCCACAAGCTGGAAGCTGAGACGCGTTCTGGCAAGCACACATTCCATAGTTGGCTCCGGAAATTCCCAGAAGCGTTTTGACGTTCTGGGAAATACTCGGTCCGAGGTCGCAAGTTCCATTGTCGGTGCGGAGCTTGAAAAATAATTCGATTTTCTAACGTAGAATGCAAATACCATTATACTAAAAAATTTCTGTTTTCATATTTTTTTTATTTTTTCAAATTTTGTGGAAGTATGTATATTTTGTTAATTTCACTTCAGTACTAAAAACCTGGAATTTACCATTCCTCCACGGATGATTTTCCTAGCAATGCTGACGCCCATCGAATGCGCGATGATGTTGATTTTAGAGAAGCCGGTGTAGCCCAAAATTGCTTCCAGAAATTTCCGATGGCCCATGAGATCTTCGCAATTGAACCGTCTGGAGAACATTTGCTAAGTACAATGAAGTGCTACTGCGAAACCTCAAGTAGGAGTTCGTAATGTTGCGATCGCCGTAGGTGATTCCGTAGAGCTCGGACAGTTTGTAGCCTCTCGCGGTAAAGTAGCGTATTTGGTTGTTCCAGCCGGAAGAAAAGAGACCCGAGCCGAATTTGAGAGCGGAGTCCGAGTTGCCGTGAATGAAGAGAACAGGCATCTTTTCAGGCTGAAAATGGATATTTGCTTAACAGTATTTTTCTGTCAGTTTTGGATTTCCATCTCAAATTCGTTCTACACAGGGACTGAAAAAAATGTTTGACTGAATCTCTCAGTTCGAGCTGCATCTGTACTACTTCATTTTTTGATCAGGTTCATCTTTCATCCTACAATTTCGGTTTACTTTACTTTTTTTTCAAAGTTCCCTGTCTTAATATTATTCTCGCTCTCGGTTCGCAACAGTAATGAGATTAGCTATGAATAATTCGTTTTTTTTTTGCTTTTACGCATTCAACTGTAGTTTTCCTTGAGAGATTAGCCTAATTTTTATCTTTATCTTCTTTAAAAAATTTATCTCTTTCCACTTTTTTTTTGCATTCTAATCTCAACATTTCGACTTTGTAGATTAACAAGTTTATTGGTTTTTCATGACTTGTCAGGTCAGCTTGAGACTGAAGTGCCTAAGGAATCTTTAAAATGAACTCAATTGTTCCTGGTTTCCAATTTTAGTCTGCATTGTGTTCTGATGGCTTACGACTTCAAACTTTGTAGTGCACACTTCAAATCACATGTCCAGTTTTAAAACAAATTTTCAAAAAGGTGATATTTTATTATCAAGATACCTATAATTCTAGAAACCTATTTGATAGGTTTAGAAATGTAATTGTCCCCTAGAAATACACAGAACGTTTCCTTGGATGGTATAATTGAATAAAAAAAGTAAATATAAGAAATGTTTTTTTGAAAGATTTTAATTTTGGTACTGAAGAGATTTCAGTGGTTCGAGAACAGCTCGGCTCAAAGCGCATAAACTACAAATGCATTCAAACATGATCATATTTCCAAGAAAAAAATTTTTGCGAGACCTCATGAAAAGCTCGGAAGATTTGAAATATTCTTTTTGCAGATATGATCATCATCTCGGAATTGAACAAATCTTCCATCAAACAATCAACGGAAAAATCGAAAAAATAGGTAAGGTTGAAAGTCGATTAAAGAAAAAAAGATATTTTTGAGCTATTTTATTCTGTTCCCGATTCATTTAATTTTAGGCAGCTATGAACTGAAAATAGGAGATTTCAAAAAAACGATGAATTCTTCTGGGAAAATTTCAAAATATGTTAACTAACTGAAAGGAACTCCTATTGAAAAGCTTTGTTATCTTCAAATTGATAGGAAAAATCCCTTATTTCTTTTACCTCGTCGCCAGGAAAAGTTTTGCCGCCAAAAGATCCAGTCGAGCCGTACTGTTTGATCTGGTTCAAGGCATATGCGTTTTGCACTGGCGAGCTAAAAAAAACCGACTTATTCTTGAGTACCCGAAATTCAACGCTGTAGGGCTGAGTCTACAATTTGTTTGGTTTTATTCCTGAATCACATTTTTGTGAGAATAACCACCGGGAAGGCCAAACTCCTTCCAATTTTTCCTAATAGTTGTAGTATATAGTGCATTTTCATTTTTGATGAAGAATCGCTTTCAAAACTTTATATTATGCATACGGGTCGTAGCTTTTAAATTATCGCTATGAATTCATTTTTTTTCGATCTCATCAATTTATGAAAGTTTGATTTGATCTGTTGGAGTGAAGGTTATACTATATCAGAAAATTCTTTCTGGGTGGCAAATAACTGAGAGATCCATTATTTCTCGAAAAAAAACCGCCTACAGTTTAAAAAAATCAGAGATAAATCAAATTTTAAGAGGGTGTCAGAAGCATGACCTCATCTTAAAGTTTGGTTTTGTATCACAAAAATATTTGCTTGATAGATGGATATTCATTAAGTATCATAACTCATGAATTGATGATCAGAATTTACTACGGGCCAGTAAAATATTTCACAAATTCCAATCGTTAACTTTACTTACCGTGATAGATAGTCGACAAAGTTGTCGCTCATTGGACCATACTCGGTAGCTTGGACCAGAGATAGCAGGGCGAGAGTCAGGTAGAGCTGGAGCAGTTGCATCCTACGGTAGCTTCTCCTGCTTCTCGCAGCGATTTTATACTAGCGACCGGCACATAAAAAAGGGCATGGCTCCGCCTGTCGTTTTTTCAAAACACAGTGATGAATAACTATGGGAAAGGATCTACCTCTTGACATGGTGTTTTGAAATGAATTTATTTGTTTGGCTAGAATGAATCAGAATTAAGACGATTATTTCCTGAAGTCACTTCCCTATGCTCCCTTATACACAGTTGTCAATAGGATTTGACGCGTTTAATTATGAACAAATTTGTTCATTTTTTACAGCAACGATGACCTTTTGAGAAAGGGGCGTCATGACGTAATTGTAGAGGATTAAAGTAATGAGAAACCTTCAGAAAAACTTGTTGTGTTCTTTTTCAACTAGAATCTCTTTAAAAAAGTTCAAAAAATCATTTGTTTCCCTCTAACGTCTCCATAAAATGTTTTTGAATAGGGTGTGATATAAATTTGTTCCTTCTAAGTTTTTGAATGTCTAGCTCTGTTTTTTTCTCAACTGCAGAAGTAATCAAACGGTAGAAAAACAATTTATTAAAAAGACATAAAATTCAAATTCTCAATTTGATTAAAAATATCTGGAAACTGTTTTGTTGGAGCAAATAAAGTCATAAAATGCGTAAATTTTTCGTAGCACAGAAAGGTACACGTGAGTTCCAGCACCATCATAGGCAAAGTTGGAGTTTCGCACGCTAATATACAGGTATCAAAGTGAAGGCACCAATTTATAACTACTGAAAAAAATGATTATATAAAAATGATTAAACAATGTAGAAAAAGGCAATATAATCGAATAAATGAACTCTTAGCATTTGAGAAACATGAAACAAAAAAGTGTTTGAGGTAATTCATTATTTTTGGCATAAGTACATTAAAAATAAGTTTTAGTCTCTTAAAGAGCGTTATTTTTTGGCCAAAGAAAAGTTTCTAATGGTATCGGAGAGCTGACGGACGTGGTGACCAATTTTTCCAGTTTTTGAGATTTCTTTCGATGGTTTCACAGCTTTTCCTTCCATTATCTCTCGAGCCAAACAAACGATGGCAGCTACGTCGTAAGCTGGGTAGTTCTAAAAATGACAATGTCTATTTCTCTTGTAGAATATAATTATGCGAACCTGCAATAGTCTCACACATTCAGCAAAATCTCCACAAAGCAGGTGATCTCGTTGCAGTTCTAGCATCGCCAGACAAACAAACGACAGCAACGAGAATCTGAATCATTTCCAATAATTTTGATTCATCGAGTCCAAGTTGTTTCAATGTTTTTATGAACTTTCCCACTCGGCACTTCCCGCAAAGCCGGCTAAGTATTCAGTCTTGACATCTAGAAGCTACATCCTCAAATAAAGACCAAACATAACACTGAGAAGCTTTTCTATTTTTTGTTTGTTGAAACCTCTGAAATGTTTCAGCAACAGAGGAAGATGTTAAGCTCTTCGAATCGGATTTCGCCGATAGTATACGGTGGTGGGAACTTTTCAATTTTCCAAGCGTGGTTTTTTTTTTGGTCTGCACTTATCGTTTTATGTGATACAAAGATTGTATTTATAGCAAAAAATGAGTTTGTAGGTTGATCTTTTTCTACCCTTCAGTCAAAAACACTTTGATTTTATTATATTATTTTTCCAGAGTTATTGTGAAAATTAGATGCACAACATGAGAGATATTTTATGTTCCAGACTTTCTTTGAACGGAAATAGCAAAAAAAAGATCACAAATCACGTCAACAATTTTCAAGCCTCCGCAAGAAAAAAAAATACTCCTTATTTTATAGCGCTATGAAATTGATTTTTCCGTTCTTTTTTTTTGTTTTAGTTCAAGTTCATCTACTACAAAAGTTTGAACTCGATCTACGATGTCAATTCTGAGTGGTTTCCTTCCTAGTGATAGAGAGAAATCTGCAGCTCGGCACCTGTTAGAATCCGAGAAAAGGCTGTCCCAAAGAGTGATCACATCAGGCAAAGGGAACTCTTGACTGAGAAGCAACGTGAACCATCGGAAGGCGTAGAACTGGAATTTTACTCTCTCAGGCTCCAATACATCACGTTTGGATTCAAATACCTGGGGTTTGATTGAAAGTCGCTCTGTGAGATGTTGATGGAGTTGATTATCGAAAGAAGCCAACATTGCATGAAAACTTGACATCATCGACTCTGAATAAGATAATAAATTCTCAAGATAATAATCTGACTTACCTATCCCACAAATGCTATTATCGAGAGTTTTGATGAAATTGTCTTTTACTTCGCTCATTAGTTGCTGCAAGCTCATAATCAATTGAAATATCACATTTTTTGGTCAAACCTGGAAGCAGAAGAAAGTATCAGCCTCTGCATGAGCCGCCCATTCAAGATCACTATCCGATGCAAAAACGTAATAGATTGGAGCTATCAGCTCGTTCATTCCCTAGAATTTTACAGATTGACTAATGACATTTGTTTTGATAATATACCTGTACGTACTGGACACCGGGATTCAGTTTGGCAAATATGAAAAGGATTCGTTCGACAACCTGCAAAATTTAATAAAAAATACTTTAGTGTACGTCATTTTTTTGTGCTCGCAGAACTTTCTCTGTTAGAAGCTCATGAGACATCTTGCTCCGTTCATTACACTTGAAGCTCTGATTCTCTTCAAACTGTTTCTCAAAACTCCCACACAAAAGAGAAATATAAATAAAAACATCAGAACGTTGACCTACAAGAAACTTTTAGCTCGGAATTGCTTGGGAGCAAAGTGGTCATAAAAAGTTGTAAGTGACCTTTATTTAGGAAAAGTTCAAAAGATTAAACCACCCTCAATTCGTTTTTTACATTAATTACGTTTTTTTTCCTAGATTTGTCCTTTTTAGAAAATAAAAAAACTGATTCTCAACTTGACAACATAAGGCAGCTTGAGTAACTTGAACTTCAAACTTAAAAAAAAAAGTAATCAGAAGCGTCGAATGAATTTTGAAGATTAAAATCTACTCATCCGTTTCGGAATGATCATTTCAAATAGATGATTGCGTTACAAATCCGAGGTTAAGGTGTGATAAAACTATGAAAAATCCTCACATACTTGCCAATGCTTCTATGTGGGTATATGATAATTTGCAAAAAAGCGTTCTTACTCACAAATTTATAGCATCCATGTTAGTTTGAACATCGAGGGACTCTGGGTAAACTATTTGAATTCATAAAGCATCAATGCACTTTTAAAACTAATTTCCTATCTTACAGTATGCCTTAATAAATTATTCCAAGAGATCAAGGTACAAAAAAAGATAGAATTTTCTCCGTCGTCTTAAAGATCATCTCGCTCTTTTCGACAAAAACAGATGATAAATACTAGAGATTTTTCTTATCATAACAATTGTATCCTTCGTTCCCGATCTCTACAGAACAGAAAAATGAAGAAAGGACAGCAAAAAATGAGATCGCATGTCATGGGAATTGTAGTCTCTTTTTTGCGTTCTGAGCCGCGGAATTTCAGGTACAACGTATATCGTAATCCTTTTCTTCAGATCTTGTGATTCTACGAAAATCACTCATTTTGTCCTGTCTTTTTTGTTTTCTTTTCGTAAGCAAAATCACCTGCCAATGAAGCTCGCTGGTGTTTTCTTCACTTTGTTCTTCTGGAAGGGGAGATTTCGCCTTTTGAACGCACTGAACCTTCTTGAATACTCGATTATCAGAGCATCAGACTCACACTTAATGCTCCGAATCTGTCAGTGCCGTACACTTGAGTCTCCAGTTCAGAGCCAACCACTCTCCGAGACAGAGGGAACTTCACAGCTTCTCTGAAACAAACTTGTTCATCATAATTAAACATTTATTCTTCAATCAATATTTCAGCGTTAACGTGAGAATAACTAATACAGTACTGGCCATAAAGGTATTTCAAGGTGGTTATTCGAGCATAACTTGTCTGAAAGTGGCTCAAATGATTTGAAACTTTGAACAAATTTTAAATAACTACGCAGTAACTTTTTCCCAGAAGAAGTACTCATTTGCTCGAGTGAAACCGGATTTGAGAGCAAAAAACCGAAAATCCTGAAAATGAAGATTTTTCTCTTGAGATTCGAAAAATCATATCTTCGAAGAAACTTCGATTTGAAATCAGAAACTTTTTTTCCCGGTAAAACAAGTCTTCGACTTTCCAAAAAACTTAATCAGCCCCCTATCAACCCGATAGTAAGAGCGTAGTGACTTTTTCTTTGGAAGGCCTTATTCGTTTTGACGCCTCGTCATTCAGATGGACTATACGAGGTCATTTTTTTGTTTGAGAACACCATGTTTCTTGTTAAAAAAACTTAAAAAAACACCCTCAAGAATAGTTTCACACCGTTTTTCCTCAGCTTTGTCACTATATCCTCTCTCCAGAACTCGCTTACTTCATTAGGTCTGATTTTGAAATCTCGGATTCAAACAGTTTTTCTGGACTTACGGGCATTCAAAGCAGTTTTTGTCTGATCAATCGCTTTTCAATCGTGAATTCGAAAATACATAATGGCCAAATTGCAGTCTCCCACTTCCTGAAGACTGCTAATTTTTTTGCTGAAGCATTAGTTTCACAAGATCAAAAACTTATTTTCCCATAAATTTTGAAGAAACGTTTTACAGTGCCTATTTTTGACCTGAGAGCTATAAAGAGGAGTTACAAATTTATCTAATAATCTTAAACGTTTAAAAATTAAAAAAAGGGGTTTTTTTATCATCTTTCACAAGATTTAGAGCCTTCTAAGCAACACTTGTTGAAATGAAGTTTTGAGAACTTTAAGAAACTCAGTATAACTCACTATATCTTTTGAGTAAGTAAGCGAAACACAGTGAGTCTTTTTTTATTTTTATTCATAAAGATTCTGAAAAAGCTTTGGAATCTGAAATAAGAAATTGAGAATGTTCTGATTTTGGAAAACGAGCAGAACCGCTCCAAATCAGAGGTTTCAAAATCAGACCTAGTGAAGTAAGCGAGTTCTGGAGAGAGGATATAGTGACAAAGCTGAAGAAAACGGTGTGAAACTATTCTTGAGGGTGTTTTTAAGTTTTTAACAAGAAACATGGTGTTCTCAAACATAAATGACCTCGTATAGTCCATCTGAATGACAAGGCGTCAAAACGAAAAAGGCCTTCCAAAGAAAAGTCACTACGCTCTTACTATCGGGTTGATAGGGGGCTGATTAAGTTTTTTGGAAAGTCGAAGACTTGTTTTACCGGGAAAAAAAGTTTCTGATTTCAAATCGAAGTTTCTTCGAAGATATGATTTTTCGAATCTCAAGAGAAAAATCTTCATTTTCACGATTTTCGGTTTTTTGCTCTCAAATCCGGTTTTACTTGAGCAAATGAGTTCTCCTTTTGGGAATTAGTTACTGCGTAGTTATTTAAAATTTGTTCAAAGTTTCAAATCATTTGAGCCACTTTCAGAGAAGTTATGCTCGAATAACCACTTTGAAATATCTTTATGGCCAGTACTGTACATCAACTTTCCAAAAAAAAACCTTCCATAAGGTTTTCAAAAAAATTTCAAACAGTTATTCTAATTTTCCCTCAAAAGTAGATGAAACCAATTTTGTTTATGAATACTTTTCTCAATTGTCTGTTTGGAGCTTCGTAATAAGCACTTAGACTTCCGTCTACCGTAAGCCGACCAAACTTTATTTGAAATTAGAGCCTCCAGCTTGTAATCATTTCTAAAAATGTGATAAGGGATGCACTTTTCAACAAGAAAGTCAAACATGACGTTTAATAGTGCAAAAACTCGTACAGTTTATAAAAATATCTTATCAACGAACTGATAAAGCAACCTTCCTTTTCAACTCATGTGATAAAAAAAACAATTACTGTAATGATCCAAAATAAATTGGGATTTTGTTAAAATTAGATGGAACATTTCACAGTAAAAAAACGACAGTTGAGCACTTCACTTTTAATAAACTTCTCTCAAGATCACTTAGGCGTAAACTTGACTGCTTCAAATTTTAAAAAATTGAACTGTCATTCTGATTTGAAGCAAAGAGACACATCATTATTACTACTATTTTCAGATGCTCCTGTTGGAAAAAGAATAGCAGTGGTGAAATCTTTTCAATTTTATATTTCAGCGGATTTCGCAAAACTGGGTTACTGTAGCTTTGCTGAATTTCCAGCTCTCTTCACTTAAAAAATTAAAAGCGATTGCTCTTGCGAATATGAGGCTTTTAGAAAAACTTGAATATATTGTTACTCGAAAAGAAGTATTAGACTTTCCAAAATTGATTATTCAAAAATGAGCAAGTGAAAGATATAAGAACAACCTGATAGTTGTATTTATCATGAAGAAAGGAGTATCCAAATGATATAATCTCTTTCTGCGAACAAACTGGCCACTCACCTGTGTGGGAACTTGGTGAAGATCTGAAAAAACTGTATCTCCGGGTACAGTCTACGAACATCTTTGTCGATTTGTGCGAGAATGCGATTGTCCTTCAGTAAGAAGAATGAGCAAAAATCAAAAAATATTCAAACCTGAAAGTACACATTCCAATCGCTTGCCGGACTGTCGGAAAGCGGCTAAAAAATTTAGGGTAAAAAAATTCCAGAAAAACTCACATGATCGTTTTGAACTGCCGCAGATTTATCTCCCACGACAAATTGCTCAACCAGCAAGTCATAGTTTTTCCGTTGTTGCTGCAAAAATCGCCAATTGATTGGAACTGAAACTGTCTCACCATAGAATGAGAAACCCATTTATGTCTTTCCAAAGGCAAAAAGTTGAGAAGAAGCCTCCAGGCGAGCGGTCGCAGCTGTTCCGGAACGCCTGAAATACGTTGGATAGAAGTTTCTTGCACAAAGGGAAAGCGGCGAAATTTTTTTGTTTAAATTAATTTAATCAACTTATTGAATAAAAAAATACTTCATCGCTTTCCTACTCAGCAAATTTTTTTCTGTTTATTTCTTTCAGTTGTTTTTAAACTTTAGAGCTATATCCAACTTGGCACTTTAAAAAAAGTAATTGATAAACTTTTTTTAGACTAGGAACTTGCCCAAAAAAATGAAAAATTCTCATTGATACTCGAATTATTTATTCAAATGACAATTTGATTTCCCAATCTTTCTGGGAAGTTTTCCCAAAAAATCCTCCCAACCACTTACCGTAGCTGCAGCCGGCTCGCAGCTCCGCAATGTCAATCTTTTTGTTTTCGATGAGTAAGACTTGCTCGATTTTGGCCAGCCTTAAAACCAATTGTATTTTGATCTTTCCACAATTCAGAGAAAACCTTTCCAAGTAACGGCTGCTCATGGTTGCGTCACTGCAAGGAGCTATTCAATTATTACTTCCGCATTTTTTCTTAAATAAAAGGGGTTTGAAACCTTTCGCAATATCTGATTATAAAAAGAAGTTAACCAATAAATTATTTATTCCCCATCAACTCAAAGGATACATATGAAAAAAATAATGGCCCTGAAAATAAGAAAAAAATCTTTGATCTTTTTTTCGAAAAAAATGTACACGCAAAGTCAATATTGCAGACTAGGATAGATAAAGAACTTTTTTTGAGAACAAATGTTGAAGTAAAAACTATTGAGAACATGTGGAATTTGAAATTGACAACAGCAAAACGAAAAAAAGGAGTGGATGCCCAAAAAAATTATAAAAAAATTATTGAAAAATAAATAATCCAGAAAAATAAATGATCAAAAAGCAATCAATAAAAAAAAATCATTTTTGAGGGAAAATCTGAATTCGTCATATCAAATTCAACTTTTAGGGTACCAAAGTAGAGAGCATTCTGTTTGGAAAGGTGAGCTGAGCCGTTCCTGTGATATCACAGTCAATTCGAAGCAGCGAGTACTGAAAACAAAGATTTTTCACTGGAAAAAGGTTCATCTTAACCTCATCCAAATGAGTTCCGTTAAAAGGAAAAGCTGGCAGAATCAGCGAAATTTTGGGCATTGCGTTGTCTTTGGTCTTCAAAGCAGGGAGCAGCACGTAATCCTGAAAGACAAAAAATTTTATGACATTAAAACAGCGGCGGAACTTGAAAAAATGTGTTTAACAATTCTGAAAAAAATTGGCGATTGTTGGTAAAAATTCCCTTTATTGCATAAAGGTTTTTATTACTGCCAAAATCCGAAAACAAAAAAAACTCAAACCTTCAAAGTCATCAGGTAAAGCGTGTCTCGCTTTTGTCGCAGCGATTTCGCCAATTTAGCAATTTGGTCTTTTTTCCTGAAGCCGCTCAACTCGATGTTTGACTTCGATTGAGTGTTCCTGAAAAGAAAAAATTACTTCTGAGATATCTATAAATCATACAAATCAAGCATTTCCAACTGTTTCCAAGTTCGCGCCCGTGATCGAAAAACGGCTTTCTCGGTACGGCTGAAAAGCAGTTTTTGTACTATTTTAGTCATACTTTGCTTTACCTCTTTACGTTATTAGGTTTCGTAGCTTCTGGAGCTGGCGTCAAGTAACTCTGTAATAAAATGATGAGTGAGCATTAGCGCGTTTCCTAATCACATTTGCGTAGAACTCGTTGATGGCCTCTTCAGAAGACAAGCCATGTTTTGGGCGCAATCCTCCGAAAGAATGTTTCTTGATCCATATGTCGATGTCGTTAGTCACTCTTAAAGATTTACTGTTTCTCATCAAAGTTAAAAGTTGAGTAACCTCCGAGCTTCTGTGGCATTGAGCTTGGAAGTGCAGGAAGGAGCATTCGACGCATTTTTTGCGCTTTGAATCTCATAAGCGTCCTGAATTTGGTTTGACCAGTGGTCAGCCGCAGATCGATACCTTAGAGGGGTACACTTCCAGCGGGAGGACGCGGCCGCGGTGAACGATGGAGCCGTTCCTTGTAGCGTTGGACGCCGGAATAATGGATGACTTCGATATCTCACTGGAAAAAACATTTTGTTCTACGATCTTCTATTATTTAAGTGACAAAGCGAGAAAAAAAGGTAAAAAAGTTATAAACAAAACAAATCGGTGAAGCTCAGTTGCATTTTTTGATTTAGTTGACGAAAAAAAAATTTTGAATAACTTTCTGAATTGGAAATGCAATAGTTGGATTGATTCAATTTTTTTTACAAGAAAAATAATGAATAAAGTTTACAACTCGTGAAAAATTTTTAGCGTATTGCCTTCTACTATCTTCTCGAATAAAAAAATAGAGTGAGTTCTAAATTTTAAGTTTGAAAAATGGAATATTTGCTACAGGAACTTATATAAAGAAAAGGGCGCGCCGTAGCGCAACAGGTTGTGTGCCTGTCTACGGTCCACAGGGTCACAAGTTCGATCCCCGCCCCGACCCAACCAAGGGGTTTAAGAAATGTTGGTAGTGGGAAACCACGGCTTCATAATCCCCAGCCGTCACACACAAGGACGGATATGTCACTCGAGTCAGTCCACTGATTATCAATTACATCAGGATAGGACCACGGCTAATCGACTTGGGGCGCCGACGACGCTCAAGTGGTACAAAGGCGTAATAAGAAGAAGAAGAAGAAGAATTTATATAAAAAAAAATTTGAAAAAAAGGTATGAAAAAAAAAGAAAACTGACAGCGCCGCTGGGCTAAACGGGTTGACGATTGCGATTATGCCAAAAGCCATCAACATTGATCCGGCAGCAACAATCTTCGGCCTGATTCTAAATGGCTGGTTTGGAAATACACGATGCAGAACTGTCGGTTTCGAAGGCAGATGTTCCTAAACAATTGCTTTACAAAAACAAGATGAAATCTTGACTGACTCCTTCATAAACTGCTAGTCGCTCTCGGAGTTGTCTGTTTTCTTCTTTCAGAGAGTTGTTTTCTTGTTGCAAAATTTCGAGATCTCTTTTCAAAGTGTCGACTTCCTAAATATAACGCGAAATAAAGCCGTTTTATTTTGAAAATAAACCTGTTTTTTTCTGATTCGCGAAGCCTGAGCGCTCATTCTGTTTCTCATTTTCCGATTCTCATCTGCAGAGTAGAGCTAAAAAAAAGTAACATTTATCAAAAACTGAACATTTAGGGCTACTAAATCTTCCCGACGAATGAAAGGTATTGGCTCAGGACGAGAGGCAATCGTATAAATTTTCCTTCCATTGTTTGAGGCGATTTGCTTGCATTCCTGCAAAATAGAATTTTTGGTGATTTTCCATGCAATAAAACCACAATGTTTTGAACGACGGGTCTTGGTTGAATAGGGGTCAAAGGTGGCGAAGTTGAACATTGAGGCTCCTGCACGAACAAAGTTTCCTGTTCATAAACGCAGTCCGAGAAAGCACTCTGAAAAATGTTAAAACCAATGCAAAAAAATTCAAAAAAAAAAACCTGAGCATTAAAGTCCCACTGCTCTGCGTCGTTGACACAACTTAATGGAGGCGAGCTGTCGGAAGACTCGGAACTTGCCGCTGAAATGTTCGTCAGTTCAATAGAAAAATTTGTAAAAGTTACCAGGCATTGTTGAACACGGGCTGTCTTGGAAACCTTCCAAGCCAAACAAATACTCCTAAAAAAAGTGAAGCTCTACCAAAATTTTCTATAATAACGTACATCGATATCAATATCCTGGAGTTGAGGAAACGTTTGAAATGGCACAAAATCATCAAAAGAGTCATTCGAATTTGTCTGGAGCGTTTCGAGCTCCATTATTACCCTGAAAATTATTTAACCGTTAAGAGAGAAAAAGGCGAAAAGCCAGGCTACGGAAAGGAGAAATGCAAAGTGTTTGATGGCAGAGCCGGTGTACGTATTTGTTTAGTTGTGGGCAGCGGGGTCGCGTGTGTCCACGCTGACCTGAGGTTTGTGCGCTCCGTCGTACTTTTGCAGCGGATCTGGTACTATTTCCCTCCTTACTTTGTACTAGTTTTTTTAACATTGAAAATCTGGTTTTTTAATCAGTTTTCATGAAATTGAATAAAGATCACTGCATACAACTGGAATCATTTAAAATTCTCGATATTTTTTTGAAAATTATTCTCGAAAATTTGAATTGTGAAATTTCAAAAAAACTTTTTTTGTAGATTGAAGGCTTAATTTTCCAGCCGTGTGATTTTGAGATAAATAAAAACAGGAATTTTAAATCCAATAACCTTCAATTATGTGTTTTTTCCCAAAAGGTTATCCGGTGCTTAGAATTAAGCTATACTTAAAGCTGTTTCCAGTAGTCTTTTGAGAAGTTGTCATGTCAACCGCTTGCTGGGATACAGGTGCATATTAGCTTCAACGTCAAGTATGGCATTTCAAAGTTGCAGAAAATAAGAAAACTGGTTATCTTAAATTCATTTCTCTTTTGAGCGGCTTCTCTTCGGTGATGGTAAACTCAACCAAACTCTACGGCGGTGTGCCCGGCAGCGATATATTGGATGATATTTTCAATTTATCACCTAAATTTGTTCTCATATCGTTTCTCCCTTATGTAATGCTGTTGGTATTTTTCTATACTGCTCGAAAAACTGACAACAGGGTTTGTTTTCTAAAAATTTTCCGAGAAAAAAATGCGATATTTCACGTAAATGGCTTCAATAATCTCCATCACGAAAAATTTCTCTTTAAGAAAATCCAGATATACCGTTTAATAACATTATGTAACTAATTTTTTTATGAAAATTGTTTGAACCGCATATCGGAGTTAATAAAGGAAATTTTGTTGCTAACGCTATAGCAAACTTAACTTGTGAAATCATTATATTGGTCAAAGCTGAACCAGAAAAAAAACAAAAGAAGTCCCTTAATAGAAAAAAATAAAAGTCATTTTGTACAACCTGGTTGTGCGCCTTTAAAATTCTTGGAGAGCAAATTATAAAAGGTTTCAGACAGAAAAAAAAGCTGATGACGGAAAACATTAATAAAAAGCAAAGAGAAATTACTTTACTTAGCTGTTGTTTTGACGAACGAACGTTCCTTCTAGTATTGGTATGAGTAGATTTTCACACTTCTGTGGTATTTCAACTTTTGAGCCGTTGAATTATAGCAGATTCACGGTTGGCTTGAGCCACCGAGAAAAGGGTCCTGCCACGAAAAGAGACGAGACAGTGCCCTGGTTGGTGGAGAGGGCAGACAGGCCACGCCTTTTTGCGTTCCAAGCTAGCCGTGAATTGTCTATATGAACTTGTCAAAACGCAACTGAATGGACTGTGTGCATAATAAAAAGGACGAGCGGTTTTTTGATTGAGTGAATATTTTTATTCAAAGTTTTTTTTTACTTCGTTCATTGAAGTAGCAGGCATATTTGCAGCAACCACACTATCCGATTCACCTGCACCTTGTCGTCGGAGGTTGGCTGATTTTTGTTTCCACTCTCTTCATATGGTTCGGATTCATCCTCGTGAAACATTCAAGCGACCTGGTTCAAAAGAAAATTGCAGGAACTAAATGGATATACAACTTTCTTTTTGATGGTTAGTTATTTTGATTTCAGAGTTCAAATGAAGAACCGAGTTTGAAAGATTTAAATTTTTTCATAATCAGCTTCTTGTAAACGTGTCAACAGTTTAAGTGGCAACTGGAGAACACCTACCTTCTTATCAACTTGAAAAGAACTCCGAAAAACTTGACAAAAAAATAAGTATTGAAGAGGAACAAAAATCAGTTATAAAAATTAAATCTTTCTGAATCCTGAAAAAAACAGCTGGTGTTCTTGGTTTTTAAATTTTTTTCAAAAATCAGAAGCGAATATTTTGTTTTTTTATTTTTTTGCCATTTTGATTCTTTTTAATGTCTAAAATCAAAGTTTTCAAGCGTTGTCAACGACTTCCATTTTTCATCGCCTTGTCATACTCGACAATGGTGACTCTTCTCCTGCTGCTCAGTGCCATTCAACGTTTAGTTCTTTTCGAAAATGCCATGTATTATATGCAGCTGTTCACGGGGTAGTTTCAAAGTAATCACAAATAGTGAACAAAAAACTGTTAAGACGCCGGCTGAGAGGGAATATGTGGTTGTGCTGGTTTTTGTCGTTCATAGTAACATTCCAAATATACGACCGTCACTTTATCATTGTTTGTGTGAGTTTTGCTAATTTGATTACTAATAAGTCGATTCCCAGTCTGAAATGGCTTTGAACACATTTTCAATGCTTGTATTCCTCGTTGTGTCCATCCGAGTCAAATTCATCCGCAAAAAGGTTTCGTTCCATAGTCATAACGTCGTCATTCTTCAAACTTTTCCAGTTTTGCTCATCCACTCGGTGAGTATGAATGATTTAATTTCAGATGACAGCAAGTTTTATTTAAAAGTTTGCATTTAATTTCGAAATACCACCAGTAAAAGTGAAAAAATAGATCACTGAAAAAAAACTTTGTCAAATCTCATCGAGTCCATTCAAATATTGTGTCAAATTATTTTTTTTCATTCAGACACTGACAGTTTCGATCGGAAAAAAGAGAATGTGCGATTTGATGTAAAGATGTTTTCATTTTTCTCACTCACCCTAATTTCAAGGCAGCTTTTTTTCATTTGGAATCAGTAGTTTAACCTTGACACAACTGGAAATTTTATTGTAAGCAAGCTATCAATTCAATGCAAAATATTTTCAGATTTTCAACGCGACCATTTTGTTTTTAACGATAAAAACTGATTTCAAAGTGCCTAAACTTTTATATTTCGCCTTATTGAATGCATGGATTATGGCTGTAGTGACTCCCATATTTTTGATATTGGGAAATGCGGCAAAAAGAAGAATCACATACGCAATAATCACGTGTCGGTGGAGCGAACAATACGGAAGAGGAGAGCTATACGCTTCGGAAGCGCCGGCAACATGCAACGCCGTCAGTCTGGCTAGCACTCCCACAAGATTTTGAATCAGGAAAAAACCGTTATCACAGATGAAAACTTGTATTCAAAGTTCAGACAGTATGCAAGTGAAATTGTGTTGCATGTCATAATTTATCCCAAGTATCTCCCTGCAGGTACTAATATATTTAAGTTTTTTTCACTGCAAAGATTATTATTCTCTCAGTTATATGAACACAAAACCATCTTTAAAAAAATTTTTCATCACCCAAAAACCTTGTTTCAAAAACTTTTCTTGTTTGATGTGCTTTGAAATGGAAATAAAAAAACTTGAAATTACTTTTTCGAAAAATCCACATTACAAAAGAAAAACTCGGATCTCATTAACGGTGGGAAAAGAGGCTGGGAGCATCGAGTCTTTAAATTTCTGTTCTTCCTATTTTTTCCAATTGCGGCCTCTTTTCAATGAATGAATTCGCTGTCAGAAAAGCTATTTCAAAAACATTATTTTCGGAAGAATTCTTATTATCCTTGTTTTCTGAGATTTTTAGGAGAAGCAATGAAGTTTTGAAAAAAAAAATTTCCGCGTTTTTCAAAACAGAAAATAGCTACGCCTTTTAGTCATTTTTATTCTGTGGTGAAGCTTAGATGACCTTCTGGTCAATCTTGTTCAGCTAACTAAAAAAATCAAAAAGAACAGCAAAAGTTTCTGTCACAAACATTTGGCAAAATTTCTGATAGAAAGAAAGAGTAGTAATGCTTATGTTAGAACTTCCATTCATAAACTAATTTTTTTGCCCAACAGATTTCGAAATTTTAAAACTTTTTTTTTGAAAATTATTGAGTAATCCTCAAAACTATCACCATCTCTGCGACGAACATTTATTTGCCTTCACCATAACAACGTCATCTAAATGAATTTTCTACCAGTCAAACTAATTGCTGAGCGAGAAGTAAGAAAAGTTAGGGTGCAGTCGACAAATTTATTTGAACATGTATTTATCCACTATCTACTTTTGCTCGTTGGACGCGCGGGTTCGGCTTCGGATGCGGACGAGGCACTGCTCAGCGGAGTCGGCACGTTCTTCCGCCGTTTCCAGCGAGAGTTGCACCGTTCGGTACTTGCTCAGGTGATGGTTGGCTTGTTCTTCCTGGAAAATCCATAAAATTTGTACTCTTCTTCTGTATTCTACTCACGGCTTCATCAAGTTGCTTTTTCTGGAGCTTGAGCTTGGCGGTGAGCTTTTCTACCAGTTCTTGGAGCTTGTCGTAGTTCTTCTTGTCCTCAGCAACTTGGAATTCGAGCTCGCGGACCTTCCTGTCTGCTCGGGCTTGGCTTTTACTCGCTTCACCAGCGCGGCGGGATTCCGTCTCGAGGTCGGATTGGAGGGATTTGAGGCGTTGTTCAGCCTTTTGGACAGCCTTGGCTCCGCCTTTCATGACGGCAGCTTCAGCAGCGTCGGCGCGTTCTTGGAGATCCTGTACAATAAATTCATTTTATGAGTCATTTTTTTTAGATGACACCTTGACGGCGCTCTCAAGCTGCTTCTTGAAACGCTCAATCTGTTGGGAATGCTCTTGTTCATGACGGAGATCTTCGGCAAGCCTGAATTTATCAGTGAAGATTTATCCAAAATTTTCTCTAACTTGGCAGCATCAGCAGCGGCACGTCGGCCACGTTCCTCAGAGGCGGCAAGTTCGGCATGAGCCTCGCTGATGTCGCTCTTGAGCAAAGCAATTTCGTTGTCCAATTGGTTCTTGGCGGTGGCCAGAGCAACGTTTTGGGAGTTGAGCTCGTTGTTCTGCTCCTGGTGTTCTTTGACAGAAGCCTCAACAACACGTCGAGCTCTTTCAATCTGAAATAAATCTTCCAAAAGGAAATGAATAATTGTTTTACAGCTTCAAGCTTGACGATGAGCTCTTCCTGCTCCTGCTTAGCAACGGCCAACTTGCGCTCGGCAGCCAACAAGTGCTCTCGGAATTCTTCGCGACGCTTCTGTTCATCATCAACAGTTTGTTGCAATTCTCGGATCTGGTCCAAGTAGCGTCTAAAATTTATAGTTTTCACAGTTTGACTGTCTCCAGGCTACCTGATGTTCTTTTGCGCATCTTCGTTCGCTTTGTTCGCGTGGTCGAGGGCAATCTCCAGTTCGTTGATGTCAGCCTCCAGCTTCTTCTTGACACGGAAGAGCTCAGACTTGGCCTTCGTTTCCGAATCAAGAGTAGCCTGGAAAAATTGAAATTTATCAATATTCGACAATTAAGTATTCTCACCTGGATGCTGTCGATGGTTTGCTGGTGGACCTTGCGATGGTTCTCAAACTCTTCCTCCTTCTCAGCAATGCGCTTCTCGATCTCGGCGCGGATCTGCGAGACTTCGATCTGGCAACGGAGAGCCTTGCTTTCTTCCGATTCAAGGGCAGCCTCAGCTTCATCGAGGCCTCTCTGGAGTTCTTCCTTCTCCATCTCCAAACGACGAAGATTCTTGGAAAGCGCGTGCGTGGCACGGCCTCCTTCTCCAAGCTGCTCGGTAAGGTCGCGGACCTCATCGGAGAGCGACTTGTTCTCACGACGGAGTCCTTCGACCTGGTCAGAGAGGGCGTCGTGCTGTCCGCGAAGCTTGTGCGCTTCAGCAGAAAGCTGACGCGAGTCACGCTGCGAGCCATCGAGTTCCAGGTAGAGGTCGTCGACCTTCTTCTTCCATTCGTCAATGACCTTGTCGAAGGCCTTCTGCTTCTTCTCCAGAGAGGAAACAGCTTGGGCATGGTGTTCAGCCTCGAGTCTGTTGGCATCAGCCTCGGCAGTCAACCTGGATTATCCGTTTATCGTTTTTCTGTTTGCTAAACACTAACCGGCCGCGCGCATTCTCAAGGGCGACGATCTTGGCGTTGCAGGCATCGAGAGCGTCTTGGATCTCGGAGGTCTTTTGGTTCTGGCGCTTCTTGACCTGAAAACGTGAACTTTGGTTACTGTACCAAAAGTCAAACAATTTACCTCATCAAACTCATCGGCTCCGATAAGACCTTCGGTTTCAAACTTGGTTCTCCATTGTTCAAGCTCAACGGTGGCCTTTGTGAGCTGACGGTTGCATTCGTTTTTGCCAGCAACTTCGTCTTCGATAGACTCCTTGAGCTGCTCCAGCTCGCGAGCCAGATTCTTCGACAAGTTGGAGAGGTTTTGGCGTTCACGGCTTTCTTCCTCAGCAAGTCTCTTGGTCTGGTCAAGTTCATTGGAGAACTGAAGGCGAAGGCGGTTGGCAGCTTGGATCTTGGTTTCAAGTTCTTCGACCTGAAATTATCCTCTGTGGAGTGTTTGTAGGAAGAAGATTACAATTTAAAGATTTTTTTCATTTTTTCAATACAAAATGAATAGTAAAAACTATATTCCTTCCTCTTCCAAACAAAGTAATCATATTTGAAAACTTCAAAACCCGGTTTTTGTTTGATTTACCTGGCGAGAGAGGTCAGAGTTGTCGGAATGAAGGCGTCCTTTGGAGGAGACAAAGTCTTGGAGCTGACGGCTCTGTTCGTCAGCCTTCAAACGGAGTTCAAGAAGTCGGACTTCGTGGGACTTGGCAATGCGTTCTTGGTCAGCACGAGCCTTGGCCTCCTGGTCGAGAGCGGCCGAAGATTCATCAAACTCGCGCTGAGAAATGAAACTATCATAGTAATCTCAAGTTTCCATACCTGCATCTGAGACTTCTCTTTCTCGGCACGAGCCTTCTGCTTTTGCAGTTGCTCAACTTGGTCAGAGAGTTCTTGAATGGCATCAGTTCCCTTCTTCTTGAGCAAAGTGAGCTGCTCTCCGAACTTGAGGCCAGCCTCTTCCAGGTCACGCCGGAGCTTAGCGAGTTCGGCGTCTTTCTTCTTGCCGAGTTCGATTTGAGCTGCCGTAGCACGAACTTGGTCTTCAAGTTGCTCCGTGAGCTCATCGTACTCAGCCTGTTGGTCGGCGCTGAAAAATAATCTCCTCAAAATTTGTCTCAAATGGTTTTGTTTTGAAATGGAAAACATTTTATTTCCAATATTTGCTTTGTCACTAAAACCGCATTTTTTTTTTGCTTGGGAACAACTTGATTCACGCAGTCACCCGAAAATTTCCGGGACAAACAAATGAAACTGCTTCATAAACGAACCGAGCACGATCGGCACGCTGACGAGCGTCTTTCTCGTCGGCGAGTTGATCATTGAGGTCTTTCATGCGAGCTTCATCCTGCTGGATGCTCTTCTGGAGCTTGGCGACGGCGGCTTGCTCGTCTTCAAGCTTCATTCCCAAGTTGTGGAGTTCAGTCTCCTTGCGACGCAGAGCATTTTCAGCATCGCTCTTCGACTTGTTGAGCTCCTCCAAGGTCTCCTGGGCGATCTTGAGTTCACCTTCAGCCTTTCTCTTGGCCTTGTCCATGTCGGCGCGGCTGCGCTTTTCACGTTCCATCGATTGCTCAGAATCTTCCAAAGACTGCATGAGCTTAGCCTTGAGTTTGTTGGCAGCAAGGTTTTGCTCTTCAGCAGCTTGCAAGTCTTCAGTGAGCTTCCTGAAAACAAGTGTTTCATTTTCATAAGAGCAGTCACTGCTCACTTGTTGGCTTCTTCTTGGTTCTTGCGTTCCTTATTAAGCTTGGCGATGTTCTCGTCCTGTTGTCTCATTTCGTCTTGCAGAGCGCGGATTTGGTGTTCCTTGGCATTCTTTTCTGCCTCAACCTTGCGGAGAGACAAATCGACGTCCTAGAATTTTCAATGTTCAAAGTTTTTTTTTTGCTAGTTACCTGGCAGTTCTTCTTGAGTTCAGCGCACTCAGCTTCAACCTGCTTCTTTTGCTTCAGGATCTGTAAACTATGATCTCGAAAATTTCTCAGTTTAACGATTTACCTCGACAGATCGAGCTTCCTCGGCTTCAAGACGCTTGTTGGCTTCAGTGAGCTTGCCTTCAAGAGCGGCCTTCTGCTCGTTGATGGAGGCCATACGCTCTTCGACTTCGCGGTTGCTTCCCTTGGTGGCTTCGAGTTGAGCCAAGAGGTCGGCGGTCTCCTTATTGAGACGCTCGGATCCTTCGGACAGCTGCTTCTTCTTCTCTTCCTAGGGAGAGAAAAGTTTTTATTCTGGAAATCTTCTTGTTTTTTCAAACTTCCTGCTCCAAGGTAGCCTTGAGCGTGGCAACAGTCTCTTGCAACTTCTCGTACTGAGCTTCGATCTTTCCGGAGTTGACGAGCGGCTTGACTTTGCCGTACAGTTTGAACCACACCCAGGTGCGGAGCTGAGACCAGCTGCGGACGTTGCGCTGGATGACCTTGAGAGCTTCGATTTTCTCAACGCGACGCTTGCGCTCAATCTGTGATTTTTTTCTGTGAAATCAGTTCCCAGCTGTGAGTAATACCAGCTGGTAGAACCATCTGATTTGAGCCTGGAAACCGGTGATGAGTTCGGCCAAGCGGGCATCACGCAAGTCTTCCAAGTGAGCAACGATACCGGCCTAGAGTTGATTCTTAAAGCGTTTCCGGTCGGTAGTGAACTACTTACCTTGAAGAAGACCTTGGTGAGTCCGACACGGAAGTTCTCATCTGTCAGTTTCTTCTCCTTGACAAGTCGCGCCAGCATAGCAGCGGCTCCCTTTTTAGGATCTTCCTTGCCAGTCAAAGCTTCATCGGCAGCCAGGATAGCATAACGTTGGACGAAGTCGGGATGAAGAGTTCGATTGGGGAATCCTTTGCGGCAAATACGAATACCCTCGAGCACACCGTTGCACGTGAGCTGGTTGAGGACCAAGGCGGCGTCGATCATTCCAGACTGCTTCTTCTCGTTGGGGATGATGCAACGGATGAAGTGAGGGTGAGTCGCGTTGAGCATAGTCATGAGCTTGTTGAGCGACTCGCGGTACAACATGGAGACCGTCATGAACGATCCAGATTTTCCCTTCTTCTTTCCACCGGCGGCGCTCTTGGTGGCAGCAGCAGCTTCTTCCTGGGTGGTGTAGTCTTGCCAGACCTCGACCAACAAGCTGTTTTCCTTCGAGTTCTTCATCGTCTGAAAAAGGAATCTGTGTGCCTTTTTCTGATTTTCAAGATGTTTACCTGAACAACGGTGTCGTTGAGAGGGTCCTTGTTCTTCTCGAGCCAGTTCATGACGTTGTATCGGACAGTACCGGCGTAGTGCCGCATGGCGAAATGGGCTTCGGCCTGCTTGCCCTTTGGCGGCTTTGGCTTCTCGAAGTTAGGATGTTTGCCCAAGTGTTGTTCGATGAGCTTCTGGGCGAGAGTTTGGTCCGTAGCCTTGGGGACAATGCATTCTTCGTCAAGCATGGAGATGATACCAAGAGGCTGGAATCAAAGCAAGCTAATTGTTCTGTCTTTTCAGATTTCAGTTACCTTCTCAATCAGTTCAATACAAGCTTGGAGATCAAGTCCGAAATCGATAAACACCCATTCGATTCCTGAAAGCTTGTAATATTTACTTAGGCCAAGATGAAGATAGAAAAAACCTTCGCGAGCGTACTCCTCCTGTTCTAAGACAAACATATGGTGGTTGAAGAACTGTTGGAGTTTCTCGTTGACGAAGTTGATCCACAACTGTTCGAAGGAGTTGAACTAAATTTTTTTAGAATTTTTTAGTGCTGAAGATAGTTATTCGAACGTCGAAGATTTCGAAACCGGCGATGTCGAGCACACCAATGAAGTGGTCACGGTCAATACCCTTCTGATCAAGAGTTTGGTTACACTTCTTGACGAGCCAGTTGAAGATGCGAGAGTACAAGCCCTTGGCCATGGCTCCGACGGCCCAGTTGACCTTCAAGTTTCAGTTTTTTTTTAAATAACTTTTATTATTTTCAATTACCTGCTCGACGTTCTGTCCTTTGTTGACCCATTCGTTTCCGACCTTCACACGGGGTCGGGTGAGAGCTTTCAGGAATTCCTCAGTATCAATACCGTACTGCTTGGCGGCGCGTTCAGCATCTGAATGCTTCATTCGTGAAAGATTTTGAGAAAAGTTTTACCGTCAGTTCCGTCGGTTTCAGCTTGCTCTTCACGTGGGCGTTGCTTGAACTTCATGTTACCCATGTGCATCATAGCGGCCACAAGACGGTAGCATTCCATCTTTTCTTGAGGCGTGAACTTGAGGATGTCGAAGGCCTCATCGGTCAGCTGGTGTTCTTCCTGAACTTTCAGAACCCATGTCAAGTTTCTCATTTTCTAGTCAACCTTATCGTTCACACCGTCGATGGACAGCTCGGCTTGAGCGACGAACCAGTAGTCCTTGAGCGGTTTGTCCAACATCAGGTCCTTCTTCAAGGTAGGCACGAAGTCGGAGAAGACTTGGTAGAAGATGTGGTAGCAACGCTCTCCTGGCGCCTGACGGATCACACGAGATTTTTCGAGCAAGTCTAGAATCATATTTTTCGTTTTGTTTTGATGTCCTTCTAGGCTTACAGTGCTCAATGTCGCAAGAAGCGACGCGACCTTGCTTGCTGAAGTGAATTCGGATGAACTTTCCGAAACGCGAAGAGTTGTTGTTACGAACAGTCTTGGCGTTACCTAATGAGAATTTGGATCAATTGCTTTTGAGCTTTTCAAACCGAAAGCTTCGAGAACGGGGTTGGTCTGGACGATCTGGTCTTCGAGGGTGACCTTCTTCTTTTTCGGGTCGACGTCTTCCTTCTTGCCGTACGTCTCCTGCTGCGAAGCACCGACGGCGGCGAAGTAGGCAATAACCTAAGAGCTTTCGGATGAGCGCATTTTAACTCTTGTCGGAAACCTTCTTGGTGTTTTCAGTCTTTCCGGCACCAGACTCTCCGGTGATAAGCATGGACTGGTTTTCGTGGTTCTGGAGCATGTTGCGGTAGGCTTCGTCAGAGACGGCGAACAAGTGAGGCGGCATCTCAGTACGACGCTTGCCCATGAACATGCGGGCTACGGAGTCGGTGTAGATCGGAAGTCGTTTGTAGGGATTGATCACCACGCAGAAAAGACCCGAGTATGTCTGGAAATTTCGATGTTTTGTCATCTTTAAGTTTTTGCTTTTGCTTACAAATCTTCTCAATTTTAGCCTTTTAATCGTAAATAGAATATTGGAACTGTGATATGATATATTTGTTGAAAAGAACCTATAGTTTTGAACAAAAGTCATAGTGATTGTGATCTGATTATTTTCTATAAAAAGAGATTTGAAATCAAAAAGGGAACTTTCAATTTTCGAATTACAATTTTTCTTGTTATCAAAGTCCCCGATACGTAGTGGAAAGATAATAAATCCAGTGAACCATCAATTTAGTAAGGAATTTTGAATTGCAAAAAAAGGAAATTGGACCTTTCATAATCTGGCCCAACATTTCTTTTTTGAGTTCTTTTGTTGACGTTTTTTTCGTAACTCGGATTCTTCGTATTTTTCCATTGGAAACAGTTCTTCTATCTCAAATCTCGAAGCTTTAGGCGGATATTGAGAGTTCACACAAGCGTAACTGTTTGCAGGTGTGTTTTAAAAACAAACACCGCACACTTATCTCAAGTGTCATTGCGCGCACTGCGGCTCTTCATGAAAAAAAGGTGAGCCCACTGCCCCCGCACTTCTTCAAATGAACTCTGGTTCAATTAGTAGATTGATAGAGATTTCACAAAATCTTCTCGAAACTGACGTAGATCAACATGGCGGCGTAGCGAGATCGCAAGTTAGCAAGAACGGAGGCGTCGTTAAGGAATGTCAAGTTGGACATGTCTTCAGTCTTTTCGAACTTCGGTGGGTTCATCTCCTGGACCTGGTCTTTCTTAAACTGCTTCTGAAATTTAAAACGCTGAGGATTGGTATGAGTTATGCAGAGATTGGACCTCACTGCCCGGTCCAACAGAGACGGTGACCGTGTCTCCGGAAGTTTTGGTGATGATACCTTCGATGTATCCTTCTTCCGCATCGGGGATCCACACATTCTTCTTCGAATCGTAAGGCCGGCTCTGGTCCTGTGAAAAAAAGAGAAAAATGAAGAGTTCAGTCGAGATTGCAGTGGCTCAACTTTGACTGTCAAAAGAAAACAACCCTGGCCTTATAGCACAAATCATCAGAAAGAGAAAAAGGAAAGACAATAGGAACCATGATACTTTCAGCTTAAAAAATTCTATAAAGAGAGTTGAACTTGTCGCACAATTATTTGCTGATCCCTCAGAAATATTTTGATCATAAGTTCAAAAAACTGTGAATGAACTTAAATTTTTCAGTTTTCAGAGTGAAATATTATCAAAAATAAAACTTGAACAGCTAAGTTTTGACTATTTTTCAAAATTTTAACTCAACTAACTCTAAACTAACCCTCTAGACCTGGAAATTGTCGGTTGAATGAGAATAAAACTATAACGAGTCCGACGCAAAGTATAAATTTAGTAGAAATACCACTTTGAGCAGAATCGGAGCAAACAGTCAAATTTTCAAAATGCAATACCGTAATAGAGAGATAGAGACAAACAGAAAATTTGTAACGCTGTGAAAATGCAGAACGTATAAATTAAACAGCTACTAAGACAGTCGAAACAGAATCTTCAAATGATATAATTATGAGGACAGTTTGTAAAAAGTGACAAAAAGGATACCTCGAGCATTTGCTCGCGAGAGCGGCGGAGGTACTGCCATCCGGGGTCATTTTCGTGATCCATTGCTTCTTGCTAAAGGACGAGGCCGCAGAACAAAAGCAGCAACCGCTCGATGGATAGGCGAGCCTGGAGATGAGCCGAAGATTCACGGCTCGAGGAGGCAGGGCAGCGGAGGATGGGAGGAGCCGGCCAATGAGTTTTCTTGGGATGGCGGTAGACGCATGTGAATGTGCAAATATCCGCGCTACGGCACACACACCCACTTACGTTGCGCCTGCGGATAAACAGAGAATCCAGAGCGATGAGTACGCCGCAAAGTGCTTCCTGCACTGTGGCTTTTGCTACTCTTCAAACTAACCACCACTTTATCTCTCCTTACCTTTTCGTCGCCACCGACGCAATCCTGGGGTCCTTCACATCGCGCCACACCGCTGACACCATTACAGTTCGGCGTCGGAGCAAAAAAAAAATTGGGGAGAGCAAATTTGATTTTTTTTTTTCTGTAAACCGATGGGTTTTCTGAAACAAGTGATACAAGCAAAAAAAAAATCAGCGGATCAACTGAAAAATGGACAGAATATAAACTTGAGTTTCAAAAGCTTAAAAAACGACGGATTTTTTGAGCAGGCTGCTTCATCTCAAAAATTTCATTCGACACCAAAAAAATTAAATATGTTTTTGAATAATAACCAGTTCACGATTGAAACGTATTTTTGCGAGGTTTCAGAAAATGCGTGGTTCAAAAAGTAAATATGAGTTTTGAACTTTTTATAATCTGACACAAAAAAATCAAATACTTAACATTATTTTTTTGCGAAGAAAAACACTTTAAAAAAATATATATTATTTTCTTCAAATAAGAAGAAGACGAAGAAGATTTGTAAAAATAAAAATCAAGAAAGAAGTTAAAGAGTCTGTTCGAATATTACAACAGTTTTGAACAAAGTTATGAAAAAAATCTGCTCGAAAAATGAAGTAAGAACTTTTTCCACGGCATATGAAGATGTAAGAAAGCATCTGAAACTTCAGACATTCAGGATCGAATTCTAGCTTTCATGAACTCAACCTCGGATTTCTAGATTTTTTTTTCCATTCCTCGTTTTCGTATTTTGTATCTAGAGCCTCTGAATGCTATTTCTGATGTCAAAATCAAGAAGGAAAATCAGTTTTTTCTTAGCTTGAATTTCTGAAAACTCGTAGTGCGATTTTTTGTGATGCTACTTACCCAAGATTTGAAATAATTCTTCTTTATCGAGGAAAGTGATGATTTAAAAGAGCAATCGGGATGAGAATGAGATTTTTTATGTTTAACTCCTGAAATAAACGATTCAATTATCGAAATCATTGCCAAGCTGAAATGAAAAATTGTCAAAGAAAAAAATTTTATCAGTAGAATTCCAATAAAAACGACGACCAAAGAGCATAAAACATGGTTCTTCTTGGTACGGGAGCCAGGACATAAGGAACGCCGACACGCGTCCTCGGCCTCGATAAACTCCCTCTGATAAGAAACGCGATGTTTAGCACTAAGCGTCTTTTCTACCAGTATGAAGGAAGAAAATACGCCACTGCTCGAATCCGCGTGAGTTTTAAAGAAGAACACATTAAACCTGTTCATGAATTTTTTCCTTCCCTTGTTGGAGAAACTTTCTCGTGATTTCATTTTCATTTTCATTAGTCGCCGTTTTTTTTTTCTGGCTTTTCATTAAGGATCAGTTTACCAATTAGAATGGTTCATCTTATCAACTAAGAAGGCAACCATCGATTAGTTTACTGAGTTTGTTTGTTGGATTCCATCGTCTCCCTCCTTTATTCTTTTTTTCAAAAGTCAATCACACACCTTGAGTTGAAAAAAAAAACAATGTGATGCATTTTTTTGAAGACCCAGATCTAATGGGAAAAGATTTTATTCGGACGACAACTTCCACTGCCATGATGAAGCTGCAAGCGCCGCTGACGACAGCAATAGTCGAGGTTCCTTTTCATAAATCATTTTCTAGTGTCATAAATGTTTGGAATATGTAAGCAATTTTTTTCCAGAAACTCTAAACTTAAAAAGTTATCAATTTTTTTAAGTTGTATTGACGGAGAATCAAAACATGACAAAGTTTGTTAATATTATGCTTATTTAAAAAAATCTCATTTGTCTCAAATAAATAGTGAGTAACTAGTAGATAGTAAAATGTGTTTTTTTTTCGAAGTATCTCTGATCTCCCTAGTTGATAACTCAAAATCAATAACCCTAATGAGGAAAAAAACATTTCAGCAACCCGTATCCTATGGCTGACCGTGGCCCTTTGCTTATTTTTCATGGTGTGCGAAGTGATCGGCGGATTGTGGGCTGGTTCCTTGGCTATCGTAACAGACGCGGCTCATTTGGTAAGATCCGTTCAACTTCGAAATTTCATATGCATCTTGGTTGAGCTCACCGACTTCGCTTCAGTTCTCATATCTCTCTTCTCGCTGTACATCGCTCGGAGGCCGCCATCGCAAACAATGAGTTTTGGGTTCCACAGAGCAGGTGGCAATAAGTATTATACCGATCCAATAATAATTATTTTCAGAAGTTCTTGGAGCTTTTTTCTCCGTCTTTCTTATCTGGATCGTGACGGGTGTTTTGGTTGTTTTGGCAATCATGAGAATTGTTAATAAAGATTATGAGGTCGATGGCGGAATTATGGCCATAACTGCTGGCCTAGGTGTTCTTGTTAATCTTGCGTAAGTGTTCTGTCTGAAGACTTTTATTTTTTTGTAAAATTTTAAAGATTTCTTTTAAGCTAGTGATTTCTGCTATGCTTAGCACATTTTTTTACAGTTTCTCGATTCAAAAAAATATCGATAGGAAAAAAATTGTAAGAAGTTTGCTAAAAAGGTCTCGAATTTTTTTACTGTAATTCTAAAATGAGTTTCTCTGAAAAAAACTGAAAAAAATGGAATAACTCTAAAAAAACAGAATAAATTATCTGTCTCTCGGTTCGGTTGAACTTTTTTTATGAGTGTTTTATACATTTTATATACTTCCAGAATGTTGACTCTTCTTTATTTCGGTGGTCACACTCATTCACACTCCCATGGTGGTTCGAGTCATGCCCATTCGCATTCAGGTTCTATCATTATTCTTCTAATTTCACATTTTTTAAATTTCGTCATCAAAATTCTCAAAATAATCTCCCAGGCGGTGACGGGAAGAAAAACGCAAATATCAATGTGCGCGCCGCTTTCATCCATGTCATCGGAGATCTGCTTCAAAGCTTTGGAGTTCTTCTTGCTGCTCTGCTCATTTATTTCAAGGTTCTCATAATTTTAATGAAAAAAATAATTTTTTTCAGCCGGAGTGGGTCATTATCGATCCAATCTGTACACTGCTGTTTTCTATAATTGTACTCTTCACGACTATTTATATTATGAGAGATGCAATAATTGTACTTCTTGAAGGTTTGATTGGAGTTTAATAGATGTTTGAACTTTTTGCAGGAAAATGTATGTAGAGAAGATTTTTGTTAAGTTCTCATCAATTATCTTTATTACTTTTCCATCAGGACGCCCTAGCAACATTGACTTCTCACAAGTTTTTACATCTCTGGGAAACATCAATGGCGTCATCAAAGTACACGATCTAAGGATTTGGGCACTTACTATGGAGAAGGTTCACGACTTTCGATAATTCATCCAAGTTTTTATTACAGGTCGCTGTTTCGGTACACTTGGAAATCGGAGAAAACGCGGCTCCGCAAGAAGTTTTGCGGTCAACAAGAGCAATGCTTAAGGAAACTTACGGCGTTCATGAAATAACCATCCAAATTGAAGAATTTATGGCTGATCGACAAGATTGTTTCAAATGTGATGTCCCACCCAAATAAATTCTAAATCTAGCCATCTGAATAGAAAAAAAGACAGAGGAGGTTTTTTGTATCTTTCTTATTGAAACAATCCAAAGGACAATCAAGAAATCTTATTCCTTTTGTTTATTTAATAACAACCTCATCTTCTTTGATAGAGGTACGACAGGGGAATAGTCAGAAATTAAGCTTTCTTGAAATTGAAATGAATTTTGGGTTCTTCGTAGTACGAACAGCAACCGTCGCTCTCATCCTCCACTTCAGCTTCAGCTTCAGAATGAGCCTGGAGCTGATCGAACATCTCCTTGAAGTCTCTTTCGACAAACTGCAGCCTTCGCTTCTTCCATGGATTTCTACTGAACCTCGTTCCCCATTCGCCTTCTCCTACCAAGGTAACCTAAAAGTTCAGAACTACAAAAGTCACAGTGAAAAAATGTCACTCACGGTATCGCCTGTGTAAAAATCATTTGCGTGCCTCACGGCAAAACAAAAGACAAGACACATGATTACCACAAGCCAAATGTCGGCGCTGGATTTATCCCTGGCTGATTCATTGGTCAAACTGAAAAAAGAAAGTTCAGGTGCAAAGTTGAGAAGAAAACACCTTGATGAAACAAATGGAAGAAATAAAAGAAGCCAGGAGAGTTTGGCGAGCATTTTCCAGCAAATGGACCATCTTACGGCGCTTCGTTTGACACTTTGCAAACAAAATGAAAGGGCTAAACAGAGCGTTTGATGGATAGCCGGATTACTGCTGAAGTGCAAAATTTATTTCTCAGGAAACAATGGTTATTAAACTTTTAGAAAATCTAAATTTTTTATTTTCAACAAACCTAGAAAAAAAATTCAATCTACTGCGCTCATCATAAGCTTCTGAAAATCGCAGAAACAGGAGCCAGAAACAAAAAGAAAAGCAAGAAAATGACACATATATCCCTTTTAAATAAAGGAAATTTCTTTGTTACTCGTTACAGTAAGACATTGTGTTCGAGACTCCAATCGGAGACCGGGTAATCTCGGAAGTAATTACCAGCCGAACATAATTGACGTCTTATCCGCTAAACAGGCGGCTAAGCGCAAATGAGTAACCGGAAGGTGAGTGGATACCTCATAGTCCATTTCACACTTGGTTACAATTTTCTTGTCAAATTCTTGTTTTCTTGCAAAACTGGATAGAAAGCTTCTGTTTTTTTTTTTGAAAAGGTTCTTATCTGAAAAAATCAAATCATACATTGAACTGTGTACAGCTGCTGTTCAAATGAAACTTTATTTTTATCTTCCACAAAGTTTGAAGCGGAATGAAGTTGTAGTAGAGCGTTTTGCTGATAAGAGGCTGTCATAAAACTAATTTCTGAGTTTTTTTCGATTTTCTGCCTGCGTCAGTTCTTTTTCCTGGTTTTTACAGGATGAACTGAGAAGATTCGAAAGAGAAGAAAGAATTAGAATGAACTCAGAAAAAAAGTCATGTGATAAAAAGATACTTTCCTTTTCTGTTTGTTGCTTTGCCCTCTTCCAGTTAGAAATTGAAAAATTGAGATTTGAAAAAAATTTCTGAAAAAGCGAAAGAGAACAAGCTTCTCTAACATACTTTACAATTTTAAATTTAAAAATACAAATTAGAAAAAGATGTGAAACGAGAACTTTTCTTCCGTCCACAGACAAAGAAAAAAATCTCCTCCTCGTGTCTCTGACTTCTATCTTACCGGATACCATGAATTCGAAGAAAAAGCGGAGTTTTGTAGTTGCCGGCGCCTCGACTGCTACAAATCCTTTCTCCAACCATAACAACGATTGCGTGGCCAGCAGATAATAACTCTTTACGGTAGTTGCGGCAAAAGTTGCCTTTTTCTGGAAAGCCTGACAAAAATCAAAAAATCTTTCTGCCAGCGGCTTTGCGACGTTTTTACAAGTCGCCATTTTCCCACTGTCTCCCATGGCAGCTCATTTTCCACGTCCTTTATCAGCTCTCACGAGTTCCGACGACCTCGACTCCGTTTTTTTTTCTTGGTTTCGTTAACCGTCATTTTTTTGTATTCGTTCTCACTACCCACAAATTCCTTCTTCATTGTAGCGAGGTTTCAAATTCAAACGTCCAACACATTGTAGTATCTCAAACTCCAAACCGTCCGATGTTCCCACGCCATTCGCATATATTCATAAAATGTGCACACAATTTCAGGCAAATCCGAAATATGGCGGAAATCAAGATGGAAAAGAATAAATGGGACACATTCCAATACGAAAACCTTCTGCAGCAGCACATTCATCCGCCGCAACTCCAAGTTCAAAGACATGAACTCGAGCGGGAGCACGACCTGAGGATGCAGCAACTCCAAGCAGAGGAAGAACAATTGCTACAGGACTCTTTCTTGCAGGACTTACCACCTCGTCTCGAAATACAGTCAGCTTTGCAACCGGAGGTAATAGAAGAGCCAGAAAGAATTTCTCCCGCACCGCCACTGGCGCCAGTCGTCCACCGACCTCAGCCAACTCCTCACATCCACCATCCGATTGCCCAACATCCGCTGCATCATCCGCAGATTCTCCATCCACAGCCAATCCGACCTCATGAAGTCATGCCACACATTTCGTTGGCCCATCACACGACCATACATTCCACCATACATCAATCCGTAATACAACAGAACCGAATTCATCAGCCGTCACTTTTCCCGGAGTCCGAGGAAAAGGTCCAACAACCCAGCCGACCTACAGTACTCCATCACGCACCTCATTCCTATGACGTGCCGTCTATCCCACAGCAGCCGTTCCTTTCGCCTTTTCCTTTTACTGGACATTTCGGTTCGTTTTCCAGAGATCAATCGGTGGATAAAAATATAGTTTTCAATAAAATTACTTTCTATTGTTTTAGTCAATTTATTAAAAAAAAACAAAGTCTGCTACATAATAACTTGATTCTCATTTAACCGCTATATAAGTAGCTTGGTGAATGAGAAGTAGTCAAGGAATGATAAAATTTGTTCTCTGAAAATTGTTGGAGTACTCTTTTTTTGCAGTTCTGCTCATTAAAAAAATTTTTTTGCAATCGTAATAATTTTTTTAAAAATATAAAAAAACTTTTCGGGAAAGACTGAAAAAAATTTCACACGAAAAATTTTTTTAAAGAAAAGATTTTTGATTGCTTCTGATATGAATAGCTCTACGAATTTCCCACACAGCCTTTCTAATCGTCACTTTTTTCAGCCGGATTCCCACTGGCCGAGCTTGACTACCGACTCAATGACTTTCACCCGTTTACCCAAAGCTCAAGCTCTCGACAACATTCAATGCCTTCGAGTCATGACATTCCTTCAAGTTTATCCTTGAAAGAACCGACGGAAAACCCCGTCCTGATCACGCATCCTTCCGTGATCCAACATGCGCCTCGATCAATCATCGAAAAACCTTTTCCTGTCATCCCGAGGTGAATCAAACTAATGACTTGAAGCTCCGAAATTGGGTAGGTGAGCTAAACGATAAACCTTTACCAGTCATAAAAGACAAAGTTTTCCTTGTTCAATATTCGATAGTTTATGACAGATATTAGCGTTAATCTACTCCTCGAAGCTCTTCTGATTTTTTGAAAGGAAAAATTGAAAGTTGGCGTTTGACCTTAATACATATCTTTTTCACCATTTTGGCATAATGAAAATGTTTTCACTGATATTCATCTAAGATCAGCTTTCCTTGTTGTTCAGACCGAACCCGCTGTTTGATCGGCGGACAGACGACATTTTTTTCAATTCTTCTCTTTACCGACCTCACCTTTCTCTAGACATGGCACATTCTTCAAAACAGGAAGTGCGAAGCTCAAACTTCAACGAAAAAAAGAGTGAAATTGTAGCAAAGGCACGTGGATCGACTCCATGAAGATTTCCCGATTCTCGAAAGCTTGGCTTGCATCGAGAAGAGAGAAGAAATGAAAAGGCACTCCGTAATGCACGATTGTCAGGTTGCTTTTTCGAATCGAAAAATAGAAAAAATCACTTTTTATCAAGTTCTCTAGGAATTTCCGCATGACCCTCATGTTACAAATTCTTGACAAACTCTAAGTTTCAAATCTTAGGCTTAAGAAGTTCAGTTGCAACAAAATTAGCCATCGGATAAACTTCTGAGCTCAGAAACACTAATTCTTCTCGAAGCTTTGACTTTACAGTGAACAAGAAGCATTCAAATGATGTGAGAGTTTGAGTTTGCGTTTATCAATCTCAAAAAAATTTCCTTGGAAATTGTGTGCAAAAACGAAATATCACCTTACTTGCATTAAGGTTTGCCAGTCAACTCACGCCAACGGACTTCATTTTGGCGCTCGAACTTGTGCTGCTTGTGCAGCATTTTTCAGGTTCTATTTCCTATCCAATCAATTTTCAATCTGAATCAACCCACAGGAGGTCGATAAGCGACGACAAACATTATGTCTGCAAAAGGAATCAAAGATGCACCAGCGCCAGTAGAGACGGTGAAATCTATTTCCACTCTTTTTCGATCTTATAATACATTTCATACACTCAGAATACATCAAAATTCAGGAACAGGTTATAGAAAAATTTGCCGCAGCTGCAGAATGAAGAGGTGTCTCGACATTGGGATGCTTCCTGAAAGTAATATTTTTTTTTTGAAGGAAAAGATTAATAATGATTTTTGCCAGATGTACAACACAAACGAACCAGAAAAGACGATGATACTCCGCCAAACAAATCTTTCGAAGGATTTTTTCCCACCTTTTACCCACACGTTGAGAGTTGAAATGTATAATTATTCTGTATTTTTGTGGATTCCTCTGATAAATTTGTGTTTCTACAAGGATTCTTCTTTTTGAAATAAAAATCGCAAAGAAATATACCAATAATAAATTTTAATATTCTTCTATGAAAACCCCGCTTTTATTTCTGCGTCTCAAAAAGATAAACTTCTGAGCAATATGTTTTTCAGGTTCTCATAAATCATTGTTTAATTTGCACATCGAACTATTGATGTCTTGAACTGAAAAAAATTCTCGAATGCTATCAAAGTTTCGAGCAGTTTCATTTTCAGAAAAAAAAAACGCCTACAACTCATAACAGTGGGAGCAAAATCGGAATAATTTTTAAAATATAAAAACTTTTCGAAAAGGCTGTTGAAAAAAAGGCTGAAAAAAAGGCTGTTTTTGATTCATAGGTTTATTCACTGCATACTGTTAGAAATTAATAAATTTCTGTTGATAAGAAACAATTTGAAGATATCATTAAAAAAATTTATTTTTTTGTGACCTTGGTAAATAGGTTTTTTTGAAACATGAGCGAATAATAATTTTTTTGAGAATGAAAACCGTCCTGCAGGATTATACAATAAAACTTCCCCAAAAATTTTAACAAAAATAGTATTAAAACACTACCTTTTTTCGAATTCGTTTAATAGAACCATAAATCTTCTCCTAATTCTGAAATTTAAAAAAACTTAGGTGGGGGAATTTTTCAGCACAAGAAATTTCAAGTTATATTCTTTCACTTGAGTTTCAATGAGTGGAAGGCAAGACATTTTGAACTTTCAAGATCAAACTTACGATCGATTGTGTGCAAATTCTCGTGAACGCTGCGGACTTCGCCCGCCAAAACAACCGATCAACAAATTTGTTTACTACCTTTTTGTTCCTTTATACTTTTTGGATCATTTCTTGAAAATCAATTCAGAATTTTTCTTGTTGAATCGTTTAAAAAAATTGTTGAACTTATTGTCAAGCATAATGGAAAATGTCTTAGGCTTAGGATATTGAGCAGTTTTATCTTGTTTATATTAAAATACTAGTTTTCTTCGAATTCAAATTTTGTTTCCGTATTTCACGAGAACTTGCTTGCAAAACTTTTTGTTGTAGAGGAACGCATGTTTTTATTTATTGTAAAGTCTGGGTTTGACGTGGAAAAGAGTAGGAGTAAACAACTGAAGAACGCGTAAACAAAACTTTGAGGCTTCAGAGGTCTAGTTCATTCAAACAATGTTAATTTTTTCCTGGTTTTCCGTTAAATTAAATGATCCTTGATGGCAACTTTTTAAATATCTAATTAAAAAAATGTTCGAGATATATTTACAAAAAAATTATAGCCGTATTGAATAAATTTAACAGTGAAAAACAATAACATTTTTGTTCGAAATGTCAAAAACTTATTTATTTTTTTGTTTCAAATGAAAACTGTATATTCTCAGTCCGCATAGACCTTGGGCGAGTAACTTAATTGTAGAGTGAAATGTTATTCTCTTAATAAAAGTTTATGAAAAAACTCTTCAGTACTTTGAACTTTTATGCAGAATGGTCTTTTTTTCTTGTTTTGAAACGTTTCGAACCTTGTTATTTCTAAATTGTATATTTTTTTCCAGCAAAATTCACTCCTAATAAAAAAATAAAAAAATTTTGAAAAAAACAAGAAGGCGTTTGAAGGCTGGTTGTTTTGTTGTGCTCAAGTGCTCTTCCCCGCAACGCAGTTCCAATGTCAACGTCAAATTTGCTTCGATGCTTTCCCGGCTTCCCAGACCTGGAGACTTTTCATTTTATTTCTTGTTTTTCTAATTTATCGCGTCTAATTGTTTGGTTGTCAACTTTTTTTGTTTCACACCATTTGCAGGACAAAATGCTGTTTCGATTGTTTCAGCAACAGCTGGCGAGGAGACCATTGGCCACTCAAATGGCTGTCACTGGTTTGTTTTCCAGGACAATCAAAAAGTTAAAAGTGTTTCACGTTAGAAAATAAACTATTTGAGATAATCCTATCAATTTTTTCAACTAGTATTTTTTGTTGGTTAGCAATAGCCCCTTTATTTTTTCTTTCAATAGATTATATAGGATTAAAATTATCAATGTTTTTCACCTAGTTTTTCCAAAAATGCTACACCAATATTCAAAAAGATTCCCCAGAAAAAGGCTAAACTTTTCCATTCGGAAAATGAAAAAAATCGGAAAAATCTTAACGACAAATCACACTCACAGTTTTTTTCAGAATTTTTTTAATTAAAAATTATTCGAAGAAATTCACTCGAAGCTTTTTTTCAATAAACTTTCAGGTGTTATAAGCGGCGCTGGCGACCTCTTCGCGCAGTATATCAGTGGAGAAAAAGAGTGGGACAAATGGCGGACCGCTAGATTTTTCGCAGTGCAAACTTTCTTTGTAGTACGTATCCAACTATTCCATAATTATCATGAAAAAACTGTTTCAGGCTCCTTCTTTGAGTGTTTGGTTCCGGGTGTTGGAACGGGTCAAAAGCTCGAATTTGAAGCTTCTTCCTCTCAAAAGGGTTTTTGTTGATCAGGTTTGAACTATTTCAAGTTTTTTTTTCTCAATAGAGTTTATTCTAGTTGACATTCAGTCCGGTTTTCAATGGAATCATTTTTGTTCAACTTGCGTGTGCTGGAAGGATATACAGTCAAAGAATCCAAGGATAGAATGACTCGAGATTGGTGGACTATTTACAGCAACAGTTTGAAGGTTTGTCAAGGACAAAACAATTTTCGGATGATTGATAAGGAAACTTATTGGTTTGAAAACTGATTCAATACTATAAACTTTGAATAAAAAAATGATATACGTAATATTATACCTAATTAGTTTAATACCAAAAAAATCTGTTTTGAAACTGTTGCAAAAGTTCAAAATACCACGAGACTGCAAATTAATATGGGACCTTGACCAGTTTTTTTTTTCAAATTGTTATAGATGTATATTTCTAAAAGAAGGCTACCACGTCGTTTCCAAATCCCCTTTACAAATAGCAATGCGCCGTCGTTTGTAGAGACTTGTGAGTAGACACCAAGTTTTATACGTCGGTACGATTTTCGCAAAACCCATTTGCGTTTCTATTTCAATTTGTTCTCATTTTTTACATGTGATGCTTTCTCTTTAAGTAACAGTTTGGAAATTTAAAAATTAAATTTGACAATCGTTATCACAGTATTTCATAACAAACAAATAATAAAGTTTACAAAAATTTGCATAAAAGGTCCATACTGTCCCATTTTAAGGAAGTTGAATGCAGTTATTTGGGCGATTTTATATAAATTTTTGTGATTGGTTGTTAAAAAATTAAGTGTACACACTTTTCTAAATCTTTCATCGCTTCAATTTTGCTTAAATTTTTGATCCTTTTCGAAAAAGGTCGAAAAATGATGTTTCAGTATGTATGTCCAAATTGCGCTTATTGTGTACCTTTATATGAATGCATTTCATGTACAGTGATAAAAATAAAATCTGATCAAAATAATATTGCAAATAGGCTCAACGCAAGTCGCACCCGCGCCCTAAAACTCGGCGTCTGCATACACGTCTCTGAAAACGACGGCGCATTGCGGACCCTCTCCAGCGAGCAACAGCGCAACTGGAGTCGGCCCGAGTCTTCCTATGTTTTATTTTTTGAGGCAGTCGTTTCAAATGAACGAATGCGGATGGGAAGCGTTACCCTGGCAATATTTCAACCTTCTCTGCGCATTATCTGTGGACTTTCTCATGGACTTTTTGCGTTTTTCTTCAGTTTTAGCGTTTTTGCTTATAAATTTTTTAACTCTTCAAAAAGTTAAGTATTTAGGGTGCCCAATAAATAGTTTAAACTTTTTTTCCTAATCTAATAATAAAATGGGAATTTCTCGAGTATTGCATCACTTTTGCTGTTTTTGACGGGTTGTGAGAAATACGTTTTGTGTACATAGTGTATGTAGACTACTCATTTAAACTTTGCTCAGCAACTCAGTAGTTTGATATAAAGCTCGATAAGCTTGTAGTAAATGTTTCATTCGCATTCCCCTCTCAAAACCAATTACTTTCAGTTATGGCCAGCCGTTCAATTGATCAACTTCTACTTCATGCCATTGAACTATCGCGTAATATTGGTTCAGGTATTAATATTCCTATATCCAAGACTTATTGTACTTCAGAGCGTCGCTTTCTTCTGGAATACTTACCTTTCCTTCGCTACTCAGCAGTCGAAAACCGCTCCCCCTGCACAAATTGAGTCCGATCTCAAGCACTGATCATTTAATGTTCTTTTTCTGACAGTAATAGTTAGATATGTTTTAGTTTAAAGTATTTATTCAATTTTCACATGTTGACCTCGATGAGAAACCTTTCGAAACACGTGTATTTGTATATAAGAGTAGTTTTTGCTGTACCCGGTTCAAAATGTTGTGACTTTTTAAATGTTATCGAGCTTCATAATTTCATTTTCCCATTCATTCAAGTTTCTAGCTGATAAATAGATTTTTATTTAATGCAAACTTTTTTGTTGGCAGTTTTTGTTTGTTTTGTATTTCATGTTGAAACCTCAAAAGGCAATGTTTTTTGAAAATTCTAAGAAGTAGTTGGATTACCTTCCGCGGCAAGACTTGACACCAGATTATTTCTTGTTCTAATCAGGGGATTAGAACAAATTGCTCTTGGAGTGAGAAAACGGATCTATTTCTCGTTCTGTTTTTTTCTTGTTTTCAGTTTTGTCTTAATTAGAATTGATGAACCTCAATAAGGGGTATTTTAGTTCAGAACTCGAAAAAAGGTTGATTTCAAGTATTAGTGAAAATTGGTCAAAGCAAGTTTCTGAATGGAAAAAGAACACTCTTATTTTTACAAATACTTATTTCGTTACGTTCAAAAGTTTTTCTAAGCTCTTTACTTTTTTTCACAGCACATAACCTTTTGGATTTATTTTTTCAATTTTTTTTTTGCTCCAGGGTTTTTTTAATTACTGTGACATAAAAACACTTTTTTTGTATGTCTTGAAACGTTGATTTAAAAAATTTAAAAAAAACTCCTATTATTTTTTGAAATTTTTTTTCAGAATTTTGCGTTAACGGGGTTCTCTGTTTCTCAGGCTACATAATTACAATCTCATACCTCTCTAAATTGTTTCTATTTTTCTCGTTATGTACGCGCGCCGTTTTTTGAAAGTAATAACGCTGATTGGACAGTTTCAGGCTGGGAAACCCTGCAACGACTGAACAAAGAACAGTCAAAGATAAAAGTGACGAGACCCGATTCCTACAACAAAGACTGATCGATTGCGGGATGCAGTGTGGTGGAACGATCGCAAAATACAGTCGTATCGTCGGCGGTTTTCGCGTTAATATTGCCAAACAAATGACTACCGCCGTCGACGACACACCTCATTCAAAATATGAGGTGGGTGTCCTTTTTTTGTCCTCGTGTTTATTTTTGCTATCGATAAGAGATTCCGATAGAGCACATTTTCCTTTCCAGCTAAACTGTGTGGAAAAACACATGCTATTTCTTTTAAAAAGTTTTTGGAGTTTTTTTTGAAGTTGTTAATTGTTTTTAGGATGTTTTTGAATGTCAAAATTTTTTTACTTTTTATTAGTGAAAAAAACTGTGATTTGCAACCGTATACAGGCTTTTTAAATAAATTGCTTTCCGGTAATTTAAAAAACTGAACGGACCCTTGAGTTGCAAAAAAGGAAAGCAAACAGGTGAGCTGTATTTTTTTAACTTTTTTCCTTAAGTGTGTCATAATTTTTGCCAACTGAAGTAATCCTGCAACTTCAAGACGATTTGAAATTTGGTCAGCAAATCGAACAGATCAAACGATCAAAAAACTCTTATCTGTTGATTGTTTTCAGTCTCACAGTTACAAAACGCCAAGAACCTTCTTTTTTCAGAAGGCCGTGCTCCTTCTCAATGGACTACAATCCAATGCCGAAGTTATCAAGAAAATGCGGGAACAAAGAGATCAAGTACAAAATGAGAATATCCCCGAGTCGCGACGATTTCTCAAATCTTTGAACATTTCTGTGAGTGTTTTTGATTTTTGACATCAATAAAAACAACACGTTTAGAACAATGACTTGAACTCGCTGAACGTGATTCATGTGAGTGGGACGAAAGGCAAGGGATCGACTTGCGCCTTCATCGAACAGATTTTGAGAGACTTCGGCCTCAAGACTGGCCTTTACACGTAAGTATTTTTTGTTTGCTCATTGAATGATTTTTTTTTTAGATCTCCTCATCTGATCCATGTTCGTGAGAGGATTCGGATCAATGGAGCTCCAATCAGCGAAGAGAGTTTTGCTGAGCAGTTCTTTTTCGTGTACAACAAACTGAAAGAGGTTCTTAGCCAGGAGATTTACAAGAAAACAAGCTTTTTTTTTAGGAAAACAAGGACTCGATGCCCGCGTACTTCAAATTCCTTACGCTAATGGCTTTTCACGTTTTCTTGAAAGAAAAAACCGACGTCGTGATTCTAGAAGTTGGAATTGGAGGGGAACACGATTGCACCAACGTCATTGAGTAAGTGTTAATGTTTTGTATTTATTGAATGAAGTTTTCAATTACTGACACTATTTATTTTAAATTGAACGATTTTCTAGTCAGTTAAATAAAACATAATTTTTAGAAAGCCTGTAACCTGTGGAATAACGACGCTTGATCACGATCACACTTCCATTTTGGGTCAAGAACTGACTGGAATTGCATGGCACAAGGCGGGAATATTGAAGAAAAACGCGGTTGCGGTTTTCTCACCAACAGTGGAAGCCGCCGAGAAAGTGATCCGCCAGAGGTCTGCTGAAAGAGAGGTTGGTTGAGAAACTTCCTGTTTATTGTCTTACAAAATTGTTTTTTATTAATATTTTTCTGAGACAACATCGTGAACAATTTTTAACGAATCGAAGACTTTGCGATTCAGAAATGGAAAAGTTTAGTATTCATTGTTTGCCGGATTCAAATTAGCGAAGCAAAGTTCCTTTAAAAAAACCTCCAATCAAACTTTTTGTTTCTTTTTTCTTTGCCTATAAATAATTCAAGCCTTATTCTACTAATAGCTCTGGCGAGCAAAAAACTCATAAAAAACACGCATTTCAGACAACAGTCGTGGAAGCGCCTCCACTTGAAGCGTATCAATGGCCTCGTGATGTGACAGCCGGAATCGCCGGACGTCATCAGGCTCTCAACATGTCCCTCGCCCTGCAACTGAGCAGGATCTGGCTCTCCAAACAGAGAGAAAATCGTGAGATCTCTTTCTGATAGTTAAGAAATCAAACTTACTTTTCAGAGTCTTCATCGCTCTTTATGAAGTCTGACTGGTCACCCGGAACCGGATATCAAGTTCCTGCGTCTTTTTGCGACGCTTTGGAGTCCTGTCATTGGCCGGGTCGTAGCCAAGTCCTTCAAACTGACCGGATCAAGTTCTTGATTGACGGAGCTCACACACCGAAAAGCATGGAGGTAGTCTTTCTGGAATCAAAATTGTTTTTTTGTATTAGCTAGAAAAATATAAAGGTGTCCATAAAACAGGATTAATAAGTGTATCATAGGTATATCAGTTTTTACTTTACCATTATCAAAAACGTAAAAAAACACGCAGAAGGTTTAGAACTTTCCATTGCATTTATTCAAGCACATTTTCTTTTTTTATAAAGGGTGATGACAGCTTGGGGAAACTTTTAATTAATAAAGTTTGATTCAAAAGAAATAAGAATATGCTTGCATCTTTCTTTTGAATCTTCTGTATTTCACTCTCGTTTCTCTTTTTTTTTCACTGGATTTCATCATGTTTCCATTTTTCTGAATCATAAATTTCAGGCGTGCGCCGACTGGGCACGAGAAGCATTTTCCTGCAATGACTCTGATTCTGGAAAATACCTATTGTTTCAATGCACGGCTGACAGAAACCCCGCTTCTTTGTTGGAATGTCTCAAGGTTCCGCATCGATTTCGGCAATCTAAGAAAACTATCAACTTTTCAGGCTTACAAATTCGAGAAGGTGCTCTTTTGTCCGACGCAGCTGAGTGTGAGCACAAAGAAGACGTCTGATTCTGCGAATTTCAACCAGCCTGGAGGCCAGCAACTGGAGAAAGCCAAGCTGTGCAGCGAAGCGTGGCGTTCTCTCACCGGCGAGGTCAGAAAATAAATAGTTCGGGAAAATGAAGAATAGAAATTTCAGGACGCGTTGCTGTTTGACTGCGTTTCTTCCGCGATGGACTGGCTCGAAGATCAGTCCAAGGAAAAGAAGCTGGCCGTTCTGGTCACCGGAAGTCTTCATTTGGTCGGCAGCGTTCTCAATGTCGTTACCTCAAAATATAACGTCTCTCCTTGAATTCCAATATTTTTCTAGCGATCTCTCAATTCATAGACTTTTATCACGCCATATCACTGTATCATCCATCCCAACGCCATACTTAGACCGGTATTATCACTGTATCAAACAAATTTTATGTGATGCATTATAAATAAACAATATTCAAGCAACAGCGTGTTTTATTATCAAAGGGTGTCCGTTTTCCGAGGGCTCAGTCGATATGTCAGATAAATGTGTGCAAAAAAGCAACTATCAAATTTAGCGAAATGAGTAAGTGCTGGATAAAGTGATAGTAAAATGAAAAGGGTAATCATGAACTTCCAGTTTTAGCCAATCCTTACAAAACAAGTTCAACTGACCAGATGTTTTGGAGAATTACCTTAAAGTAGTTTATATTTGATTTGAAAAAGTTACGGGGAATATTTGGGCTTACTTGGTAAGACTTCAAGAAAGCAGAAATGAACAAAAAAAAAGCCAGTCATCAACAAAAATAGTACACGAGAAATTTCAAGAAAAATCACAGGAAAAAAGTTCAGTGGAAATGTGCGTATGAGCCAGCAGGTCTACGTGTTCGTCCAGCGTATGGCTGTGTGTATGTGTAAGTTTTCCCTTTTGCTTTCTCTTCATCGAAACCTCCTCTCATGAACGAAATTATGCAGGATATCTGAATTACCATAATCAGCTCGATATAAGGTTAGAAAGTTACCAAGTTCCGCCAAGCACCTAAAGTCGGACGCTGACGATTGGCCTCCCATTCAACTGCGGCTTGAGTCATACATTCCGCAAAGGTCTCCCAGTAGACTGGGTTGAAGCCACGACCTTGCAAAGCGACATGACGTTTTCCAAGGCTCTGAAAACAGAAAGGTTCAATTTAATTGAGTTTTTCCAATTCACCTCAAAATAGACTTCAATTTTGCCCGGGAACTCGATGTTTCTGATCACGTAGTCCAGGGTCTTTGTGTACACTGTAATTAAATATAATTAAATTAACAGGAATGTCCGAAATTATCATAAGAAAGGTTAGCTGTGAAAGTTCACTGGATGATGTTGAGAAGTTTGAAAAGTAAAATAATTTATGAAAATGTGAACAATTACATTTTTTTTCGATCAATACAAGGGTTGACCCTTTTTTTAATTTCCAATTGTTTTCAAAACAAGTGTTGAAAGGTAATTTTAAGTTTTCGAGCCTTCGGATTTTCTTATACTGAGACAAACCGACCTAACAAATCGAATGACAATCTTTCTATAGAAACTCAAGCGAAAAGATTTATCTTTCCTCTTTAAAAAGAACGAACCGAGAGCATGTTGTCGGAATCGAGGATCGTACTTCAGCCGACCAGTGGGGATTTTCTCGAGCCCGAAAATGGCTTTGATGTCTGGCTGAGCAGTGAGAACCATGAAAAATATTTTAGCTCCGACATGATCGGCTCCCGTCTGCGAGTTTCAGAAAAAATCACTGATTTTCGATCTGAGGAATTTACCTTTTTAGTTTTTCTCCAACTTTGTTCCAAAAGAACTCGTTCGCGACGCGTCAGGAAGTGCTTGCAAGGAACTCCTTTCAAGCTCTCAAGCTCGCGATTTTGGTCGTTTTCACTGTTATCTGATGGTTCCCGCCTGGAAAAAAACAAATCAAAAGCTTTTGAAAATCAATTTCGATGAGGATTTTTGAATTAGATAAGGTTTCCACTTTTAAGAATTTTTAAAAAACGTCAAACAAAATTTGAAAAAAAAAACATGAACTCACGAGCGAACTGAGGGTTCTATGGAAGATCGGCTGGTAGTCTGAGCGTCACCGATGGAAGAATGTTTTGGAGTGTGGCTGGCTTGTAGAGCTGTTTCGCCGCAAACGCTGCTACTGGCTGAAAATTTGGTGAATAGTTTGTTTTGGTCAAAGTATTTTGTTTTTCTACAATCTGATTTTTTATGAACTTTTTGTAGTGATGTTATTTAGAGATTGAAGTTACCCAAAGCCTTTCTAAAAAACACTCAACTGAGAAATTTACAGAAAACTATAGTTTTATCTTTTTTTTAGAAACTATTCCCTGCACTGCTTGTTTTTCGAGTGAAATAGTTTTTTTCCTCAACTTCGGTCCAGGTTTTTTTCCCTGTTTTTTTTTCTTGGATCGAAACAGAAGTTCCTTTTAAGAATAACAATTTCTATACGTTTTTTTGCCCCTGCGAAACTCGCCGCAAGAGCGGTTCACAAGTGCGACAAATTCTATCATCGCTAAACACAATTCCCGAAAAATAATTTTGAAAAAAGCACGTAACATGTGAGAAAGAAGTTATTTCTGTAGTGTTCATAAAACAACAGGTTACTGTGAAAATGGCTATAAATAGTTTTAATGTGCGTGGGAAGTGGGGTGATCCGAAACAGGCGGAAATATTTTCAGCACAGCTGTCTCTCAGACGACTCGTCATAAAAAATTGAGGATATCGTAGCTGCCGTGAGAAACAATTCAGAAATTAATGCTTGCAACTTAGTTATGTGCAATTTAGCATGTACCAGAGCAAGTCCAAAAAAAACTTGTGAACTTTTGATTTCCCTCTTTTCAAAACTTGTTTGAAACTGGAAAAGCTATAGACTTCGAAAAAACTTTTCATTCCGCTTTTCATTCTATTTTGAGACTTTCTAGAAGTTTGTCCGGGTTTTTAAATTGATTTGAGAATTTGTGATGTATAGCCGATTAATTCTCATCCAGAAAATTTTCAGGGATAATGAGATGTTTCTTCCTGAAACTTTACCTCTTTTCTTTTTTGGCCGTTCGATTTTGTAGCGCTTTTCGGCGAGAGATTCATGTGGGCACTTGCTGCCTTCAGCTCCCATCCAATTCTCGTTTTTCTGCAAAGAAAATAGGAAAATGAGAAGAAAGTGTTTCCAACAAGCCGAAAAATTCGCGAGAAGCCAAGAGAAGGAATACAAAAAAGAAGCACCAACTGACGGCCAAAACGCCAGATTCTAATGACAAAACAAAAGCCGATTTAAAAATTTAGCTTCATGGAAATGCTAAATACTGAAAAATTCATTAAGGTCAAAGGCCTAGAGCTGTCACCAAATGTTAATTAAACAATCAAGGCCGTTTTGTTACAGGAAAATCACGATTCTCAGCCGGAAAACAACAAAATGGCACACGGAATAGAACAAATGGCTCATTGTAAATGAATGCTCCATTTTTGTGGGTTAATAGCTTCTTTTCGCAAACCGGAAAAGGGTCATTAGCAGTGAGAAAAGCATGAAGAAGAAAGGGTTAAAAACCGACTTCTCTAAGGTCAGAAAAACGCGGCTCCCTGCGGATACTCCGTTATGCTCGACCATCAATTACAAGAGCGGAAAAAACTGTGACAAGATGCCTTTTGATGCGAGAAAAGCAGCATTCATGGAAAAGTTTAATTTCGAGCCACGGAATAGTTAATATAGCCTTTTGGCTAGTTTCCCAGCTTTTGAAACCAACCCAACCGACACTGAAATGATTGAGCTTGATGAGTTGAGAATTCATTTTTTTAGAAAGAGCTACGACTACGAAAAAAATTATGAAATCAAAGAATTCAATATATTTTTCAATTGTTATGATTGAAAAAAAGAGATGGAGCATTCCCCTATAAGAAAAAAGCGTCACTGAATTGCTGAGAACGAGAAACGGATCTGCAACATATAAAAAGACAACAACTCCCACCAGCCTCGGATAATGGCATTTCCCAGTTTCCAATAATTGTTCCCACGCAGAAAAAAAAAATGGAAAAAAGTGCTTTCAAATGAAAAGCTAAAATAGCGGCGAAAGTTACAGTAGCTGATTGGGAACGCGCACTAAATAATGCCACTCGAATTGCTCTTTCCATTCAAATTATAATGTTCGGTGTTTTCCTCGAGTTCAAAGCTGCAAAAATATGAAAAGTGTAGGAAAAAAATCTTGAATAGATATTTTCGAAACGATTCTTCTCTAAACATCATTTACTTCACATGTTTGATGTCTGGTACCCGTTGAGCTTCGGAAAATTAGGTATTATTAGAAATTCTAGGTTGCTTGAAGTGGTGTTTCGATGCTCAAAATCTTCGCCGCATGCAAAAAAAAAAGTGAGCTTTTTCTGAGATAAAGTTCTAGTTCGTTGCAAGGGCTGTCAGGAAATATGAACGTTTCACAGATTTTTCGCTCGTTTGCGAGAGCATGCGTTCTCATTTCGAAACTGAAGATCCTCTGGCGTTTCGCAGATAGCAAAAAGTCGGAACGGGTAAATGAAATTTTCCCAGGAAACTTTTAATGAAACAGATATTTTAGCCCGATGCCTTTGTTGAAATCTCTCGTTAATATTTTGCCAAAGTTTGAAATGCAAAAAAAAAGTTTTTACCAACGATAAAATACTCAATATTGAAAAAGTGTTTCAAAAACCTTTTTTTTTTTTGAAGAATCTCAAAATCTGCACTTTCTAAAAAAGATTTTACAAAATCTTCCCAAAGTCACAAAATGAGCAATTCCGAGACAATTGATTAAATATGGTTGTTTTTGGAACTCTGAAAAAAATCTTCCTTAACATTAAAATGACAAAAAACTAATGACCCAAACGAAGTTAATCTGAAAGCTTTGGGAAACGGCTCAATAGAGGCGAATTTGAGTGAAATAAAGACAACAGCGTGGCGAGACTCTTCAAGTGTTTTTTTTTTTTGAAAGTTTTCAGCTTAACTCTACTTTAACGTTTTTAAAAACTCGAGAGTTTGGCTTCAGACAGTTTTTTTGGAATAAGGCTGATAAAGCTCAAAATTTCCAAAAAAAAACTTGATGGAAACTTCCAATTTTTCTTCCACATGCTGGCGGGGCGACCATAAAAAATTTTGATGAACGATCTCCAGAGAAAAGTTTCTTTCTTGCTTCTTGATAGAAGCCATTTTTCTTGCCCGAGCATTTATCGAGTCAAAAAGGAGGCATTTTCTGATCTATTGGCCACTTGCACTTACATATTTCACCAGAAAGTCCTCTGATGAGTTAAAAATGAAAGAGTAAAGTAAACGATAATAAGAAGGAAGTGTGAGTTTACATTAAGAAATCGCCAGAAATTCATTTGGAAGAATGTTTTCAAAGTCCAAAAAATGTATGAGACAAAAAAGAACGTTTCTAAAAGTGGCACCAAGTCTCGACACTGAAATATGGGAAGCCCCGACGGACTGCGCTTTTATTATGGACACGTCGTATACATCTTTTTCAGTCTGACACTTTTCAGAGTGGAAATTGAGATTATTTTTTTGGTATAAACAGAGTTGGATTATAGTTTCTGAAATTTTTGTGATAGAAGAAAGATCCGTAAAGTGGCATGAAAAAAACAATTAATGATTATATCCGTTGTGAACATTTTTTTTTGCTAAATCTCCTTCAAACTAGAGACGACATCAAGCAGTAAGTACACATTTTTTTTTGACCAAATGCTGTTTTTCTCAAAATAAAGAAAAGCATATATATTTTTTTTAGGTCGTCATCCTCTAAATGCAGAAGTCATCGCTTTTTTATGTGATCAAGTGTGAGAATCAAACAGTAAGTACAAAGTGACAGTAAAAGGACAAAGTTCCCAGAATCTATTCGAAACTAAATTTAACTGCGGCAAGGACATGACTGCAAACGAATGATTTCCCTTTCTATAGCCTGCAAACCTTTTTTTAAAGTCAGATTAAGAAAGCTGGTAAATAAGAAATTTATCTCATCTGTCCATCTTTTTTCTTCGACCTGAAACCCTAGGGAATAAAAAACCTTGATTTCGTTGTTGGTATTACCAGTGTCACTTCGAGAATAAGCTCTTTTTATGAACATGATTCTTCAATTTTGAAGCGGTGTAGGGGATAAAAAACATCAGGAAACCGAAATCTTTCAACGATGAAGAGAAAAGTAATTATTTGAACGAAAAATCGAGCTGAGCTTTCTTTTTTACCTAGAACGGGTGACGCAGACGCTGGCGACTCTCAAGTGGGATCTACGTGACAATTTCAACCTGTGATTTGCAGGTTTGAAACTGAAACGTCTAGAACAGAAAGAGTTAGATTTCAAATATTGCTGAAAGGATTTTCGACAAGTCTCCAGAGCAACAGAATTGAAATAGGATGAATCATATGATATAAGAAAGTGATCAACAGCACATTCATCCAAAAAGATGAATCATTGATATTTTCTTATTTTTAATTAACATTTTTCGATTATTTTTTCCTCTTCAATGGAAATGCAAAAGGAATTTTTTGAAAACAAGTTTTCATTAGGATTTTATAAATTTGCTATCGTTCGCTTCAACAACAAGTTTTCGCTACAGTCAACAATTAAGTATGGAAGAGCTTACAAGAAATGTAACTACGGTCTCCCGGAAGCGACAATAAGCATCATTTCTGGAGAGAAGCCTGAATTCCGTGAGACGTCTTGAATAAGAAAACGCTTTTCTTTTGCAGTAAATACGGCGGCTTCTTTGTGCATAAGTTATCGTGGTGTGGACATAAGGAGTGAGAGTAAATTCTATCAGGAAATTCACTAGTTGGAGCTAGCAGAATAATTGTATCCTGTGGTACAAAATTTTGAAAAAGCCCCCTCGTTTCCTCTCTGAAGGAATTATTCCAACCCCTGTCCACTCATGACGTCAAATCAATGATATATTTTTCTCTATACAAAAAAATTTGAAAAAAATATACTATTTACTCGAGAAAAAGAAAAAGAAAAGCTGTTTTTCAGGAAGGGAATTTCTGAAGGGAATACCACGCCGTCTTCTTCAAATAGGTGTATCTTTTTTCCGTCAAACTCACGCTGGTACCCACGCCCCGGAGCTTTTTGTTCATTAACTCAATTGTTTTTTTGTTGTTCAGGTAACGCCAAAAAAGGTTTTGGGTTGATTAACAAAAGGGCCATAAACGTGAGTTATTGCACACAGTAATTTCCTAGATGAAAAAAATTTCCAAGGCTTAATCCGTTCAACGGTTTTCTGAAAATGAAAACATGAGTTTGGGAGCAAATTTTAATCATTAGCTTTGATAAAAATATTAGACATAAATTTTTTTTTGTGCGTTTTGCAGTCATCAACTTTCGAAAATCTATATTTGGTCTTCGCTATCATGGGGGCCTTAAAAACTAAAATTTCCTTTTTGACGTTTCCGTAACTTGACCAGTAGCGAAAATGATTGAGGAAAAATTTCAAAATACTGGAAAAAAGTTTTTTGAGGTGTTCCAGCATTACCAGACTACCAAAAAGAATCAAGGTCCACAGTGATAAATGGGAAATTTTTTTCATTCAATTCCATGAAAAAAAAAACGACAACATGAACTCTTGGAAGTAAGAACTCTGTTTCCAGAACACCCTAATAGCATTGGCAACAACAATGCTTGAGATTAGGCGGCGAATCACAAAAGGCTTAACGCCTCGACAAGAGCCAGGGGGTTCCAATTCATTCGTTCACAAGCTGAAAATGTGACGAATCTTGTTACTATGAGTACGAAAGATGTTCACGAGTCACATACACATGGAAAGAAGAAAAAGTGAGAAAGCTGTTCAAGAGCCATCGAGTCGTTTCAGGACATGACTGCCTTTAAAAGTGTTCACTATTTTTCTATTATCATTCCCAGAAGGCTGTCAAATGCAGAAAGAAAATTTTCTAAGTGCAGTTTGCTCAAAAACACAGTAGCGAAGATAATTGAGTATTTTTTTATTTTTCATCCGTAACTTTGTCGAAAACAGTCATTTCGTTTTTCGATTTTCTTTTTTTGTAATATAAGATCCAAAACTTGTTTCTAACAATAGATTTCAAAAAAATTTATAAACGAAACACCTAGATAAAAACTACTCGCCTGTTTTCGCCACTATATCTTCGAAATCGTTCATCCTCAACGGCGGTTTTTGCTAGAAAAAGCAATATTTTCATTTTATTCTTAGACACATGAAACTCGAAAATTTCGCGTGTTCAATAGACAATCTTAGGCTTCATTGTGAGAATTATCAGCAAACATGAAATAACAGAAAATCAGAAGATGAGATTTATTCCTTTTCTGAACGCCTCTCATGTTGAACGGAAAATAATAATCTGCAACATGAATGCTACTGCATGAGTTAGTCCTCTCTTCTCCTTTTTTTGAATGGAGGTTTTCATTAATATTTGATGCTCATAGAGGTGAAAAGGATATTCGAGCTGGAGAGTGTAAGGTTTCAAACGGTTCCAATCCCTGTTGACTTTCAGCTTCACGAGATTTACCAAAAAAAACGGAAATATGTTACTCTGGGCTTCTAGCAGAAATTAGCCCTATGAACAGTGAGGAAGTGTGTTTCCGGTTGGCCAAAGAGTTGAGCCCCAACACCTTAATTGTTTTTTGGGCCACACACACTCACCCATTTTCATTCCGGAACTTCTCAGCAAAAAAAGAAAATAGAAAATAGAAAATTTCTTTTTTTTTTCTAACAAAAACGAAAAAAAAACAAAAGCAAGGTTCCATTTCAAAAACTTCGTTTTTTTTGAAAAGTCGAATGGCATGTTGCATGTGAAGAATGGCGATAAAGAAACGAGAAAATTAATAGCTTATTACAATTGAACTCACACGTGTTCTGAAAAAATCTAGCGCGAAGTTTTCGAACTTTCTGACCTCTGCTTGAATTTTTGCAAAAATAAAACTCGGTTAAGACTTAATTTCAATTTTTACAGAAAAAAATTTCTCACGAGAAAATGAAACCGCAAGTGAGAAAATAGAGCTTTTTTTATGGAAGGTTATTTTCCAACCGCACAAATCTCATTCCGAGGGAGTGCGTTCTTGGGAGCTTCTCCAGAAAAAATTATATTCCGCAGATCGGCCAGTTGTTTTCAGTTGTCCCACCCTCGGGCAAGGTTTATTGCAACATACATGAAAAACAAGTCAAACACAATCTAATAGTTATCCTTAGAAAGATAGAAAGAAAACGAAAGAAATGAAATCTTCATTGGAAATTGAAAAAGGTTGAGTTTGTAAAAAAGTAAAATGTTTTCGAAAATTTTACGCGGAATGAAAATTAACCAGAACTGTTCAGTTTGATGAAGCTAAAAATTTAAAAACATGAAATCGATTACTAATTCAATGTTTTGTGTTTGAGTGGACTTACTTTTTGAATTTTCCAGTAGCATTCTGAAAATTCACGAAATCTATTTTGTCAATGACGAACTGAAAGATGGAAAAACCAGAATTCAGTTTGGCTTCTATAGTCGACGAAAGAAACGCACAAACTCTTGATATATTCCAATTTACTGCTTCAAGGCTTCTGATTGTTTCCAGGGGGATCGAGATTCAAATGTGATAGGTTTCAAATAAAAAAATAGAAAATTTTCTACCGAATTTTTTTCGGAATTTTTTTAATATAAATTCATTTCTATTTCATAAAAGAATGAAAAAAATCTGAGCTCAAAAACTCCCAAAAAAATTACTGGCCGCTATTTTTTTCACTGAATAAACCATGAAGCAATTTGGGGACCAGACTGACAGAAAAAGCAATCTCATGTCCCTGAATAGCAAGGGTATTAATGAGAAGCGTGCGAAAAATAAAATTCATTAGTGCATAATAATCCCTTATGAGGGCTGTTACTTTGAACCTTCGGTCAGCCTTTTTCTGCAAAGATCATTATATCAAACTTATAGAAGAAGAAATTTATGAAAAAATTAAAAAAATGGTCTAAGAAAGAAAAAAAAGATCTAACAGAAAGATAAAAGAACGCACCAAGCTAGAAAAAAGCTCTCGTCGAAAAGCTCAATACTTGAAAATGCAGTGAAATCGCTCTCAGATCGCAAGTCAAATAACCACGCATTACTCTAAATTCGGAAACAAGAGGCTACAAATCAAATCACATCAAAAATATCACAGAAAAACGATGTAAACAAATAAGAACGTGGGAAGATAAAAATGGATTAGGAAATGAAAAATAAAATTGGAATTTCCGGTTTTTTCCATGACTTCAATTGAAAAAAACTCAATCTGAACATGGGTGATTGAGAAGAAAACCAGAGAAAAAACATGAAATCATCGTCTGAATGTACATAAGAGAAGTTCATTAGGATAATTGGAAAAACGGAACAGTTTTTTTTCTCTAATAAACTATACTCACAGAAAAAAATTAATCATCTTCGAGTTTTTTTCCAATATAAAAAAATTTACTTTTTTTGATTATCTCTCAAACTCATCATTGAGAAAAAAGCTTTTGAGAAAATTGAAATGATTTCTGTGACAGTTCTCGAATCGACTCAAAAAAAACCTCCAACTTTTTTAACATATTTGCGAAACTTACTTGGCACCGTATAAAAAAAAGAAGTAAAAATTGGCGATGACTAGTTAAGCACCTACTTCCAGAAAAAAGTAAAAAAAAAAACGGGTTTTTGGGAAGAAAATGAGCCAAAAACAAGGTGTGGGCTATTCGGTCTGTTGCGTCGGCTGTTGTCTCTGGAAGTAGGCGTTCATGTGCTCGGCCACCTAAAAAAGATGCTTGAAAACCCATTTACTCCGTTCTTTTTTCGCTTCTAAGAGCCGGCTCAAAAACTAACGAACCTCGAGGACTTCTGTGGTTTCGGGCCTTTTCGAAGCATCCGGAAGTATGCAGCGTGAAACCAGATCTCTGAGCTAAATTTAAACAAAATTTTCAGTAGAATATAGAGAACTTGGTTTTTCAAAATTTGAGCCTATTCAAATAAATCTTGAACAGAAAAAGTTCGCTTTCCTATAAGTTATGGTAGAGGTCTTCTCAAGTATGAGAAACATTCTTCACTTTTTTTCGGTCTCTATTTTCACATTCATACCGACCTGTGTTGAATAAATATCGCCAGGCAACGGTGGATATTCGCAGTTCTCAATCTTCTTACACAATGAATACAAGTTCATCTTATCGCCGTAAAAGGGAGACTGCAACGCCGCCATTTCATAAAGAAGACATCCTGTGGACCAGAGATCCGATTTGAAATTATAGCCTGATTCTTGAATTCTCTCGGGTGACTGGAAAATCAAATAATCGTTTTTTTTTTGAGGTCGTTTCTACCATGTAATAAGGCGTTCCCACAAGTGAATGGGCGGCGGTTGTTTTTGAAGAGAAAAATCTTCCCAATCCGAGGTCTCCTAGCTTGACGACTCCCGTAGATGTTATGAAGACGTTTGCGGGTTTTATATCTGCGAAAAAAAGAAGAGTTTGAAATATGTCTCCAAAAAAGCGTGAGTAGGGAGAAAACTCAAATGAGACAAAAAAAACTCATTTCTGGTGTTTCATGATGAACTTTTAAAAGGAGAGACTGTGAAGCTTCTTAAACTTCAAACAGTTTACTTCTCAAAAGCTGAATTCAAAAAAAGGTTTTCTTTATTCATTTTTTCCGGATTATTTGATGAAGGTAATAGTTTATCACTAGCAATACGACTTTTTCTTATGTTTTTTACTTTCAAAAGGTCGGAAAAAGATATATCTGAATGGAATTTTTCGAAATTAAGAAAGTTCCGCTTTTTTTCATCGTTTTTTTCCGGGGACTTTTTCAACCAATTTTTTTGAATTGAAAGTTTACATTTTTTTCAATTTTGGCTTCTAAATATATAGGATACCCATCAATTATCTACCATCTAAGAGTTAAACATTTGTTTTTACTCTCTTTTTCGCATTTTTTATTGATGAAAATGTTTTAATATTAAAATCATACCTCGATGCATGATTCTTTTCGAGTGCATGTGCGCTAATGCTCTGGCCAACTGCACGAAATACTTCCAGATGGTCCTTTCCGGTATCAATCTTCCGCTTTTTTTGAAATGCTGAAAACAAGATGAGAATGTTCCAGTGCTCTATAGCAAATACTGTGAGAGCGTCAGGGATTCAGAAAATTTTTTAGAAGAAGAATTATAAATTTTAGTCGCAAACTTTGGAAGGAATTGTGTAAAGAGTTTTTCATGTTTCCTGTCACATGAGCTACCTATTCCCTAATAACAAAGAGTTCTTTTCATGAAGTACCTCGACAAACGGCAAATCAAACCTTGATCATTCTGCTCATATCTCCTGCCTCAGCTAACTCTAGGACAATGTTAAGCTGGTTGTTGTCAATGAAGGAAGCATAATATCTGAAAGAAATTTGTTTGCGATTATTTCTTCTTTGGAACCTTATAACGTTCACATGATTCAACTGTTTCAACAGATCAATTTCTTTTAAGCAATCTTGTCGAGCTTTCTGGTCAACCATTTCAAAAACCTGGAAATTCAACTCAAATCTCAACATAAAATAAGCAAGAAAAACCTGTATTTTTTTCAAAGCTACGTGTTGTTTTTGAGTGTCTTTTATCCATTTGCATTGAGCTCGAAAAAAACCTGGAAAATTTTTTTTGAATTATTGAAATTCAAATAACGTTTAAAAATAATTGAAAAATACAATTATATTTGTGGGAACTTATTGGATGCTGCCTTTTTTTCTATGAAAAACCTTCACTTGCTGCAAATTTTTCTTTCGCACTCTCTTCACTTAGCAGAACATTTCTATTGATTGAAAAATTAAAGCTAACTTCACTGAATTGGCCTTTTCCAATTTTCTTCTCGATGACAAACAACTCGAGTGATAATTTGTCCGGCGGCGGAATTTCGAAATTACTCACTATCGCAACGTTCGACATCTGAACAGTGTTTTTTTTTTGTTGACAATATATTAATATAATATTTATCAAAGCGACAAACAAGAAAGAAATTCACAATGACAGCAGTAGTGATGGGGAGAGCGGTAAAAAAAGCCAAAAAATTGTTCACCTGAATGCTTTCAGTTGCCATGGGGAACGACCAACTCCAGGAAGCCAGTCATTATTGAAAAAAGGATCAATGAATCTTTAAAAAAAAACAATAAGTTTAGAATAAATAGTTTTTTTGGGGTTTTATGATTGAACTATTAGATATAATTTTGCCAACTCAATCCACAAGCTCATTTGTTTTAAGTTTTTCAAAATTTACAAATCTCCAAGACTAGAAAAAAATTGCAAAGGTCTATTAGATCACTAACATTGACATAAAATCACCTGTATTCAAATTGAGAGTCAGGGTATAAAATAGAAAATAAAAACTTCAGAGAGTGCAAAATAACAAAAAACAAGTATCACAGAGAATAATCATATAATATAGTGAGGTAACTTTCTTGATTAAACAACACTGGAACGGAATGTAACCCGTGAAATGAAAATATGGGATAACTTTTTGTCGGAAATAAATTTGCGAGAAGAAGATGAGTATAAAAAAATATTCTCAATTTTTTTAATAAAAAAATAAATTTTAGTCACCGTCTGTATATTCAAAGGTCGTCATGAAAAAGTTTGACAAGGAAAAAAATTTTTTTAGCGTAATCTTTACAATAGCGACGATAAAATTAAAAATAAATCAATAAGTGAATTTAAAATTCTTAGCTGCAATCGGAAAGGGAAATCAATTCATAACGAGAATCTATGATCGATTACAAAGCCTTGGAAGAGAGGAATCCCTTCCGCGAAATGACGGCAAATCTGCGTGGCGAAAGGCGAGAAGAAGAGAGGTTGGTCTTCTCGCGACAGCATCTCGGCCATCTAAACTTGTTTTCCATTGTTTCTGATGAGAAAAGTCGATAGTCGGCACCTTTGCAAAGTTCTTGGAAGCAAAGTAGTACAAGACTCTTTGCAGTTGCCGCATTTCTTTCTCCTCCAGATTTGATACGTCTTCTCGTTTTACTGGCCGGGTACTCTGCGAAATCGTGAATTACAGATAAAAAAATGTGTAACTCACTGCACTTCGAGACTTTTTTTTGTGGTTACAGTAATAAATCACAGTTATGACTCAAGAAATTTGAGAAAACATTTAACCACGGTTGAGTATTGATCAAATTCCAAGAAAAAAACTCCTTTTGAAGTCGTAAAAAAACCTTCAATTCTTGACCAGGAGGTTACATGAACTCGAAAATATTTTAAAGAGCAGAAAACAATGCAACCTAGAGGCAGATAAACTTTTCTTTCAGCATTTTTGAGAAAATTGAAACTATTTTCTGGAAAATTGGAAACAAAACATACGGGAAGAAAACTGTAGAGCTCCAGCAAAAGTCTATTACGACCGACGGGTACCATTTCATCCTGAAAATCTTACCAAACTTCATAATTTCCAGCGAAAACTCACTCGAGCATGAATCAGCAGAACCATTGTGATGACCTCACAATCTTGCAGAATTTCTTGTTTCATGAGGCTACTAAAGTTTGAATCATTTTTACTGAGTGAAATTAAAAAACTAACTCTTCTTGGACTTTCATAAAAGTCATCCAGAGAAAGTCAACCGTCGCAAGAGCCTGAAAAAAGACATACGATTTCGAAAAAATTGACTTTTAATCCAACATCATCAATTTGACGACGGACGAGCTGGACTTTCAACCTCATTTTATACGCCAGGACGTTGAACATGGGTGCGGAGTTCAACTGCTCACAAGCTGGAAATAATGTATTGTTAGAATAATTCCCATTTTGTTCTCATAAAAAAGCAAGCATTGTCACACGTTCAAAACTTTTAATAAAAAAGACAAAATGAACTACAAGCCATTTTATTCCACAATCGGCCATTAATTCTACCTTCATTACATTTTCTAACAAAGGATAGCTGAATAGACTAGATTAAGCTAAATAAACGTGTGACATTGTGAACTTGTATCTCCATTTTAAGCCTTTATGAAAAACAGCTCAACACCGTCGAAGTTATCATTAATTTGTTTCCACGTCATTATCAGTTGCTCTGAAGAACGTTTCTTTTCTATGAATCGCCCGTGAAGTACTTTAAAAAATTTTTTTGGAGGTACTAGAAACAACTAAAAATTTTCTATTTTCAAAACTATATTTATACACCAGAAAAATGCTTCGAAAAATATTTTTGACCAATTTTAAAAAAATAAGCTATCCCTTACGAAGCTCCTAGCCGCCATTAAATGACCAAGGTCGCAAAAAACTATTGAAAAATTTAAAAAAAAAACGTACCGTCATCAATATATTTTTGTGCGTTGTCGTTTAATCCCAAGTAAATACTCGCCTCTGTTGCTTCCATTAAATTTCTACCTAAAATTTGAAGCATTTCTGTGATAAAATGATAATGACATCAAAGGATATATACTTTAAATGCAAAACCAACCTGCGACTGTGTTCATTTTCATTTCCGTACTTATTTCTATCGCTTTGTTGTAATGAGAAAGAATGTCCGAGCGGTAGTACATGTTGACTGCGAAAATTCTCTTATGTAATTCATGTAAAATTTGAAACAGCGGTATGAAAATAAGGTCCAACTTGTATTTCCTGCCGAGAAATGAGCATGATGGGCTTGTAGAAGAGCTCTGGCGGCTGAAAGATGAGCTCGATGAGATTCGATTGGCCTATCGAGGCTGTGAAGGGCGGCTATTTCAGCAAAGCAGTACCCGGCCGAAGCAAAATCTTTTTGTTCTCTGCAAAAATTCATACTTATTCAAAAGGTTTCTAGTGCAAAAAATTAAAAACTTGAAGTTCTACAAATTGCGAAAAAGGTCGCCTTTTCACGACAGACATTTATTTGAAAAAAAATTGCAGAAAGAATCTCCAACATACATAAAGTTTCGCGTTTTTCTTTGAAAATCTGCTATGGTGTCTTGTGGATTACGGAAACTTTCTTTGGATTTCTTCCCAACACGGTTGATTTGAGCTTTTAAAGTGGACCATGTGTCCAGCGTAGACATCACGCTGAAAAAGTAGATGTAAAGCACACGGAGTAGAATTAAGAAAAAGGAAGAAACTCAGCATCATGAATAAGTTTTCGAATGAGTGGTTCAATATTGTTCTCATTTTCAAAGACTCTAATTGAACTTTTGTGTTTTTCTTCTGATCGAACTGTTAGAAGATGGAATAAATATATGGATGCAAAAAAAGTGAACAAGTAAAAAAATTTTTCTTGTTTTGTATTTTTAATTTTTCTACCTATTCTTTCTCTTTTTTTAAATTTTCAAGAATAAAAATCTTAATTATATAAAAAAACTGTGTAACCTAATAAAACTACCCAAAAAAACAAATGTATGTAGGAAATCAATGAAATAAATGCATTTAGAAATGAATGCATTTAAAAATAAAAAGATTTGAAAAAATTTAAAAAAAGGTGAAAATTCCTATAAAACAAAATCTCACGTCAGGTTTCAACTTATATTTGAATTTGCAACTAACTAACCGAACATAATAACGTTTAGAAATCTCACCAAAACAAATGAAAAACACAAACAAACGTTTCAAATCAAAAAACCCCTTTTGACACTGATATCACTTCGTAAAAGCGAATGTTATATGTATTACATAAGTGAAATTAGTGATAAACGTAGTAAAAATAATATTTAAAACATAAGTAACCTTAAAACAATTAGAAAAGTGAAAAAAAAAGCAAGGAAAGGCGGCAGAACGACTCTCACGCGCAAAGTGTGCAAGCACTTCCACGCGCTTTGCCCCCTCCGCAGCCTCCAGAACGGCGAAACTCGCTCTCTATTTCTCACTTTTGCATTATTTTCTTCTCTCTTTTTTGCTGTTTTTTTCATTTCTTTTGTTTGTTTCTATTATTCCCATGTATCTTTTTTGATCCTTGTCATTTATATAGTCTCGAATCACGTTTGAAGTCGCATTTTATTCGCTTTTTCGCGTTTTTTTCGTTGTTTTTCAGTGTCAACTCGTTATTTATAGGTACGGAATCGTTGAAGGAATGGTTTTCGTCAGCTCAGTGAACGAGGAAAAGCCTCCTGAACACCCTTCCGCCTCCCAAAATGACTCAGGTTTGATATTTCTTGATATATTCCAACAAAGTAGAAATTTTTCCTGCAAGAGTATTTCACCTGTAACTTATGGGAGATGTTTATTTTGTTTCAAAAAAGTTTACGTTCATCTTGATCTTAGTTTCGCCATAAATAAAACTCGTTTTTTTATTTTATTTCTTTTTGAACCGTTTTGATAAATTTGCACATGGTTTTTTTCCAGTAAACAAAAGGCTGAAATTCATTTTTCCTTGACGTTTTTCAAGTTTTTTTGCAGTAAAAAAAGACGAGTTTTTTTGCTTTTTTTCTTGCTTTTTCTTCAAGCAGCTTTCGCCCGAAAAACAATTCCAAATGTTCACTTCTCTTTTTTTCCAATGTACTTTTTAAACTCTAAATCCAAAAATTTTCTTGTGAACTTTGAACTTTTTCAGAGTTTCTTTCTCTGAAAGACATTGGAAAAAAGCGGCGATGCACGTAACACCATTCAAATCGACCAAGCATTCGCCTTTGATTCAGGTTTGAAAAAGTAGAGTTTTCTAGAGCTATTCAATATTTTTCCAGGGGTCAGTTTCTAAAGAAGCGGCCATCAAAACGCACGCAGCTTTTCGGCTATTAGATGTTTCGGCCGAAAAAGAGAAAAAGTAAGGAAGTTTTGATTTGGTTTTTTATTATCTATAACTTTTCCAGGATTCGGGACATGTACGATCGTTTGGATAAAGACAACGACGGGACAATTGATATCCGAGATCTCACAAACGCTCTCAACAAGGAAATGCCTCATATACCGTCGAAGTTGGCGCCGGTTTGTCTTAGAAATCATGAAATAAAAATATCTTTTTTTGTTTGAAATAAGAACATGACTTTTTCTGTTCGAGTTCAGAAAGAATTTTTCATGTTGATCGCTTAAAAAAAGAAAGTGGGTAGCTTCGAAACTGAAAAAAATTTCCGTTTGGTCGTCAGTTTAGTTCATACTTTTCATTTTCTTCTGTTGATTAGTTGAGTTTGAATAAAGAAAAAAACTCTGAAGTTTCTGTTCCTTGCAGTTTGTTACTGAACTTCAAAATTTTTGGTTTTCAAGAAATATTTCCATTGAAATCTTCTAAGACATCCTAAAGATTGCTTTAAATTTTAGAATACATTTTTTTCAGAAGCTCATGGAGCGAATGAAACGTGACGAAGAAGACAAAGTTCACTTTGGGGACTTCGCCACGTATGTTTTGGACCACGAACGCCGGTTGGCCGACATTTTCCGCGAGTTGGACAAAAATTGTGATGGTTTGTTTATTTTGTACGAATTGTTCATTTGATAAAAAAATATTTAGGTCTCATTGATGTTGCCGAAATTCAAAAGTATTACGATGACATGGGCGTTCCGCTTGATGAGAAGAGAGCAAAGGACATTGTAACGCGGTTAGTTTGATACCAAAAAAAGCCAATGAGTATTCCGTTTATAGGATGGATCAAACTGGTTCTCGATCAGTTGATTTGGGCGAGTTCCAAGCTTTTTTACTGCTTTATCCTTCATCGGATCCAAAGGATATCCTTGACTTCTGGAGACACAACCTGGTGAGTATTTTCATTTTTTATTTTGAACAACTCTTGATATTTTCTTAATTTTTGAGATACTGATTTAGAAGGTTGAAAAGAAAATCTTTTTATTTCTACTTTTCTTATTTAAACTCTTCCAAAAATTTCTTTTGAAAAAGAATTTTAAATGAAAACGATTTCAGGTGATTGATATCGGAGAAGACAGTCAAGTACCAGAAGACTTCACTCCTCAGGAGATGCAATCCGGTGTTTGGTGGAGGCATCTGGTGGCTGGAGGCGTCGCCGGAGCAATGTCCAGGACCTGCACGGCGCCGTTCGATCGTCTCAAGGTGTACCTCCAGGTATCAGATTTATTCGAACATGGAAAAAAGCTATCAGTAAACGTATTGCTCATCAGGAAACTTTGAAATCTTCAGGTTCATTCAACGAAGTCGAACAAGCTCGGCGTCGTGAGCTGTGTGCACCTTCTACACTCGGAAGGGGGCATAAAGTCGTTCTGGCGAGGAAATGGCATCAACGTCATAAAAATTGCTCCGGAGTCCGCCATCAAGTTCATGTGTTACGACCAACTCAAACGCCTCATCCAAAGCTACAAGGAAAACGGCGAATTGACTACAATTGAACGCCTTTGTGCTGGATCTGGAGGTACTTTTTTTGTATCTTTATACTTTGGTAGGTGTCTATGAAAAATTTTAGTTTTTGATGTAGAGGCAGAAAAAAATTAAGATTTTTTTTACTCACAAAAAAATTTGTTAATTGAGAAAAAAAGAAGTTTAAAAAGGAAAAACTTTTTTTGTTTCGGAAAAAACGTTTTGCAGTTTTTTTCACAATCTTCAAAAACGAAACCACTGACATTGTTTTCATTGTTATATTTTTTCCGAGATCCTCAATCTGAATTCTGAATTTCAGCCGGTGCCATCTCTCAAACGGCCATCTACCCAATGGAAGTGATGAAGACAAGACTGGCTTTGCGACGGACAGGTCAACTGGACAAAGGCCTCATTCACTTCGCCCACAAAATGTACTTGAAGGAAGGACTCGCTTGTTTCTATAAGGTTTGTTTTATTTTTCAAAAACTTGAAAATTAATTCGAACTTATACTTTTACTGATTCGTACTTTGAAAATTGGTTCAGAAGAGATAATCTTCAGTTTTGACTATTCTATTTGAGAATTTTACTCTATGTTAACTTTTTTATATAAAACACTTCCACCTGATTTTTTTGAATGATCAAAATAGACTTTCAAGACAGCTGCATAGCTTATCGGAACCCATTAAGTTTATCTTCCCATTAACAACCATTCTAGGAGTTCTTATCAAGATCATCTGTCACATTTTACAGTCCTTTTGACCTAGGCTGAAATTATTAATGAGTTAGGGTGAGTTTAAACTTTTATAAGGGTAGCTATAGATACAAAATCCTTTTAAGCAATAAAAATTTTTCTCGCATACATATGGTGAAATTTTTAACGTTTTCATGATAACCAATAGAGGGGAAAAAAAACTGATGAAAAAGAATTTTCACACAATTTCTCTATTTTCAGGGATACGTGCCTAACCTTCTTGGTATCATACCATACGCTGGAATCGACTTGACCGTATACGAAACACTCAAGGGCCTCTACAAGGAGAAGAACAAGGTCTGTTTGACCTGCATAGAAAACTTGATCTTTTGTGAGCGGTTACTTCGGGTTCGAAAATGCAAAAGACCTTGATAATTTTGAAGTGGCTAGGTTAGGGACGCAAAAAGAATATAACCAGTTCAGGTTCCATAGTAATAAAAGGCAAGAAAATTCAGTTAGTAATGAAACCTTGGTAAGGATAACAATCAAATTTTTATTTCACGCTTAGTTCACTCGAATTCTACTTTAATCTAAAACAATCAATAATAAAGTTTTCAAAAATTTTGAAAAGTTTCAAAATAGACAAATAGTTTAGGACAACAAGGAACCTGGAGTGTTGGCTTTGTTGGCTTGTGGCACCTGCAGTTCGACTTGTGGCCAGCTCGCCAGTTATCCTTTGGCTCTCGTTCGAACTCGCCTTCAAGCTCACGGTTTCTTTTAAAACACAATGCAGGAATTAAAATACAACTTTTTCAGCAATCACGCAAGACCCGACCCATCCGGACAACATGCTCGGCCAGTTCAAATACATCCTGAAAAACGAAGGTTTCCCTGGCCTCTACCGCGGAATCACTCCGAATTTCATGAAGGTTAGTATCTTCTCTTGTTTGTTGAAACAAAGTTTGAAATATGAATGAAAGTTCAGTCATGTTTTCTTTTTTCGTTAAAAACCCTACTTGTGGAAATCAAAACGACTAGTAGAGATTGTATGATAGTCATTTTGCTCTATGTACACGTAATTTTTGGTCTTCTAAGAAAAACGTGTCAATCAAAAAAAATTTGAACTGAATGAAAAATTACATCTCTCGGAAGCTTATGAAACTTCTGCCTCGAAGTGAACCGAAGAGTATTTGCAGGTGATCCCGGCGGTCAGCATCAGCTACGTCGTCTACGAGAAGGTCCGCCAGCATCTCGGTGTCACAATGTCCTAAAATTCTTCCGGTCCAAATTCCCTCGGGTTATATTTTTTTCCATTGGTGTTTAATAATTTTTGTGCTCATTTTAGTATTTCTAAGGTATTTAACGAGTTTTTGTTAGGTTAAAGTGATACTGCATTTTGCATGCCCTGCTCCCTTATTTTTTGGTATTTCGTTTCAATCTTTTATATCATTTTCTACGGGTCACAACCGTTGCAACTTCGGGTGGCCATCTTTCATCCTGTTAAATAATTTTTGTGCCACCTCCTGTGAATTTTAGGCACGTTTCGAAAAATTCTAGTTGTTTTTTGTCTGTTTGTTCTAGTTCGTTCACATTTCGGTTGACTCGCGTTCTTTCGTGATTTTCTCCAATTCCTCCTGTTTGAGTAACTTTCCGGTTATCAACTTGCCTTGTCCCATAGTTCTTTTTCCTTTGAAGAATCTGGAGTATTTCCTTTTTTAACGGTGTCGTATTCTCGATTTTACTCGAATTTATCTGTAAAGATTGTTTTTGATTTTTTCCGATTCCTAGTTTTCTGAGTTTTGCGGGAGTTGATACCAAGTTCATTAGAAAACCGGTTTTCAATCTCAAAAAAAACTTAAACCTGTCGAATTAAGTCTACTCCGATGTTTGTCCTACTGCCTTACGCTTTTTTGGCTTCGTAGGCTTCATTTTTTTCTTTGCTTTTTGGCTATTTTTGCTTGGCTTTGGTGTGAATTGGCTTGTATCATATTGGTTCATAAGATCTCTTTTTTTCACTGAATTTGTTCTGGTTTTTTTCTGTTTTAATGAAATTTTTTTCGGATTTTTTTGGAGTTCAGCACTGAAGGATATGAATTCAAAGAAACGTGAGAAATTTTTCTAAAAGACACTAATTTTTTGGAGAACGAATGAATAAATTTGGAAGCATATTGTGTAAAAATGTTGAAAAAAAGGTGTCGAAATTAGCTTTTTTTTTGAGGATCAGTAAAGTTGGTGGATTTGGGTGGAAGTCGCAAAGAAAAAAGTCAACACGAAAAAGCGGAAGTTTCTCATTTTTGTTTTTGAAAAAAATAAAAAAATTTCGTGAGCATGATATTTATGAAATTGCAGTCGTTTTGCAACTAGTTATGAAAAAAAGCTGTGATTCTTCGTTATAATATTTTTTTCTCACCAAATATTTTTTTAAATTTTATTTTGAAAAAGACACTAAAAATGGCTGCAAGCCGAACTGGAAAAAAAGGGTTCCTTGAGCAGATTGAGTCAATCGATAGAATATGTCAGCTGTGTCACGTCCTTCCAGCTAAAATTACGTTGTTCCTCGTGCTCCGGCGCCAATGTCAATTGCGGTTAGGCTTTCGGACCCTCTTTTGCTTTTTTCGAACGTTAATTGCTGTTGATTAAAGTTTTTTTGTTATTCTTCAAATTAAAGCTCTTAGAGCTCTGTCTAGCAGTAACGCTATGAAAATTTTTTTCCGGAAATTGTTCCTGAAATCGACTTGACTTTATTTTCAACCGGCATGTTTCAGATGCAAAACTATTTTTTAATTTTATTGATATTGATAATCCAATTGGATCTTTTCTTCTGTACAACTTGTACTGAGCCAGTATTGCTTCATCGACCGAAGCACTGCAAAAAGGAGTGTTTGAGTGACGACGACTGCAAAAAGCACAAAAGGTGCTTGTGTGACGGAGAATGCGGCTTGAGCTGTGTCAACCCAGGTTCTTTTTTCCGGGGTGTTTTCTTTTCTGTTAGCATTTTCGACAATTATTTGAAAAATTGGAAAGATCATGAAAAAAATGAAGCTTTCCTCAAGCTAAACGAATACGTCAATTTTTATTTTTGATTCTAACAAGCAACTTTCCTAACTCGCAAATGCAAAACTTTGCTCACCAAGGTTCCACCTGTCACCATCTACCTCAACTTGAAAATGGCTTCATCAGAACAGCTGGGGACAATCGTTTCGGTTCAAATGCCGAGTATGGATGCAATAAAGGTTTTCTTCACTTTGATACTATTTTTCATTTCTCCATCAGGCTACATTCTTGTCGGAGCCAGCCAAAGAAGATGTCAAGCAAATCGAGAATGGAGTTCCTCCCAGCCGGTTTGTCGCATGCAATGTGAGTTTTAACTTTTTCAACCGGAAATATTACGTGTTTGAATACTTTTTTCCTTTTCAGTAAAATGCGGACCTCCTCCAGAAATTCCCTACGCAGTTCACGACGGCTCTTCTTTCACCGGAGAGTATGATTTGGATGCCGAAGTCACCTACGGCTGTGTTCCTGGCTATCACAAGTTCAACAGTAAGGTGAGAATAAAGTTTTCATTTGTCTTTCATGAAATTTTGAAAAAGAAAAGCTTCAGGGATTGGCAATTTCGAAATGTCTGTTGAATAGGAAGAATGTAGCTCAATGGTTTGGTCCTGATCTCAGGTGTAAAGGTAATTTTCAATCTTCAAAGTCTTCCGGGTGTTGATGAGGAAATGAAAAAACCAAATTAACAAAAAAAAATTGAATCTAACTATTTTTTAAAAGTTTATAGCAGCGGAATAAGGGAAAATATCATTTATATTATTTTTTTCTCAACTAGTCGAAGTGCTTATAAAACAATTAATAAGCTTTATTTATTCATCAGTCTATATTAACCTTGGAGTTAATCAATCTTTTTTTAGCCAGATCATGTCCCGACCCTGGAGATATTGAAAACGGGATAAGAGAAGGAGACGTGTTTGAATATCCACATAAAGTCAAATATTCTTGCCTCCCTGGATATCTTCTGCTTGGCTCAACTGTTCGTCAATGTTCTGGGAACGGGGAATGGAGCAGCGAACCGGCTGTTTGTAAGCGTGAGTTTGCCGTGTCTTTCGTATTTTATTTGATTGTTTTTTAGCAAGTGAATGCGCCCGACCGTCAGCTCCCTTGCATGGGAAAGTAGTCGGTTCATCTTTAACTTATCAGTCAGTTGTGACGTATTCCTGCGAAAATGGGTACAGATTAGTTGGACAAGTTCAACGAATCTGTTTAGCGGAAGGAATTTGGGGCGGCTACGAACCAAAGTGTGAAGGTATTGGAGCACTTCCGCTTATTCGCCATTCATATTCTTCAAGAAATCCGTTGCCCAACGCTTCCTTCTTTACCAAACGGATACATTGAAGGAGGGGAAACAGCTTATGGTTCGATTGCGGTTTTCAGGTGAGGTTTTTGAAAAATCAAGTCATTTTTGTTGGCTTGAACAAAGTAGTGAATGCAACGTGATTATTGAAGTATAATTTCAGGTGTTTGGAGTCGATGAGCCATGAAGGAGCAAACAGAGCCAAGTGTTCCGAAAATGGACAGTGGAGCAATCCTCTACCCAGATGCTTGGGTAAAGTTTCGAAAAGGTGCAGAGAGGCTAAGATTGAACTTTGAAGCTTCCTGTCGAGTCCCTCACATTAAGAACGGCAGAATCAAAGATAAAGTTGAAGGGCAGCTGATTGCTTCGGGTGAGTCTCACTATAATTGTTTGAATATCGAGTTTTTTCCAGGTTCTACAATAATTGTTACTTGCAATTCTCAGCATGAAGTCAATATCGATGAGAAACTGACGTGTGACAATTCTTCTTGGAGTCATGTTCCTGTTTGCAGTCCACGTTCGTTGAACCACAGATTTGGGGAAAAAAAAACAAATTTTTCAGTGAGTTGCCATAGTTGGCCTCCGAGAGTTCCTCACTCCAGAATTTTGTTTTCGAAATCTTCCCATGGGTCTGTAGCGAAATATGAATGTCGGAATGGGTAGGTACTTCCATAAAAGTTCTATATTCGAATCTTGAAATAAGTTTATTTCTATTAAACTTTTATAAGTTCTCATTTTTTTACAATTGCCGTACCAATGAGTTTTTATTTTATTTTATTTTGTTTTCTTCAAAAAACTGTGTTTGAAAGTAACGACACAACTTTGATTTTCTTTCAGATACCACCCAAACCAAAATAATCAGAACGTTAAATGCCAATATGGAGAATGGGCCCGCGACGGACCTCCTTTGAAATGCCTGCCAAGTGAAACTTAATTTGAGAGTTTTTTTTTCATTGTTACTTTTCAGGTTGGTGCGAGCATCCTGAGAAAACCTACAAAAGTCTGCCAGATGGACAGATTTTGCTCGAAGGCATTCTGGGCGCTTATGAATTCCAAAAGTATATTCAGAAAGTCGAGGAAGGGCGTGCGATTAGTTTTCAGTGTGGCAAGGGTTATTATCTGATAGGTGAGATCAACTTTCTAAAAAATCTCACAGTGCTGCTTTTGCAGCTAATTATGCCCTTTGGAGCTCTCGAAACTTTTTTGAACACCCTGAAGATCTTTTTATTTCAACTGAATTCTCATAAAACTTTAGAGCTCGGAAATAATTTAATTTCAAGTACAAAAAGGGGAAGTATTCTGAGAAAACTTTTTTCCTAATTTTTTTTTTCAATCAGATCATTTTCATTTCAGGACCCCCGAAAGCTACTTGTATAAATGGCGATTGGATGCCAAAAGTCAACCCAAAATGTGTGTTACAAACCCATCCAATGATTGAAGGCAAAATTCTGTGGGATCGAAAAAAGAGAAGCTTAACAGGTTCATTTATCATTTCCGCATACTCACCTAATTATTTACGTTTAGAAACAAGATATGGAGGAAATCGATGTCCATCGGTGACCGCGAAAATGGAAAGATTAGTGACGCGTCACTCGGAAAACGGCATATCTGTGAGTTTTTATAGTTTGTCAAAATTTATTCATGACAAATCGCGTGCATTAACGGGCTTCAGGTGATTTGCAGGGAAGGATACGAGTTTTCAAGCCAGCAAATTGACGGAAGGTCTTCTTGTGTCAATGGCAGCTGGTTTCCAGAAATTGCCGAATGTATAGCCAGTTCGTTTTTTTATGTTTCAAAAAAAAATATAACGATTCGACTACAAAGAATAACGGCAAACTGTTTACACAGATTTATGATAAAACTGGAAAAAACTTTTCAAAAACCTAAAAAGTTGTCACTGTAGCCAGAAATATGGTTTTAGAAAATATCAAACTAAGGTTTTCTCTGACCCTTGTTCAAAACTAGAAACAAATAGCGATACTCAAATAATGAGAAATAAATCCAGAATCTTGTCGGGTGCCTGTGAGGCTTCACGTCTTCTTTTTGAAATCTTCTACTTCTCAAATCATACAGTCTAATGACGTCGTCGAACATGGAACAGTGGCTCAGATGGCTTGTTTGAGAGGATTCCACCTGAGCGGTTCGTCTTTCTTTTACTTTCCAAAAGTTACTGATTCGAAATTTATAGGCAAGACTTTTTTGAGTTTTCTCATAAGTTCGAAAAGCGGATTCCTAGCTTTTTTAGCTACCTAGAGTCATCTAATACTCAGCTTCTCACATCTTTGTGAAAGGAAATTAATGAGAAACTTCTTTGAGAACAGAGCTACAGTATTCTTTGAGTGTCAGAATACTCGGAAATTATCTTTATATTATTTCTGAGATTTGCTCCATTTTCAGGAAATGGAAACCTTGAATGTGAGCGAGGCAACATCAAGGAATCTCTGGGCCATTGTGTACCTCGTGAGGTTTCTCAAATTTTCGTGAAATTTTATCATTTAGAGGAATGTGTCCTTCCTGAACTTTCCGTCGGAAAGTTCGACGTCGCTTCCTCATCAGTTCGAAATGGCGACGTAGTGACGCTGATGTGCTCCAATGCCAATGTTTCAATTGTCTGTACTCAAGGAACACTTTCTCCTAGTCCGTCTTGTTTTGATAATGGTGAGAAAATTATTGAAGTTCTGAATTGCTAAAAATAGGTATTTCCAATAAGAATCAGCGCTTTCGAACTACGAATGTTTTTTTATCACTACAAGATCCGATCTTTTTAAGAATCTCGGTTCTGCGTGCCTCCGCAGGACACGACACCAGCTCATATTTATCGTATGCAAGGAGTTCGACGCGTGAATATCGATCGATTCCAGTCAGCTTTTCCTAACGGGACTATTTTCCAGTACAAGGTTGTTTAGAATAACTCAGAAAGTATGAATGATTCCGTTTAGTGTATGGATAAAGAAGAAGCGAACGGGATCGAATGTGTTAATGGAGAATGGATCAGCAGTCTGCTTCCGTGTGGTAAGCAATAGATTCTTTCAATGACCATTTTTGAAGCAAAAAAAAAATGATTCTAAACTTAGAAGGAAGAAATATGCATTTATTTTGAAGTGAGTTTCCTTTCAAATTGAAATGTTCATAATTGAAAAAAATGTGAAAGAAATGGTTTTTTCTCCGAAATATTTTTGAACTATCCTAGATGCATTTGAAGTTGTTCAGTATCTTCGAACTTCTCTGAATGGGTGACGCCAACAAGCGACGAGATGTGCTCACCGTTTCCTCTTCCATCTGATCAGAAGATTTTCAACATGGATAATTACGTGCCTCATCCAAATCACAAGTTTGCCCATGGAACTGTCCTCAATGTTTTTCTTCTCGATATACGCTCTTTCAATTTGGTTTGTCTTAGGTTGGCTGTCTGACAATGAATTCGGTATCGGAGGGCGTCTCAATAAAGTGCCGTCGAGGCAAATGGAGTTCGTCTCGCAAGCTGAAATGTGAAAACGGTTGGGTTGTACAGACTGTTTCATCAAACTTTCCAACTTTCAGTTGAACACGCTTGCGAATTGAAAATGGACGTGCAATCTCACATTGCTGTTTTCGACTTTGCCAGGAAGGAGAACGTTTTGTTCAATCAGTTTTTTGAAGGTACGGTGGTGAAACTAATTGAAACTTTTTGTTTCGCAGCTGGCAGCCGATTGTTGTTCCGTTGTTTGAGCATCGGAATGGAAAAGTTGCAAGGGAAGAGTGAAATCGTCTGTGTCGACGGTAATTGGAGTCATCCCATACCTTACTGTCATCCTCTTCAACCAACGAACCGTGAGTCATTCACTCAATGAGTTTAGATAGGTATGCAAAAATAATAAAATTCAACATGATATGCAGGAAATTCGTTGAAGTAAAAAAAAAAGTAGCTTTGACGTTCTAAATATACATATACGCGACTGAGTTTAGGCGTGTGCTCAAGATTAGGATTGGAAAATCATCGGTCTAAACGTTTTTAATGGTGAGAAATGATTTCAAAAAATCGCCTTGCTCAAAGCTCTCCCAGAAGTATCTCCGAAGATAAACTGAATAAAATGTAACGGTCATTTGGAATCAGAATCCCAATTTTCTTACATTTGATGAAAAAATTTTTTTGCCAAGAAAGGTCAAATTAACAAAAAAATTTTTTTAACGTTCTTCGCATAAATTTTAATCGATGACTCATTTGTTTCTGATTGAAAATCCACACTTTCCGATGAAATTTCAAAGTATCTCATCCCTTTCTTTGATTTTTCTGTTAGCTAACCTTTCTTTTTGAGCAAACTTCACGAATATCAGCAGTAGATAATTGAGTTATCTTGAGGTTACATTTTAAAAAAAAACTCAGGTTTTTTTTTCAGAGAACATGGTCCCAATCAAGTTCACGGTGAGTGAAGGAGCCTACGCCATCTCTCCAAAAGGCGATCTTGTCGTTTCGAGAGCTTCCAACATTGTTCTGATCTGTCTATCACGCAAGACGATCCCTAATCCAGTTTGGGTTAGTTAAGAATTTCGAATCAAAAAATGAAACAAAGTAGAAAGTGACGTCGACTTACCGGTCGTACCCAACGCAGTGGACCAGGACAAGGACGACAGAAAACGAGGACATTGATGGATTCGAGGTATTACGTGGCGGCTGGATTCGGCTTTCTTTTTTGTGAACTTTTTTTTCTTCAAGGTTACCATTGCAAGCGCTCAGCCCTATGACAGCGGGCTTTTGCACTGCGTGTTGCCGAACGGCGTTCGCAATTCCATCCGCATTCAAGTTCATGGTTCGTTTAAGAAGCTGGGAAAAAATCTCATTTTTATTTTCCGACGGATCTTATTATACAAGTTGAATGAGAAAGGTTTTTAGTGCAAAATCGTAATAAAAAAGAAGCCGTTCATCAGTATGGAAAGTTCCATAAAATGCTTGGAATGTCTTCACTCTCATATTTCATTCGACTTTGATTCTATTTCTATTCGAAATTCTGAAATAAGAAAACAATCGTTCCCGATCATCCAGCCAATATGAAAATTTCAAATGGTTCTACACTCTTTTTGTGGCTATTTAGATAATTAGTGGCCCAAAAATTGGCTTCTTCCTGCAGACCGTACATGTCCGATGCTTCATAACTCCTCGTCGCTACAAGTCCACTTGTCGGGGTCCGGTTTATTCGTCGGTACCGTCGCGCAGTTCTCTTGCCCCATCGGCTATCGCGTCGAAGGCAACGCCATCTCGACGTGCCTTTCCGACGCGACTTGGAGCCATTCCCTGCCAAAATGTGTTGGTCAGTTCACCCTGTATATGGGATCTAAACTGGGAAGTTCGGAGCCTGATTTGAAAAGATTTTGAATCTCAAGGTGCATGGTTGATTCTATTTGAAAAATCATTATCAGAACGAAACTGGAAGTTTTATGGAGAAATAGAAATTGCGAAGCAGAGGAGTCCTTGATCAAAAAATTACTTTTGTCTATGTTCTATCCACAAATGAATGTTCATCTTTTTTTTATCAAATTTTCGAAGCCACGCGAGTCAACTTCATTTATACAGTCAGAATCTTCTGTGTAGATAGTTCAAAAAAGGGGCAACTTTTACAGAAGTTAAACGATTATGTTGGTCTCAATATTGGAGTATTACAAAAAATAAAAAAATCCCGGATAAAACTTTTTTGTGGATGCGTCGAAGTTTTTTGAACTTCAAGAAAACCTTGGAGAAATCATATTTTTCAGCTGCATTGTGTCCAACGATAGTCGTGAATGGATCAAGGATGTCTGTAACTGTTTCTTCCTTCCGAACAGGCGGCGTCGCACAGTTCCGCTGCAATAAGGGGTGAAATTTTTCATTTCCGTCAAAGAAAAACTTAGAACATTTTTACAGTTTTACTCTGATTGGAGATCCCAACTTACATTGCACAAAGTACGGCTCTTGGAGCCACGATTTCCCGAAATGCAATGGTCAGTTAGTGAAAACTGATTTTGAAAGAAATTATTTTTTTTCCGTTGTCAACTGTGGTCCTATCCAACCTCCACGCAACGGTCATATAATTGGAGAGCCAAAAGAACGGTACTCGAAAGGAGATATTGTTCTTTTTGGCTGTCTTCCAAATCATCTTCTCACTGGAGGCGATTTTTCAATTTGTCAAGCCAGTGGAAAATGGAGCGACGTCCTGACTAAATGTGAGTTTTATGATCATTTTTCAAAATGCGAAAAAATCTCAACTTTTTTTTTTTTCGTATTTCCTTATAATCATTCCCAAAAACGTATGATTCTTAACAAAGGAGTTTCTTGACAACGCATATTAAGAATTACGTGAAGTTCTGCTACTGGCGTCTTCAAGGCATAATAATGTAGAAAAGAGAAGAAAAGTGAAGTTAAAAGAAAGATTATTTGTTGATCAAAAACGCTGTATAAGAATATTCTTATTTGCCAAACGCTGTGACTTATAAAAAAAGAGCTTGTCTCATGATTACTTCAATTTTCCAGGCGAGGCATACTGTCGACATCCTGGCCGACCGGTCAACGGCGCCAGTACCGCCGTCGCCAAAGACTACTACGCGATCGGAGAAAAAATAGTCTTCTACTGCCCTTCTCCAAGTTACAAACTCAGTTCTGAGAATGTCTTGATGTGCATTTCGGCCGGTAAATGGTCCAGAAAACTGCCTCTTTGCTTGCCTGCCTCTTTTTCGAACTCTCCCAGTGGCGGAGGATGAAAATAAATTGTGTTTGTTCTGAATTGTTTATTTATCAGTTTTTGCAGTTATGTTGATGAACCCTTTCTTTTATTTTACAGATGACTCCTTTTCAGAAAAAGAGGGCTTCAAAGACCAGAATGATTCGTTTCAAGTTATTTTTTCCTGTAGGCTGAAGTTTTTTAAGAAGCGTTTGCCGGGCTTAAAAGGACAAAAAAATATGGCAACGATTTTCGCTAGTTTTTTTGAAAAATTGATAAGCCATTTTTTTCAAATTTATCGATGAAGTTTTTGTTACTTTGAAAAAAGTCCTTTTCTGGACGCATGTCTAACGCCTTGAGATATTTGGAGAACAATTCATCAATTCTTAGGATTCTGAATTTTTTTATCAGTTTTCGGGTCGATTTGTTCCTGTATTTTTTTCTTGCGAGATAGAAATCGAGAAAAAAATATCATATAATTTTACTCTAAAAGACGCGATGGAAAAATTCACTTTATTACAAAAGCTCAACAAGAAGGTTGCGTTTAACCTCACAATAAAATTGCTGTTTTTTGAAGAAAGAACCAGTCCAGTAATGTCAGATTTGCATTTCGTAACATAACTCGGTCGCAATCTGGCCTTTCCTGTCCAAGCATTTGAGGAAAACGAAGGTGTTCTCTTTTTGCGTCACCTCAATTAGAAGCGCTCTCGAAGCCTTTGGCAACAACCACTAAATCGTCTTGATAATAAGCAAGCAGGTTCTTAGCATCTCTGAGAAAAAAGGCTTCTAGGACAAAAATACGTTGTAACATCAGAAGTGATAAGTCATCAGGGTGGCGACCGTCAGGGACAAACCGTTTTTTCTTCCTTTCCACTCACTTTCGTTCAGACTGTTTTTCAGACAGTCGACCTGTCTCTCCTAATTTTTTTTTCATTGGGAAAGCTGCCTCCGCTGTTTTTCCATCCTTTTCGACGCATTCCTCTGTGGCATTTGTGAGTTGGGTAAGCGCCGCAGGCAAAAAAAACTCGCTTTTTGGCGTCGACCAATGCAAAACGTCCCAGAAGAACGGTGAAAATTATCCGCAGCCTTTCGAGATGAAATTGCGTCAACTCAAACTATCGAGATTCGTTGTCATATTAGGCATATCTTTCATTTTACAAATCTTTTTCTCGAATGATACGAATTTCTCTTGATACTGTATTTCATAGGACCGCTCTGCCATTTTTCTTATGCTTATTTGTTTGAACAATCGAACAAAAGTTAGAATAAGTTTTTTATTTTTTTGGAAATATCCGTGAGAAGAAAGTCGCGATGGCGAGGAGTGGAGATGCGTAGTGAAGGAAATTAATATCCTGGGGCAGTTCTTGGTGGTGGGCAGTGGTCGCAACCTCCTGAAAAGTTCATATTTAGTGAGAAAAAAACTGAGTGATAAAAAGAATTTTCTAAGAAAAACTGTACACACCTGGAGCACCAGATTCTCCGTCGGCTCCGTGGTCTCCGTCGGCTCCTGGCTTTCCTGGGGCTCCAGCGGCACCGTCGTCTCCGGCGGGTCCTTGTGGTCCTTTGGCTCCTGGGTTTCCTGGGGCTCCTGGAGATCCAGCTGGTCCAGCTGGTCCGTCTGGTCCTGGGGCTCCTGGAGCTCCGGCTGGGCCGGGAACTTCGACGACCTTTCCTGGGGCTCCGGCAGCTCCGGCGTTTCCTGGGGCACCGTCGTTTCCAGCTGGTCCTGGGGCTCCAGCGGCTCCTTGAGATCCGGCGTTTCCTGGGGCTCCTGGCTGTCCGTCAGATCCTGGGTTTCCGCTTGGTCCCTTTGGTCCGGCTGGTCCAGCTGGTCCAGCTGGTCCTTCTGGGCAATCGAAGCACCAATCGACTTGTGGAGCTGGAGTGGCTTCTGGTCCGTCTGGTCCGTCTTTGCCTGGGGCTCCTGGCTGTCCATCAGCTCCATCTTCTCCATCAGGTCCTGGAGCTCCAGGTGGTCCTTGAGCGGAGACACCGCAGCCGCAGCATCCTCCAGCGCTGTGAGAGGTTCCTTCAACGGCTTCGGAGGTGTAACCAGCTTGACGGCGAGATCGGACGGCTCCACCGGTAACCTTGGCAAGGACCTGAAATAGTGTTGATGAAGAAAAAATGATGAATAAAAAGGGATAATAAGAAGAAAATTCAAGTAAACTGTACCTGGGTGCGGGTGACCTCTCTCCAGATGTTTCCGGAGCGCGAGCGGCAGAAGTCGACCTCGCTCTGCATGACGGATTGCATGTGCTGCATGTAGTTGTACAGCATGGGCACCGACAGGACGCACACAAGCGTGGCGACCGTCGAGACGGCAACGCCGAAGAAGGCGACGCGGCGGAGAGAGTGAGCCTCGAGCTCGAGTTCCTTCTCGTTGGTCATCTACACAAAAAAATTGGGTACAGAACTCAAGTGTTGTGAAGCTATTCTCAAAAAAAAGTGATAATATAAGGACTGAAAAGGCTTAGGACTGAAAAGAGTAAAATGTTAAAGCAAAGCGCAAATTGCCATCTTACCGTTGTTGGTTTGATGAGATTGCCCACCTGCCGTCAGCCTCGGTCGAGTTGCCTTTTATACCGTGTGTAGGCGGCGATTCTGCGCTAGAAGAAAAGCGAAAATAGCGCTAGGCGTGGTGAAGACGTGCGGATGGAAGCAGAGAAAGAGCGTACTTAGGTGAGAAGTTCCGATCAAGGTCGATGCTCATTTCCTGCTTCACCATATCAACTCCATCAAAGCGATGACAGCCTTCTTCTCAGACCTATCTCTTGTTTCGAACGTTTTTGATAAATATGGTAGCCTCGTCTGCAAGAGATTTCGGTAATTTTTTGCCCTGACACTTTTTGCGTCGTAAATTTGCGATTCAAGGTTAGGTCTGCTTTTAACGTCACTTCCGCGCAGTTCTCAGAAGATTCTTTCCAGATAGCCGCGTAGCTCATATCTCATTCGAGTTTGATGATTCAAATCCAAAGAAGGCTTCTTTTTTTTTAAACCTATGACGATTTCGGTTTCAAGATTTATAAAGCAATCAGAACACCTCAACCTGTCATGGTTGGTCTTCTGAACGTTTCTTTCCCAAAAGGCTTCTTCAAATTCCAGCGTCACCTTTCCTCAAGTCGCTCGTTCAATGCAGGCAATTACGTGTAACTGTCGAACAACCGAAAAAAGACCTTTGAAAGCTTTCCGGCGGTGTTTACCTGGACGCGAGGATCTCCCACGAGCCAAATTAGCCATGAAAATTGAATACCGACGGGTTCTTTGAGAATTCCCGAGAAATGTGTACGCCTGCCTTAAAACTTGTCCACTTTTCATGTTGTTCATCTGGTCAAGAAGAAGTTCAAAATTTTTGTCGATAGTTCAAAAAATTGGAAACTAGGAATGAACGGCTTTTTTGGCTTTTCCAATCGCGAGAAGAACAAGCGGTGACTCGCTTGTTACTACCTTCTCAAAACCAGCTTTTTGTGCAATTACAAGTGTAACGCCAGACCACGTATTCAATAATTCGGATGCCTAACCGCTGTAAATCAGTGATAAGAAGGTCTTTATGCAAATTGTCGGCTGGCAACACGGGGACCCTGGCGGCAGCTTGTTCTTAGACAGTTTTTGCATCGAGGGTCTTCTTCTTTTTTTCTCAGGCGGCTTGACCGATGGGTGCTGCCGTTCGCGCTTCCTTCTTTTTTTTATCACTGATCCGACACCTGCTGAAAAAGGATTGTTTGCTGTCGGCTTTTTCTGAGGCAAGATGATTTTGGCGCAGATCGTTTGGCTGAGATACGCCGGCGGCAACTGTGTGGAACATGCCTCGCACAATTCATTTGCATATGTTTCACCCATCCAACTCGTTTTCTCGGTGCCAATCTTCGTTTGTCGGAAAAGCCGAGCTGATGCGTGGTTTTGGCATCTTAAGCTTTTGTTTGGGTTGAAAAACGTCGTCGGTGAGAAATGATTCGAAGGGAAAGTGCAAGAAGAAAACAGCGGCGGAGGCTTTCACTGCACTGTTTTCTTTGCGTCGGGTCTTCAAAAGAGGATGAAAAAATTGATGGGAAATTGATGAATTTTCGATGACTTTCATTTCATGATTTCAAGACTTTTTGATCTGAGGCAAAAAAATTTGGTTGAGTCCCAAATTTTCCTTCAAAAACTATACTTGAACTATAGATCACATTTTTCGTCACGACATGTCACTTTGAGAAAAGGCAAAGTGTGCTGCCAAACCTAACAAATTGTAATATCACAATTTTAAACTGTTTTCGAAAATAATGCAAATAACCTCATAACACAGTTCTCTCAAATAAAATGTTTTTCAATTTTGTGATCAAAAAAACATGCAGGAAATAGAACTCAAAAATAAAAATTTAAGAGAATTCGAAAAGTTTAAAAACTACAAATTTTCACAGTCCAAAACAAAATTGCGCAAAAACGAGTTCACTTACTTTTGCGAGCAGAAAATTAGAATTCCCGTGTTTATTCTGAACTGAAGCAATTTTGAAACTCAAAGATTTGAGAAAGGATTACATAATTCTAAAAGAATTTTCTTCATTGCATTTTTGTATTGCATGCCACGCCAATTTGTTGCTGGTTCACTGATGACGAATTACAGGGCATCGAAAGGGAAAACCAGAAAGTTATGACTGTTCCGTATGTAAATGGCAACACTGGGGTAATTGCAAAAAACACGAACTCCGTTTGGTTAATTGTTGTAGCCGCCGACCGACGAAATGCATCTAAAAATGGCTCTTTATTACGAGTTTTACGATCAGGATGGCTTTCAACTCAGAACGGAAGAAAAAGAGGGAGTTTATGAAAAAATATAGTAAAAAAATGAAAGAAGGAAAAAATGTTAAAAAAGGAAATAATCTGGAAAACTGAAAAAAAAAATCTTAAACAAATTCCACTGGTGAAGAATAAGAAATTTGGGAAAACTGATCATAAAATTTAATTTCAAAAATCGCTATTCTGGTAAAAATTGGAAATCTTTAGGGCATTCCAACTAGATCTTATTGATTACTGAAGAAAAAAATTTCAAAAAAACTGAAAAAAACTTGAGGAATGAAGTAATAATCGCTCATGATGCGAAAAATCTGAAAAAAAGAGAACTATTTTTTTAAAAAAATTTAAAAATTAATAATCTATTACCGATCTATTTCGAAAAAAACAGGTATTTTTTTTATCCTGAAGAAAAAAATAGTCACAGAGGAAATCCTCAAAAGCAAACTTTTTTTATATTTCATATTCCGCTTATAATTTTTGAACTTTTCTTAACAATCCCTTTTTAGAATAAAAATAAATACGAACTTGAAAAATTGCTAAACATTTTGATTCAAACTATTTGGTTTTTATAAATTACGAGTAGAATGTTGGAGACCGTTTTTCGAGATATCCTCATTGAAAGACCCGCTCTAACAAAATATTCCATCTGGGCCTAATTTCTTCCGCTTCCTCATAAGGGCTATCCCAACGTTCCGACAAACAGGTATCAATAATTGTTGACGTGCAATGCTCCGCTTCATCACACCGACAGAGTTCATTTGCCAAGGTTACAACGGCACCCAGTTTAATGACCGAAAAGTGGGCGTAAGAAAAAAACGGGCCGATCTTGTCGCTTTGTGTCTTGTAAACGATGCAGATCACAAAGCCGGCCATAAGAACTTCAAAAGGGCATGATGCCATTCCATTCGAGGGGTCTTGAATGTGCGAAAGTTATGAGATTTCTTGACATGCTTCTTTGTCGTCCATTCCCTTTTATGGGCTTGTCTCAGCCACAAGTTCGAGATTGTGGTTTGAAACTGCGGTTATGGTTCATTAGCTGAGAAATTTCATTGCGAACAAAGGAGTGTGAAATTATTGAGCAAGACGCCTCGAAAGATTTTTGGAATCTGCGGCCCTCGCTGGGAAAGTAAAAAAAAAATTAGAATTAGAGCCGGATTTCACATTTTTCACATAATGCAAGCAGTTATGTAGAAGGGATTTTGCAACAGAAGGGAAACTTGTGGAAATGGAGAACGCTGAAAATTTAACATATTGATGTTTCAGAGAATTTTGATCTAGTCGAACGGATATGCCAGTTTTAAAGATTAGAAGTCGGCAAAGACTGCGAATAAATCTCGGTTTTTGGAAGTTTTTGAAAATTTCATCGACAATTGTCACGAGATAGTATCTTTTTTTTAATCTTTCCTAAGTCACTTTCAGTTCATCATATCCCATCAATTCATATTCAACATTTATGGATAGAACTCTGGTAAACTTTTTCCGTTATCACTTATCATTTATCTGCATATTAATCTTTGAACCCATTAGCCAGACGTTTTTAAACATTGCCGTTAGTATGCCCATTCTTTCAAACACCAAGAATGCGTGCCTTTTTCAGTTTTTCATCAAAGAAGTTCTGGGGGTGGAAACTTCCTTGTCGCCTCTCTCTCTCTTTTTTTTCTCCGCAAAAAGCCGTACTGCATTACAGTTGAAGAAAGGAATTCAAACAACACACGCTCAATCGCTCACAAACACTCACACAACTGAAATGTACAAGGACCGAGTCTACAAAGATAGCGAGAAGGCCTCGATAGACTCGAACTGAGTTATCGGAACGTCAAGGACGCCGCTCAAACACCAGACCTGCCATCCGACTTCGTCAAATATCGCATCTGCGCGATAGCTTTCGGAGAAGGAAATAGCCCCAAGTCGCATCAACAGAACTTCTCTCATTTGACTTGAAATGGTTAAGGTCAAACTCGTCAGTAATTCGAGTCAAGACAGGAAGTTCGGCCAACAGACTCTTTTTGTATCTGAAATTGTGAACTGATGCAGTGCTGAAAATTATTTGTGTTTCATCATATCTTATCCTAAAGTTTTGGTACATAAAACATAATTTTCTTAAAGTAAATTGTTTGATAAAAGTTGCTTTTCCGCAAGAAAAATACCTACTTGAGCTCGGTCGAAAAGTTTTGGAATAAAAATTTTTTTCAAACCGAACGCGTTCTGTTTGATCATCATTTTAAACAGTAGCGATCGGATGTTTTCAGAATTTTATTTTGAACCGCAATTTTATTCAAATGACATCGTGAAAAAAATTGAAAAAAATTGAAACTGTATATTGTATCACCTTCTCTCACCATGAAAGTTATACTGAATTTTGTCTCAATCCCGAAGCAAAAAAACTGTACTAATACGAAGAAAAAAAAAAGAGACGCGTCGAAAAAATGAAATACTGCACATAGGCTTCTCTGAAAGATAAACCAAATTATCCATGATTGCCTGAAAATTTTGAGTCTTAGGGATGTTTTTTTTTAGTTTTCATCGCGTCGTAAAAACGTTTTTGAAGATTTTGTTAACTTTTTTAATACGAATTCGAAAATTTTCTTCAACCCGCCATTCGGTTCTGATGATATTGATTTCAGAATGACCGCAGGCTTTCTTTTTTATCTTAAGATCTCTAAAATTTTAACAACAAGAATTAATCGCTTCATAGTCTGTAGCCATAATTGTGTCAAAACATCACAACTTCAAACATCATAAGGTGTGTGGCCAAACATCCAGAATTGTGTCCACAACAAATCGATGCTGATAAGGATGCTCATTGAGCTTGCGGAGCACGCGGCAGACGCTACAAACTACATGTTTTGTCTCAGAGCAATTTCTATCGATTAAATGTGTTTACTGAGTATACTGATTTACAAGGCATTTACAACGGATACATGATGGAAATGATGAAAAAAGGTTAGAATTGTTGGCTCTCACGAACGGGGACGACGGATGAAGGACTGCTCGTGTTGGCGTATCCCTTGGCGGTCGTGTAGCTGGTTCCAGGAGGCAGGAGATGTCCGTGTTCATTGTCGTCGTAGCCTTCAAGGCGTTCGTAGACACTTCTCTGCTTTACCTGCTAACAATTCAGTATGATTTCGCTTTTTTCAAGTCCTTTTTTTCGCTGCCCAAAAAAATTGTTCTTCTGATGGTAGATTGAAGGAAAATAAATTCTCATTTACCATATATAAAAAAAGGTTAGAAGGAACAACTAATAAACTTTCTGATCGTGCTGGAAAAACTCTTCAAAGTTTTTACTATAGACCGATTAGATTATCTGTTGGTCAAAGCAAAAGTCAATTTTCAAAAATGAGAAGGCAAAAATTCAGTTTCACAATAAATTCAATTTAATGAGGATTGATTCGAATAGTGATCACCTGGTAAATGACGAGGACAATCAAAGCCACGGCCAATAAGATGCAAAGTGCAAGAAGAATCCAAGTAACTGTCTGCCAAGCCGACTTTCCAGTGATTCTGAGATCCTTATCTTCATCTTCCTGATTGAAAAAGCTGAAATACTCGTCCAGAACAGTCGATTTGGCGGCAGCCGCAGCAGGAGTCGCCATGTCTTCTAAAACGTCCGTTGCAGCAGCTCCATAAGCCTGCTCCTTCAGAACTTCCTTGACGGCAGCCTTGAAATATCTTCAAGAGTATCGTAACCCCGTGGGAACCCACCTTGTCAAGCTCCTTCTGCAGGCTGTCAGCGTACTTTTCACGCATTGATTCTTTCGTGCGCTCGTCGATAGCTTCCTGAAAAAAAGCATTGGAAATGAAAATTTGAACGTTGAACCACTTGGATAGTGTCGGCAAGTTTTTCTTTCTTCTGAGAGTACTGGTTGTATTGATCTAGGACTTTTCTCGCGTCCGCTTCAAGTTCGGTTTGTTGAGACTGAACGCATAATATTCACAAATTAATAAAATAGTTCTAACCGAGATCTGAGACTTTAGATCTTCAACACGCTCTCTCGATTCTTCACGCATTTGCTTCCTCTCGTCAAGACGTCTTTGGGCTTCTTCGGCGATCAAATCTTTCACCTTTTCTAGTTCAGCTCTGTACTCTTCCATTCTCTGAAAAAAAATTCATTTTTTCTCAGCCCTAACGTCTTACCTGTTCTTTCTCAGCTCTTCTCTTGTCAGAAGCTTCTTTCATTTGCTTGAGAACCTCTTCCTCTTTCGCCTTCAGCTGATCTCGAGCTTCATTCCATTTCTTAATTTTCCTCGGTGTTTTAAGTTTGAAACTAAGCTACCTGAGCCATTTCTTCTTTTTTCTGTTCTCTTTCTTGCGCAGCTTGTTCGTAGGCTGCTTTCACCTGTCCGAGTAGCTCTTCCATTTGCTACAAAGGAAATAAGAATCGTCCACTACAGAGAATTTCTCACTTGTCTTCTTGCTTGCTTGCGGTCCTGGACGGTTTGGTTGTACTTGTCATACATCTGAACAAATAAGTGAAAGAGTCCAATGAAAAGGGCTCACAGTCTTTATTTTATCCGAAACTTGTTTCCAACGCTCAGCGTCCTCCTGGCGCTCTTGTTTCTTGGCTTCACTTTCTTTCTGTAATAGTCCTTGTATCAAATTTACCCTTTCTGACGCACCTGCTTGTAAGATTCGTAAGCATCAACTTTTGATTGAATGGCTTGACGCAATGTATCCATTGTGTTTTTTAACTTGTCGCGAATTTTATCGGAAATCTCCTTTTTTGCCTCACTAAAAAATTATTTTTTTCGAAAAAAACTATAGAGTCAAACTTTGTGTGTTCGAGATTGTTTCTCAGCTCTTCTTTCATTGCTTCTTCAGTATCCAAGACTGCCTGAATTCAACTGAATTATTTTCAAAAACTTGTAGCATTTTAGCACCTGATAAGTATCAGCCAAAGAAGACACTTCAGCTGCATAAAAGCAAGCGAAAGTCGCAAAAAATAGTAACAAAATATGGGAAGAACGCATTCTGAAAATTGAAAATCAAGGCAAGAACGGAAAAAAGAGTGAGCAAGTTGAGTTGAAAAATGGAAGAAAAATAAATGGCAGTGATTGGATCGCGTGGGACGATGCGATCATGGGAGTGGAAGAGGACCAACAAGCAATATGCGAGGCTACTGAGCACAAACAACCTGTATCTTATCATTGGACTCGATGATGCTTTATTCGGGAACATTCGCACCAATAGTCTGATCATTCAATAAAACATTCTTTCAAGCACGTTTTTGACTTCAGTTACTCTGGAGCCGTTACATTCAAGACTCCAAAAAAGTTTTGCCGGGGAATATTTGATGAATAATGGAAAAACTGATATTGAGCGGATAAGATGGGAAATTCATGTCTTTTCAATAAAGTGAGCTATTGAGAACTTTGTCAGAATCAACTTCCAACGACTGTTGTACCATCAATAAATAATCTCCTCCAATACCTGAAAATTTATTTGCGTTTGATTTCTTTGCAATTTGTTTCAACCAGTTTTTAAAATAACAATCGAAGTTATTTCTTCCCAGATAAATTTTATCAAGAACTTTTTCTACTTCTAAAAAAATCAGAAATGTTGTAAAATTAATAACTCTTTAAAAATTTTTTTCATTTACCTTTTCTATTTCTTTCAAACTTGAAACTTTCATTACGATTTCTATTCTGGATAAAAAAACCAAGAAAAAAATCCCTCAGAGTACAGAACGTATTTTTTTAAAAAAACCTTGAAATTGAGCATAGTTTTTACAAAATTACTTGGAAACATATATCACTTCACATCTCTCTCAAATCTACTTTCCTCCAAACAATGGATATAAATTTCATTTCTTCAAAAATCTGTGATTTCACGCCTTGTATCCTGCATCATAAAAGCCTTATTTTACGCACATTACGCATTGTGCTAAATCAATAAAAATTTATTCTTAGATTTTTTTCCGTTCCAGATCATTTTCCTAGCAAAAAAACTACATCCGAACCCAATTATTACTTTCACGAATTTTATTCGTATTGATAGACCAAACATTTAAAAAAAGAAACCGATAAAAACAATTTAGATACACGACTTATTAATTCAGACAACATGTAATACAAAAATAACAACATACAATGATAATTTTGAACAACAATAAATAATTGAAAGCTTAACTTAAACCAAAAGTAAAGCAAGAACATCATGTTTTTAGTTACAAATACTAAAAGAAAAAAGAAAAGACACCCGTTAATGTGCTCAATCGGAGTCAGAAGAGGAACCGGAGCTGGATGAACTACCCGAACCAGAGCTGGAAGAGGAGCTCGACTCCTTTCGAGAACGACGTTCTTTGGCAGGAGAATCCTTCTTCGAACTTTTCTCTTTTTCTTTTTGCTTTTCTGGCTCGGGTGACTTTTTCTTGTCTTCGATCGCAGCTTGTCGGACAACCGTTTCTTCAGTCGTCGGCTCCATTTCGGCGGCTTTGGCCAAGTCAAAGTTGTCGACGAAGTTCCTATCTCGCCTAACCACGAAGTCCTGTCCTTTGCCGAGTTTTTCACGTTTCTTGTGCAGCTCCTCCAAAGTCATAGTGCGCTTCTGGAACTTGAAGTTAAGAAACTCGGTAATCGACTTGTGAATAACCTCCTCTCGTCTCCAATGAGGAGGAGTAACGCTTCGACGTTGGAATCGGATTGCTCCTCGACCTTTGACTCTTTTCACTCCGTCATCCCGGTCACTTCGGCGCTGAAAAACTACTATATAATGATAATTTTTCTTAATGAGTTCTTTCAATTTGAAACTTCAAATTTTTCAAAATTGAAGTTTTAGAGAGTTATTCTCTTCTTAAGCTCTAATTGAACTGTTTTGAGAATTCATTCGGCTTGAATCGTTAATTTTGTTCTTTCTTTTTTGATTTATTTAATCATATTCAAAGTTATCATTATTTTCAAAACTTTTCTACAGTTCAAAAAGATCATTTAAAGAAACCGAAACTTTTTTTGCAGTAATTTAAGAAACGCATACCTCTCTTCGTGGAGAAGAGCCGTATCTTCCAGAAGACCTCCGCGGCGAACGAGATCTGGAGCCGCGACGCCTTCGTTCGCGGCTTCCGTTGCGATCACGATGACGGTCGCTGCGATCGCGGTCGCGTCTGTCTCGATCGCTGCGACGACGATCGCGGTCCCGACTGCGACTGCGACTTCGGCCTTGGTCACGATCAGGCCTTCTTTTAGAGCGCTCTTGGTTTTCGTTCTGAAAAAGATGAATATTCCAGTTTTTGATGAAAAATTCTTCTTTCTACACTCAAAAAAATTTCATACTCAGAGCAATAAACTTTATTTTCTATACTTAAAGCATAAAGAATCGAAAAAAATTAGTTTTTTTAGTAAAGAAATTACACCCAATGAAGGTCCGAAACAAAAATAAATTAACGGAAGTCACAGCAAAACGTTTTGAAATGAACTTCCAACTTTTTCTGAATAGCGAAAAAAAAGTCAACCTTGCGTTCCGGAGATTTGGATCGTCTCATCAAAAAAAGCTGTGTGCGTTTTTTGGTTCTTCCGGAATCTCATTAATCGAAATTGTGGAGACCTAGAAAAAAATAATTATTTTCAAAAAAACACTTTTATAATTTACCCCCGACAGAGTCCTTGGCAGAGGTGTCAACATTCTCGTCCCTTTCCGATTCACTGTCACTAAAAAAATAATATTTGTGAAATAATAATATATTTCGCAATACAACTTTTATTGAGGAAAAGTAGAATCTTCGTGGAAAATTACCTTTGCTGCCTTTTCTTCTTGAAGAGTTCCCCACAGTTCATAATCATGACATCGTAGAGCGGTTTTGCTGAGTCGTCAACTTTCATGTTCTCGATCCTATTCACGATATCGTGTCCTTTGACAACCTTGAAAAATTCGACTTTGAAAAAAATGACCAGAATAAATTCGAACCCGTCCAAAAACAACATGCTTAGCATCACAATGACGCGCGATTGCAGTAGTGATGAAAAATTGAGAGCTGTTAGTGCTCGGACCCTGAAAATCACAAAATGTGCTCCTCCTCTATTTCAAAAAGAAAAACCTTATTGGCCATAGAAACAAGATACGGCTCGCTGTGACTTTCAACAAATTCTTCATCTTCGAAGGTTTTGCCGTAGATAGACATTCCACCAGTTCCATTTCCAGCCGTGATGTCACCCCCCTAAATAGACGGCGTAATATAAATCCAAATTATAAAATTGGGAGGACCTGGATCATGAAGCCCTTGACGACTCTGTGGAAAGGTGATCCCTTGTAGCTCAGGTTCACATTGTTGACCTTCCCTTTTTCTCCAGTGCAGAGGCATCGGAAGTTTTCTGCTGTTTTGGGAGCTGAAATGACAAAATTACAGTGAATCTGTTTCGAAAAACTTTTTAATAACCTTTTGAAAACAGAAGACATTGACTTTCGTTTTAGAAAAAAAAACAGAAATCGAGGAAAATGAAAAAAAAAAACTAACCGAGTTTGTCGAAAAGTTCGATGATGATCTTGCCGACAGTATTACCATCAATGGCGATTTCAAGAAACACTCTTTTTGTACTTCTTGAAGTCATTTACAGTTTAAAACCGAAAACGGAAAGGATACCGAACTAAATGCAATGAGCCGGGGATATGGGAAGTGTGAAGGGCAAAGTTTTCCAATTTCGCGGCAAACGCGCCGTTGGATTTCCCCCTCTCATCGGGTCTCGCCACGATTGGCGTCATCCTTTGGCGGCAATTCAAATTTCTGTCTTTTGAAAGTTCTTTTTTTTGTTCAATTTAAATAAGAAAACTTGTAAAATTCAGGACTTTATAAATTGAAAAAAATGTCCTTCATTGAAACTTGATGTAATGAAACATTATTCAGCATTTACCCAAAAAAATTTATGAAGTACTATTTTTTTTCAAATTCTCTAATTTTAAAAAGCACATGTGGGAGTAGCGATGGAAAAAAACACACACACATCCGATTTCTTCGGAAATTACCTGAAAATTTAGTAAATCAGTACATCAAATGAAAAATTATAAATTATTTCATTGAAAAATTTTTGTACTTTTTCAGAGAGGTTTAGAAGAAAATGTCAAATTTTTGTTATCATCGATTTCCGGTTGGAACTCCTTTAATTTTACCAAAAAAAGTCAAAAAGTACAATATATAAGAAAAAATTCAATATTTATTTTTTTCTTTTTCAAAAATTGCTTATTTTTTGTCTTAATTGAATATTTTTCTTTCCGTTACCCAAAAAAAATTATAATACTTTTTTTTTTGAGTTAATGTAGTTGAAAGGAAGTTGACTTGATTGTTTACGCAGGGTTGTATCATTGCGACGCTACACTGTTCCCGGGCAAAGTGCCTCGAATTCCACCTCGGTCGCAACTAATTTTCGCTTATTAGGGCAATAACTTTGCCAGAGAAACACATTTTCTTTCTCATTTTTGCCATTTAGGTTGGCTGCTCTCGTTCTGTTTTGCTCTTCTCCAACATATATGATGATTTTCTCTCTTTTCAAATTGAACTAAAGAATAATTTCCGATTTCAAAGTTTGATAAACAAGGAATTCTAAATCTTTCCAGCCTCGTTTTTTTCAAATTCCTTTTTCAACAGATGCAAAAACTTCTAAACGGCGTAAAAGTTGTCGAGCTCGTCGGATTGGCTCCAGTTCCCTATTGCGGTCTCGTTCTATCAGATTTTGGAGCAGATGTCACTCTTGTTCAAAAGGTTCTTGCACAAATTTTTTTCTGATCGTCTTCCTACAGAAATCATCCGAAGTCGTTGAGCAGCGTCTCACACGCGGCAAATCCTCAATTGCATTAGACCTTCGAGATAAAAACGATCTCAAAAAGGTACATCACCAGGTTTTGAGAAATTGATCGTTTTTTGAATGGTTTGAGGTGAAAGAATTGTGTCTGACTAGCGATGTTCTACTTGATCCTCACCGACCAGGAGTTTTGGAAAAGATGGGGCTCGACCCGATCGACTTGCTCGAGGTTTATACTTCTCATTTTTTTTTTCTGTTTAAAAGTCTTCGGACTTTTCGATCGATAATCTTCTCTAGAGCGCTTTGTATATTTTGCAAAAATAAGAACTTGATCAATCCACGGTGCAAGGCTTTTTCTATCTGTGCCGGAAAAAACTCAGCAAACAGGCACATTGATGATTCAGAAAAACTATTTTCAAAGTCAACTATAGTCGAATATTGAAAACGAATATTTTTCCAGAAAAATCCTAAACTTGTGATTTGCCGGATAAGTGGTTATGGACAAACCGGTCGTTTTGAATCAGGAAGCAGGACATGATATCAATTATGTCGCTCTTAGCGGTCCGATAGAGCTTTTTTTAATTTTTTTGTAAATTTCATTTTAAGGCATGATGCCGACTATTTCTGGAAAGCATGCAGAAAGACCCTGGCCACCAGTGAATCTTCTGGCGGACTTTGCCGGAGGCGGCCTGACCGCAGCTTTTGGCATCGTCAGTGCCCTTCTCGCAAGATCTCATAACGGTGATTTTCCCTATTTCGATTGGAAAAATTTGATATTTTAGGGGGTAAGGGCTGCGTGATCGACTGTTCGATGGTGGAAGGTCTTGCCTATCTATCCTCTTTTGTCACTAACTATTACAATATGTCGCATCTTTGGACTGATCCCTATGCTGCATTCTCAGGAAACTGTCCTATTTACAGGTTCGTCATCTCCAGCAGTTATGAAATATTTTTTATTTTTCAGAACATACAAAACGAAAGACGGCAAGTTTATGGCGGTTGGCGCACTCGAACCGAAATTCCATCAGAAGATGTTTGAAAGTGAGGTTGACATTCCAATTTCGATATTTCGGGAAGCTATTCTAGTATTGGGAATAGACGGCTCTGATGCTTTCGGAGACCCAGAAAAGCTTACGAAAGATATGGAGCAGAAGTTCGAGGAGCGCACAAGAGATGAATGGACTCAAGTTTTCCTCGGTGATATAAAAGGAACATTTTCGGAAACAGGGGAAACTTTCAGGGCAAGATGCTTGCGTTACACCGGTTTTGGAAATCGACGAAGTAGGATCCTTTGGACATCATAAAGATCGTGGAACCTTCGAGAAAAACGAAGAATACGGCCAATGGATCGCCAAACCTGCCCCTCGAATGCTCTATCTACCTGAACTTGTGGCTCAACGCAAATCTAAAATATGAAGTTTTCCATCGAATTCACAGGCTCAGTCGAAAAAGCTCAAAATTTGCTCTCTGATTAGAAAAGTTATTGAAAAAACCGAAACAAAAAATAGAAAAGCTCATGGACAGTAGAAAAACAAGGTTTCAGACTTCACCCCGTGTTTTCGAGAAATTCATAGCGATGGCAGTTCTGATGGATTCCCGCCCTATTCAGGATGTTCAGAAAAGTTATCACCATTTTTTTTTTGATTTTTCTTCTTATAAAAATGCTAGTGAGCTCAAAACTCTCCTCTTCACTATAAAAAAGTTTGAGATTCACAAGAAAAATTTTCGAAAAAAATATAAAATCTTTTTTGAAAACTCTGGTTTTTCCGGATTTAAACTTCTTCATTCATGCTACTACTCTGCTTTCAAACCATTTTTGTACATATTGTTTTGTTTCTGGCTGTGAATAAAAAAATGAAAAGAGTTGTTATCATACAAAAAAAAAATTGAACACAAAAATATGATTATTTTTGGCGAGGAATCTAAACTTTCATAAAAAAGAACATTATCGAACTTCTGGCTATAAACATTATGTCAGTGCAATAATTCAAAAAAATTTTCCTTTTTCTTTTTTTCTTTCACTTTTTTCTCAAGGAAACGAACGGCTACACATTTCCGATGTATTTTTCATCAGCATCGGCCACATGCTGTCATCGTCTAAACAGATGCTCGATTCTCTCCTTTAAATGGACGCAGCCGCTCGGTGAACTATGAGGTCAAATCCGATCCGACATTTTTCTCTGTTCGAATTTCTTCTTGCCCAGGTGATGCTGCCGATGAAAGAATAGTGTAACCGGAGAGCTCAATCTTGTTTTGGCCGTATGAGGTCTGGCGTTAGCTTGAGGAAATGCAAATGTCCCTGCTGCTCTCAAGTGGTTAGAAGCTGAGCTTCAAGTTTTCACAGCTGATGGGAATACTTATTGTGATTATAATGTCGCTGACTGTGGAGCGCTCCTATAACTTCTGGGCGGTCTGAAACTAGAAGCAGCAGAATGACTTTTTTTTGAGACCAAATTTTGGTTTAAAGATGTTGTTTTTATTCTATCCCTGTTTCTCTATTTTTTTTCAGGAAAAAATTTTAAAAAAAGCTTTTTATTCATTTGCAAAACAAGTAATCTACAGAAGTCGTTTTGATTTGAAAAAGACAGATCAATGAACATCATATTTCATTTTTGTTGTATTAATAAGCCGAAGATGTTTTTCTCCGTCTTTTGTCTTTCTTGTAAAAAAAAAAAATTAATACTCATCATTATTTAACTCAAGTAATTTTTCAGTCAAATGAATCAATTTTTAATTCTAGTTCTTTTTGAACGCCCAAAGTCGAAAAGAGTCGAAAAAATCTATGTAGAAATGAATTTTTTAGTGTGAGACAGACTTTTTCTGTTTCATTCCGCTTCATTTCATCGACTCTTCTGCACCATTGTTGCTGCCTTCCCCGGTTTTCACCATTTCTTGAGTCATATAAACTCTAGAAAAATGACAGGCTTGGTGGAAATATTTTTTGCTGCCTTTCTGCGGCCTTTTTTGAGCCTCTCTCTTCTTGCGGTCGTTATCCTTCTTTCCGACTTTGCCCGAGTAAATGAACGAAGAAGTCATTTCAAGAAAGTAACATTTTTGAGGGCGCTCCCAGATTACAAAGTTTGCTTTTGAAATTTGCTCAAGTGGTTGGCGCGGGGAGAAAAAGCCGCAATCGATAGAATTTACGCTAACGTCTGGGCTTGAGGCGGCGAGCACGGCGCACACGTCGCTCTACTCCCGCTCTGCGTCATTGTGCTTCAGTCGCCAGCCGCCAGTTTGCCCATCTCACTACCTTGTTCATCTTGGCGGTCGTTTCATCTTTTTTCATTATGTCAAAAACTGAAAAACGTTCGTTCTAGTGGCTCCCAAAAACTCTCTGTTCGCACTGTTTCCAAATAGGCGTTTTTCCTAAATTAATGAACAGAAATTCGAGTTTTTTTCATAATTCTCATCAATATCCGAGTTAAGTTCTCAAACTTCTCGGTGACCGCTTCGAAAAAAAAGCAATTTAGCGGTGTTTAAAACTCAAAAAAAGTACGGCTTTCTTGTTTCTTCAATGAACTACTTGCTTGTTCATTTTTTAAAACAGTCTATTCAGAACAACTTGAACAAAAAATAAATCTTCCGTCAACTTCCATTAAAACCAGAGTCAAGATCACAAATTATTCGGGAATCGCATCGGATATAGCAAGTCGAAACAAAATTTTCCGGCTTTAGATCAAAATGATCGAATCTTGGCGGGCTCCCAGCGGCGCCCTCGCCCACACTACTTCCATCGATCTACGTGTTCCGTCATATTGCAAAACATTCTTCTCTCCCTGTTTACGATGCTCATTCCTTCTGTTCTGATCGCGTCAGGAAATATTCAATCCTGGCCATTTTCCGATTCATTTTTCTCCTCTATCTTTCGGTTTTCGCGTACTGCGTCAGCTCTTTTTCATTTTTGTCTTAATAAAATGATTACACAGCACGAGCTCGCAATGATTTCTACTTGGGAGTTTTAATTTAAAAAAGTTTCTTGGGTAACTTTGTGTAACCGAAAATGAAACCAGATCAGAACATTTCGTGAAATCTTCTAATGAGGTTTTTAAATTTGAAGAGCTCGCGAGTTTTGAATTTAGTTTGAAAAAAATTATACATTTTTGATATCATCTTCAAATAGTTAGGTCACAGACTTTCCGTTAGTTACTGCCTTTTCACCAAACAAAATCTGTCAAGTGTTTTATTAGTAAAATTCAAGCAAAGACAAACTTTTGTGTTTGCTGAGAAAGCCGAGCTTTTGCGCGCCCTCAACCGCCATCGCCGTCCATTTCGTGCAGCGCCGCCGATTTTTTCAGTTTCTGTATTTTGTTATAATTCGACGCGAGTTGCAGATGGTCGACCTTAAGCAGCAGTTGGATCTGATCGACTACTTTGGCGTCGTGTGCGTCTGGCTGTGCTTCTTTGCCAGCATCTTCCTCATCTCTTTCGGGTGCATCCTCTGGTGCTGCGTCTCCAAGAACGACGATCCTACTGTTTTTGCGAAGGTAGCTTTTTCAAGACTTTTTGAGGAAGACTGAGCCTTTTCCGCTAATATGGAAAATAGAAAGTTTAAGTTTCTTATTAGAATTAAAGTGGCATCAAAACTTGAAAGAGCTCAATAAAAACGAAAAAGAATCCCCATGCGATGTCGATTTTTCCGATTTTGCAATCAAAACGAGTTTTCATGAATTCACTGGTGTGTAGTATGATCAAAAAAGGCTGCATAGATAGTTAACGGCTGGTTTGAGCCACCAATAAATGGGTCCTGTCACGATCAAAGAAGAGATAGGGTTAGCCGCAGAGGAATGAAAGGGTATCCAGAAGAAGGTTTTGAAACATTAAATTTGTGACTAGAACAACAAAATAGATGATTAGAAAATAATTAGAAGGACGTAATCAACTGAACGCTAATAAAATATTTTTGAAAAGAGTATCAAATTCAAAATCGCAGCTTTTTATATTAAATACGTGCTGAATAAATTTTTGTTGTTTTTCAGTACGGCGTCGGACCGCAGCCACGAGTTCCTGCCCAAAGGTCTGCTGCTCAAGCTGCTAAAGCCGAGTAACACGTTTCCATCTAACCTCTTCTAAACATTCCTAGTGCCAATAGGTAGACTACTAATCTTTTCATTCCTACCATCCTCTCCTCAAACCGAACTAATCCTTCTAATTTATCGATTAACCCGTTTTAGACTTTTGCAATCAACGCCGTGACGCACGAGGTTTCAGGACAAAACGCCTTGCTGTCCAAAAAGACGTCTAGACGAGACTTTTGTGCGGCCATCTCCAACTTCTTCATTCCCTCGACAATGTAGCGCCTGGATGTTTTATTCCATTTCTTTTCGAGTTTTAATGTTTTGCCTCCAAATTTAATTGCATTTAGCCTTTCTTGTTAATGTCATTGGCGTTGATATCACGAATTTTCGTAATAAAATTGGTTTCTAACTTTTTATTTTGTTGCATTTCTTGTTTTAGAAAATCATGCAAAAAATATGACAGTTTTTTAAATAAGAAAATATAAAGCTGAAAAACAAAGATCAAAAAAAAACATAATTGAGATGAAGTAAATCGGTACAATCTCAAGCTCATAATACATCTGTGTTATACTGATAGTTCGTATTGATTTCTTGTGAAGAACAAGATATTATTATTGACGGTAAAATGATGGCTTTTCTGCGCTTCACGGTAGCTTCGAGCTTCGGTCATTGGAGTTTAGATTCGGAACTCACCCATTTTCTTATCACGGGAAAACAGAGCAGCAGTCGGAATTTTTTAGCTTGAAGATTGAAATTTCGATAAGTCTGCGGAGCATTATGAGTCGATAGATGGTCGAGAAATGAATTTTACGACTATCCGGTTTGTTCCTTGAGTTTTATTTTGAAAGGATCCTCTGGAGTTAATTGAATTTAATAATAAACCAAGAAATGTGCTCGGTTTTGTGCTCAAAAATAAGATGAATATTTTCTGATCACTCAGAAATCAGTAACAAAACTTAATATTTCTCAATCAGCTTGACAGTAATTGAATAGACGGCTAATAAGCTAAAAGCTTATTGGAAAAGTCCAAAAAGGAAAAAAGAAAAGTGAGTTTAATCCACTTTTTTCTGGAAATGTTTACGAGACGGCTCAGAGACTTCTTCGTGTAGCTTGTAAGTATTGAGCTACATGCTTCCGACAATTGTTCTCAAGAAAATATGTCCAAGCTTGAAAAATCATTGTTGACCAGTGAAATAGACCATGTGAGAATTATGAGTTTTTGTTTGCTGGAAACAGAAATGAATGCCATCGCATATTAAAACAAAAAAGCTCCATAAATTCCTAAATAATAATTGAAAAGAAATTGGAAAAGAACAGCTCTGCAAGTGAGCATCCAAACGAAAATGGCTGCGGAGGAGCACATTCAACAAACACCAGCTATCTTATCTACATGCCGTGCGGTGCCTTGGCCGGCAGACGCGTCCGTTCCGTCGCTGAGGTCAGCCGCTTCTGATATTCTATGACTTGGCCCCCTGGGCGACTTGTCCTGCTTGCCGCCGTCGCTTCTTTCTGCGCCAACTGGTCTTTCGCTTTCCAGGTTTTTTTTTTGGTAATTACCATGTCTTTGCTCCGATTTATATAGTTTGATCTACACAAAAATGTAAAGCGAAACAGATTGAAAGCTGATTTCTGATGAAAATTATAAATCTTCGAGTACATCATTGATTTGACACAGATCATTGATAGCTCAAACGGACTTGATGACTTTTGCTCATAATAAAGTAAATTATTTCTTAAAAAGAAGCAAATCCATTTTTTTAGGAATTGGGATTATGAAAAAAATTCCCAGGATCGACCCTTTTTGCGATTATATCGATCAATGTTTACAATAAGCCGCCCTCGCAAAAAAATTTTTCATTTTTTTATTTACAATTTTGAACAAGAAATTGAACAACGCCTTATCTAATTTTTCCGTTTCTTATCTGCTTAAGCATCAAAAAAATGAGTTCACCTGGTCCGAATTTCAAACACCAGCATTTTTCTAGAGCTGAATTATCACTATTACTGTCAAAAAACGATAAGTTATTTGAGGAGTAGTTTGATTTCCAAAAAATTGCTCTGGTAGGAAACAAGAAAATCTGTAGAAAATTTCAAATTTTCATTTTAAGATTACATATGTCAACACATCCGTCGATACCTTCTACAATCTTGCAAACCAAGCCTACGCGACCGCAAATCGTATCAATTTCATCTGGAAATTGAATTTTGATGAATTATTTTGAGAATGTTCCGCTTGCAAAATTTTCGAAACCAGGTGGTTGACAGAGTGGAGTATAATTGTTAGCAGCTTCTATCCGGGAACTATTGGTGGATTTCTCGCGGTTAGTTATCCTTGGGTTCTCCGCTTCAATTTCTCCGAAGGTTTCAATGTAATAATTTGGGGTGAAAAAACCAATTAATGTTCCAAAGAATTAATGAGACTTCAAATGTTCGAAATTGAGATTTTTTTGTGGCAAAAGGATGCGCAGATTTTTGGTAACTTCGTTTATTCTTTGAATTTTCAGGTTCCGTTGCTCACTTCCTTGATTGGAGTAAAAAGATCTCTGGGATTGATGTGCGCGATTGCAAGTCTCGGAGTCCTTGTGCACTTTGCAGTGCTACCGCTCATTTCATATGGCAAGTCATTATTCAAAATTTTCAAACTCCTCCTAGAGTTGCTGACCTGACTTAGGTGAGCAAGTATTTACGATTCTTCTGGTCGTTGGCCGTTTTCTGATCGGACTTCAAGCCGGGAGTTCTCTATGCCTGTTGCCGTTGTACATCATTGAAATAAGTCCTCCAAAGCATAGGGCTTTGTTCAACTCGTTTCAGGTTAAGGGTCAGGAGAAACTATTTAATATATTCCGTTTTCCCAGCAAGTTTCACAATCATTTGCTACATTACTCGGTCTCGTACTTGGCTCTGAAGAGATCGTTCCTCTAAAGGACAACCGGTTCACCTTTGAATAATAACATGAAACTCTAACAGGAATTCAGATTTCTAGTTCTTCAAATATTTTTCGGTATTGCCAGTTCTTGTTGTCTTTGTGATGCTAGTGGTAACACCAGCAACTCCAACTTACATTGCAGAGTTTCAACCTGGAAATCGTTCTTACGGTAGACTTGTAAAAAAAGAAGTATGAACAGGTTAAAAATACACAGAAAAAAAGCGTCATTAAAGTTTTATTATGGAGAAGAAAAACTCAAAAAAACCTTCGTACAAACGATATAGTCTAACTTGGTCCACTAGATCGATGAGTCTAGACGAAGATTATGTGTCTCCACAGTGAGTTTTTCTGCGTTTCTGGTTATCATTTAAGATTCTTTGAAGGGATTCTTCTTGGAAGAAATCGATAAAAAGGATTTTTTTGATCGGAGCTGTTGTTGCGGTTTCTTACGCTTTCACTGGTGATGATCTCATCGACACGTTCTCAACCCAAATGCTTGTCGTAAGCGATTTGTCATCACTTTGTGTTCATTTACGTTGGAGGAAATCAATTAACATTGCTCATTAGCCTAACAAGCTGGGTGTGAAGAACCGAATTGATGGCGCAATCAGTTTTATACGATACAATGGGGTTTAGGGTGACGGAAAAGCGACTTCACAGCATCAAACGACGGACGTTTTTGCACGCCTGGTTTCTGTCGCCCTGGGCGTCGTTCTGTTTATTGCGAGCATTTTTCGGAGTTTTTTTCTCGTGAGAATTATCAATTTATCAAAAATACATGTCTGGAGGAAATAATAAATGAATAATGGATGGATAGAAACGCGGAAAAAGGTATTTATGTGCCTTTTAGACAAAATCATAACTTCCATTCAACAAAATTAAAGTTGAACTGAAAGAGTAATTGAGTGTAATTTTGCAGAGAAAAAGTCCCGAATAAACATTGATGGATAAATATTAACAAATTTGAAGAAAAAAACAAGCGCCTGCACCGAAAAACTATGAAAAACGCTGGAAAAGGGAGAATTCAGAAAAGATCGTAAGATCAAACTATAAACGCCTTGAATTTGCAGGTTGATCGCTACGGTCGGAGAAATCTTGTACTTATTGGTCTAATCGGCACATGCGCAGCTAATTTGGCGGCTGCCGTTTTTTCGGCCAACAAAATCTTTGTTTCGGTATGCTTCGCCGCCACTAAGATGTTCATTGGCCTGGGATGCGGAGGTCCGGCGTGGTTTCTCACTTCTGAACTGGTTGGTCGAGGAATGTTGCAAAATGTGAAGACATTTTTTCTAGGTGAGACCAGAGCACGCCTGGATATTTCAGCCAATTTCCACCGGCGTCTTACTTGCTTCTACCATGCTTGAAACTTTTTTCTTCCTCCCTATCGACGCTGCCCTCGGCAACTACAGGCAAGTTCTCTTCGAATTGAACGTCAGAAAATTGTCATTCAAGTTTATTAATCCTTACCGCCAGTCCCGCCTTTTTTTCGGCTGTAATCATATTTTTGTTCCTGCCAGAAACAAAAGGAAGAACTACGGAAGAGGTTTTGCTGATCAAAAGCTTACAAAACTCTTAAATTTTTCAAGATACAACTTTCTCTTTCTTCGCATCGTTTCAGTGGACTACAAAGGTCACAAATCACTTCAAGCAATGGATATGGTACCTTTTTTGAGGAACAGTCTTGATTTTGTTCTTTTCTTGCAACTGACAACTCGGATAAAATTTCATATTTTATTTGATATCCGTAAGGAATGAGTCGCGAGGACGAGGATTGGAGATGCGCAGTGAAGGAAATGGTCCCTTTGGTCCGGCTGGTCCAGCTGGTCTGGTCCTTCTGAGCAATCAGTAGTATTATAATAGGTCACGCTAGAGCACCCTTTCACGCACTTCGTAAAAACAAAAAAAAAAACGTCTTTTTCACCAAAAATGACCAAATTTTGTGAGTTTAAGCATGATTTTACGTGTTTTTCTATTTTTGGGTGAGTTAAAAAAAATTTCTGGCGCACCAATCACCCATAACAGGGTGATTTTCATTTTTCACCGTTTTTAGCGTTTTTTGATGTCTCATCAATGATTTTGATGCTCTCACAAACCAAAACTCAACAATTATAGCAATTTTTCGGATTTTAAAGAATTCTGGTAATAGTAACACACGAGTCATGAATCGCGCTACTCAAAAGTTAGTTCGAATAATCAAAGAATTCAAATAAAAAGCCCCTTACTAAATGAGCACCTTCTCCAAGGACCTCATTGCGCTAACCAACTTGGATCTAGAAGCATTAGTAAAACAACAAAAAATCAAGAATTTTCGAGGTGTTTTTATGCGAGACTCTTTACCAGATTCTTTGCTTTTTCCTTAAATTTCACACATAATGTAATACATTTTTATTCAATTGACAAAAAAATAATTACCGAGAAAGATGACAATCTACTCATTCCATTCAGCTCCTCCATCCGAGTCTTCCTGTGGCAATAAATCCTAAAGTTCAAAGATTATTTGAACGAAATTATCAGTTAATATTACCCGAATAATGGCTTCGATAGCGATGACTGGAACGATTAGGCAACGACCTCCGACTGCGGGAGATGCTGGACGTCCATTGTCCCTCGTGTGGGGGACTTTCTCAACTGCGATTTGCATTCCAATTAATCGACCATCTACGTCCCAACAACCACCACCGCTGTCTCCTTTGAATGATCCACTCGTTCCTGTAAATAGCCAATCGAAGTAAACCTATAACCAACAAACCTGTATAACACGCTCTTCGAGTCACATCACTTGCGATTATTCCGTTTGAAAGCGATAGATGATTTGTTTTTTCATGACGAATCGAGTATCCCATCTGAAAAAAGTGTTTTTTGAGAAGCAATTTAGAAAGTACTTTATTTGATAAAAAATTACCATCAAATAGTGCATCCCTTTTCGAGGTACAGTTGATTCGGAAATGAAATTTCTATCACAAATATCCACTCCCTCTGACCGCAAGATGATGGTGTCGAATTCTTCAATGATTTTCACAACACGAGTCGCCACTTTGAATTCTTTATCTGCCCAAGAACGAATAACAATCTCATCATCTATAAATAGCCAATTGAAATAAACCTTTAACCAACAAACCTTCTTTGATCGCTATGTTTTCTCCATGGCGACATGTTGCTGCGAGTCTTGGAGTCAGCGGAACGGCACATCTCTTGTAATTGTCACCCTTCACATTGTAGTAGAGAGCAAATCGTCCAACATAGGCAGCCAGATCACCGTCTATAGGGAGTTGTTCGGGGTTTGGCTCAAGTTTTTGCTTCTTCTGATTCGGACCTAGAATTGATAAATTATTAATGTTGCAATTAATCTTAAAATGTTTAAAATCGATAAAAAAAAAGCGTTAAAATATCCAAAAAATACCTTGATCAGCAGGCGTTGATGGTCGTGATGGTACTCGATTGATTCAACATTGAACTGCATGGTCGGCCAGCCAGCGGGAAGCACAAAACACGGTTCGGGGACCACTTGGCTCCTAAATTAATTGAAATAGAAATTAAATCAGATAAAAATATTTTAAAATGAGAAATGTGACTTACTGGCAAAATTTTCGGCGGCCATTGAGTTCGTATGACAAAGAAACAATCGCCTCATTGGTAAGAAGGCAGGCTGATTTGATGGAGATGAAGGTGATCTTATTTTCAGTTAAATCAAATTCAACTTCTTTGTCGTGCATCTTTATCGTGATTGTACCAGACATTTTGCATGATGAGAATCTGAAAATAAAGAATTAATTGTTTACACAAACTCTTTAAGATAGCAAAAGATAGAAAAAAAGGAAAAGCGTCCATTTCCGGAAAAAAAAATTAGCACAGTTAGAGTGCACCGCAACTTAGTAGATATATTACTTCTAATTGGCGTAATACTGTACGTGCTTCAGAAAAATTAAGTAAAAAGGACGTAAATTTTATGACAACAAAAAAAGCAAAACTTAACAACAAAGGAACCCGACAATTCGAAACAAACAAAGGGAGAAAAATGAAAACGATTTTTTTCTTTTCCCAGTATTTCTGGCGTGCTTCATATGCAAATTTCTAGAGGTCATCAACTGAAATTTATCAAAAATTAGCACCGATGGTTCTAGCTTTTTACACAGAAATCCCTTTTTGCCTTCCCGGTTTTCTTTAACTACCTAACTAAAAACTTGGAGAAAAATAACAATGAACTACAGAGGAACGCGCAAAGTCTTATCCGTACACAGATGCTTATGGTTTTGCATTTCTCTGCGTCTCTGCACAGACGCGTCACTCTCTTCCACTCTACCCAACGCGTTGCGTGCATTTGGTTCAACTGTGGAATTGAGTCAACCCAGCAAATAATCAACATTCTTTTTGAAGTTAAATGCAAACAAAGAATTACTCTTTAAATAATCGCAAAAGACCAAAAAAATTTCAACGATGTTCTTGTGTGAAACTCCCCGGTTCACTTTTTTTTGATCAACCGAACACCGATCAATCACATCGCGGCGTGAGAAAAGGGAAAAACGATCGGGAACGTTCCATTTCTCTCTTAAACGTATCGCATTTTTCTCAAAAATTTTTTTGCAAAATTTCTTCATTTTTTTCACAAATTTTTTTGCATGAATTATCCTTCAAAGTCGATTATCTCGCTTCAAACTAGAGGCAATTCGTTCATTTTTTTAAATACATCCTTTTGAGGTGGGTACTATTTTGTGTTTTTTTCTAAACTAAAATTATTTGAGTTTGTCATTCTTTCTTCAAGAATCCAAAAGTTGCGCTTAAAAAGAGCAGTTGAAAAAAGCTTAAAGATAAGGATGCTAAATAATTAATTTATGTTTTATGTTTTCGAAAATCAATTTTACTTCATCATTTCCCGTTGTTCTAAATAAATAAAATGAATCAAATACATTGTTTCAAATGTAAGCAACGTACAAATTCAAGTGAAGTCACATACATCATTACCAAAAAAATAACCGAAATATGATCAAAGGGAAATGTGAACAATGTAACACTACAAAGTTTAAGCTTATTCCAATCACTAATTTCAACTTGGGCTCAAGATTTGAAGATTTAAAAAGATAAAAAAAGACCAAGTACTCCTAGAAAAAACATACTACTCACCGGAAACGGGTTTTTGTGGTATCAATGAACTCTCAAGACTAACTAAAAAGCCTCCAAAAGTTGTAAAAGAATTACTAAATCAACAAGATGTTTACACACTTCATAAGCCAGCTCGTAAAAACTTCAAAACAGAAAGAGTTTTCATCAACGAAATAGATGAACAGTGGCAATCAGACCTCGTTGAAATGATTTCTTATTCAAAAGAAAATGATGGTTTTAAATACCTTTTAACTGTAATCGATTGTTTTAGTAAATATGTTTGGGTCAAAAAATTAAAAACTAAGAGTGGCAAAGAAACAGCTGAAGCACTTGAGAACATCTTCTCTAAAGGTAGGAAACCAAAGGGGATGCAAACAGATAACGGAAAAGAGTATTACAACTCTCAGATAAACAAACTCTTTAAAAACCTTGAAATTAATCATTTTTCAACTTATTCGGATAAAAAGGCATCCATTGTTGAGAGATTTAATAGGACTTTGAAAGAGAAAATGTGGAAAATTTTTACTTTGAATGGGAATCATAAATGGATAGACACCCTTGATGATCTTGTAGAAGGTTACAATAACCATTACCATACTAGTATTGAAATGACCCCAAAAGAAGCATCTAATCCAGAAATGAGTTCTCTTGTTCATGCTAATTTATTTTCGCCAAACATAGAAAAAGAAAAAATAACTTCTAAATTCAAGGTAGGTGACTCTGTTAGAATCACAAAATATAAATCCGTTTTTGCGAAGGGGTAAATTGAAGTTATTTTTCCCTTATTCTTTAAAAAAGTTCACGCAGAAAAAGTAAAAAAATTCTACTTTTTTTCTTCATTTTTTTCATATTGATCAATTTTTTTAAAAGCTCAAGTAATAAGATTGTGAAGAATAAATGCCGTGTCATGACGGCTAAAAAAATTTGAAAAAAATGAATGGAAACTGTTTTTTTACACAATGTAATTGGCCATATCGCGCGGGTCGCAGGCGATATAGTCAAAACATTTTTCTGCTTTCACATCAACATGTCGCTACGGCGTCGTCAAAGCCTCGCTGCCATATCACTCTTATGACCTTTCAGATAAAACTAGTATAGTTCGGTGAATCAGCTTGTTGGGCGAAATAAAAATATGTTTGCAAGCTAAATGCCTGAATTCTGCTTGAAAATCTTCTCCCGCATGGTCGTCTGCCAAAGCTTGTTCTGCGGAACAATCTCAACTCTGAAAGTATCTCGAAGTAGAGTCTAATGTGTAACGCTCTAAAAAAAGATAATATTTCTTCTGAAAATTTGTTATTGAAAGATCAGAAAGTTTGAAAACTGAAGCTTAATCCAAGCTTAATTGTCATGATAATTTTTTCGGAGTATTTTTCATGCTCAAACGACTATCAGCAGCGTAAACGCCGAAACATTTCCAGAAATTGGCTGTAGAATCAGTAGAATCGCCTTTTGACAAAATGCAGGAAAAAAAGCCTTGACAATAAATTCAAAAAAATCTCTAACCAGAATAAATCTGATATTGAACCAGAAATGAAAAAAAGTTTTAGAAATTTTTTTCAACAATCGATTTGCAAGTTCTAGTATCCAGAAAAATTAATTCGAAAGATTTTTGCCGTAATACCTCTTCACACATAGTGGTTTGCTCTCATTCGAAGGTTTCCGCCTAGAGAACGGCCTCCGGGATCAGCTTCACCACCTATTATATACCGAGCTTCACCACCTACTCGTCAAAAAAGACTTCTAGTTCACCGAAGGCAGCTGATCGATAGAACTCAAAAAGTTGTTCCTCAAAGCTTAGTCGATGATATGTTTGACTGAAACAATGAATGAAATGATATATATTAATTGAAAAGTAAAATCCAGAAAATTCTGAAAATCCTGAAAAGTCATGCAAAGATCAGGGCACTTGACACCATCTGTGCCGAGGTAACTTCTAATCTCGGTGGTCCCCAAAAGAAATTATAGATCAAATAATGCTAAAATTGAACAAAAATCGAACAAAATGAATAGTACTATGGGGAGAATGCTTTGAACAGAATTCTCTGACTAATTACGACAGAGCTTGAAACCGATCGAAAAAAAATTATATGGGACCGGTCGGAAATGAGAAGATCAAAAGAAAGGTTCTATCTGAAAAAATGGAAGTCCGATTCGGAAAAGCATAATAAATTTGGTTTCGGAAAAGTATACACCCGATTCGGAAAAGTACGATTCGGAAAAGTATCGATTCGGATTTCGATTCGGAAAATCCCGGTTCGGAAAAGTATCGGCCAAGAAATGTGGATACGGTACACTTGTTAAATCTGGAATTGGTTTTTGAAGCACAAATAATAAGGTTGAACTAGATTATTCTAATAGATTCACTATTTTATTCTCACCTAAAATATACTATAAAAAAAATTGTGTTATTATTGAAACGAAGGTCTATTCTCACTTCAACCAAAGTCGTCCAACAAATGTTCTAGTTGACATGAAGAATTGTAAGTATCAAGATGGCTCTTGTGAAATAAAGAAAAATGAAATTATTGTCTGGGACGTTAGCAAAGACCAGAAGTGTCAATATATTTCAATTGGAAAGCTAGATGGTGTCTACAACAACGGTTTATGGATTAATAGTCAAAACCAGATTGCTTTTAGTTTTACATCCAACATGAGAGTAAAAGATTGCAATCTTGACTTATTGCTTAGTGATGAAGGGTTCGCCGTTCTAAAGAAAGGTGTCAACTATCAAATACCAATGATGTCAGCCCTAACGGGGTTACCACAACCTTTAATCCAAACAACAACACCAAGTCTTGAAGAAAACAAAGAATATTATGACCGACAACGTGCTCAACAAGAAGAAATTAGACAACAGCGTAAGCAGTACGAAGCAACAATTAAAGAATTTGAGAAACGGCGAGACGAAAAAATCAAGAGAAAGCATTGAGATTTTTTTGTGGCAAAAGGATGCGCAGATTTTAGGTAACTTCGTTTATTCTTCAAATTTTCAGGTTCCGTTGCTCACTTCCTTGATTGGAGTAAAAAGATCTCTGGGATTGATGTGCGCGATTGCAAGTCTCGGAGTCCTTGTGCACTTTGCAGTGCTACCGCTCATTTCATATGGCAAGTCATTATTCAAAATTTTCAAACTCCTCCTAGAGTTGCTGACCTGACTTAGGTGAGCAAGTATTTACGATTCTTCTGGTCGTTGGCCGTTTTCTGATCGGACTTCAAGCCGGGAGTTCTCTATGCCTGTTGCCGTTGTACATCATTGAAATAAGTCCTCCAAAGCATAGGGCTTTGTTCAACTCGTTTCAGGTTAAGGGTCAGGAGAAACTATTTAATATATTCCGTTTTCCCAGCAAGTTTCACAATCATTTGCTACATTACTCGGTCTCGTACTTGGCTCTGAAGAGATCGTTCCTCTAAAGGACAACCGGTTCACCTTTGAATAATAACATGAAACTCTAACAGGAATTCAGATTTCTAGTTCTTCAAATATTTTCGGTATTGCCAGTTCTTGTTGTCTTTGTGATGCTAGTGGTAACACCAGCAACTCCAACTTACATTGCAGAGTTTCAACCTGGAAATCGTTCTTACGGTAGACTTGTAAAAAAGAAGTATGAACAGGTTAAAATACACAGAAAAAGCGTCATTAAAGTTTTATTATGGAGAAGAAAAAACTCAAAAACCTTCGTACAAACGATATAGTCTAACTTGGTCCACTAGATCGATGAGTCTAGACGAAGATTATGTGTCTCCACAGTGAGTTTTCTGCGTTTCTGGTTATCATTTAAGATTCTTTGAAGGGATTCTTCTTGGAAGAAATCGATAAAAGGATTTTTGATCGGAGCTGTTGTTGCGGTTTCTTACGCTTTCACTGGTGATGATCTCATCGACACGTTCTCAACCCAAATGCTTGTCGTAAGCGATTTGTCATCACTTTGTGTTCATTTACGTTGGAGGAAATCAATTAACATTGCTCATTAGCCTAACAAGCTGGGTGTGAAGAACCGAATTGATGGCGCAATCAGTTTTATACGATACAATGGGGTTTAGGGTGACGGAAAAGCGACTTCACAGCATCAAACGACGGACGTTTTTGCACGCCTGGTTTCTGTCGCCCTGGGCGTCGTTCTGTTTATTGCGAGCATTTTCGGAGTTTTTCTCGTGAGAATTATCAATTTATCAAAATACATGTCTGGAGGAAATAATAAATGAATAATGGATGGATAGAAACGCGGAAAAAAAGGTATTTATGTGCCTTTTTAGACAAAAATCATAACTTCCATTCAACAAAAATTAAAGTTGAACTGAAAGAGTAATTGAGTGTAATTTTGCAGAGAAAAAAAGTCCCGAATAAACATTGATGGATAAATATTAACAAATTTGAAGAAAAAAACAAGCGCCTGCACCGAAAAAAACTATGAAAAAAACGCTGGAAAAGGGAGAATTCAGAAAAGATCGTAAGATCAAACTATAAACGCCTTGAATTTGCAGGTTGATCGCTACGGTCGGAGAAATCTTGTACTTATTGGTCTAATCGGCACATGCGCAGCTAATTTGGCGGCTGCCGTTTTTTTCGGCCAACAAAAATCTTTTGTTTCGGTATGCTTCGCCGCCACTAAGATGTTCATTGGCCTGGGATGCGGAGGTCCGGCGTGGTTTCTCACTTCTGAACTGGTTGGTCGAGGAATGTTGCAAAATGTGAAGACATTTTTTCTAGGTGAGACCAGAGCACGCCTGGATATTTCAGCCAATTTCCACCGGCGTCTTACTTGCTTCTACCATGCTTGAAACTTTTTTCTTCCTCCCTATCGACGCTGCCCTCGGCAACTACAGGCAAGTTCTCTTCGAATTGAACGTCAGAAAATTGTCATTCAAGTTTATTAATCCTTACCGCCAGTCCCGCCTTTTTTTCGGCTGTAATCCTATTTTTGTTCCTGCCAGAGACAAAAGGAAGAACTACGGAAGAGGTTTTGCTGATCAAAAGCTTGCAAAACTCTTAAATTTTTTAAGATACAACTTTCTCTTTCTTCGCATCGTTTCAGTGGACTACAAAGGTCACAAATCACTTCAAGCAATGGATATGGTACCTTTTTTGAGGAACAGTCTTGATTTTGTTCTTTTCTTGCAACTGACAACTCGGATAAAATTTCATATTTTATTTGATATCCGTAAGGAATGAGTCGCGAGGACGAGGATTGGAGATGCGCAGTGAAGGAAATTAATATCCTGGGGCAGTTCTTGGTGGTGGGCAGTGGTCGCAACCTCCTGAAAAGATCATATTTAGTGAGAAAAACTGAATGATGAAAGAATTTTCTAAGAAAACTGTACATACCTGGAGCACCAGATTCTCCGTCGGCTCCATGGTCTCCGTCGGCTCCTGGCTTTCCTGGGGCTCCAGCGGCACCGTCGTCTCCGGCGGGTCCTTGTGGTCCCTTGGCTCCTGGGTTTCCTGGGGCTCCTGGAGATCCAGCTGGTCCAGCTGGTCCGTCTGGTCCTGGGGCTCCTGGAGCTCCGGCTGGGCCGGGAACTTCGACGACCTTTCCTGGGGCTCCGGCAGCTCCGGCGTTTCCTGGGGCACCATCGTTACCAGCTGGTCCTGGGGCTCCAGCGGCTCCTTGAGATCCGGCGTTTCCTGGGGCTCCTGGCTGTCCGTCAGATCCTGGGTTTCCGCTTGGTCCCTTTGGTCCGGCTGGTCCAGCTGGTCCAGCTGGTCCTTCTGGGCAATCGAAGCACCAATCGACTTGTGGAGCTGGAGTGGCTTCTGGTCCGTCTGGTCCGTCTTTGCCTGGGGCTCCTGGTTGTCCATCAGCTCCATCTTCTCCATCAGGTCCTGGAGCTCCAGGTGGTCCTTGAGCGGAGACACCGCAGCCGCAGCATCCTCCAGCGCTGTGAGAGGTTCCTTCAACGGCTTCGGAGGTGTAACCAGCTTGACGGCGAGATCGGACGGCTCCACCGGTAACCTTGGCAAGGACCTGAAATAGTGTTGATGAAGAAAAAATGATGAATAAAAAGGGATAATAAGAAGAAAATTCAAGTAAAAACTGTACCTGGGTGCGGGTGACCTCTCTCCAGATGTTTCCGGAGCGCGAGCGGCAGAAGTCGACCTCGCTCTGCATGACGGATTGCATGTGCTGCATGTAGTTGTACAGCATGGGCACCGACAGGACGCACACGAGCGTGGCGACCGTCGAGACGGCAACGCCGAAGAAGGCGACGCGGCGGAGAGAGTGAGCCTCGAGCTCGAGTTCCTTCTCGTTGGTCATCTTAAACACGAAAATCAGAACCAGAGGAGTAGGAGCAATAAATATTAGAAATTAAAGTCGCCAAGAGGCTTCAAATGACTGGGTAAGAACAAGGAAAAGAAAGGACTGCTTACCGTTGTCGTTATGATGAGATTGCCCACCTGCCTTCTACCTTCAGGGAGTTGCCTTTTATACCGACGGTAGGCGGCGATTGAAGGAAAAGGTGTAGCAGGAAGAGAATGCGTTGATTGAAGAGACCTGGGTAGCAGAGAAAGCAAGATCGCAAATGAAGCAACGTCTACGGCAGCCCAAGGACATTGCTCAACCCTGCAATTCCTATAATTTCACTATCTTTTTTTTTAAAGATCACACCATACTACCTAGGTTGCAGGGGTGGTTAGTTCCAAGCTTTGGATCGAAAAAAATGAATCGAAATCCCTCGAGATATTTTCGAAGTCGTGATTTCCTGCTGCGTGTTTGGAACTTTCCGTATAACATTACTGTGAAGAGGAGACTAATGTTTTCACACCGCAAAGCGATTCCATAAATTACCATAACTCGAATTCGCTGCTAATTGCCGTTTCACCCGATTTGGCGTCGTTTCAGAGCGAACGCTTCACTTTTTTCTGGCACATTTGCATTTGGCGTACAAAGAACACCTTTTTTCGCAACTATCTTAGCTTTCGAAAGATTCACATTCCTTAGTTCGAAGGAATGTCTTAGTGTCTGAAAATGCATCGAAGGGAAGTTGTTATGTATCTACTTTGCACTTTTCAGAAATGTTGATTGATGAATGAACCAGAGATACTGCTTTCAACATATTTAAAAGGTCATGTTTTTGAAAAAGGAACATGCTCCCGAATTTCTGCATCTTAACGTTGTGATTCAAGAATTTCAAAATCTAATTTTCAACAACATACAGAATAAAAATCCGAGAGGAAAAATTGAAAAAATTTGTGAAGGAAGTTGCAAAAATGTACTGTTTAGTTTATAGTTTCTTTTTGAGCAACCTCAAGTTTGTGGAAATTTTTGAACACCGATGAAAAACCAAGGAAATTGTTTAAAAAAATCATTCAGCTCAATTTGACAAGTGACCAAGTTTTAAGCTGTGCAAGAAAATATTTGAAAGTGCTGGTTTTCTGCTTTTACCCAAACTTCTGCTTGAAATATTTTTTTTGCAAACATTTTTTGAAATGAAATATTTTGAAAAAAAGAAAGTGGGAAATGACACCTGGTAAATTTTTTTTTCAAAAGTATATCATAACTTGACTATAAGAAAACTTATTGATGTGCAATTATTTATCAACTACAAATTGAGCATTGCAGCAATTTCAGTTTTAAAAATAAATGTTCGATCTCCAAAATTTAGCACTTCCGTGTCCATATCTGCAGTTCTCAACCTGAGAAATCTAGATCATACTGAGATCTTTCAGTTCCGCGTTGACTTTCAAACTTCAAACTTCAATCTGCCGTCGGAGGGGCAGCCGAAATTAACCTTGACGTCCAAAACCACAAACACATCTCGGCCTTGCCATTCCTCCTATCGTCGTACTATCCCTTTCTCGGCGCCAGAAGATAAGAAGCGTTACCGCCGCAGCTAAAACACAAAGGAGGAAATGAATCTCGGCACACTCGTTTTTCCAATCCCCAGGCCAAATAACTTCAAAATTTGGAATCACTTGGTCGCAAACAAGAGAACCCAAATATTTAAAAAAATGAACTTGTTTTTATGTCTGCTGTTTTATTGCGCCTGTAGAAAAATAACTGGAGCTCACATTTTTTTCTTCGAAAAAAACTGACAGTTAGTGTCGAAAAAAATCTTTTTGATATTAATTTCTGCTGAATTCTTCCCCGAAATCGAAGTAAATAGCTAATAAATTAGAAGAAAAAAACAAGACCCATCAATGCTCATAAAAAGTTCTAGAAAGGTAAGTTATCACACGTAAAAGTTGATAAATCAGCAATATTTCATAATTTTTTTCGCTTTTTTTACAATCCAGAAGAAAAATCTCCCACACTTTTTCTCTCACTGCACTAATTCGATTATTTTTAAAAGCTAACGCAGATTTTTTTTATCGCCGTTCAAATTCTCCAGCTGGTTCGTGATGTCCTTCAATGCAGCAGATCGTAAGAAACGAACGTCGCTCAGCCGCTTAATGGATTTTCACGTGCATAGATTAGAACATTTGGGAAAAAATCTAATCGAACGGAAATGCACTTTGACAAATTTTTCCTTGTCGAGATCAAGAGATTGATTTTTTTTTGCTGTCAATACAGTTTTGAAAACAGATTATTCGAGAAGACTTGCAAATTTAGACATATCTCATTCTAGGCTGTCTTGAAAATGTGTTCAAAGATAGCTTTTACATTTTCGCAAATCAGTAAGTGGAAGAGAGAGGACTGATTTTTTTGCTAATTCTCGTCTCAAGCTGGTGATGCAAATGCTGGAATTTTATTAGGGATCAAGAAAAGGTTTTCGAAAATTCCTAAAATTGAGCAAGTGTCATGCACTTTGAAGAAAATTATTTCATAGACTAACAAAACTTCGGACTCTTTTCAATCGTTCACTTTTCACATTAGTTTGCAATTTAAAAATGAAAGTCGCACACTTTTTTGCGAAATTTCACTCTAAGGTGTCGATAGTTTTTCCCAGTATTTTGGAGCTTCTGCTTCAGCGTTTTCCCTTCTTGAATCAAATTTGAAACATCTGCCTCAGAAAAAAAAGCCTTCCTTAAAGGGCTTGAAACATACTAAATGAAAATTTAATTCCAATAAATTAGTTTAAGCTCTAGCCACTTGACTTCAGTGCCAATCGTCGTAACTGAACAGACGCATCAGAAACAAACAACTAAATGGTCTATCAATTTTTTGCAGAAACAAAGAAATTTCGCCTCGTCAGTCACTTCTGAAGAAGGAAAAAACTGCCGGGACACTGTGCCGTGGCGAATTTTTTTTTCTTCGGGGCGAAAAAAAACCGGCTGGTCGGTGTGGCATCAATTTTTTTTTGACGTCGGAGACCACCACCCACGCCTTCTTCGCTTTATCTTTTCATTATATTCTCAAATCGAGAGAAGACGGGAAGAACGACGCGACCAGGCGTCGCTAATCAATGAGTACTGCAAAATGTGAAAAGGATCAGAAACTTAAGTTTTGGCGATAATACTTATCGCAAATACTCCAAAAACTTTAACACAGAAACAGTTACGATTGTAACTTGAGACTCAAGTCTGCAAATTATTTTTTCTTTATTTCAATACCTTATGTTTTTGATGCAGAATAGGACTTTGAATGAGGGAGTTATCTTTCGCGAACTTTTTTCAAAAAACTTCAAAAAGCTCATATTAAAAAGTTTCGTTATGAAACTGGTATATTTCAAACTTTGGGTATCTAGAATTTGGACTTTCTTCTAGGCGTATCCGTCAGAAAACATCAAACATTCCCGATAGAGAAGTTACATTCACAGTTTTCGTAAGAAAGCCGTTATTCTACACTTTCTCTGGACATGAAGCTAGTCTTTTTTCTTTAGGAAGAATGACTTATATGTTCCTAGATGAAAAATGAGTTCGAATGCATCAATTATTTTTGTCGGAAACTCTGAAAAAGTTGCTTTCGCACTTTTACAAAGGCGGAAGTGGGCGCCACAAAGACGTGTAAATCACGGAGCGTCAGTGAAATCTTCAGAAGGCCACGCAAGGCCAGGAACCCCCTCATGATGACGTCATAATCTTGCTTGTGTGGTGTAATACACGGCCAACGGCGTTGGCTTCGAGATGAGAAGGAAGGTGGAGATGAACCTACCGACGGCCGCCGGGTCGACTCTGCCTCAATGTCAGCCGCATCACACGACTTCAGATCACTTTCCGTCGTCAAAAAACCCCAACCATTTTTTTTTGCCAAAGGGCAACCACCGTAGAATGTTTAAAACGCAACGGTTCTCGGCAAAAAAAAAAACCGTCTCGTTTTTGTGTTGTGAGCGACTTTACGACGTGGTCAATTGCAAAGTGAAAGGGTGAGGTTCAAGATCAGACGATGGGTCAAAATCGAGTTAGAAAGCTGGAAACAAAAGAAACTGTCGCACTTCTTTTTCTGAGCAAAGAGAAACAAGTAGCATGAGGTTCGCTGAAAAAAATATTCTAATTTTCAAAACCGGCAACAGAAACGTATTTCAAGGCGTACTATAAACAGTGAATTATTCTCGATAAGTACGATACGACGTCCTCAAGTTCAGTTTCGATTCAAATGAAAGCCAAGCGCAAACAACAAGAGTAATTTTGGCACTTTCAATGCCCTCTTCATGGCTAAGTTGATTGTGCAAAAAAATGCTGAAAAAGTTGATTAATGACGTAATATTTTCCTTTCGATCTTTTTTCAATGTTGACTTTAGTTTCGATAGAGAAATCGTTGATTTGAAATCGAAAAAAGACTTCCATAAAAAGAAAACTATGCCAAAGAAATGTGAGAGGCTGCTGGCCGATATTGAAAACAGATTATTAGAGTTTTTGTCCAAATTTTTTTGATTTCCACGATATTTCAGAAATTTTCTTGAATTTCTTCTTTCTTTTTAACTTTTTCATTCCAAATATATAATTTGAAATAGAACTACACAAGTTTCCTTCAAGCCCGTTCTTTATTTTCAGGGCGAGAAATTTTTTGACGAAGTTTTGTTTTTTTATTTTTTTACATTCCGCTTTGACGTCTGAAAAAAATGAGAAAGAATTTGGAAGACTTGGACTGCAACGTTTTATTTAAAGAAAAAAACCTTTTTTTACTCTATAAAAATGGATGAATAAGCTGAATATGCACAACGTCACCAAAAATCAAATCAAAACCGAAATCTGGAAAACTTCATGAAGGGAAGAAACACATAAGACAATAAGATTGAAAGTACTAATGAGTTACATTTTCCGAAATTAAATAAAAAAGTACAAAATATAAAGAACATTTCTGTTAACCGAAAAGATGAAGAAGGGCGCTTGGAGAAAAGTTCGACTCGCAGGAAAATTTTCAAATTGTCGGAGTTCATCTCTTTCTACTTTGTCGTGACGCTGAGATTTGCTGAAAGGAATTTGTTTCATATTCACCGTTTCGCTCGTTCACAAAGTATAATTCATGAAGCGGTGATAGAGTCAAAAATTTGCGATCCTGACCATCGTTGTCTGTTAATCGAAATGCAAAAAGGAAATTTGAAAATAAGTTTGAAATTTTTTATTCTGGCGCTCACCAGGGAACGTTTTTTACCCCCCGGTTGAACTTTTGCTGAAACTTTGCTTAAGTGTACTTTAGGACCTCCTGATTCCAGAACAAGAAAAAAATTTCTCGCAATAGATCTTGTTTCTGAGTTTTGGAGCTTCAAAGTGTGCAAAATACGCAAATTAGGCCAAAAAAGCGCTATTTCGGGCTTTTGAAGTGTCCTAACTCGAAAACGAGATCTATTGCGAGAAATTTTTTTCTTGTTCTGGAATCAGGAGGCCCTAAAGTACACTTCAGCAAAGTTTCAGCAAAAGTTCAACCGGGGGGTAAAAAACGTTCCCTAGTCAGTCAATCGAACGTGTTGTCTACTGAATTTTATTTAAGAGTTTTTCATTTTTTTTATTCATGAATTCAAGAAAATTTAGCAGGATGAAAGCTCTGTTGAATGTTTTTCGGAGTCTAAAATTTTAAACAGTTAGAAATTGGTCACGGAGACCTCAGAAGAAAATCACTTGGTTCAAATGGGGAATTTGAAAGGAAGCAGATCAAAATTGAGAAGACAAGCTTCTCGACCAGCTTCATCTGCGTGATTCATGTGTTTGGTCGAGTAGCGCATGAATCACTAAAATAATCAAGACTTGTATTGGCAGGTTACGGAAAGGTTGAACTACCGTGGGGCGGCACGCGGAGCCTGACGCGGAAGAGTCGCCGTCGCGGCCTGAGTCATTCCAGGACTGGTCTTGTCCCTGTGCCGCTGCTCATAAAAGAGGACACGGACCGTCTGTAAAGCACACCCCCAGGCTTGCTCCAGTTCTTCATCCGCAATGCGCCTCCATTACATGTCCGACACGTTTTTTCTCTTTTTCTTATTCGGCTGTTCATACGTTTTTTTGGTATGTTTTTGTTTTACAATCTTAAGTTCGCAAAAAAATATACCTTTTTTTGTGAATAATAAATTTTGGTGTAATTTTTTTTCATCATGCGACGTCCGTAATTTTTTTCCGTCAGCGTTTCAATTTTAAAAAAATATGTTTGACAGCTTGAAAATTAACCGTTTTTTTAAAAAAATTTAGTTGATTATCATAAAGTCTCCATTTAAAAATCCCTATTGCTTCTTATTTGTTCAACTTGAATCAAAAATTTATTGAAAAAGTTTACTGGGATCCATTCCACAAGAGCTATTCAAAGTTCTTTTTTTATTTTTTTCTTCACTAGAAAGATTTGAAATTTTTCGTTTTGACTTTACTTTTTTTACTTTGTAGATGAGCGGATCTTAGGCTGTGCAAATATTAGCGTTTTTTTTGACAATTTTTTGGTCGCTTCTAATTATTTTTAGTTGAATGGCCTTTGTCGTTTTGTAGACAACCTTACCACTGAAAAACTTGACCAAAGAGGAAATAGGAACAGAAAAAGCAGATGAAGAGCCTCTGTTTTTGTTGACATTTTCTTCTTTCGCCGAAGAAAGCTCCTCAAACAAACCATTTGAAAACAGTGCTTCATTGCATGGTTCCGTAATACAGATCATCCCTTCACAATTGAAGGAAAAACACTCCAACCAAAGTTTTCGTTCAAGCTTACATGGTTCAGGAGTAGGATCACCGTCAGCTGGGAATGTTTGCATGACTCTGGAGAATCTTCGCCCTGCGGACAATTCTTCTCAATTCTACGAATGTGCTCCTTTGGGCGACGAAGAGGCAAAGGAATTAGGAATTGGAATCGATGGTTGTTTTTGACGCTTCAGATCGAAGGGTACGGTTTGGGAGATAAGTATCTGGGTGTTTGGCACAAACGCGACTGTCCCAAGGACCACGAATTCGACGAAATCAAACAACGGTGCATTGAACGGAGAACATTCAGAAGGTTCTTTGGAAGTTCGATAAAAAGTTTTGATGAAACTTGACTTGAAGGCAACAAGCTGCATGTGAGCAGAACTCTCAAGCTGTTGGCTGCTCAATCGGCTGCTCGGGTGAGATTCGTAAACTTCCATAAATTGAAAAAAATGAGGGTTGAGAGGCGACAACGATACCAACTCTTGGGTCTTCTTGCGATTGGAGAGCTTCAACTCTCCAGAATGACCCAGCCAGCAACGCCTACTTCTTCCAGTGCTCTCCTACTTCTCCCAGGTTTCCTTCTGTTCATACTATCCTCTATAAAATTCTGATGATTACTCAACCTTTCTCGCCGTCATTTTCTCTCATGTTTCATCAAACTTTCTAAAAAATAAGAACGAGAAACTGAGCTGTCAGTTTAGGTTTTTTTTATTCGCTGAAAAATTAGAAATAATGAAACGCATGTGCTGATGAAGTTTGATGGATTTCGAAATATTGAGCTGTTAAACTTTTTATTTGAAACTGTTTATTTTCGAAAATTATTATGTCAGATATCTCAGGCAAAAACAGAATATATACGTTTCTTCAAATAATTTTCTAGTTTTTTTCAATTTGATTGGAGATAGTTGTGAACCAAACAACGATATCATTTCCGACGGAAGACTGTAAATTCAAAAAGAAAAACATAGTTTCAGCTCTTCGTGTGGAGAATGGAACCGCCAGCAGTGCGCTCCAGCCACAATATACTCTCAGGAACTGTCGGTCTGCGTGCCGATAAAAGTGCAGAACAGCTGCCAAAAATCAGAGGTACGATATCGACGTCATCGTAGGAAGCACCAAAAGCTAAAAAAAACGGGTTCAGATGACGGCCGTCTGCAATTGCGCGAGTACAAACGCTTGCCCCGGCGTCGCCCAATGCGAAAACGTTCGTTTATGATCATCAGATTAAAGTGCGAGTTCATAGGAATATACGGTTGTTTCGGTTACAGAACGTGTGTTGCCAACAGACCGAGACATTCTCACTCAACAACCTCATTCAGCATCAGCCGCCGTGTGAGTTGCGCTGGACAGAAAGAAGCAATAATGTGTCTTTTGTAGTGTGTCCAGGATCTTATGTACCGCCGCTCGGATCTTGCAACGAACAATGTCCAGAATGTCAGTTTCGAGTTCAGTTAGAATAAATTAAAAAAGCCTAAAAAGTGAATAACAACTGTGGCTTCGAGAACAAAAAAGCTCAAAACTTTACAAAGGAGCAAAATATCTTCTATTTTTTGCAAATAACTTTCCATTTTTGCCAGGAGTTCTGGTAATCTTGAGGAAACTCTGAAAGTACTCTCTTAAGCTATTTAATAATGAATTTTAGGAGTCCACTTATTGAAAAAGTGATTCAAGCCTGGAAATTTGGGGATTCGTGAAGTCATTTAACACTAAAAATGAACCTAGGCTATAGAAATTATTCATTCACTTTTTTTCACCACTGGAGAGATCTTTTTATCTTTCTGCTTTTCAGATTCTGCTTGTTCGCCAGGAATTGGCTGTTGTCCAGTAGCTGTGAACCAACAACCTCAAGGAGTCATCCCGATTTGTAAGCACGCACATTTTCCAAAACTTACCTGGAACTCGAACTTGAAGCTCTATGCCCCGGATCGTTGTCACCTCCATTTGGAACATGTGGCTCTTGCCCTTCTGGCACCATCTGCAATCAGAAAACTCAAATGTGTTGTCCCACTCAACAGCAACCGTCTACTGATATTGTCTACAAAGTTGTGCTGCTTTGTCCAGGTGAGAAAGCAAATAACTTCATTCTGAAAAGATTCATTTTTTTTTTCCAAGGAATATGAGACAATTCGAGTTTTACTGAGCTTTCGTAATCTCTCTTCCCATTCGAAAAGTTCCAAAAACTGCTATGCTGATATAAAATCACGGCAATCACCAAAAAAAAAAAAACAAGGAAGAGGCAGAAGAATAATCAGTGTTCAGACGGTACCCCGGCCACTACGCCTTGCTCCAACGGATGCGCGGCCAACAACGCTTGCTTCCAAGGCGCTTGTTGCCCGATCAACTGTCCTTCTGGCCAGGTTATCATCAACATAATCATTCATATCACTCAAATACTTGATGTAAAAAAAAAGTTGTGATAATTTTAGATTTAATCTTCCGTTTTCAAAATTATTTCTGTTCCAAAAATTTTAGTAGATCATACTTTGACCAGTTTGATAGTTTTTCTTTGCCGAAATCGTAAAATCACTTCTAACTAGCAAAGTTAGCGTGGAAACCACCGGAAAATTCAAACTTGGAGTTGATTTCTTGGCTGAGTTTCATTTGACTCCCTACCTCAAAGTAAAAGTACCTTTTGTTTTGATTTATAGGAAAAAAAACCTTATTTTTTTTCTGTTTCAAGATGCAAGCACTGCAAATTTGAATCCTCAAAGACATTATTTTGAATGATCATTTGTTATAATAGTGTTATCACTATAAGCAGAAAACTTCTAAATGAGGATAAAGTCCAACAAAAAAATAAAATTTTTTTCAGAACGCCGTCGGTTTCTGCTCCTCAGGATCTTGCGGGAGCGGCTCGTGCTATGCCAGAACGACCTGCTGCCAAGAGGAAATCCGTCTTCCGGTCTGTTCCAATGGTCAACAATCACAACGAAGATGCTCTGTCTCGGCCGAGTGTGGTCCTAATTTGGAGTGTTCCAACGGCGGCTGCTGTCCCATGCCATTTTGTCCGACCGGAATCCAGGTTGAAGCAAGTTAATCGGTTAATTAAACATTTGGGGAGATTCAGGCGACCATGAGGTGCAATGCTTTGCTCGGATGTGCCCCGGGAATGTCTTGCATGGAGGGACTGTGTTGTCCTCTTCCGCGCTGTCCTAATGGAATCATTTCTCTGGGTTAGTGATTTTTATCGTCACCTTCACAGCGTAAACTACCTTTTGCATGGAATTGAAGAAGACATGAACTGAATGGACTTAAATGGACAATAGTAAACTGAAGGACACTTTGAAGTAAAGAACCTTGAAAAGCTTTGATTTGAAATTGAAAAAAAAAAGCGGTTTGATCATGTTTTTGATTTTTTCACTTCTTTTGATATACTTGATAATGATAATCAATCGCGAGTTTCAAATTCTTCTCAAATTTAGGAACTTGCTCGAGAACCTTCGATTGTGGACGGATGGGTGTTGAATGCGCCAACGGCGCTTGCTGCCCTCTGCCGACCTGCGCAAACAACCAATTCGCTTCTCAGAGGTTTCTTTAATGGTCAGCTAATCAGTTGATAATGGATCATTCGAAGATGCTCTACCGGATGCAACAACTGCTGCCCAACAGGTCAAGCTTGCACCAACGGAGGCTGCTGTCCACTTCCTCAATGTTCTGCTGGTGATTTCTCTCCCCGACAAAGATAACGATTCGATTTTTTTTAGGAGTGATTGCCGTGTCAATGTGCTCGGGAAGTTGTTCTGCCGGCCATGAATGCGTCAACAACGGCTGCTGTCCTCTGCCTCGCTGTCCCAGTGGACTGATGGCTCAACAAAGATGTCGGCTGGGAATTGGTTGCCCTCCTGGAAACGTAATTTTGTTTTTTTTTTCCTTACTAATCTAGATCGTTCTTTTCTTGCAGTTCCTGCTTCAAAAATCTGTCACAATTTACTGAATTCTCAGGTATACGAACCTCAAAAATTAGACTTTTAAGTTTTCTCATCAATTTCATTCTTGAAAATAGTGAAATTTGTGATGCTTCTTCAAACTATTCATTGTAGCAATGCGAGAACGGCGTCTGCTGTCCGATGCCAATGTGCTCTAGCGGATCAATCGCTTCTTCAGTTTGTGGAATGGCCAACTCCTGTCCTATTGGTTACGTTTGCGAAGGTGAACTAGAATTTAACTTTTTTTTTCCAAGAAAAGAAGTTTCAGGACGCGGATGCTGTCAAGAACCTCTTCCATTGTGTCCGAACGGAGGAAGATCTGCTCAGAGATGCTACCGAGGAGCAGAATGCCCTCCTGGATATGGATGTACACCACTAGGTAAGATTGAGTTCGAACATTTCAACTTTTGGCTCCGAAAGTTGTTGCTTCCAAATTTTATCGACGAAAAAAATTCTTTCTCCATGTTCCAATTAAAAACTGGATTCATTTCATTTTAACTTAAGTTTGACATTTTAGGAAATCAATGTAAGATGTTGTTGAAAAATAAAAATTAATTTTTTTGAAGGATCACCATTTTTTTCATTTGGTCGAAATTTTTTTCATTCGTGGGCAATTCATAATAGGATTGTCTCGAATTTAAACCATTAGTCAGACTTTCTGTGATTTTCATTTTAAACGAATTTTGGACTTTTTTTACGCTCAAGTTTCAGTTTTTACGGATTTCTCAATGATCACTCGTCATTTTTTCAAGACACAAAATATTTAACATTGTATTCAATGAACAGGGGAAATTATTTCGAGATTGAAAAGTCAATCACCAGGTTGAGCGTTTTTTTTAATGAACCTTACAATTTTTGAAGGAGAAACCAAAGAATGACGTGAAGGAAAATCTTGTTAGATTCAGAAAAGGCTGAAAATTACAAGAAGACTTTTTTTTGCGGAAGTGCCGTAGAGCTGTTTACAGAGAGAAAAAAGTGTTTTCCTTTGAGCTCAGTTTGTTCACATAGAAGATCGAAACACAGGTGGCTGCTGTCTGCTGTCGATGGAGCCGGTGTGTCCAGCGCGATCGAACGCCGTCTGCCAGTGTTCGCCAAACAACGCATGTCCTAATGGAGCTTCTTGCACTATGGGAACTTGCTGCTCTTCTGGTTTTTCGTCGTTTCCCAGTTTTTCTGAAAAAAAGTGTTCTTCCAGCAACCGCCGTCTTCAACCAGGTGCCAGGAACGACGTGCCAAGCTTCCAGCCAATGCAACGGATACTCAAACAGTTGTGCCCAGTGTGTACAAGGAGTTTGTTCTTGTGTCAATGGAGCCGCCTCGAATGGTCGCCAATCTGTCCACAACATATAAATTGCAAGAGGGGGAGTTCAGGTGCTAGCTGCTCACAGATCACGCCGACCGTCTTGACTTTGGCTCGAAACGGCTGCGATCAGTATGGTTCTCCCTGCAAGTTCTTGCTTTCCACTGCTCGCAGACGTCCCATTTTCGCTCCCACTGGAAATATGACTGAACAACCGTGTCAGTTAAAAACAATCGTTTTTTTTTTTCTCGAGAAATGAAATAAGTAGAGAAAAAAAGGATAAAATGGTAAACGATGAAGAAGAAAAATTTTGAGTTAAGAGAAAGTTGGTTTTCTATCTAGCCTTCAAAAAAAGTACAATAAAGTATCAGTTTTATTTTTCTGTCAAATCCACCTTAAGCTTCTGAACTAGTCTACAAAAAAAATTTTGAGAACTCAAAACTTTTAGAAAGTTAAGACAGTAGATTATCGCTTCAGTAAATATTCTTTACAAAAGCTCGGGGAACAATTTTAAGGCTCTGAAAAAGACTTTAAGGCCTCCAAAAACAAACCGATTTTCCACTAGGGTTTTGATCTGATGAATTTTCTCTCGACTGATAATTTTCAGTGTTCTTCAACGTAGCAGCTCGCAGAAAGTGCGTTTTGGATTCGGCGGAAGTCGATGCCGACAGCACCTGCCTACCCAATGAGAAGTGCATCGACGGCGATTGCAGAATGTTTGTCATTTTTAGCCACCACATTGTTTTTTCCGCTTGTTTGTTAAGGAAGTTGTGGCCCGGCGAGTACGGATGCTCAAGCGATCTGGAATGTGCTTCGCGCTGTCCAAACACCTACTGCGAGAAGAAAAAAAGCGACAAAAACGTCGCGCAGTGTCAATGCCGCAATGGCATGCTGCTCTACGGACGATGCTGTAAGTGTTTTTTTAAGGATTTAAGTTGATTAAATTCTCAATTTACTAAAAAAATGTTGCAAGTGTCGAGACTTTTTCTGAAAGGCATTTGTTGATTAGTTTGAAAAAAACAAAAGAAACGATTTTTTTGTGAAACGAAGAAGCCACGGTTCATTTTGAACTTTTTGATTTGATTGAAAAAAATTTAAACTTAATTTGAAGAAGAAAAAAAGCATTTTCTTTTTTTATAATCATAGTCCGAAAAAAATTGTTTCTCTAGAAAATCATTTTAAACTTCACAAGCACTATATTTTTCTTTCACAGTTTCGCAATGCCCTCAAGGCTTCCATGAATCGGGAGCCTTCTGTATGAACGACGACGAAGACAAATTCTGGAACGACGCTTCTGCTCAAGATAATTTGAAAGCCCTTCTGAATGCCGGCCAATGCTAAGAACCATTTATTTGCCTTTTTTCCTTTGTCTGTATGTACTGAAATTAACTTTCATTGATATAATAATAGTAATAATAATATTCATAATAACGAAAGAAGAAATATTATTATTTATTCCCTCTTAATTTTCATTTTTCTAGTTTTAATGTCGTGATCTCTTTCAAGTTACTCTTTGCAAAAGTATTTTGCGTTGAGAAAGCGTATTTGTCAATAAATGTTTTGCAACTTTGAACTTCTCATTTTTGAAACTGCGCGATGATCAAAAGAGATTAATCTGTACTCGAACTGCACTGAAAACAGGGAGAAATTTTCATTCCAATTTTTGCTTGTAGGACATTTCAAAGCACGACCAATAATACCAACTGAGAAGTTTCCTCAAAACAAGAGCGACAATCGTCAGAATGAAGATGACGTCAAGAGAATACAATTGGAATGTGTTGTTAACATGTAATTCAGAAGTGAAACCGGAAAGAAGGGAATTTACTGAGAACAATAGTCGATCTTTTGGAGAATTTCTATGAGAAGTTAAGAGCTTTCTTAGGACTGCACTTGTTTTCGATAGAAATTCAAAATGAAGGATGTGGTTCAATTCTTTCTGGAAAACGGCAGCAGTGAAGTTTTCTTTAGACATGACTTCAGCTATTCCTCTGCAATGAAAGTTTGGAATTTTGCTGTGACAACAGGTTTTTGGAATCGAAATTTGACAGTTTCTTTGCAAAGATGAGTTTCCTGTTTTTCACTGTTTTATCATCGGGAACATACCTCTGCTTGGCCAAAGCAGCATTTCTCATTTCTGAAAACGTTTGTGGAACGATTAGCATAGGAGTCCCCGAATAAATTGCGTGAAGGATATTTTCATTCTTTCCGTTTGTCAATAAAACCTTCGATTTGGAGCTCTCTGAAATCAAACAAAGATCTTTTAAGAAACTGATCATCCAACCTAAAACTTTCGTAATATCACTTTTTGGGACGAAAAAAAGGTTGTCGATTGAATCGAAATGGTGTTTTCCGATCCAAACAAAAGAAACATCTTTGTTATACCTAAAAAAAAAAGGCCTGAATTCTTACTTGTTCCTACTTAATCTCACCTGAAAATTTCTGCCAGTACCGGAGTCATTTTCTCATTATAATCTTCTAAAGACACAAGAACTATTGTTTCCGCTTTTTGCAACAAACTTCTCAGATCCTAAAAATACAACTTGAGGGAAGATATTTCAAAATTTTCAACCTCGCTGCTTTTAATGATCGTTGAATCAAAATTTTGTAAGTATACAACTCTTGGAGTTGTAGGAACAGCAATTTCGTAGTTTTCGTCGGCCCTTGCAAAAAGAAGTTGAGCCTGAATAGATGTTAAAATGATATTTTCAACAACTCTGACCTTGATATTTGAGGAGATATGGGATCCGAGGCGTTTTTGAATTTTCTGAAGAGTTGAAGTTTCGAAGATCGAGGCCAATTGAGAATAAATGTGGAGAACGAACGTCGCAGTCTTCTGGAGGATGTTTGAGTGTTGTGCAACGCCAAGGACGGGGTCTAGGAATCAACAAAATGAAAAAAATTGATGAAATTGTTTTGCGACTTTTCAAGGCATCAAGAATTTGACAATAAAATCGGTGAAAGGTTAGCTTCTGCAGATAAATAAGATCATAATTGTGGAATCAACTGAAATTCCTATGGATCTTCAGAAATTTCTTTGTTTCAATCTCTTTATGCAGTTTTTATATGATTTTAAAGTTTTTTTTGTGTAGAAAAAGTTTGAAGTTCAAAGTTCGAATCCTCTAAATTTTATCTTTCAGAGACCTAACAAAAAAAAACATTTTGAACGTCTATGACAACTTCAAAAATCTTACGAGGCATGAGTGATAAATGTGTTGGAACAGAAACGTGCTCAAGAGATTCTCTGCTTGGTGAGCCATCTTCCACAACAATAACTTTGCTTCCCATGTATTGGGCCAATCTGGAAACGAAATTAGTTGATTTTAAGATGAATAGGGTTGCTACCCGTTAGCACATTCATCGTCCGCTAAGTGAATCGAAATTTCGAAGTTTTCATTCACTATAGATTTCATAAAGTCCGTTGAGTTTAACGCAACTGGAAGAATAATTTTTTAAGAAAAATCAGTTTTTTTCAAACCTTCGCAAACATACTGTAAAGCTTCTCGCGCTGCATTTTTGGTGGCGAAATAGTTGACGTAGCGAAAGTCTTCATCGACTTCTCTGAAAAACTTCCTGACATATGTTTTTAACCAATGCAGTCAAACGGGAAAGGTGAAAAAAACTTCCACATTTTCTGACGCTCAAACCTTGATTCCTTAATTATATCAATAAAAAAAAAATCACTCCCTGATACCCATAACTTTTAGAATCAAAGAGCTGGTTTAAAAACCTATTTGCTCAAAGTGTTTGTGAGTTCAGAAACTTTTATTTTCGGAACCTTTTGACTGCTTCTCGATAGTCCTCGAGCTTTTCTGTCGCCACAACTCCCAGAGATATAATTTTTTTCTCAAAATGAACGTTTTCTGAACGGAAACAACTAATCATATTAACTCCACTTTTTGTGACGACGCGGTGGTGCCAGCAACGTATTCAATTAACACGACATCATGACTCCGATCGAGATCTTCAGCAATATCGCTAATGAATTTGTTCTAAAAATAACAGTTTAATTAATTTGAGTCTAAAAATAGGTATCAATCACGAGGTAATAGAAAAAATCAAGCGGAAAGAGATAAAAAAAGATCAGACCTCGGAAGGATTGTCTAGAAATCCCAGGAAAACTCCAATCTTCGCACAATGCACAGAGAAAAAGAGGCTCCAGAGTAGGACCACGGCTCGCATTGCAGTTTGACAACGAAATATCGCTCTTATCACGACAGTTATCAACCCATAAATATCAGTATTCACTATGCAGTTCCAAATTTGTGTGTTGTCTCATTTAAAGTCGCTTTTTCTTGCAAAAATAGTTTATCCAAGAATACAGATGTTGCTTGGCAACATCAAAAAAAAAAATAATAATAAAGGTGATATGATACAAGGTGAGATCAAATCTTCCATGAAAATGTGCCCGATACGTTTGTGAGATCCCTAGGCTTCTCGAGTCATTCTGGAGACGCGTTGTTTGTCGAATCGCCAATGATGTTCAGAGGAAGCGATCTGAACCTTAACATTTCGTTTCACTTTGTGCTCCCGCTTGGATACCTGGTACGTTGTTGGTTGAAACTGTCCTTGAGGCTCATTGTTTCTCGGTGGCGACATAAGAAACAAAGTTTCTTCTGCATTTCAATCCGGAAGTGTTTGCTAGAAAAAGCACCTTTTTGCTATTTTGATGATTCCAAGATTCACCTGCTCATGCAGAACAACAAGAAGTTGGCGACTTTGCTGCAAGTGACTACCGTCGAAGAAACGGCGACCAACGTGTACATCCATCCCTTGCCGTACATGGCATCGTAGTGGACGAAATAACTTTAAAAAAAATCTAGATCATGCGTGTTGGCGATTTTGTTTTGCTAGAAGCATGGGATGCGTCCGAAACGAAGCGCCTCGGGTTAGGTTGAGCAGCCCAAAAGCTTCGTATTTAATTACGAGCGATTTCTAACTGATGCCGCGAAATTATATTTTGCCACTTTCAGTCAATTCGAATGCCTAAAAAAAGAGAAAAAAAACAAACATGTAGGCGTAGATCAGAGCCGACGGCAGGTGAGATACCAGGTAGGCCGTTACGATTGCTGTGACCGTCACTGTGACGTGGCGCTCCGCTTTTCCCATATGACGACACCACATTCCACTGGAAAAGTTCAATCATTTGAAACAATGACTCGACCATCAAATTCCTTTTTTTTCTTAACCAGTCGTGGGAAAAAGTTCAGAATTGGAAATTGAAAATTGATTTTTTTTTCTTTCGAAAACAACTCGGTACTAGGAATTCAAAATACCAAGTTTCTCTTGGTTATTATTCAAAAACTGGCTCGGTCTTCTGATATTGAAAATGCTCATGAAGTTCAATTCATATCCACTTTCTAGCGGTGATTCAAAAAATTTTTTTTCATACGTCATAAGATTTTTTGAAGGGAGAATCTGAATTTTGATTTTTCCCGACATTAGAGTTGATTTAGAGCAAATATGATAAAAAAATTAAGTTTTTTTCTTTTTTTCAAATCTGAAACCTGTTGCTTGAATGATTGCGGACAACTCGATCTCGAGAATCAGTAGGCTGAGCGAGAAGAGGCGCTGGAGTTTCATCAGACCGAGTTGAGCTTCTTCCACTCCGAGTTCTTGGCTCAAACATCTGAATTCTTGAATTTCCCATCGGCTGAATTCCCAAAGAATACTTGTCTTCGGTTACGAAGGTAATACAGCAAACATGCGTTCAAAGTGATCAGAAGAAGCATGGGAATGAGAATGTGCATCACCAGGTTGAGCATTGTGAAAACATAGAGGACGGCGGAATTTTGCACGGAAACCATCTTGGATTGACCCTAAAAATAGTCTGGACATTGTAAATTCTATATTAATGAATACCGTTTCCGCGCCGGTGACTTCGAAAGAGAAGTTCATGTGAAAACTGATAGCGCAGGTAAAAATGAAGATCATTGGGATGATAACACAGTCCTTTTTTGTACACCCACTGAAACAATTTATAAGATATTCGATCATGAGAATGACTCACGACATTGATCTAGCGGAGAAAGGAGATTTGATGGCCCAAAGACGATCGAAAGAGACACTCACAATCAACCTGAAATTCGATCTCTATAAAAAACCGAGAGAAAAATGAAAAAGGTAATTGAAATCAAAATTAAAAATTTCTGAGACTCACAAGGAAGGTTCATTCTTATTTTTGCTTCGGTCTTTTTTAACTGATCAAAACTGTTTAAAAAAAATGAATAGTCCTGAACGCCTTGATTTTTAAAAAAGCAGACGTAGCCTAGTTATATGAAGCTTATGATTCAATTATTCTCCATTTCCTTGTGAATTTGTTTCAGACCTCCCGTAGAGGGAACATGCCACCTTCCTCTCCGGCATCAATTAGATTTCAGCTATGTCACGTTTTTTGGCGTTTTTTGTCACCTCATGACTAATTTAAAATAATCGTATGTTAAACGCGCTCGGATCATCTGAAATTGCGGGACTGGACCCGACAAATTGCTCTTTCATAGAAAGGCGTGTAAATTGCTGCAGTGATAATTAGGCAGTCTCAGAGAATCGAGTAGTAATAATAAAGAGGAATATCTTGGAGGGGTGCAAACATCTGAAGACTCACCACGTGCTGGCGGCCGAGAACCAATTCACGAGGAATGTGAAATGCGTCTTGTTTCTCAGATAGAAGTGTGCAAACTCTGAGAAACACTTACGCAGGTTCCCTTTATTGTCTGAAAATTTCATCGTTTTCAGTAGGAAACGTTCAGGCAGTTGGTACTTCCTTGTTTTTTTGTGCACTATCAGAACACGTCGATGACTCAAAAAAGTTAGAGGTGAAAGAATGTATTCGAAAAGAATACAATGAGAAACATGACACACTCAAGTCTGAGAGCTTTTGCAAAAAAAATGCCTCTTTTTCCCAAGACATTGAACGGTGTTGCCCGTTTGAACACTATGAAATAGCCTCAAAAGTTTTAAGAAATCTCGGAAAATTTTCAACACAAGTTCAATCGAAAACGTGACTTTTGAAAGGCAGGTCTCAGAGTTGAAAAAAAGCACAGACAGATCAAACGAATTAAATTTAGAACAAATAAGTTTTTTTATTTGAAGACAAAGCTTTTTCACAATTCTGTTTTCAAGAGGGAACCGGATTTCGAATTTTTTTTCGCGTCGTCAAATTTTTTTAAAAAAATGAGTGATATTTGATTTTTTTAACAAAAAAACGTTTAAAAAGCCCAAATACCTCTGCACTTTATTTGGACGATGCTGGGCCATCGACTCATCTGATTGGGACACATGAAAACGAGATAGAGCATGTCACACATCGCTGCTAAGGCCAACATTGTGTTTGTGCTGTAATAAATCCGTATTCCTGGATGAAACAGTTTCTAACGACGCTCTCATCCACCAATAAACTTCTGAAGTTTGTAAAAATATTTGGAAATCGACTATATAATTTTTTTAGACGGCTTCTTTTTTGAAAAAAATTGATCGTTTTAATGTCCTTTTTATCTATTTCAACATCACGTGAGATTTTCAATGTTCAGGTCTCAAAAACAGCTTCTTTGAGAAAAATATACTGAATTTCAGCTGTCATGCTATCACTGAACTTTTCAAAATCCAAAACAATAGCTGCCTGTTTTGAACTAAATTCAAAAACTAAAAATTAAAAACCTGCTGCGCATAGGTCGACTCAACAGAACCAGCAAGGTGATGGAGTTTCCGCCGATTCCCAGGGCGGCTTGAAGGGGGAAAGTCCATTCACAGAACGATTCGATCACCTTGTTCAGCTCCCAAGTTGTGGCGTTCATTTTCTTCAAAGAACTTGTAAAAGATGGCAGAATAATCAGGCAAACAACAATTCGAAGATGAACACGAAAAAATTTAATAAACGAAGAAGCGTTCTGTCACAAGGATTTAAAGATGCAGCTTTCAGCTTAGAACAGGAAGCTTATTAAGATCACCAAGATTAGTTTATTTATATTTTTGGCTGTTTTCCTTTTTCATTAAACATAAAGTGTGATGAAGCTTCATGGAGATCACCCCGTTTGGACAACTTTTTTTTTTGAATTTTTATAAAGAATAAGGAAGCAATTCTTCAATTTGAAATCAAACAAAACAAAAATAAATCATAATAGATGTGAATTGGTCTGAAGAATAATAACTGATATGAGCTAAAATAATGGTGTGAAAAGAGTCAGCTCCTAATTGTAGATCTAAAAGCCTATATTTGAAGCCAACCCTTCAATTTCAAGCTAGTTTTTCTTTTTCATTTTTTTCAACCCGACAGAACAATAGTTCCTGAGGAAAAATTCAGTAAGAGCACAAGAAAAAATTTTGAATTCATAGTTGAACTTGCGTAGAAATGTTTCCCAAAATCATAGAATTTACTTTCAGCTTGATAAAAAAAACGTGGTATAGTTCAAAAAGGATTCACGAAAAATCTCAGAACGAATGAAATTTTACTATTTGAAAAATGCAATGAATGGCAAAAATAGCAAGTTTACGAAAATTGTTTTCTAGGAATCTTGTTTTTTTTATCAGAGTTCTAGGAAGATCAGAAGTTTTTATGAGAAATGTTTGCTGTTTCTTTTGCTTTGAATATGAATTCGGCTCAAAAAAAGTTGATTTTTTTATATAAGTTCATCTGGAAACAGTGAGACACAAAGAGGGAAAAAATGAAATTTGAGATTTAAAAAAATGTTCACTGCTTTTTTTCTGAAAAAGATATCACGGTAATTTTATTTTTTTATATGCGATTTTGTGAAAAAAACTTCGTGATAAAGCGCCCAAGAGTCAGAGATACAGAAGGAACGTAAAAAAAGCGAGAAGTGAGAAAGAGCTGCTCAGTTTTTAAAGCAATTTGGTTTCTCCTAGCGACAGCGCTAAAAAGGTTACGCTGAAAGTGTTACGCCTTTTCTGAAAAAAAAGAAAACTGAGAAACCGGGCATGACTTGTTACAAATCAGGTAGATCTCCGAAGGAAAGAAACAAATATTAGAAGTACGAATGTGGGTGGGAAGTGAATAAATACATGGCAACTTGCAGCACAGGTGGAAATTCTTCTAAATTTGTCATTCGTTTTGTTTTAAACCTTAGGAATGAAGCCGATAAATGGCGCTTTGAGTTCAAAAAAATTCTTATGACCACAAAACTCACCATTTTGTTTTTTTTCTCGTTGTATTTCTAAACAAGTTAATCTTTTTTGTACGAAAAAACAGGGTATTAACTCTAAAAACTGGAAAGTTAATAAGGATAATAAAAAATCTGTGAGATTCTGAAAAAACGCACGATCATAAATTATTTCGATAAATCGCCGTTTCTTCTCCCAACCTTTTTTCGCTTCATAATATTTTATTACCGAAAAAGCTTTTGAGTAGCCTGAAATCGGGCTGCTGGTGGATTCGGTACAGCAGGAGAAGCAATACGCCTAAAAGTGGGAAGAGCAACCTTCCTCACGGCAGAAACAAGACATAATCACATTTAAAAAGCAATGACCCCCGGGGCAATTTATACGTTGCAAAGCCGCTCTTTGTTTTATCACATTCCATTTTCAAGCTTTTCGGGTAAAATAGGAAATTTAGCTAGGCCTCCGAGAACTGAAAAGAAGTGATTTGAAAGCAGGCAAATCAGAAAATAATCTAAAAACACCTGCTTCATTATTATTATCTGGATCAATACACAAAAACGAAATAATTCTGCACAGCGAACCATTAATTTTGAACGCGTAGATTGGGTAGAATTCTTAGTTTTATATCCTTTAAAAATCTTATAAAAATAGTTCCGTGTGAAGTTTATAAGAACGAGAGCCTCTAGAACGTCATCTGGGAAACTCCTGAATCATAAACTTCTGACAAAAAAATTTTTCTCAGAATTTTCTTCCATAAAAGGTTTGCTGAATCAAATGAGCATTAAGATTTAAAAAAATTCAATGAGTTCTTGAGAATTTCTCATTTATTATTGGAGTGATTTGAAAAAAATTTTTATTAAAAAAACTTTTTGAACGGCAATTTAGATTTTATTATCGACTTTTCGGGATAAATCTGCAAAATCACAAATCTGATCATAAACGGGAAGAAGGCTTTGTTGTATTTGATGCAAGCTTCAGATAACTTGTTAGTTTCTAGTCTCGGTTCAAAAAAACCACTTTCTATTGAATTTTTTTTGTAATAACACATCTAGTTAGTCCAGTAAAAAAAAGCCAGATTGAGAATCTTTTTCGGCTTCGCCAGCCTTTTTTCCGAATAATTGTTGGTTGAAAAAGTTACTAATCAAGGTCTGAGTAATCTCTCAGCCAAAAATGATAGTATTCTATATGGCTGAGGTAATGATAGCCCATTAAAAAAAGTTACGATATTATGAATACTAAAATGAATCGGGCTGAGCCTTTGAAAAAAAAAGTCAAGTTGTAGTCAAAAGGTTGGACGTGTCTGGCTCTCCGAAACGGTTCGGCTCAGTGGTTTCATGACCAAAAAGCGTGAAAGTACAATTTTCTAGAAAATAAGTTGGAATCTATCCGTTAGAAAATCACATTTTTTCTCGGAAAGAGTCGAAGTTAGGTAAATTTGCTATTGCTTGGAGGAAAACTTTCCTATCACCTGCTCAGTTTTGCAAGTCTGAACTATGGTTGTTTCTGAAAATTTTAGAGAACCATATGAAAATTTCTATGAAATTTCCAACCGACAGAAGTCTAATCGAAAAAGTTTTTCTGTTCAGAAAACATAAAGCGAGGGTGGAAGGAGTACAAGTCTGGAGACAAGGCAGTGTCTCTGGTGGTGCTTGTTTGCATTTTTACGACAAATTATTAGGGATATATGAAATCTCGGCCGGTTTCTCATTAAGCGTCAGGAGGTGGCGGAGCAAAAGAGGAAGACCATTGAAATGAGAACTCATGAGCTTCTTCCAGTGAGGCAGGCGGGTGCGCGGCTCCCACTCGAATATACAAAGTAGAGTTTCATCCAATCCGGCACGCATAATAATTGCTGTCGGGCTCTTCAACGAATCCTCGTGATCAACTGACCGCCTACCATGACTCACTGGGAGACTTCCAGAGGTTCTGGTTGATCTCTTCAGAACTAAGGTGGACGTTAGAGCTCAGAAAAGTCCAAAAACTCTTAGTCATGAAAAAAATGTTTTTATGGAAGTTTGAAAGCTCGATACAAATAAGTTCTTTTCTGACCTGCGTTTTTGAAACCAGTTATTGAGAGCAAAATAATCACAATGAACAGAATCCTTTTTTGGTGAAGTCGGGATTAAAAACTACTGTATGAACTGAAAAAAGTCGGAAGACCACCAATACAACGATTTAGATTTCATGAAGCCTCAAAAAAAAAATGAAAGGACAAAAACCATATAGCATGAAATTCAGGACATCAAGCAGAAACCGCAGCTCCGAAAAATTGACAAAGTTTTTTTTAAACTGTTAATGAGAACAAAAAAAATAAGAAATTTTATTTTCATCATCACAATTAAAATATTCTTCACTCCTCTTCGCCTTTTCATTTTACTGGCCTGTTCTCAAAAAAAGGACTTGACAAAAAAAATATTATTTGAAAATCTCAGGAGCTCACTATGATTACTGTAATGATTTCTGATAACAAGGTTTTTAGGAAGGATGAATTTTTGATTGCTTAGAAATTCCAAAAACTTTCAGAGAGCAATAAAATTCACCTGTCTTTGGTAGAAATCGCGGTTTTGTTGAATATTTTTTGTTTTTTCTGATAAAAGGATGGTTGGATACAGAAAAAAACAGGGTTTTGGTTGGATTTCAACACTGTTAGCAAACAAAAGATAGCAAAATTTTCACTTTCAAATAAATTTCGAGCTTCTGACAAGGGAAGCTCAACAAGGCTTTGCAGAAGCTCTTCAACTAATCTTCGGTGTGTTGGAAAAAAAAAAATTGGAACCTGTGAGTTTTATCAAACTACATTCGTTTCACAAAATAGCTTAGAATTTGCTCCCAAATTCAGCGTAAATTTTCTCTACGTAATTTGATTTTCATCGTCGCTTTTTCAAAAAAAAAAAAATGAAATTTCACTGGCAATTTTGAACTTGTGAAAATCTTTGTTACTGAAGAAAATAAATTCCAGAACTACCTCAAGTTTATATTTATTGATACATTTCGTACTTGAATACTTTTTATCTCCATCATTCAAAAAAGTTACAAACATTCTCCCGAAAAAAAAAGAACATACATTATTCATTTCGTCAAGTGTCAACTATGAAATAACTTAAATCAAAAAAAATCGAGCAGAATAAGCAAAAAAGAAAAAAAAAACGGAGTTTTGGAGTTCAAAAAATATCTCAGGGCTTCAATCCAACAGGCGTCAGAAAAAAAAAACTCAAACATCAATTTGGAGTTTAAAAGAAAGGAAGCCTTTGAGATGAAATCTACTTTCATCCATTTCAGGAGTGAACGTAAAGAACATCTGTTGCAATATTAGAAGTTTTGAGCAAACTTTGGATGTTTCTGCGAATATGCGTGCTTATAGACGATTATGACATTTATAGCAACTTGAACCGTTGTTCAACTTCCTGGTTATGATGTGAAGGTTGCAGAAAAGAATACATGAATAACCGAATATGAAGCAGATATAAAGAAAATACATATAAATTTACATGAATTAACTGCTAAAATTTGATAATCAGGCTTTTCCTAGATACTATGGAAACTGTTGCCTTTCTAAATCAGTTTACGAACCGGAACTAAAAATTCAAAAAGAGATCATCACCGACCTACAAAAACCGTGGGAAACAAATGAAGAAAGTATTTGTGACACAATAATCTGACAACTCTTCAAAAGTTGTCACAAAAAAGGGAAATCGTATACCTTACTACACGGTAATGTATTAGGCTATGAGGATCATGGAACCTTTTCTTTTCAAAAAAATAAAAAAATGTACAAGTTGAAAAAAATGATCATCTCTATATATCCCCTTCAGACAAGTTCTCTATCAAAATACTTTAAAGTTTGATATTCAATAATTTTTCATGCAGTTTCTCTAAATAATTGTTTTCTGAAATGCTTGAAAGTCTCATATTTACCGAATAACTTTTCGTAGTATCAGTTATTCACACAAATATCGCAAAACTTTGCCCTCATTTTTCAAGTTTTCTTCATTTTTTTTTCGTTTTCTCCAGTTTGATCATTTTCACCATAGTCTAAAGGAGTCGAGCAATATATAATCTTTTCCCCTCGACAATAGATCATTTGGCTATCGTTGAGCGCGTTCATTCATCATTAAACCGCTCCATCTGTTTCTCAGGTTTCTGAATACACACTAATGAAAAAAACAGCAAATATTTTTTTTCACAACTTTTCAAATGTTGACCGCTGTTAATAGTTCACATGATTTTTCAGAATTTATTTCCACGGAAAGTAAGAAAACTTTCAGAGGAAACTCGAGAGTTGTTGAAGACCCCACTGGGTTGTTTTTCCATCATTCTCGCGGTTTTTTTTCAAAAGTGACATTCTGAACGAATAATCGAGCTCAAACTGCCGGAAGAGCTCCGCGAGCAGGGCGTAGAACAATCGACGCTTCGTTCCGGACGCTGTAATCTTGCCAGCGGCGACCCATTTCCTCCTGTCCGCTCATGATTCAACACCGGTCATCTCACCTTTTTTGAATTCAAATCGCTTTTCTCATTTCTATTCGTGTTTGTTTTTTTTTTGGTCCTGGTAATCAATGGCTTTAAAAGCATTTTTAAAAAATTAATTCTACTGATGAACGGCTAATCCAATAATTCATTAATGCAGTACATAAATAACTTCCATAGAAGCGGAAAAATTTTGTGGAGGAACCTATTAAATTTGAAATTTATAGTTAAACCCAAATCCTCGCTATCGATGCTTCAATGATCATATTTTTCCAAGAAGGATGAGAGTCCAATCTATCATACTATGCTTAAACTAGATTTTTTTCCGTTTCATCAAATGGAAATATTCTTTTACAGAACTCCGTGAAAAATTTTAATAAGCCTTTATTTATTTTATTTTTTTTTGTAAATATACCGGTCAATTTTTTTTTAGTAATAAACCTCAAATTAAAACAACTTTTTTGTTCTAACTACACCGGGAAAATGGTCCAACTTCGAAAGAAGTTTGCAAAATGTTGTTATTTTTTTATATTCTGATTCACCCTTCATAGTTTCTGAATCACTTGACATTCATTTCAGGGGCCACTCTTCCATTTTTAAAGTTCATTTCATTGTATAAATGGTTCATTGGAAAAAGAAAGAAACCAGATTAAAAATATCATATGTGATTGTTTTCGGTTCGCTGGATGATGATTTATTAGAATCCTTGAATAAAGTAATGATAATTTCAAGAAGAGTACGATTCCGTCGAAAAAATACGAAAAAAACGCTATTTTGGTCAAAGCTTCCTTCTATAGGGTTTAGATAGTTTCAGAAATATTAAGCTTCTAACGAGGAAACTGTAAGAAAAAAAAGTTGTTGTGTGATTATACTGTGTATGAAAGCAAGAAAAGTAGTTAATTTTTCAAAGATGTGATTGTCTCATCATTTCTGTTAAATCAACTCATTCTTTCCTCATTATAATAAATGCTTTATATGACTCTTAAAACTTCCAAAGTTTTTTCTTATAATCGAGATGTCAGTTTTGTTTTTTTCTTTTGACAATCGATTTTTAACATATTTTTTGAGTTAATCTTCCATTTACAGTCGGTCAAAATGTACTTTTTTAACTTCTATGTTCCAGCCATGAAATGGTGGTCAGTGATTCTAGCACTGACGACCTCTCAGGTTCCGGCTGGAGGACAACTTCTAGAGAAGTCCAAAGCCGTTTGGGTAGAACAAGGTCTGGTCCGAGGCAAGATCTACAACATGGACGGAAAGCACATTCAAATCTTCCGTGGAATTCCCTATGCCGAGCCACCGATCGGAGATCTACGCTTTAAAGTAGGCTATTCTGTTACAAGGTGTTGGAGTACGTCAACTTTAAACTTTCGCCGTCAAGGTGTTCGTTTGTTGAGAGAGAATTGAAGTCCTAGTCAAAACATTTTTTGTAAAAAACTCCTACTTTTTTGATTTATCAATATTGAGGTCAATTTAGCTTGATCTGTTCTTAATCCAGTTTTTTTTAGCTGAATGTTTTTATTTTTGGTCACTTCTCGATAGATGAGAGTTACATAATTCTCAAACGTTTGTAGTGAACCAAAAAAAATGGAAAAATTCCCAGATGAAGTCGCAACCAACTTTTAAGCGGCCAGGTTTTTTTTCTAGGTATTTTGGAAAATAATTTTTGCCAGCCTTTGGGAGTTTATGAATATTCTAAATTTTTTTGCAGAAACAAGTTCATTGAATTATCATTTTTTTCATCAAATTTTAAAGAACTGAATTAAGATTATTTATGAGTATTCACAATTAAAAAGCAAAAAAATGTTTCACGTTTTTTTCTTTTTTTCGATTGCTTTTTACTGCGAATTATTTCGTTTATGTTCAAGACCGTTCCAATTAGATAAAATCATTACGCAATTAATGAGAAAGGAGTTATGAAAAACGAAAATTTCTAGAAACCTGTTAAAAAAGGCCGATGGCATCACGAACTCTCGGCAGTGGAGTACGGGCCACCTTGTATGCAGTTCATGGATTTTCACAGAAACGACAAGTTTGCAAAGTCGAACATGAAGAAGGAAACCGAAGATTGTTTATATCTCAACGTTTTCAGTCCTTATGTAAGAGTAAATTCTATGGTTCCTCTGTACTTATCCGATCTCAGGACAACGACGACGAATCCAAAGTGTTTCCGATTTTGGTTTGGATTCACGGGGGATCATTTCTTGCTGGTTCTGCTGACACAGGAATCGATATGGAAGTGATTCCCAGACTTTCGAAAATTCAAGCTGACATGAATCTTTTTTCATAGGTGGTCGCTCGAAATATTGTTCAAAAAGGCGTCGCTTTTGTGAGCATCAACTACAGGCTAGGACCCCTGGGTAAGTTTTGCATACGTTGCGATGTCAGTTTTTATGGATGAGATTAGAATTTCCTTTTGTTTATCCCATTTATTAATTTAATTTTTTTGTAGTTTTTTTGAAAAATTTTTTTCGTATCATTAGACACACTCAAAGTGTTTGAAAAGTTTTTTCCCAACTCCTTGAAAGCCGATCTTCATTGTTTTTTTTCGGCTTTCACCTTCCAATAAAGAAAATAACATTTCAACTGGAAGTTTAACATTCCGCTTACACCTCATCCAGGTGGTGAAGAAAAATCATTTTTCTCGTTTCTCTGAACTCTTCCATTTTCATTCACTGTTTTTTGAAGTTTGAAAATCGGATCTATCAAAGTGCTTCGAAATTATTCCACAACACGTTGGAACTGTGAGACTATTTTTTCAGGATTCATCAATTATAACGAAGGTGACAAACTGGAAGGAAACTTTGGAGTCTGGGATATGGTGATGGCTCTTCAATGGATTCAAAGCAACATAAAACAAGTGAGCTCCATCGCACTTATTTATCATTCTGGAACCACTGGGTCTTGTGCAGTTTAACGGCGATCCAACACGTGTGACGGTGATGGGCGAGAGCGCAGGTGGCGCGGCGGCGAGTTTGCTGGCGCTGTCTCCCAGAACACAAGGTTCGCCATGTGATTGGTTCTATTGTTCCCACCAGGTCGGCTTTTTGACGTCAGGTCGAGACAAGACAATTTCTGGCAGTTATGATGGGAACAGAAGGATTTTGTGTTTCTAAGAGCACGGAAAACTTTGGATATGTTGGGGGCAGAGGTTCAAAGACAAAAAAAACCACCTTCAACTCATTGTTTCTTAATAAGTTGTTTTGAGCTCTACGCAATCTCCTTATTTAACAATAAAAAGTTTAAGCAGTGAACACGGTAAAAAAAAAAGGATTTTAAAAAACAACTAGGACCTTGGTAACGCGATCCGGACTCGAATCGGACGTGTGGCGTAATTGTAGTGACCTCTTTAATAGCGTCAGCATTCTTAAGTTATCCTTAGAATTGCTTAAAAAACGATCTGAACACGTCCGGTGATACGTATTTTTTTGTAAAATTTAAAAATTTGATTTTTGGATCTCAAAAAATTAATAAAACAACAGTTCAAAGCTGGAAAATAACACATCAAGGCCTTTTCCAAAAATCTGAAACAATTTCCAAAAAAAAAAAAACGTTCCAGGCCTCGTGCATCAAGCGATTGTGATGAGCGGATCATCCATGGCTGGATGGGCCATTCACCGCCACAGTACTCCGTCTTGGTCTGTGGATAACTTATCTGCCTATCTTAGGTTTTTTGGTCTTTTTTCCGTAAAAGAACTTTTTATTACAGATGTGAAAAGTGGATAAACGCCGAAGACGCCAAAGAAGTAATAGGAGAAAAAGCCGCGGAGAGTATTCGAGAACGTCTCTGCAAAGACCAAAGCGGAAGGATTTCTTGTCTTACGGTGACTTCTCTCGAGCATTAGATATATTTGAAATATTCTAGGCGGACTTGAATCAACAACAAAAAATGGACTGTCTCAGAAAAGATCTCAATTTTTCGTCTCCTATTTTCCGGAAAGTACTGTCTATCGAGGTACCGAATGTCTTCACAAATAGTCCAAAACATTTTCGAAGCTCGGTGTCTCAAAAATGGTTGTGGATGGTGATCTGGTGCCATCTTCGGGAATCGATCTTGTTCTGACCAACGCTCGCATTCCTATAATGACTGGGGTCGCTCGAAAAGAGTGGGCTCACAAAAAAGGTTTCTCTGCCAAATTGCTTAAGTAATAACACTTTTCCAGCTCTGTTTTATAACATGCATCGTAAAGGTAATCTGACTCGGGTAGAAGCAGAAGAAGCTGTCTATCGGATAATTGACGGATCTTTCCACGAAGGATCCTCTGAAAAACTGAGTGAATCAACACTGATGCTCATCGCCAATGCAACATTTGTGAGGTTAGATTGATTCAGATTTTCGAGATTTTTTGTCAGAAAAAACCAGCAGTACTTTCTTATCAAGATTTACAGATATCTTGAACACCCATCAAAAAGTTACTCAACAGTCCGCGTTGTATCTGATCTGCAAAAGGCACTTTCTCAACAAAATTTTGCTCCAAAGATTTGTTTAGGTTGAATCCGATATCGAATTTGTGGCTCCTTGTCAGAAAGAAGTCTCGGCTTATGCTGAAAAGTCAGTCCCTGTTTATTTATATTCATTTGACTACGTTCCAGAAAATCCAATCTACGAAGAGGTTAGAGTTCCAATTAAAAGTAAACACTTTAAAAAGTTCAGGAAAGTAAACAATACGAACTTTTTGGAGAGAAGCCTATTGTCATAACCAGAACCGAGAAAAACTGAAAGCGGTATTTTGAATAATTTGATCAATGTTTCAAAAATTTTTCTAGATCTCAAACAAGCCTTTCACGGGCTCGATCATGCATTTATTTTTTTCCAAAGGTTACAGGTATTTTTTTATTGTTGGATCCTGGGATATCTATTAAATTTTCAGTAGCAACTTTGAAATTAAACCATTTTCCAAAAAAGATGAAATGATGGCCCAAGTATTGACCACAATGCTGACGAACTTTGTCAAAAATGGTAACCCGTCAACACAAAGGTTAGTTTACCTTTTCAATCATCCTTAATTTTTGCTTTATTTCAGGCTAGTTTGGCCAGCCTACACTCAGAATGACACTGCGCATGTTTCCATCAATCTTCCTTCAAGGTAAGTGGATATGTACAAACTCTTTCCATTGTTTTTATCAGCGTGGTTACCGGTGATTTACACTGGCCAGATACTCAGTTTTGGAATACCGAGGCTGAGTTGATAAGCAAATACATTGCGAAAGATGTTGAAAACGCAATTGATCCTGACGCCGATTTGACAAATGAAGAAAGAGTTCAGGTTGGTTTATTTTCATACACTCTATTTATCTAATTATTCTTGATGGGCTATAGAAGTTGTAAATCAAATTTATCAATGTTTATTTTTTTAGATGTAAGAAAAACAAGCGACGTAAAGTATTAGAGCAGAAATAAATTTCAAGTTTTCTGCGCAACGGAAAATTTTTTTTGAATTTGGATTTTCCGTTTTTTGAGATGTCGTGAACAGCTTAGTTGCTAGAAGTTTGTCAATGACGTTGAATTATTTGAAACTAATCATAGATCTATCTTGACGTTTTCAATTTTTTTTTTGATTTTAATTTTTCAGCTCTCAGCGTACCGAAGATCATGGTACGCCCTATGGGTCCTGGTCATTATCATTTCAATTCTTCTTTGGTCTGCCGTTGCTTATTTTGCTTTCCGCAAATCAAAAAACCCTCGCAGCAAGCCTTATGACAACATCTTACTGTCAAACTGAAAATATAAGTATTTATTGCAATTTGCGATCAAAATCGCGCCATTCGAAGTCAAACTTGCATGACAAGTGATCACTGGGTTGTACTTTATGATTATAAAGTCTTAAAATCATCGTTCATTTCTCGCATCAGAAAACGTCAAGCCTGATTCATACAAAAGTGATGATTTCAAATGATGAAAAGAAAACTTTTCGAGATTAATTTCCAAGGTGGAAAAGACACTCAGCAAGCATCTTTTCTCAACTGACTGATTATGCGTTTGATAAGCGTCTGAAAAGAATCATCTCGGCAATCTTTAGGTCCAAAAGTTCAGAGGCGATAACCTTATCACCCAAAGAGTATAGTGAACAGGACGAATCGGGCAGAAAATTTTATTCATTTATTAATGAATAAAATGAAAAAAGACATTCAGATTGACTGATTGGATGTGAGTCTTAAAAAAAATCTTCTTCGCTAAAATGGAGATGTGGAGTCAATTTTGAAATATGTGCGGTTTTGAAGCTTTCTGCAAAAATTTTTTTTTTCGATATTGTCGAGTTTCGAAATTGATAAAAATATGTTACAGTGATTTTAAGCACTGATAAGTAGTAGGCGAAGATAAGCGGTTTCATTTGAATCTTTTGCTTGGCTCCTTCGACCATGTCGGCCAAGCTCATCGGTTTCACAACCGGTAAGTGCCCAGTCAATCCTTTTTTTTTTTGAATGACATTCGGAGAGCTGAAAAAAAGTCTCTATTATCTAGGAAAATCAAATATAAAATTGTTTTTGCACTATTCAGTACTCGTGGTGGCTGCTATCGGCATCGCTATTGGATCTCTCGTCATCAACATCTTGATTCTCAACAAAGTCAACACCATCAACAACAATAACAACAACAACAACATCGTCAATAACAGCTATCATTATCAACCTTCCCCTCAAGTGAATTCTACTCCTGGGACCGTCCAAAACTCGGATGGATACAAGGTAAGTAACAGGAGAACTTCATAGGGAAAAAAAACAGAAGCAGCTGTTTCTGTGAAATTCAACTTTTTTCAAAACTTTGCGAGGCACCTTCCGACCTCACTACAAAATTGTTTGACCACGCGCGTTTTGCGACGGAAATGTTGAGTTTTTGCTTTTCGGGTCACCGCTGATTTTCTGAGCATCCAATCGTTTCAATTTCATGAAGATTGCTGCATCACCTTAACTTACAGTTTTTTATGAATTTGAAAGCCGTTTATATTAACAATCAAACTCAATTCAGGCGGCAGCTGCTTATTTGCTGAATGGTCTTGATGACACCGTTGATCCTTGCATCGACTTCTATGCATTCACCTGCAACAAGGTCTTTGAAACCCAAAATTATTCAATAATGATTTTTCCTATAGTTTCTGGCTTCCGTTGACTTGGACAAACTTCATTTGCAAAGACTCGGGACCTACGACCAGGCACAGACCGACGTCTACACTGGAATAGCTGATACTCTCAGTAAAATCGATGTCAACGACAAAACCGTCTCTTTAACTGAAAGAATCACTAAGGCCGTGAGTTTATACCCTTGTTAACTCAAACTTTTCCTTGTAATAAAAATGTTCCAGGCCTTTGACTCCTGCTCGAGAAATCTGGCGAACCCACCTGATAAAACTCAAGTCATATACGCCGAGATCAAAAACTTGTAAATAAATCCTTGCGTGGTTCAGAACAAAAAAAAGTTCAGGTTTGGCGGTGTTCCATTTCTTCAAGAGCCTTTGAAGCAAGGAATCAACTACATGAAGGTCTCTGGAACTATCGAGCAGAAACACGCCGTTGGAACTCTCCTAGCCACTTTCGCGTCTGTGGACTACAAGAATGTGGCACAGAATGCTCTTTACGTTTCTCAGGTGGGAAAAGTTCTTCGATTTGCAATGAACGACATCTGAATAACAGCCTGCGGTTGCTATGGCCAGGGATTATTACCTGAAGTCGCAGTTTGTACAAGAAGTTAATGGAAGAGTACAAGAAGTCTTCGAAATGATGCAAGCTTTTGCCCAAGCACTAAACAGTAAAACTCCTGATGACGTCATCATGGCGGTTTGACGTTATTCCGTTTGATTTTTGACAAAGCAAAAAGCTTCTAGGCGGCTCAAGAAACGGTTAGCTTTGAAGTTCAAGTTGCTATGGCCTCATGGCCCGATGATATGCTCAGGTTTTGATTGAGCATGAGTGTTCAACTAACTCACAACTCTTTTTAGAAACTACCAGCAACAGTACAATCCTTACAAAATAAACGAGGCAGCTGCCGCTTATGGTAGCCTCGACTGGAAAGCTTATATTGGAGAGCTTTTTGATGGCCTTTCCAATCCTCAAGACCAAGCCAAATATGAGGTTCTTTCGGAAACTTCATATTGCGATTAGGAGAATGAATATTCAGCTCATTTTAACACAACCGTCCTACTTTGCCTGGCTAAACTCGGTCTTCAATGGGAATACGGTCAATTCGACCGTCGTTGCTAATTACATGATCACTCAAATGCTCTTTGTAAATTCGATTTCTCAGTTGGAAAAGTTCATCTATTCTACAGGATGAAGCCGATTTCATCAACCCGCAAACGAAGACCGTTGCTCAAAAGGCCAACTACATTCACTACGCTCTTCGCAGAGGCCGCGGTGTGACAAGGTGACAAATTTTGGTGGGTTTCTGGGAACGTCTTTGATTTTAGAGTTGGAAAAAGAGACGTCCGGATGCTCGATCTGGATCCGATAAGCCATGCTTGTATGGACATTCTCACCGCTTACATGCCCTACGGAACTGGTTATTATTAAACTAAGTTAACAGCAATAGAAATGGATTAAAGGGAACTGATATTTTATTTTTTGCTTGGTTCAGGTTTTGTATACGTGAAAGCTCAGGCCAACAGAACGATCTATCAAGCAGACATTCAGAAACAAACTGCTCTTATCATCGAAAACTTCCAGGTATTGCACCAACATTCTTATTTTCTTATGGTGAACTTTCAGGGAATGATCGGCACCCTAACTTGGATGGATGATTTCAGCAAACAACAAGCTAAAAAGAAATGTAAGCCTGAAACAGATTTTCCTTTCACCGAATAACTTGTAGCCGACAATTTGGTCAAGAACTTTGGTTGGCCCGGCAAGCTTTTCGGGGATTTCAAGAATACAGCTGTGTTGGATAAATATCATCAAGTGAAACTTCCTCATGATTCATTTGAGACCAAAGGTCTATTCCAGGACTACGCTTCGATTGTCGATATTTACACCAAGGACAAAAACAACCTGTACGATATTATGAGTGTTTTGAAGCGAGGATTGGAAGTTCGTGAGCTTTTCCGACTACTTCTCGAGCCAGCTGATAGGTAGTTTTGAAAAACTTCAAAATAAAAAAAATTTAGGTCAAATTTCTTGCAATCCCCTGCAATGGTTAACGCTTGGTACCAGCCAGAAAGAAATTCGATCACATTCCCATATGCTGCATGGAATCCTCCTTATTACAAGTAGGTCCAGCTTGTTGAAACAAACGATAAACACTACTGAGCAAAAATCAAAAGCGCAGTATATTACCATTTTTTTTACCAATTCATTGAAACTTGTGAAAAAAAACAGAAACTGACTTTTTTTAATTTTGATTACTCTGAAGTTCCGCGCACCAGACATCGACAAAAAATATTATCTTTTGAATAAAAAGAGAATTCAGCGACTTCTCACTCATGACAACTTGCACGGCTTGAAGACATGAATAGTCTATTTGTGAAAATGGGAAATTGTTTCAGCTACTACTTCCCCCAAGCCTACAACTTCGCGGGACAAGGAGGTACTGGAGGACACGAGCTCACCCACGGATACGACGACGAAGGAGTCCAGTTTGGTTACAACGGAGCTTTGACTGACTGTTCATGGAACAAGTGCGGCTGGATGGACTATAATTCTTCTCTTGGCTTCATCGACATGGCTCAATGCGTAGTCACTCAATTCAGGTGAGACAGGACTTTTAGAGTTTTCCGTTGAAACCACTACATAATGTGACTTTTACGAGTTTATTTCGAATTACACATAACATGAGAGAAAAAAGAGCTAACAATAATTTTTCCCAACGTCTCTAAAACTCTGAATTTGTGTTTATTCATACCCAACCTTTAATAAAATTCGACTATAAGCTTGAATAAGGTGCGAAAACTTCTTTTAAGCTTTCGTTTTGACGATTAGAGAAAATGGATAAAATAACGTCGGCATCACTTGATTAGTATTCCGTACGTTGTGAAACTTCACCGCTCTGTAAGGTGCTTAATTTTTCACTTTGTGTATTCCTTATCATTTTGTGACTTTTCTCCTTCTAAGCTGCTTAGTCTAGAGAAACACCATAGTTCTCAATGTCTAATCAAAGCTTTTTACAGTACTCAATGCTGTCCGGAAAAGAAAGGCAACGTACATTGTGCCAACGGAGCCACGACTCAAGGTGAAAATATTGCCGACCTCGGAGGTTCGCTTCAGTAACAAAGATGTCTAGAATAGCCTCCTTGTTTAGGACAACAAGCCGCTTATCGGGCTTATCGACAATACATTTCTCAGTTGGGACACGAGGAAGACAGGTTGAAGGAAACAAGAGATATTCAAATGAAAAAGTGGATTTTCAGGCTTCCTGGTCTTGAGAACTACACTCCGAACCAAATCTTCTGGATCACCTACGGATATTCTTGGTGTATGAAACAGTCCGACTCGAATCTCGTTCGACAGGTGAATCACAACTTTTTGGGGAAAAAGTTTTGAAAAACACGATTTTTTCGAATCTATTTTTGCAAATTTCGCAGATTAAATTTGTTTTACTTTCAGCTTCTCACAAACCCGCACTCTCCAGCATCCTGTAGAACTAATCAAGTGATGCAGGATATCCCCGAATTTGGAAAAGACTTTGGATGTTGCCGTGGAACACCCATGTACCCAAATCCGGATAATCGATGTAAAGTTTGGGTCGGCGTTTGACTTTGTTCGTTGATTTTCAATACATATTGTTGATTTCATTACAATAAAATTCGAAAAAATTCCACATAACAGTAATTAATAAATTGAAGAAACCGTCCTAACTTACTGTTGTCTTCGAAGCTGAGCGAATTCTTCCTCGCGCTGAAAGATTTGAAATCGAAACTCTCAGCCATCGGAAATCACTCACTCTCTTAGTTTCGTCCGTTATCTTCTTGTCGAGCACATTTTTGACGGTAGTCACTGATTCAGCTAGCTTCTTCACTGCGATTTTGCATTCCTCGACGTCTCTTTTCATCTAGAGGGGAATCATTGAGGAACAGTAGAGTAGATTTTGGAAAACCTGAGGATCGACAGCAGCAGGAGCTGATCGACCAGCTGGTGCGGTGTGTTGAAGTTGAGCGAAGGCATCTTGAAGCTCTTTTATGGCAAGGTATCTGAAAAAAATAGGTCTGAAAAAGTAGTGAAACGTAAAAAAGTATGCGTGAAATAAACAAAGTTTTTTGATGAAAAGAGAATGTAAACGAATAAATTGAAAGGTACTAAGTTGAGTGTTGGACACTCCGATTTTAAAATGCAAAATTAAAACGTCATGCCTAGTGTAACAAGGCTAAACTGGAAGTGGATAGCCTAAAAAGCTGCGTCGGAATTCCCGAGGTGGACCATCCCACGAGGTTTTGTTTCATCAAATCAAAAAGTTTTTTTTTTATTGATTTCGTTGTCTTTGCGAATTACAAGACTGTGATAAATTTTGATTTTTTGTACGTTTAACAACGAAAAAAAAACCTTTCTTCTTCTTCTCTGTCCAGGCGAGTGTTGAGTTGGTGTTTTATATTGTCTGCTTTGGCTGATAGTTCATTCAGCTGAAAAAATTTATTTGAAAACTTTTCTCTAATTTAAGAAGTGTTGGTTTTTAAATCGGAAAAAACAAAAAATGTTTACAAAGTATAAAAAAGTTGACAAGGTGCTAATACAGATAGAAATCACATTTCGATTTGATTTGTGGTAACCTTGTTTTTATGATAAAATTAAATGACATAAAAACACGCGTTTCTTTCCTGCCACCCTAATATATCGCGTTTCTGGTACTAAAATTTGACAATTAAAAAAAGAAAAGAAAAATTTCAAAAATTCCAAAACGGAAATGGACAACTTGTCCAATTCACACGAATGAGAACGCACATCTTGCGGTATTTGCCGTTCTACTTTGTCGCGAATCCGCTCTTGTGCCTTTTCCATATCTTCTTGTATACTATCCAGTTTGTTGACCTGTGCTCGTAGCCTTGGAAAAAATAGTTTTTTTTTTCTAAAAAATGACTTATAAAAACTTGCTAACGTGGTCGCCGTCGCCAAGTTCAGTCAGTCGCTGAGATATTTCTTTTCTGTCGTGATAGAATCCTGAAAAAGTAGAAAAAAATATCTAAAGCAAATTCGCTTTTTTTGATTTATTGGAACTAATAATAGAAATCAAAAACTTTCTTGTTCCATTCATTTTTTCTAATCAGAATTTGAAAGGAATTCATTCGCCTCCGAATAACTTCAGCGATATTTTAGGCGATTCATTTGCTTCATTGATTTTTAGAACAGAAATTTTTTTAAGGCACAAAATTGAAGAAAAAAGCACTGTTATTATTTCATTTATTGCACTTTTCCAAAAAAGGTTTTTGTGCATTATTTTTCTGCAGAGTCACTGAAAAAAACTTTTAGCGCGAATATGTTGTTTCTAGTAAACTCAGCAAACACAGATTTTAATTTTAAGCTCTGAAATGCTTGAAATAAATCAACAGGTTTACTAAAACCAGAAGATAGGTGCTGCACAATAATAATACGTCTCTCTTTTTTTCCTCAATACATTTTCTTTCATTCAACCTTGAAAAACGCACCTTGTTGTACTCGGCTCATTTTCTCCTCCAATTTCAACAAGCCTTCCATGCTGAGTTTATTCTTATCCGCGGATATCGATTCCATTTCTCGTCGAAGCTTTAAGTTAAAACTGTAACTCAATATTCAATCCGATTGTTACCGCGTCAGTGTCAAGACTGGGAAAACTGACGTTCTGCTTCCCATTGTTCATATCTTCTATCGATTTGTTCATCCCGTTGATGTAATGATTCAATTTTTCTTCTATTTCGTTCATTTTCGAAAGTAGGCCTTTCTCATGTTGTTTCCTTGAATAGAGTCGTTTTTTTCTTCTGTACAAAAATGAAACCTCGCCAGTATTTCTGAATTCATTAGTTTGTCGATTTTCGTATTTCCCAGTTCCAAATGGTGCTCCAGCGCGGCCAAAGCCTCATTCACTTTTTGAAACCGTTCCTTTTGTTTAGCTTTTTCTGACTAGATTTTATCGAAATTTTTGTAACGATCTGATCGGTTACCGTGACTTGCTTAGCAATAGTCTGCATCTGCTCCGAGTGCTCGTTCAACTGATTATCGTAATGTAGTTTCATGTCTCGATCGTTTTCCGCCGCTCGGTCACTTTGAGATCTAATCAGCTTTAAACCCCACATTTTGAATGGAAACACGAAATTTTCACCATTTCTAGGCTTGATATCCGCGAACTGAGCTCATCCTTCAGTCTTAATTGACTTTCCGACATTTTTTTAGTCACTTCCCCAGTGATAAGATTGATTTTATCGTTCAGTTTTTTAGCTTCTTCTGATAGCTTTTCCTGAGAAACGCAAATTTTCAGTGTCTACAGTGGAGAAAAACCTTATCGACTTCGCTTTTCCTGGATAAATTGTTCAAGATGTCTGCTTTGGCCTGATCCTGCTGTCGAATAAAGTCTTGTAAACGAGTTATGCTGAAAATAATGAATCAATTAATGGAAAGGAGAATTGAACTTCAACCTTTCACCAGTCGATTTAGCGTCTCTTTCGCGGTCATATTTCTCTTTATTGAGTGATTGCTTCAACTCCATCATTTGTCCATGCAAATCACGCATTTTCCCATCCAGTTGTGATGTTGTGTTTGTAAGCTTCTGAATTTTCCTAACTACTAGTAGCAAAGAATGAAAAACCGCAGGATCTACAACCGGTCGGTTTTTGATTTCATTGTTGATATGCATGAGATCATTGACCTGACGATCCACAGCGTTTCGAAGCCCAGAAATATCGTTATTCATCATCATCAACTGAAAATAATTTTCGAGTGATCTGTGCAATCTTTCATTTACTTTTGCATCAACGTTTCCAATATGCCTTTTTACATCGTCCAAATCACGCGGCCTATAAAATTTCTGAATTATGAATGCATTGAGCTTAAAGTATTTCGGCAAACAAACGTTTTCTAATGCTAGGAATAAAATCCCAAAAAACGTAGATTTGTTATGATAACTGTTTAAAAAAATTCTCTGAATAACTTGGGCCTTAATTTTGTCTATGGAATAAAACCGGAAGCTCACTGAAGTCCGGACTCGGAATTGAGAAGACGTCGCTGCAAGGCATCTTGGTTAGCTTCCAACCTCTTCCTAGCCGCCTAAAAACGCCATTCAGTGACATGCAAACACACACATGCAGTGCTCACTTTCTCAGCAGACAAAAGTTCTCGATGATGTTGTTGAATCTGCTGCATCTGAGACTGAAGTCGTTGAACTGCTCGATCATCTCGCGGCGGAGGAACTGATGGTTGTCGTGGAGGAGTTTCCACCTAGATTTCTGGTCTCCGAGAGATCAGATATAGATTATAAGAGGTTGGTAGATCCAGGTAACGCCCAGTGAATGAGAAAACACGTCATACCGATGCAGATACTACTTTGGAGGTGGTCTTTCATTGGTTTCAAAGTCATGATTAAATTTTCGAAACTGAGGAGTATCCGAGGTTATATAGCAGAAAGAAATCATGTTAAAAGAAAGATTCTCCAATAACTTTCAAATGGAGTAGAACTTTTTGAGCAAAAAACAATCAATACTTTTAGGTTTATAAACTCTCAATGAGATTCAAGATAAAGAGTCCCAGAAAAAAAAAAACTTAATTCTTATATATAAAATGTGTCTCTACTGACAAAACTCGACAATTCAAAAACATGTTTTCTGCGAATTCCCCTAACCTAAACTTGAAATTTATTGATTGAATCAATCAAAAGTGATTTTTGTGAATCAGCAAATCAAAGTTCTGGTATCCATGAAAAATGCAACCATCCCAATCAGAAAGCTAGTCTATGAAAACACACGAACTCATTTCACTGCATCCTCTTCTCATTCCGGTTTTACCCTTTGCTTGATTGGAGTAGATGTTGATCGGGATCTTTCATTTCGCTTTGGACTTGGAGCCGCAGGGAAAAACTGTTTTTTTTTATGAGTAATTAGCAATGAAACAGATAAGCAACTTAAAAAGAAATTACCTTCGGCGGAGCATGAGCGATACCTTCTTTTGGCTGACGAGGAGCTTGTCCGGACGGTCTGATCACAATAATTAGGTCACTCTGTGTTTACTTGTCATTTAGAAAATTTTTAAAATCTCCTGTGTACAGAAGCTACTTCTTAGTAGCATCAGCTAATGTGCATTGGGCTCTATCAAAGGATTATTTTTTCAATCTATCAAGTTTTACTTCGATACATCCAGAATCCTCGGAAATAAAACTCACGCAAGACCAAGAATGATGTCCTTAGCTGTATCGCGAGCGTCGCGCGACCTCCGCGTGGACATATTTCTGGAAGTAATAACGCGTTCTTGTGGCCGGTCGCCTTGGACACTTCTCTGTTGCCATGCGCTTGGTCATTCAAATTTTTGTTTTTTTAAGATAGGTGAAACAAGAAAAAAGTCGTTCATACTACACATTTGAAATGAGTTCAGCCGGAAACATCAATAAATTTATTTTCGAAGAAGTTTTTGTTAAGTAAAATGATGAGTATCATAATGCTGAAACACTTTCCTCGGATTTCCTGCACACGACATTTAAAGAGAAAACAAAAAAAAACGTGTTCTCCGAGAGCAATCAATTACAAGGCCTTTTAAGGTACATAATCCTCCGGACTGCGGTCTACGCAAAACAACTGAGTAGACCCTTCCTATTATTAGAGCATAATTCACATATTCATTTGAATTAATCGTAAAAACAATGATTCATTCGTGTCAGGAACTGTTTTTGCGTTTAGGTGGTGTTTTATAACATTCATAAGTCATCATCGTGATTTTTCGCTGTGCACTGGCTATATGTTTTATTTTGCAACTACCAGAAAGTTACGAGAAACCTCTAAAAAAGCTTCAAAGAAGCCTGGCAATAAAACGGATCGATGACCCGTCGGGCTTCTACACTTTTGCCTTTTTTTCAGAAATGAGTCAATCGGAGCGTCGTTATTTATGTCGCAGCCTGATAGGCTGCCGCGCACTTCTTTCGGCTGGAAAGAGCCCAAATTGGCTAAACAGCTGAGGCAATTGGCTTCGATCAGTTGGTCTTGGCTTTGGCTTCTGCGAAATTGGCTGCTCGTTTTTCCGCTCCAGGATGGCTTGCAATTTGATATGCTGTCGGACAATGGAAAAAGCAGCGGATTCATTCAACATCATTAATTTTGTGGCCTTTCTGTTGAGCCCAATTTTTTCGGCGCTTCAATTCTAACACAGAATTTGAGTTTTTTGTCTTACATGTCTGTCCAGTTTTTTTTCAAATGTTTTTTTTTGAAGGTACTCAGGCCAGAAAAATCTTTCCTTCATAAGTTTTGCAAGGATTTCTACAAACTAATTTGTCATGAGGAAGTTTTTTTTGTCTAGATTTATGAATAGATGTTGCTGGGAAACTTTTCTTGTTTCTTTCATACTCTGCTGGGTTATCCTATCGCTATTATTCATGCATTGAAATGAGCATAATGGTCTTTGAACTGCTTGCAGCACTGCAAGTAACGTTTGGAAGTTTTCCTTCCAAAGACCCAGTCGAAAAAAATAACTTTGTTATAATTCTCTTTCGTTTCTTTTAATGCCTTCACTGGTTCAATTTTGCTGTCGGCTGTGCGACCCAAAATTAGTTTTGGAACAAAGCTTCTGGAAATTTCTTCGTCGTCGGTTGTTTTTTGTAATTTGAGGACGTTTTCTGTTTTCTACTGTGGTATTTTTGTAATTTGTATACTTTTTTTCAGTATATATGGTATAGTTCGAATATGTATTACAAATCCTTGTCTGAATGAGAATCACTTTTTTTCTTCTTTTTCAAGAGCTGCAAACTTTTTAGGTAAAAGATTAATATCTACCCTGCTGTTCTTAAATTTTTTTCCCAGTTTCAGATAACCAATATTTGTTGGGCTTTCAGGAGTTTGGTGAAAAAAATAAGAGAAAAAAAGATGAAGTACATATTTATGGAAACTTTTGTTTTTTTCTTTTTATCTGAAGTGAGATCATTATGTTTTTTTGTCTTTCTTCATATCCTAAATTTATCTCTTTTTGCTGATTTGCTGATGATAATTTTTTTCGAGAGATGGAATATTTATTTTTTTATTTTTTTAAATGACTCCCTTCTTGATTCGAGCTAGAGCTTTCCATCAAGTGTTCTCTTTCGGTGAAATTTTATTTCCAGTCTACTTACTTTTTTTCAACTAATTACTTATCGTCTCATTTTTTTCGGAAACAATTGATTTTTTTCTCTGGGAAAACTGTCAAATAGCTAGTTTCAGACTGTGGAAATGGAAGAGCCGGAATCCGAAGGAGACGACGCCGTCGTGGTCTACAAGAACTCTTACGCTTCACTGGCCAACGACCTGCCGAGTTCCTCGTTGTACGACATGAAAAGGAGCATCTCGCAGTTCTCCCAACTCTTCCGCCCGAACAACACGTGAGCAGAACTCATTAATAACTTTACAGCAGTCTGTGTTGACGGAAGATCTTGTAAAAACATCGCGACGGATGTTAACTTTTTTGTGAATAGATAAAAAGCAGTTCCACTGATTTTTCTTGTGCAACAGGTGCTCTGTCCAGAAATTCTCTGAGCGTTAAAAATCTCTACGATCGTAGAAAAAACGTTTATAACACTTTTCCGACTTTTTTTTTGCAATTTGTGAGCAACAAACTGAATTCGAAATTTTACTAACAAAACTCCTTTTCAAAAAAGGATTTCAATTTATTTCAAACTGTTTTCTCAAACCCAATTCTGAACTTTCCAGCTAAATGAGAAACGGCTTTCCTGGTGAAACTCATGAACAATCAATATTCAGAAAAAATTGCAAAGAAATTAAGGAACTTTCGAGCCAAATTAACACTTATGGATATTGAGAAACCTCTGAAAAAAGCTGCTGTTGCAGCGAGAAAAAAATGCTGCAAAAAAAGAAATTTTTGTAAACAAAAAAATTATGTATCAAATGTAATTTTATGAAAAATTTGTGATCGAAAAAATTGAACTTACCATTACAACCAAAATAAGCGATTTTTTTCTGTGAAATCTAATCTCAACAAACTTCGTAAGTTGATCTGGATTCGGCTTCACAAACATCCTGAAGACACTTTTCAAGATTCTCGTCGACAGATGAACATGCTTCTTCCAGAGTTGTTAGATTCTTTTTCTGACTTCATAATGAACTCGATTTAAAAAAAATGACTGTTCCAATTGAAAAATCAAATTTCTACGGAATCTGTTTTCCTATAAATGACTTCGAGACGAATCCCTCAGATTTCTCAGATAGGATCTGTCACAAATTGCTCAAGTTCCCAGAGTCCGACCTGCGGCAAATATCCTTTGTGCTTCTGACGGATGGAGCGCCGATATCCGCTTTTAATACCCTCTCCGACGGTGCTAATAACGTTTCTGGCTTCATTCATGCGGACTCTCGAAATATCTCCTTCATTACTAGTCTCTCCACAAGAAAAAAAAAGCCTAATTGTACTACCACGGTTCACAATTTCTTCTCGGAAATAGTCTTGATTTCTCGTCTCTTTTCCCGTTTTGTCTATTGAAGAAAAAGATGTTAAAAGACTAGTATTTGCCGTTTCCTACGAAAAATCCAACTTTTTCGAAAATCAGATCTCCACATCAAATTTCGTAATCACGTTTTTTTTTTCAAAGACGTGAAAAACAGCTGCTGCAGATTAGCTTTTTTCAAGTAAGATTTTCGTTTTGGTTGCTACCTACTGTGAGTAATTTTTTGCATTTTATCGCGAAAAATTATTTCTCATCTTAAATATTTGAAAATCTCAATCAAGTAACTTCTAATAGGTTTTGCACTCACTTGCTCGGAAATTACTCATGAAAAAAAACAATAAAGGTCGCCACTTAGCAGAGGGATAACAAGCCCGGCAGTCCACGAATTCCGGGACCGAGTGATTAACGAGAGTATCGCATGGCTTCAAAGCTCAGAAGAACGCAACTTGCATAAATATCTCGTCTCCCAACACAATCAATGCTCCCAACGGACACAACCCAACACAACTACAGCTTGAGGGCACAAGTAGGCGAATTAGGTATGCATCTTAGACGTTTGATGTTCTTTTTTCTACTCAATGCCATCAGCAAAATGGCTCTCCGTGTGTTACACCTCTCACTCGCACGCTGCTCCTGATTAATTGTTGATTGTCTTTTTTTCCGCAAAGCGGTACAACTTTTTTTGAGTTCTTCTAATCTTGTTGCTTGTTATTTTCTCTTACTTCGTAATTGAAAAAAATATTAATAAGGCAATGAAATCTTCAAACACTTGTTGAAGGTACATTTTGAAAGAAGTGGAAAATGAATAATTTTTTTCTGAACTTCGATTTTTGGGAAAAAATTGGTTAACCAACTAAAAAAATATTTTTAACATTTTTTTAAAAGGAATTTCATCGCAATTTTTGTTCGAAAATTTGAGAACAAGGTCACGCAAAAGTTTTTACTGCTACTACTTTTCAATTTGATGTCGCAGTGCTTCTTTCAAATCATAAAACCTAGAAAAGTAGTATGTCTTCAAAACGATTTGAAAAATAGCAGACTGAAGTTGAGTTTCAAACCATCATGCAACTTTCTTTTTCTCAGCCAAAATTTTTTGTTTAAACTCTCTTAAATTTGTATCACGGTCGATTCAAGTTTTCTGTTGCTGGCAGGGATGAAAGAGAACTTAAACAATGAATTAAATTTTTGGAGCATAAAAATCAATTAGTGTCGTCAACAGAATTGCGTCTTTTTTTGATCAAAGTATGTATAAGGTATTCCATAAATTTGTGAAAAAAATAATTTACGGAATCAGTTGTAGTAATTTAAAAAATCTTACTTGGCGACCTTTTTCTATTTTCTTAAATATTCAAGTGTTTCAGGTAATTATTCATTTTTTCAAAGGTTTCAACTTTCGGCCTTCTTATTTTCTCAGCACTTACCCCTCAAAAAAAGTTTTCTCTGAGGCAAACCCTGATAGTCAAGGTTTTGTGAATTTTACAACACTGGGAAATTTTCTTAATTTAGAAACTGCTACCACAAAAATTTGCTTTCTATCAAAGTTTTTGTGTTTTAAGTTGCAAATGAAAAAAATTTGAATTTGTATTTCTTTGAAAAATATCTTTTGAAAAACATAAATAGTGTTCAAATAAAGATTTTCAACATGTCTTTAAACTCGAATGAGTTCAAGTTTCGTGTTTTTCGGATGTAACCAAAAATTATATCTTCGTGTAGACTTAGAACTACAGCTTATCAGCTTGTTCACTGGGATAAACCGATGAGATTCCGTTCATTTCATCTCTCTTCTTTCTCTATTTGTTTCTTTTCAATCAGTCCAGAAATCAATCAAAGCTCTTTTGACATCCCTCGTCAGGATATTACATTGCCTTCGTGTTGCAACTTTTTCCTTCGAGTTGAACGTTCAAAAAGTTATCGTTTTTGGGTCTTTCATTCAAAAATACATTTTTTTTTCTCAATTGTTTTGGTTTCATGCCTCAAAAAGACAGTTTTGCTTATGTCCTGGTAAAGTTTTTTTGTGAAAAACAAAAATTGACAAAAACATCGTTATCGAAAAAAGAAATCTCGCATTTTAATAAATTGCCATATCTAGAAATCTCGAACTCTCTTCCACTTTCTATCCAACTTTTCCAGAGTCACACTATTGTTTTTTCACTTTGTTGAGCTTTACTTCTTTTGCCTCTGCTCTTTACGCTTCATTTGCACCCCCTCGAAAAGAAAAAGCTCTGTTCGTTTCATTTCAAGCCTTTTCAGATCGGAAAAAAAGAGTTTTTCAGTTGTATTGATGTGAGAACAAGCTATGTGGGCCGACCAGAAGCCCTGTCCCATCAATCGGTTGGCTTCCAACCCGGGGCTTTCCGCCGCCTCCAGCCAACTGATTTTCAACGAGAAAATGTATCGTCATCTTTCCTCATACTTTTTGATATATTCTGATTTCGATCTAATCCAAGTCAATAATTTTGGAGATGAACAAAAATGGAGTAATTTTATATGTTTTGTCAACTTTATCCAGTGTCTCTCAGTTATCCTGAAACTGAAGCTTGCAGTTTTTCCATCTTACGGTTGCAACTAAAACTTTCTCGGGTTGATCCTAATTCTGATTTTTTCAAATTTGAAAAAAAAAACTCGAAATCCATCAAAAGATTCGTAACAGAACGGTTGGTTTTTCTATTAGTAACCCAATTGGCATTTTGAAATTCACCAGCCAGAAAACCCCTTTTTTTAGACAAGAACAAATTCACATTCATTAGAGTAACCTGAGAGCCTTGCGTGTCGGCGGGAATGCGTAATTAGGGCTTTTTGGTCTCTATTGCATGAGCTGCACGCCAAAGTTGATCAGGAACTTGTTACAAATGACTTTTTGCTAAAGCCTTTGAGTGGAAAAAAATATCAAAACAAAAACTTCCGCTGTGTTATTATCATTCTTATCACTAAACGGCACAGGTTTTGATGTTTCGAGACGTTTGAGCTGATTTGAAATGCAAATTCTTTATTTCGTGAATGAAACTTTTAATAAACTCCGTGAAGTTTCTTGCCGTCTTCAGGAGAACGGTGGGAAGTTTTGATATCTAAAAAAATCAAAATTGCATAGATAACAGAAGCGGCTCTTAAATATTTCAGTTTTTCAGCCTAGCAGATTTGGTTATAAATTGAAATAGATTCACACTTTTCTTATAACTCGTGATTTTGAGTCGTATACTTTCTTTTCACAGTTCATACTGTCTGATAAATTTTTTTTTCTCTGATGAAATGAACATCAGATAATTGAGAACTGATCTTAAGCTGGAGAGGTGAGGGATGGGAAAAGTCCCGAGAGAAAAACTTTGTATTTTTCCCTCTCAAAAAAGCTCGTCTAGCGAAATAACAAAGTTAGGCAGGTCAATTCTGAACACGCACGCAATCAACGACGGCAATCTTTTCGAAGCTAAGACTCTTCATTTTTCTTCTTTTTGTTTTCCTTCAAAAGAAGGCTGGTCGTAGGAAATTCCCAACTCTAGCTGCGAGCGTCTTTCGAATGTCGATACGCACCTCATCCACCCAAAACCAATTGTTGTTTTGGGCATGAAGCTGCTTCACCCATTTTGTCTCACGCGTAGTCCTTTGAGAATTTCATAGCAGAGTTAAATATCCTCCTTTTCTCTTTTTTTTTCTTGAATTTTCGATTTTTATTACAGTGCTCGTATGCAGTATGGAGTCGACACGAGCTTTAAATCAAGGTTACAGCAGTACTTCATCGAGAATCAGAAGTCAAGTAAGACCTTTCGTTTTCAAGTTTTTTTTTCGAGATGCCCTGAAATGCCAAAAAATTGCGAAAGCCCTGCTATGAGTCAACTTTTTTTTTTGCTATAGCGAGTTTCAATTGGTATTTCAAACTGAGGGAAATCGAAAAATGAAAATTCTCTTAACTTGAGATAGAAAATAGAAAATTTGAAAAAGGAAGAAAGACACATAGTTTTGCAATGCCGCTCGCCTTATCTTTCCTGAGTCTTATATGCAATAAACTGTTTCACAAAGATTAGGCTAGTAATCATGAAAGTGGCCTTGCAAAGCGTTGCTTCCCTTGAAGTTTCCTCATTTCGGTTTAATTTTTCCAGTTTTTTGACTTTCAGGCAAGCAGTAAAGGCTCAAAGATTTCCTGAAATTGAGAAAAATGGGTTTGGGGAGCCTTTAAAGTCTTATTTGTTGACGAAGTTGAGCGATTGAGGAGAATTTTTTTTGGGATGAAACAAAAATACTTCGAACTTTTCTTAGCAACTTTCCAAGATTTTCGAAGGTTGGGTTCATTTAAATTTTTCTTATCACTTTTTGAAACAATTTTCTGTTCAAGAATATCGACCGATATCAACTTTTGCAGTCGGAGGATCTGCTTTTTAGGTCTTCGAATACGCATGTTCAACGTGTTCATCAAACTTCTCTCGTGCGTTTTCTACTGTGTGAGAGTTCTTCATGACGACCGCGTCTACCCTGTCCCGTTCCCTTACACAAACAACACTGAAAACGATGCAGAAGTCACCAAATAGTATGGAAAAAAATAGAAAATAGATGGGAATCCGTTGTTTCAGCGAGTATTTGATATGGGTCGATTTGGATTACTACACTTGGCTCGCCCAAACAATAGTAGCCAGTATTAGTATTGCAGAAACAATCGTCGTTTTTTATCTTAGTTATTCGGTTGGTTTCGATAATCTTTGACTTTTTCATCTTGAAGATTCAGGGCAGCGTTTTACGGCTTTTAAATAATATTCACTTTTTGCTGGAGTTGCTTACTAGCTTCCCTTTCTTATTCACGGTAAAACTGGCTGGAATAATCGTAAACTTGCTGATTTACAGATTTTCTTCCCCTCCTACCGTAATTTATATGTGCCTGTATTTTTGAACTGTTGGCTGGCCAAAGGAGCATTGCAAACCATGATGGCAAGTCCGCAAGCCGATAACTCGATCACGAAGACAGTTTTCAGAACGATCTGAACAGGAGCTCGTTCATAAACCATTCTGCTTTGTTCCGCCAATTTCTTCTCTTGTTCTCAGTTTTATTGTGCTTGCTCTTCACAGGTGAACTTGACTAAGATAATTGTATCAAAGAAAAAATTTTGCAGGTATGTGCAGCATCGAACATTTGCAACGAGCCCGTGCAAAACGCATCGACTTATTCACCTCATTTTATTTCGTAATGGTCACGTTTTCAACTGTAGGTTATGGGGACTGGTGAGTTCAACCAGTGAATGAGATTTCTCAGGAAGGTTTCTAGGTACCCCGATTACTGGATGTCACAACTATGCGTGGTCATTCTCATTTGCGTCGCTCTTGGTTTGATTCCGAAACAAGTATCCAAAAAAAAAAACTATCGCTGATGATAATTTCTTACAGTTGGATGAAGTTAGAATGACTTGGACAGAGCGTCAAAAGTCTGGAAGTGACTTTGGAGGATGGGGAAATGAGGAGAATGGTCATGTCGTCGTGACGATCACTTCATTGGAAGTCGCTTTTATTAGAGATTTTCTAGAAGAATTCTACGCTCATCCAGAAAATCAGGTGAATATGAACTGAGCGATTTAAAAAAAATCTGATAAATAAAAACTTGAACCAACGAAAACATATCGAGAAACACAGATTTTCTTTTTTTCAAAAAAAGTTGAATTTCATCAAACTATAAAATTTTTAGAGAGTCCAAGTAGTTCTACTGTCACCAGCTGAATTGGACACGCCAATGAGAATGTTGCTCAGAATTCCGCTTTGGAATAATCGAGTGCATTATGTAAGAGGCAGTGCACTGAGAGATGAAGATTTGGAAAGGTTTATAATTCTTTTCAATCATTTCGAAAATGAGGAAATTTAATTCAGAGCAAAGGTTCTCAACGCCAAGGCTTGTTTCATCTTATCTGCTCGTAACCAGAACAAAAAAGTTGTAACGGTAGTTGTATCCTCCTTTTTTTCTCTAATTCCTGGTGCATGCCACTTTTTTTCGATGTTTTAGAAATCAAAATTGAGTTCAGAGGAAACTATTTTTTTATAAAAATTTAGCTGCGCTCTATTTTTTTACTCAGAATCTGACCTCTATTTGAAAAAAAATTGTAGGATGAACATACAATCCTCCGCTCTTGGGCTGTGAAAGATTTTGCCCCTTCTGTGAAGCAATATGTCCAAGTTTTCCGCCCAGAAACCAAAATGCACATTGAGCATGCTGGTAATTTGGTTTTGAAAAAATATCGAGCTTATTGCTGAAATAATTTCTAGAAATCCTCATATGCGAGGACGAGTTCAAATACGCCCTTCTTGCAAACAATTGCATTTGTCCTGGTATTTCCACATTCATCACTCTTCTTATGCACACTTCTCGGGGAGAGTGAGTTCCCAAGCGTAAATTCTTTTTATCCTGATTTATCAGAGAGGGACAAAAGTCGACAGAACCTTGGCATAAAGTATATGGGTTCCACTCTGGAAATGAAATCTACAACATCAAAGTTGCTGAGAGCAAGTTTTTCGGGGATTTCATTGGAAAGTCGTTCAGTTATGCATCTTTCCACGCTCACAAGTCGTGAGTTTTTGTCTTGAAACAAATGAGATTGGCCAGTTTCATGAATCATTTAGTCAGACACAAAACCTAAAACTTCAATAATATCTGGGAATTTTTCTAGCTATGGTATTGGCTTGATCGCAGTCTCACCGGAAAATGGAAGCACCGGCGTAAAATTGAACCCAGGACTCACACATACAATCCAAGCAGATGATATTTTGTACTACATGGGCCTGACCAACGAAGAGTCCCTCTATGACTTCCGAAAAGACATCCAGCAACAGCAACGCCGCGCAAACGTAGCTTCTACCATTGCTAACATTGGTAGGATATAGTTTTATCCAGAATTTGTAAGCAGCTGCTTTCTAGGAAATATTGCCATCGACGTGCCTGGAACAAATGAAACGAGAGACTTGTCCCGAAAAAAGAAAAAGAGGGCGATTCTTCAGAAAGAAAAAGCAGCAGATGAGATGAATTTGATTGAAGTCGGTCAGCCGGTGAATTCTAGTAGAAGACCTTCGATAGCCATGGTTACTGAGGTAGGAAACATCAGAAAAAAAAAACAAAACCAATTTTTTTTCAGAGGCATATTGAATCATCATCTGATTCTGAAGGTGAAGAGCACTGCGAGAAATGTCATGGAGTTTGCATACAGAAGAAGTTGGTTCCCGAAATTCCCGAAATAGATTGAAACGGAATTTCAGACTCCAAAGAACTTACCCGCAAGTTCGCACTTACATCGGTACTTCTAACATCGTTTGCCACATGATGAAAGAGAAAAGGTCGATGTGCTGTTTACAGCTCAACGTGGTTGGTATCAACTGCTTTCTTCGGTTTCCCTCTTCAAACGCTTTTTTTTACAGCCCTGCACTCACAAAAAGTACACAACCGCTTTCGAGTACAGATGGAGAAACCGACCTATCATCCTCGCTGCGGACAAAACCAGCAGTGGAATGTACAATTTGATTACTCCATTAAGGTGAAATACCCGGAAATATGGACTTAAAATAATAAAGTTTAGAGCTTATTATCGACCTGTTCACGATTTACATCCAATCATTCTGCTCCTTGAGATGGAAGAAGAAGACGCCGTCGGATCGACTTTCCTCGACGCCATGGCGTACTTTCCAGACATTTTTTGGATTAAAGGCTCTATTTCTAAGTAAAGTTCTTTGCAGAATAAATGCAGAATATTCAACTATTACAGTTTGGACAACTTATTGAGAGCAGGTGTGAGTCTAGCTGAACACGTGGTAGTCGTCAAAGAAACGGCGGTCATCGCAGAGGAACATTTTGCTGATTGCAATACGATAATCACAGTTCAGAAAATCCACAGGTAAAATGAAATAGTTACTTTCAAACCCGTTTGAGCTTAGGCCTTGAGCTTTTCTGATCCCGATTTTGGTAGACTTCCCACAAAATTTTTGAGAAGAAAGCAAAATGATTTGAAGCACGATTCCGCCAAAAAAAATTTTGAATCAGCTTAACACGCGTTCTCTGAGAAAGTCGATGAATGTGAAGCACAATAAAAAAAAAATTTTTTTTCAGCTTATTGTCTACAGTATCTTTTAAAAGGGGCGGAGCCACCTGGAACCTGCTGCTAAATAATTAGAAGCACGTGTGTGAACTGTGATAACATTTTGAGGCAAATCAAAAAGAAAATTTTTATCTTGTTTTGCTTTTTAATCCTGAAAAGTCATCGATTTTCTCAGAGAACGTGTGTTAAATTCCCGAACGATTTCACAAACTTTACCATTCAAACGAATTCAGAATGTTCCCAAAACTCCGAGTTGTTACTGAACTATCCCACGCGACAAACATGCGCTTCGTACAGTTCAATCCAAACAACGCTTATTCTCTCGCCCAGTCAAGATTCGAAAAGGTTCTCCTAACTTCTTAGGCTTCGAACATTTTTATTATTTTTCCAGAAAGAACGGAAACGCGGCTCACACATGCCATTCATGTTCCGGTTGCCGTTTGCCCAGGGCGGCGTTTTCAGCGCAAATATGCTCGACCGACTGCTATACCAAGCAATTATTAAGCCTTATGTCGTTTCGCTTATACGGCTTTTGCTGGGAATCGACCAATCCGGGGGTGGAGGCTATTTGACTTCGGTACAAAACAATTTTTGAGATTCACAATCAACACCAATGTTTTAAGTTTGTGATCACTGATGAGGACATGTGGATAAAAAACTATGGACGTCTCTATCAGAAGCTGTGTTCTTCAGTTGCTGATATTCCCATTGGAATTTTCCGAACAAAAAGAATGGACACAAAAACTGTTTGTTCCTGAAGTGTAGTACTCATCACAAAATTTCTTCAGGTTTCTTTAGATCTCCAAGAGCAATGTCTCAATTCCGAGAGGGATGAACTTTTGCGAAATAAAGATATGTATGAACACGTCAAAAATAGAATGCGTCTTCTGGGAATACGTGAATCCAGCACTCGTAATTTTCAAAAAAAGGTTTTATGGGTTTTCTTCATTTCAGTTCTGGAAGGAAGTGAGAGCAAAGGAACAATTTCTTTTGTCATTATCAACCCTTCTCCAGATTTGGTCCTCGAAATCGGTGACATTGTGTAAGTTTGAACTGATTTGCTTTTATTTTCTTTTATCCGATTGCTGAGTTACTGCTAATTATTTTTATCGACTTTCTGAATTACTGCTAATAGTTTTGAAAAGAGAATACTCAGCATGAATTTAATGTCCCTCTTTGAGCTTAAAACTATGAGCTTTCTAACGCTATTCCTTCGCCTTGATTGCTCATACAAGCATCTTTAAACAAACTACGGTCGATACTACTTTTCTCAAGCTTTCTGATCAGTGACAATGGGATGACTCATGCAAACTCATATCAAATTTACAGTTATGTGATAAGAAGTCCTCTGCGGAAAGACGCCACGAGTAAGCGCGTGAATCCAAGAAGAGGACTTCGAAGGAGCAAAAACGTGAGAGAAACCATGGACGGCAATCCTTCCGCTCCTCTGCCAACCATAGTGTTCGTCGCTTATTTCATAACTGCATTTTAATCTGCTCCTTTTCAGAATCGACAACGAAGATCTCCCCTAGACAGCTCTGCCATTGCTTTCATGTGATATCAGCGAATAGGGTTTTTATATTTCTTTCCCAAAAGATGCGTAATATTGCGAATAAAGCATTTACACAATCAAAAAAACAACAAACAAAAATAGCTCAAAAAAGGGGATTGGTCATATTTTACCTGTACGAGGAATTGATTTTTTCAGCTAGGAGACTGAATCAGACGAATAAACGGATAAGGTGTTGATTTGTTGCGGGAAGTCCTGTCACAGGGCATCTGAAAACATTTTTATTTTTTCTCTAAACTTCAACATGGAAATAAATTGACGCTCCGAAAAACATTCTTCAACTTTGCTCAAAATGTTATCAAAAGAAAATGTCCTACTTATGATGAGTATTGACGTATTTGTTGATGCAGGTGTAGCAGAAAACATAGCCGGAAACGAACAAAGCCGTGTCGTTGGTTCGTTTCTTATAGCAAAGTGGACACTTGTTGGTATCCAAGTTCAAAACGTTACTCTCCGAAATCTGCAAAAAACGGAATAAGTATTCGAAAATAAGTTATTTCACCATTTGATGAGGCGGGGGAGGAGCTTTAGAATAAGAAGACCTTCCTGTCAGTTGGGAACCAAAGTCACTGTTGTACATGAAATCCAGAAATTGGACGAAAAAAAGACCATATCCAAATAATCTGGAGAGGACTCCAGGCAGTCCGAGGATGAATCTCCACAACCGGTTGACAATACTAGAAAAAAGTATCATTTTGAAAACTGTATATCCGGCTAATTTACCCAGATTTTCTCAAATGCATTGGAACGTGTTCAAACTGGGAAAAGTCTTCAGGCGTGAGGCTGTGCAAAATGTTTCCAGAAAGCCACAAAAATGGAGAATGAGACGAGGATCTGTTCAGAATGTACCTAAACTATCCGTTTTGCGGATTTAAAAGCAAATTTAAACTCTCACGTGAGTTGCATTATAGTTTTGATGCCTTTTAGGAGCGTTTTCAGGAGCGGCCAGGCAGTGACAAAAAACTTTTTCATTTTTTCTTTTGTATTCTAAAATCGAAAATGATAAATGAGACGTTTTGTAAGAAAAAAGAACATACGCGGATATCAGCCCATCTTCTGCGTTCGTAGGACTCTTTCAATCTTTCGTGTAGCGTATTCATTTTGTTCTCCACGTAGGGCCAGAGAACCTGAAATCGAAACTGAAGGAAGGAGAGCTTCATTTTCCGACGAGAATCGTCTCAAAAAGATTTTATTCTGTTCGTAAGTTTGGAAAAATGCTAGTCCTCAGAAGTCTTGCGGCATCTATTTTTAAAAAAGTTGGTTCAAAGCAAAAAAAAAAAAACAATTGAAAACTTTTGAAACAATCGATATTTATGTTCTGTAATCGATGAATTATACATAATAGGAATAATACTTTTTTCTAAGATTTATTTTTAAAATTTTATTTTACTCACCAAAACAATCAGCGAAGCCAATTTTTCACGTCCCATGGAAGGAGGAAGACCTGTTTTGACATTAGTTCGCTTCATCGAATAAAAGTTCTCCGAGAATGAAGCTCCTGAGTTTTTAATCCATTCTCAAAAAAGTTCTTTTCATTTCACTCACCATAATTTTTTTTCAAAAAAATAGTTTTGTAAAAAAAGGTCGAAAGCGAGGTAATATTCATCAAAGTTGCGGTAGATTACTCCAAAGCTCTTCGGTTTGATGAACGTCAAATACTTGAATAATTAAAATTTTTCAATTGCAATCTAAAAGATGGCGTACTTTCGTGAGTTGGTGCAAAGCCGGTTTAATGGAGGATGAGAGATTTTCCTGGGACAGAATATCGAAGATGGACGGCTGCCGTGCATCCGAGGCTGAAGAGCTTAGCGACGTCAAATGTGACGCTCTCACCGTACCCATTAAGCTAAATGGAAAAGTCGCGAGTATTTCGGAATGGAAAAAAAAGTTATGTCTCAACAACATGAAAAATCTCCCCGAGAAACGTTGAAGATGTTCAAATTTTCAAATGAAGCAAACAAATAAAAAACACATTAAAAAAAAACAGAAAAATCGAGAAATATGGAAGTTTAACCAGCGTTTTCAACGAATTCCACTTTCAAAGAGACTCCAAGAGAAGAAAAAGAGGACAAGACAACGAAACTACGACCCGGGTAATTTTACTATCAGATACATTGTAGTCTGATCGATTTTCCCTTCCTGATGGTGTCGACTGAGACGATCGGAATGCTACCTTCGATTGGGTCAGAAAGATACAAATCGGAAAAGAGATTTCTACAATCAAAAATGGTTTCTTTTTATGGTAATGTTTGGCAGATTTATTTTTCCAAAAAAAAGTTAAAAATCTGTGCAGTGGCAGGGATTCATCACTTTTTCAGGGAAATTTGTGAAATTTTTGTGAACTTTCAAGACCTGGTAATCTTGGAATGACAGGTTTGAAACATTACACACTTACACCCCAGTTAACTTGAAAAAACCTATTTCATCGAAATTTTTGCAGAAACTTTATCAATGAGTCATGGTCTGATAATACTGTTACGGTATTTGATTTGGGGAAAAAAAAAACTTTTTGTATGATATGATTTCAAAATCCTTCGAAACTCTCCGATGTTTTACGATATCGGTGCGTTGTCGACACGTACACAGCTTTGATCCGGATTTCGGGCTCAAAGCGGGCCTATATATTTTGGGATGAACCTCCGGCGCCTCTCATTCGCCAAGCTTCTCCGGCAAAATGCTCAACTGGAAGGCCTTGGGCTCTCCTAAAGCTTTTGTCCCTATTTGTGGGATGGTTGTAATAATTTCCGCTGCAGTCCTTTTTGCTATCTTTTACATAAGGTAAAGCTTGAAAACCATGAAAAAAGGAGGAAGGCTTTTCAGAATGAACAGTGGAACTTCCGTTGCTGTGCCTTTTGAAAAATCTGAAGAAAATCAACAAGTTTCGGCAGATATCAATGTGGGTTTTTTCTATCATATTTCAAAACGTTTTCCGAAGCTTTTTGTAAGTTTGCATTTTCGGCTGTTTTACTGAACTCAATGACTTCATAAAATATGAAAAAGTTGAATACTGTTCAGGAGAACAAAGATTCTTCTACCAAGCTCTTGCTAACAACTCGATCATCTGTAATTGCTACTGACGGCTAGTTTACCTTTGAAAAGTTGATCTGAGGGATGATTTTAGGAAAACACGGATCTGTGAACGAGCCTCTAGGGACACAAGTACCTGCAGAACTCCTCACTACAGCCGCAACAACACACACAACTTCTTCTGTCCCAACCGCTGTCCAACAACCTCCGCCGCATCCCATCGAACCAGTTAAACACGAGTGAACTTTGCTATGATTCTTTAATAAATTTTGGAACCCTCGAAAAGTTTTTCTCGAAACGCTTGCACGACAGTAAACTTGACTCGCCACATGAGGCGATGGCGTCTGTGTCGCGCCGTGCCCGGCATACGTGGCCTAGCGCCGTCAGAAAGTGATAAGGCTACCGTAACCTGTCAGCTCGCAAACACTCGACAACGTGCTCACATCCTCTTTGTCTTCCAGCTTCAAAAAAATCCAGAGTATCTTTTAAATGGGATCCGAAAAGAAACTTCAAAGGTTAAAGGAAATGAGAGCCTTTTAAAATGGTATTCTCCCTGGTCCTTTTGATTCACTAGAAGGTTTCCGTTTCTAGCCGTAAATTCAGTGCATAAATTCATCGACCAAGAACATCCCTCTTAGTTCAAAATTTCTCATATTTTGGAGGAATCTTCAAATAAGGAAACGCGAAGATCGAATGCACCATGGGAGGGCGTGCAACTGTAGCGCTTTGCGATAGAGCGAGCGCATTGAAGAGACGATTACTTGGTGGACTCGGCTGATAAGATAGGCTCACTCCTTACCTCTCCATTTTCCTACCCAACGCTTCACTATCTTATTCAAGATAAAGCTCCTCTTATCGTTATGAATAAGTGTTGCCCGCCAATTTTCCCCGATATCTTCTCGCATAATTATTAAAATGATTGAGTCTTGTTCGATTGATAATTTTTTTTTTGGTAACTGCACTGAGAACAACAACAAAAAATTCCAGATCTTCAGAAAAATGAAGAAATAGCTATTTTCAGATCTCTCAAAATAAGGGTAAAGTTTCTGAAATTCAAAAAAGGACGCTAAGGATTTATATCAAATGAACTTATCACTTCGCAGGAAAACAAAAATCAGCTTCAAATGGTGGAAATCTGAGAGAGCAGAAAAATAAATGTTTCATAATAAGGCAATGAATTGAGTGAACTGACGTCATTTTTTTTGTTAGGAGCTGAAAAATTGGAAAAATCCAGTAGTAGAATAAGAGCGGCTAGAAGTAATCACTCATGAAACTGATTCAGATAGGTTATCGTAGTCGTCAACGTCCTCTGATAAATTATCTCCAGCTCGTTGTTTTGTTGCTTAGATAACCATCGAGATACGGGTTATCTTTAGGAGCAGCCTTCCTTAACCCCTAAAGGACAGTTATCGTCCTTTTTTCCGTTTCCTCACTATGATTGTGTAATTATCACGGTTGTTTTGATTGATAGCACGTTGAGGAAGCCAATGGAGGCCAATTACTTGGAAGGCAGCTATACCTGGTCAGACACGGCTCGTCAGCCTGAAGCGACGCCGCCGACCAGCGCCAACAACTCTCTTCTGCTTCCGGCGCAGCCTGTCATCAAGGAAGACATCAAGGAATCTACTATTCTCACGACCGGTTAGTTTTTTTGTAGCATTCAAAAATATTCTTTTTTTCAAAACAAAAAAAGTTTATACCCTAGGAAACATTTTTTTTGCGAAAAAGATAATTAAAAAAACTACTTTTTTTGTCATTTTCTGAAAAGCTCAAAAGAGTTTTTTTAACTGTAAAGATAAAAATTCTCTATAGTCTCTTCCTACAAAAAAACGTATGTTTTTCAAGATAGGAATTTTTAATTTTTTTGTTAAACACAAATTTAAACCAACCAAGAACATTCATTTCACCTTTCAGTCTGAAATTTACAAAAATTGTTTCCAAGTTTTTTTTTAGACTTAGAGATAAATACCTCTGTGGCTCGAAAGTTTAGGCTTGAGTTCATACTTTGCAAACTTGAAAAATCGTCTCTCTAAAACTACACGTTCTCGAAGCTAGCGACTTTCATGTAGACCTTCAGCATATATAAGCGATTTTGTAATAGAATCCAAACCGCAAATCGAAACGACCCTCCTTGTCAGGACATTTATGATTTTTTCAAAAAAAAAAAAACTAAACAATACTCCATCATATTCACGACTCCCGTTTTTATGATTACGGTAGGATTGCCACACCAAAAGGGCAGGCGCATTGATGAGCACTGGCTTACAAAATTATCTCGCTTCTCTCTCGAAATCAAAAAGATCTTGGTTCAAGTGACCGTTTTAGAGATTTTTCTTTTCAGTTTGGAACTCATTTTTGTAAATTTCTTTTTCAACAAAACAGTTCTTTTATGACGTCATTAGACGAGAGGGAGCGCCTCTTTGGAAAAAGGTCTTATCTATTTGCGTGCCCATAATAAATGCTTTATCATTAACTCTGATTTTCAGTATTTTTTTTTCGCAAGACATTTCCTCGAGTGGTTGCTTGCTACTGAATTGATTTTAATTTCTTAATGAAGAACAAGATTTCAGTGAAGAACAAGATTTCAGTGAAGTTTGAAGATATGAGCACGATGCATCGTCAGAGCGTCATAGAAGCACCAATAAACAGCGTTGGCGCGAAACAGGAGCTCCAATTTGCCACAAGTGAAAATTTGAGCCTATTTGTTGTTTCATAGCTCCGTCTAGACTCCTCTCTGCACAGTTTCGCCGACCCTTGCCAGCCCAACTTTCTAATGACTGACACTTTCTCCACCCAATACTTGCCACAGCCATTCATCACGTCCGGCGGCTCGTTCGCGAGTTTAAACAGGTGAGTTCATTCAGTCGAGAAATGCTGCCATTCGCTGTGTTCTTCAGATTTTACGATCATCGTATGGGAGCTCCATATGGAGACGCACAAATCGTCCATTCGAGTTTCATGGTGAGGATTCTTTTCTGAATTTTCAGAGACCGCGATAAGATATTCATTTTTTTGTTGGATAATTTGTGTTTGCAGTAACTATACAAACGCATCGTTCCAACAAATAAGAGGAAAATTGGTGAAAAAAAAAAACAAAAAACCTCATTATTTCAACCTATGTACTTATTATCTGCTTTGGAAGCGTATTTGTATAAAAATGGTTTTTTTCTTTAATTGCTTTTTCATTATGATGTCCGTTCAGCTTTTCGGCTTTTTTTCATTTTTGAAACCAGCTTCAAATTTCAAAAGCAGCTCAAAAAAGGCAAAAAAAAAGAAAAATTTAACTGATGCCAAAACTTCGCACGAGCGCACAAAATCAACAATATCATATCCGTTTCAAGATTCATATTACCATTGCTTTTTAAAGTATAGATTAAATTATAAATCTAATATTATATGTATAGAGAAAAATAGTCAAAAATTTCGAAAACCGCAAAACCGCTTTTGACATGTAAACGTCTTCGACATTTTTTTATCTTTTAATTGAATTTTCGTCAAAATTGGAATGGATCGAAATAAAAAGTTAATCTTCAGTGATGCAAAAAAGTGGATTTTGTTTATATGAAAAAAATTTCAGAATTTGCCTCCTTATAGTTCTTATAATCATGCTGAATGCGTTGCGTGTGGTACAGCGTGTAGCGACGACGCTAAAACTGTTTCCGGAGGGTGATTAATTTTCAAAATTGTCTTTTTTGATCAAACTGTTCAGCTACATGTGTGGTTCTTGCCATCGAGCCTCTACTACCGGCTTCGAATTACCTCTCAACACGATGGTTTGTGAAAAGATTATCGTTGGAATCATTTGGTTATTTCATTTCAGCACATGCAAACCCAGCTTTATCAACCGACCGCTCAAACAGCAACTGTCTTGAGTTTAACAGAAAGCAACGAAAACTCTGCAAGAGCAGCTCCAGGGGCATCAGTTACTCCAAAAACTCCTCGACCCACGTCCAGCAAAAAACCGGTAAATCTGTTCGAACTCTGCATCGATTCCATCTAATCGAAGAGCTCAAACCGTCGCCAAGACCTCATTTGCTCGAATTGCAACGGGACCAACACGACTTTGTGGAGGAGAACTGCCAATGGAGAACCTGTTTGCAAGTGAGTTTTCTATGAAAACTTATGAGTTCGAAATTTTAATTTCAGTGCTTGTGGTTTGTACTACAAGTTGCACAATGTACAAAGGCCACCCACGATGAAAAAAGAAGGGGCTCTTCAAACTCGGAAAAGGTTAGCTACGAAAGTGTCAGGATGATTGATGGATTTTTAAGTTGTGCTTTTCGCACATTTTCATGAGAATTCAAATAAGAAAAAAATTTAAAAAAGAGAAGAAAGCATTCAGATCTTTTTGGTTGGCTTTCCGAGTTCTTTAGTTCATTTATGAACGAGTGAATGAGTAAAATGAGAAAAACCTTAAAAGACAAAGTAATTTGAACGTTTTCAGCCACGCGGCTTCCTGCAATTTTTTCGAGAAATTCGGAGAAAACTGAAATGAAAAATTCCCTTTTGAAAAAAAAACACAAAAGTCTGAAAAATCAAAAAAGCTGAAGAAAATTCTTGATTTTTTTTTCAAAAATCCTACGTCCGAAAAAGTTTCAGAAAACAGAAAAATCACGACGGGACGACCGCTACAACTACATCGAGCAAAAAAAGAGACCGGAACTACCAATCAAGCAGTGGCCCGGGAATCGACCGAAACAGTAGACGTACTTCATTTGATGGATGGATCTCAACTAGATACTTTTTCAGGTCGATCGGAGACCAAAGAAAAAGATCAACAGTTGTTCAAAGGGGCCCCGAGCATCCCTTATGCCTCTTTTTCTACAGTTTACAACACCGGCGCGGTTTTATCCGACAATTACACTATCAATAGCTGGCCGCCTTTGATTCCACAAGGTTTTTAAAAGATTTGTTTTTCAGCTTCAAAAATGTCTAATCGATTTCTATCAAACAAACTTCAATAGAAAGATTTTCAGATCCGCATTCTTCGGCTTTCCAGCCCACGTACCCTTCAATATACGCTGTTAAACCCAGTGATGTGAGTCCTAACCTTAGAAAAACTAGGAGTGTGTCTATTTTTTAGGTACAAGTAGCTCCTGTGGCCGAAGAAGAAACGGAAGCAGCGGCTCGGAATCTCGAAGACAACGACCGTCCCTCATAATTCCTCACTTACCAGAGTCTCAAATGCCTTCAAAATATTTTTGGGCTATGTATTAAAGCATTCCACTTTGAATCGTTTCAAAATAAACGTTTATGCATAGAGTATGCCACAAAATGACTAATTTCGATAAAAACCCATCATTTCATATATCAAGAGAAGTACAATTTTCGATTTTTGAGCCGTAATACATTGAGGAACCCGCTGGTTTACAATGAATGAACACAATTAGGTACATGGCAGGGTACATACAATTTACAGAGGCTTGAGGATTACAACTGAGAGGATTCCCAGCAGGTAGGCAGCGACAAGTTTTTGGGGCAGGGTCAGGTGGAGAGCAGGTGGGACTGAAGAAGTTGGCGCATCTGCGTCGCCGACGGTCGGAGTGACGAGGGCCATCGCGCACAAGATTGCCAGGAAAACGCACAGCAACATCGTCGAGCTCATCTGGAAATCAATGCTATATTTTGACATTTTAAAGACATGTTTTCATAAGATTTCTTTTTCTAAGAGCTTTCTAAGAATTTGTTATAAAACGCTTGCGAACGCGTCAAACAAAAAAAATTTTGGAAATTGTCTTTTCCCCGCAAAGTACTAGATTGCACAAAAAAGTACTTGAATGATTGACTAAAATATTTTTGAAATGGACTCACGGAAAAAATTTCCTATCCAATTTGAACCCTTTTAAAGAGACTCTCAGGAGATTTGGAGGCTCTAATATCCTTTTTTTATTTATAACATATAAATCATTTCATATTTAATATTATGACAATAGATAAGAGAAGAAACACTGGAAAAATCTATTACCTTGTCCGAAACTTCCCTTCGCGCGACCGCAGTCATCGACTGAAGATCCTGCTGCCAGTTTGTTATATTCGGCGTTGCAGAAGATGGCGAAGCTTCAAGTTTCGACACTGTTCTTATTAAAAGCTGTTTGGTGCCCGTAATCTAAAAATGAGCAATAAGCGGCAATTCAAAATTGGACTAAAACCGAAGGGTCGCTTCTTTTCGAGATGTCGATTTTTAACCTTTCACATGATCCCTGAGTGGTGCGTTGCAAACACCGTACTGTTCTGAAAGCCCGGAATCGCATAAAAAAATAAAAAAATAATGAATGAATTACATGTCTTTACAGCACTGCGCCAGGATATATCCTGACGATTCGCTCACGTTGTATATCCTGGTTGCCGTGCTCATCACTAAATTAAAATATAATTTTGTTTTCGGCTTTATTTAAAAACCTCTATAGTTAATTGGAAAATTGTACGGATTGAAAATTGTGAAGAGCCCGACGGCCGGCTGACCAGTCGTGTCGAATTGAAGCTAAAAGCGGAGAAAATGAAACAATTAGATGGAAATTTCTAAAACCTCGGGAAGTGACAAAAAAACGGGCAAAGCGTCTTCACTGAAGCCCGTCATAGCTGAATCTAAAGATTGGTCCATAAAAAACGAATGAGGAAAGAAAGCAATTAAGGAAAAAGAGCGTCGAGAACAGATGCGGGATCACGCTGGAAAGCAGGTGACGTGCACTGCAGACAAGACGCGACACGCTAATTACCGTAGGATGGTGCCTGTGAGAAAATTGACGTGAGAATGTGTTATCTTTTCCTGGATGACAGTTCTCGAAGGCGTATAAATGTTGGCCACGATTCCTTGAAAACAAATATTTTGCGCTACTTTGATACAAAAAAAGCTGATTTTTCAGAGGTCTTTTCAGTTCACGCTTATCGTGGGGAAAAATTTTTAAACGAAAGGGCAATTGTTTGATAGAAATAACTATTTTAAAAATTATAGCATTACAATTCTTCCCAATTGTTTCAGAAAAAAAGTAAAAAATTTTAGCAATTTATTCTTGTTAATTGTGTGAAGACTTTTAATCAAATATAATTTGATCAATTAGTGAATGACAAAAATTTTTTTACAAAGTGCATTATCTTAGAAAGAAACTTGGCGTATTTTGTAACCTTCGAAAAATTAATCCGACAGTTCATGAAAAAGCGGAAAAAAATTTTTAATTTTTTTGGGTGAATTTAAAAAAAGCGCAAAAAAAGAGAAAAATTTCATGAAGACTCTGAGATATTGTGACCTCAAAATTTTTGTTTTGATTTCGATTTATTTGTAAAAGTTTTTTTGATACACTATTTTTTTGTTTGATGTTTCAATTTTTTCCAGATTGGTTCGTAATGTGAAATTCGAGCATTTTTTTCAAATTTTCGCGAAACGAAGTAATTTATTTGAGTGAAATAAACGTTATAGTCACTTTAGAGAATTTGTAATGAATAAAAAAGTTGAAGTTGAAAAACAAAAATATATTTGAAAAAAACGCTCAAACTACACTTCGATTGAAACCTCTAAAAAGGGCTTTCTGTTTTTTTGCAAGTATTTTTTTAGAGAAATCTCAAACCATGTCTTCTTTGACAAAAACCAAAATCATCGAAAATTAAGTGACCTTCAAATATTTTTCCACTAACTATGAAACGCTTCGATAGAAATCTTTGAAGTTTAAAAAATATTTTTTTCTGCTACAATAAACATCTCGAAAAATGGGAAATTCATTGGATCTGAGCGGAAAAAGTACACAACATGGGTTAAGGCACACAAAAACCGTATTTGTAATAGTAACCGTACTGTTATACAACGGAAGATAACGCCAAAGACAAGTTCAGAAACCCGCGATTTAATCGACAATTTAGTGAGAAAGTTATAGTACAAACGAATAACGCATTGATAAATTGCCCCAGCTTCAGTTCAATTCAAAAGAAATCAGACTTTAGCCCTAGCTCTGAGGGTTCGAATCAATTTGACACATTTCAGATCATTGCTCAGGTGATGAATGAACTCGACCGGGTTGTGCTTCTTCTCGTTGACCGCCGAGCCTTCATAAATCACAACCAAATACGTATCCAACTCCAACCGAGCCCCATAAGCCGTCTAAAACAAAAGGTCTTACAATTGACTTTTCTAATTTTGAAACTTTCAGTTTTTTTGAAAAGCTTTCCAGGTATTCTGATTACAACGTTCAATAATGTAAAATAGAGGAAAAGTGGGAACCTAATCCCAAAAATGATTTAAAAAAGAAACTTTTTTTTTTATAATCTCGACTTTTTAAATATTCACCACATCTCGCATGGAAGTGTAGACTTTAGTAGCGCCCGAATATTCGTAGGGAATTCCAATGAGTTGCTTCCTTACGAAACCGTCCACCATTCTGTGGACGTCGTCTTGATCAAAGTACTCCAGCTAAAAAATGTATCTGTCTACGTTCCAAGAGATCCAGAATCAAACGTCTTCATGACGATGATCGTTATGAGTAGGAGAAGGGAGGCGAAAAATAAGTGGGTATAAGTAATCATCTTGTTGATCTTCCTCGCCCCTAGGAGCAAAATAAAGTTCTTCCACATCGAAAGGACCTGAAAACTTTTATTTGAAATAAGTAGTTTCTATTTGAAACGTACTATTGTAGCGCGGTCCTTCCGTGCGAGATTGTACAATTGCCAAGTAAAAGGCGTTCGACTTCTTGTAGAACTCAACGCATCGATTGATGAAATTGTGGCCATTGTCAACCTCATGAATTTTCTGAAAATGAGTTGGTCAATGGGAGAATAAACTTAAAGGAAACCTGGACTTCAGAACTTTCACAATATGTTCCAATAGCGTTAGCGAAATAAAGCGAAAACTTTGCCAAAAGAAGGTCGTAGAACTCCGCGTACCAATAGATCAACTTGTTTTTCGGGGAAGGTTTGGTTATCCTATAAATCCGATGCCAATCGAACTTTAAATAATAACCTACTGAGAGAAGAAGAAAGACTTTTGCGCGGAACCGCCATCAGCCATTTGAACCTCTTTGACAGCAGTTACGAATTCTGACCGGATCAGGGCCAAAGAGCTCATGCATGTGAACAACTTTAAAAATTTGTAAGCTTAGCATTCGACTTTAAAAGTACCTCGCATGTGTTGAGGCCAATCTGCGTCTTAAAAAGGTTTTTGAGAATATTGAGCTCAGTCAACGCCAATTCGATGATCGGATTCAAGAATTCACACGGTGCAATAGCAGTTTGCTTTGGTTCAATAAGAGGAGCCGTGGGTCTTAAATCGGCCGGCTTTAGAAGGAAAACTTCTTCCTCTGGTTGTTTGAATTTTGCAATAATAGCTTCAGTTTCGCCCAAGTGGCGTTTCCAATCGACAGGTTCTTTGCGATGAACTGAAAGTATATTTCAATAATCTTGCTTCATTCGAAAAAAAAAAACCCCACGCGGCGAGACCCGAGATCAACTTCACTGACTCCGCTCGACTCCGAGAATACGTCATCAAATCGTCTATCAACAATTCCATAGCAGGATCAGACAAAAACTTGACTCTCATCCGTTGTATTGTCTCACTGGAATATTTTCAATAGGAATATAGGCCATTCCGCGCTAGCTTCTCACGTTTTTCTTTTCGCCAAAGAAACAGGTCAAATTTAACCAACTTCGCTTCAAGAACTTTGTTTCTTTCCATTATAAAAACAGAAACTTGATCTAATTTGGTATACGGTCTTTTTGGCGGAAAGAAAAACGTGATAAGCTGGCGCGGAATAGACTATATTTGATTTTTTTTTTTCCAATCAAAGCTCACCAAATGGTCATGTACTGGTCTTTTGCTGTGCTGTTCCGACGGAAAAAAGCGCGAGAAACAAGGAAAGAACACGTGTAGAAAGCTTTGTCGTTCTTGGCCAGCTGAGATTCGGTATTTTAATAGAAAATTCAACAATTTTAAATTAAAAAAAACCGTGATTAGTTCGCCAAGAATTTGTATCCAAGGATTTTCGACGCCATCTTTTCTTGAAAACTTGGTGCTTTTAAATCTTTCTACTGTTTCCATCGCTTCAGTGAACTGAAAAGTTTATTCTTTACGTTATAACATTTACAACTTACCTGATAATTTCCAGCAAGCAATGCATAATCGTGAAAGACAATCAAGTAGTCTTCCAGTAGAATTGGACAAGGAAATTCCTGTTCTGAAAATGTTTCATTGTACAAACAGCAAAACACAAAACTTGCCGGTCAAAGTATACCGCCGGGAAAGAGTTCGAAGCATGGGCGACTGAAAAAAATTTTTTTGTTTTGAAAAGAAAAAAATCACAAATGTAGAAAAAAAGAAAGTTTCATAAAAAAACACAAAGAGAAACAGGAAAGTTATATAAGTTTTTCACTGGAGCGCACTTTCATTTTTTTGTAAGAAAGAGAGTCTGTATTACAATTTTGTTGAATTATTATAAAAAGAGGGGAGTTATTGAAAAAACAATTTTTTATTTTTAATGAAGTTTGAGAGGCGGGAAAAACGCAAAATTAAAAAATTTGTGTCTTAGAGTAAAGATGGAAAAAAACAATCAAGTTTGAAAAATGCTCTATTTTTGCAGTGAAACCACAAAAAAAGTACAGCGCTTGACATAGATTTGTAGTCAGGAGTTTTTGAAAACAATGATTCAGACTATGAGGAAATAAATGAACAAGAAAGTTTCTAACTTTTTGTCAGAAGACAGAGGAAACACCTAAGGGAATACCAATTGTTAACTGAATCTTTCCTCTTTCAGATGAAGATGTTTTTGTAAAACAGCAAAAATTTGCTAAAAAACACTTTCCAACTATTCAGAAAAGAATTAGATCAACGGAACTTTCATCAAGCCTTATAAAATTCATCAAAATAAAATCAAGGCAAACGTTTTTTGAACACTTTTCCCACGAAAATCAGTTTTATCATGTCGTTCTGTATATTCTTTCTCGCCACTTCTGAAATGGAAAAAAAAAGAGAAACGAGAGCTTTGTACTTTGACCGTGCTTTTTTTGATTGTGATCTTCGTTGTAATCGGCGCCCAATGTTGTCAACAAAACGGCATTCCACGATTCTTCTTCGTTCATTTTCGTTCGTTCATTCGAAAATCGTTCATTTTCTCCGTGGTCACCCCTTTTTTCGGATGCTGGCGACTTTTCTTCTTAAGACTTCTATCAATATTTAATATCGATTCGCGCCTACAATTTCCTACAGCATCCTTTTTGCAGATCTATTCGTTATTTGACCGGTCATCTCATTGATTTTTCCACTGCAATGAATCTATTCGGAAATGGAAACCTTCCGAGTTGCATCGAAGGTGAGAAAAAAATCAATTTTTTTCAAATGTCAGTTTAATTCATTGTTTTTCTATTTAATAACTCGGGAAAAATACTTTTTCTTATGAATTTCATAAACTTTTTTTGAAATCAAAAAGTTAAGAAAGCGCTTGCAGAGGCACTTTTCGAAAAATTTAATTTAAACCAAAAAAATTGGGTCAAAAAGGTATCCATACTGATGAGCAATAAAAATAAAAGTTACAAGGTTGTTTGAAAAAAAAAAGACTTTCGTAAATTTGGAAAAAAATTATTAAGGAAATAGATCTCGATTTTGTTTTTGATCTTAGCAAACGTAGATTCTTATGAATTTCATAAGAAGTTTCACGTTGGAAAGGGAATAGAAAGAAAGTCATGGAAACTGAGGACAAAAACATGGATGAGACATAATTATTAAATATTAGAATTTTTCGAAGTTATTTTTTTCTGAAAGTAGCAGAATCGTTTCTGAAATTCAATTTGGTGAATCTCAGTGATATGAGGTGAACATTTTTCATTTATTTTTTTCTCTGTGATATGTTATTAATTTGATCAATAAAAATCATAGGCAAGTGAAAATATTTGCAATCGGTTTTTTTTTTTCAAACCGTCTGGTAGATTTCACAAAAATACTTGGAACTCACAATAAAGCGTCAGAATTGAAAAATTAAGAAAGAGATATATTCGGATTTACTTGCGCAACCTAAAAGATCACATTGACGCGCGCGTGCATGCACTCAGAGGAACACTTGAGGGATCATTGATTTTACCTCCCACTGACCTTTTTGCTGCAGCCACATTTTATACTCGCCGATTGCAGGTTTTTCTTATGCAATGATTTTTTATTTTCAATTAGCGTTCATCAATTATGATTAATGGGCAATTAACTGGGCTAGCAATTTCTAGACACCAGCATCATTCTACCTTTTTCTGTTTCGGTTTGCTACGAGGTGGTTTTTATTAGAATTTTTTGTGTTCCGTGTCCTCTGTAGCATATTTAGTTTCCTGCTTTCTGTTGTTTTTGTTTTCATCTTTCCTCATAATAAAATCTATTACCTTTTTTCAGCATTCAAATACTATGGGCGGACGCGTGGAAGTTGAAACGCCAGTGACTGAGACGGCACCTGCTAAAAAAAGATCCAGGTATAACTTTAATTTTTGGTTAATTGCTTAACAAAAATGATTATAACTTTTTTTCCTATCCTATTGACGATGAAACTATGAACACGAGCTGACTGCAGAAAAATGTGTTATCCCTTGGTAATTTATCGAATCCTGGGAAAAAAATTGTTTCTTCTCCATTTTAAATTTTTTTCAGAACGTTTTTTTTAGAAAGATTTATCACTTAATTTCTCATACAAGGTAACTCTGAAAGAAAAATCATCACCAACTTTTTATTTTTAAAAAGTTTTCAGCGTTTTCAAGTTGTTCCGGTCCCTGGAGTTTTCTCCCGTGGACGTTGGCGTTGTTCGGACTGGAGCCACGGTTCTGAGAAAAAAGACACCGATTTCATTCTGAACTATGGGCGCAACGCTCGTACCGCCGCCAACGGTTTCGAATACCATCTTATTAGGTTTTTAATTTTTCAAGCTTCAGCCGTCCCAGAAGAAAAACCACCCAGAGTTGTTGTTGGTCCAGTGGATTTGGAGGCTTTTCGAAAAGTCATCTCAGAGGTATGTTTGTATTTGTTTTTTTATTCTTTAAATGAGATGACTTTTAGAAGGATAATGAAACTCCACAAGTCAAGTCTACAACTTTTTTGGTGACTTCGATCGAGACGAATCTCACATGTTCTTCGCCGTCAGTTTACCACGAAGAAATCGAAAACACGCCGCACAAAAAAATCGAAGTCACCCGGGCCAGCAGACAGTTATACTCGGATGAGGTAATATTCTCGAAAATTCAGAAATATCCCGCTGACTATGGTATCATCATTTTTTTTTAGCTTCTAGGAACTCCAAAAATATTTTATTTTTTGTTCACGAATCTCGTTGCAATGCTGAAAACCTAAGTTTCTTTGGGTGGAAATGTGTTTCTCAGCTGAAATTAGTCGATAAAACTGTTATGTTCTAGGGTTACGTCTATTTAGATTAGATAATACTAATTTTGATTTTTTTGTAAGAGGCAAGGAAGTTTCGGAGACAGGAAGAAACCGAAATTTTTTTAAAAATCTGGATCTTTTTTTGTTTATCCGGGCTAAATTTTTTTCATAAATTTTTTTGTATTTTTTTATAGACACCTCCAAAGACCACAACGTCTATAATCTACGAGACGACAGACACACCATTCAAAAAACTCAATCCTGAAGATGATGAGCCCAACTTACATGAGTTGCTCATCAGAACAAAGATGTTTCGAGATCTGAGCACTCTGTCGGAGGCCGAGAAAGTCGCGGCAAAAGTGCTCCTCACCGCAAAGACCAAGGCTCCCAAGACCATCATACTGACTGCTCCAGCGACCCCTTCTCCATCGGCTTCTGCCACAGCGCCGCCAACCGCCCTGCCGACTTTCAACTCTCGCTTTGAAGTGACTCCTGTGCTCAGGGCGGATCCAGCTATAACCGTGTCCAAGTCAGAGTCGGTGCTTGCTCCTGAGGCCGCTAAAGTTGCACCAAGTGCACTGGACGGTCCCAACACATCCCTTCCGGTAAGGAAATGAAAAAGTATTCATCAAGCGAAAATTTTTCAGCCCAACGTCGTCGAAGAAGACGCCGCTGCCTCGAGCGCCGCGGCGGGCAACAGCAATTTCAACGCTGCGGCAATCGACAGCAAGATAGAACAGGCTATGGTAGATATTTCGAACTTCTCAAAAACTTGTCCACGTTTTGTAGGACCTTGTCAAGACTCATCTGACCTACGCTGTACGCGAACAGGTCGACGTCCTCCGCCAAACAATAGCCGATCTTGAACAGAAGGTCTGAGAAAAACCGTCTCTTTCTTAATTTATCCCTATTTAGGTGTCTCTTCTCCAAAAGGAAAACACGGTTTTGCGTCAACACGTTCCGGCCGAAGCTTTGGGTAAAATTGTGGGACCTGGCGACAACCAGTCGACCATCAGCAGCCAGTAATTAGATGTTCAAACTTGACAAAAAACCTATATCTAACAATGTTTCTACTAATTCCTTCGTTTTCCTTGCAATTTTTGATTACGAGTACTAACTATCCCATAACACAAATATGTACGAAGTTCTCTTCTTTTTCTAGTCAAATGTAATATCAAAATCTTTCGAGTCTCAGCTTTCAGAAGCTTTATCGCGTTGTGCACTGCAATCTCTACCCTGCTCATTTGGCTTTCCCAGCAAATTATCATACGAGTAGTCTTTTTTATCAATGTTCATTTCGTGATTGTTCACATAGATTAATTTTCCTTATTGTCAGATAATAATTTAATCACAGAGCAGGTTATAATTTACACATTTCTATTGTCTCTTTCCATTTTCTGTGCGTCTTCAAAAAAGATTGTTTCATGCTTTTATTTCCCTCGATTTTTCCTTCAGTTCACACGAAAATTGCTCAAATGCGCTAGTTCATTTATTTTTGTGTCTGTTCTAAAATCAAGAAATTTTTATCTTTGTATACTTTTCTCCTCAGGAGGAATTATACAGCAGAAATAAATATGATGAAAAAATAACCTTGTACCTGTAACATTGTTAAAGAAAATGATAAAATACATGAATGAGATCAGTTTTCCGTAACCACCGGCGTCATGGTCATCGAATGTTTTCGCGCATCAACTTCTTGGTCCTAAAAAATGATGTTATTCGCATTTCTTTCGAACAAAGCTCACTTCATTTACAGGGTCGTCCATGATGTTCAAATGCTTAGCGTACCACCAAACGTAAAGGTCCATAGTCAAGGAAATTCCTCTCACAATTACATACAGAACGTGCATCCTGTAACATTTTTTCTTCCTTCTCAGTTGGAATCTGTTATTTTCCTACCAAACTCGAAGCTTCTGCGGATGATAAATGGCACAGGAACCACGTTCTCCTGAGCAGGTGTGGTCCCAAACCATACAGGTAGCGTCGATAACGAATCCCCAAAGAATTGGCGACGGCAGAGTTCCAAAAAGAGAAACAAGAAGCCCTTGAAGTCCCAAGCAAAGGGATCGAGTCTCCGGCGGGACACTTCTGAAATTTATATCGAACTTAACGGAAGAACCGAAGTTTAACCTCAAGAATATCAATATTCCGGGAACTACTCCAAGTCCTGCAACAAAAGCTCCTGGCAGGACTGTCATGAAGAAAATGACGGTCGACATGCGACAGGTGTCTTTGCAGAACTTCTTGCTGACAGTTCCCCCTTTCGCACATTCGCAGGATGAAAATTGCTGAATCGAAGATGAGATTGTTTTGAAAAAGAATGGATCCTACGAGGTTGTGACTGTCAGGTCCTTCAGGTGACATGGCTTCTCGGCATCCAGCATGGCAAGGAGAAAAGTAGGCATATCTGATAAGACTTTCGTAAACTTCGAATGAAATATTTATACATTTTTCATTCTTTTTTTGCTATCTTTTTTTCAACTAACTTCACTTCATCCGTTTTATCCTTCTCAGTTTTTTAATGTTAATGACCTTTACCAATAAAATTCTTCCAATTATAAATTACTCAATTTCCCATTAAAAGGTGAAAAAAAACAAGTCTCATATATCTCACCCAGTTTCATCGCACACCGGGTACAGTTTGACGCCTTCGCATGAGCACTCCGAATTACACGGTCTGCTGAAGTTGTAGTTGGTGTCCCTGAAATCGAAATGATGTGATTTTGACTGATCCGGGGCAGATTTCGATGAACTTCGGTAATTATTTTCTCACCTGTTATTGAGCCCAATTGAATTGACAATCGATTCGCATCCAATGAAAATTTTTGAGGAGTAAATGACGACGTTTAATGTAGAAACAACGGCCACAAACATTGCAGCTCTTCTTCCATTCAGTTTCATTTTCTTGGTCAGGAATCCGCCAGTTGCAGTTCCCAAGCCGAATCCGAAAACTCCGAAGAAAGCTGAACGGAAACAATAGAAAAAAGAAAACAGGTTAATTTACCCATATAGCGATGAACCAAGTATTGAGGGATTCCGAAATGGTTTTCCAGATATTTTGGCAAGAAGACAATGTACCTGAAATAATTGAAATGAAAGTATGGAGTGAGGGCAAAATCACTGCCAGTTTTGCGTATTTAAAATACATTTAGGAAATTGTAAGCCACATTAATCAATCGAAGGATAGTAATTTTCACTATAAAAGCAAAATGACGATTTTTTTTCAGCGATCACCAAATAAGGACACATTTTTCATTAATTTCTTTGCCCCAATTGTGCAGGTTTCGATATCTTTCAAGAAATAAAACCTATATGACATTAATTCGAAGGAATTTTTGTCTCGAAAGCTTTTATGAAAAAAATTATGTATTTTAATGAACTTGTTTTTTTATTGATAACTATTGTTTTTCGGGGAAAAAAATATTAATTTTATGTTTTCGCCAAATTTCAACAACATTTATTTTTTTGATAAGCTCATGAAACTTATAATTATCGGTTTATCAAAATTTCCAACTCCATTCTCTTTTCCGCGCATATAATCGGTCAACAGCAGATGAATTGCATTGTTCCGATTCACAATGGCCGGAACCTTCTTGACCTAAGAGATCGCCGTTCTCTTTTGTTTTTCGCTTGACAAACAGTCTTTAGGACAAAAAAACAGCGGCGAAGGTGTTTGAACAGACAAACCCCTTGAAAGCGAGCACGTCGCAGATTCTTCCGACAACACTGCCCATGTAGATCTTGCTGCTGAACACCGCTTTGCAGCAATCACGGAAGTCTGAACGATACCTTCTGTTGACAAAAACTCGTCTCTTCGCAAACCTTTTATTTTTTCTTTCACGCTTTTTCCTTTTTCTTCTTTGTGTTTGTGAGCGTCGAACAGCTGTACAGCTTTGCCACTGAAGCCATTTCAGTTATTCAAAAACTGCGCTGAAATATTATTTGAAACTCTTTTGTTCCACTGGGGAAGAAGAAGAGCAGAAGTGACGGAAAGATGGTGATTGTTCCAATGAAAAGAAAACCGATCCACCAGGCTCCGATCCAAGTTGGATCAGCTGGCGTCAATCCAGTTGGGGCTAGAAAGAGTAGTTTCAGTTTTTAATGTGATCTGGAACTCACGAGAGAGAGTGAAGTAAAACTTGTTGCAAGCGCTTCCAATCAGGTACCCGCAGATCGGACCAAGCACTCGAATGGAAGAAATCGCTCCTAAAACAGATTGCTTGTGCAAAAAGGCTCAATGAACGAAAACTTCAGGAAAATTTATTAGAGCGAAAATTTTAATTAGATAGGAGACTTACCAAAATACGCTGGAAGACTCTTTTTCTTGATGTTGTCATCTAGTAGAGGCAGTCCCAAACTCCAAGGGACAGTTCTTCCGATTCCCAAGAATCATCAAAGAGAAAAAGAAGACCAAGAACGGGTAAATGTTGTCGCTTTGGTTTTGACATCTTGACTCCTGTAAAAACACACTTTCAAATATCAACTGGACCTGATTTTCACTTTGATCGTCAGTCGCACTTTGTTCATTAGCTGTCCACAGACGGCAAAAGGTGCAGCTGCACTTCTTCGGATCTTCACCAGGTCTTGTGTCGAACTGTTGGCCCTTCTCTTGAGGAAAGTGAGACAACATCGTTTTGAGTCTCCCTTGGTCTTGAGCTCCATAAAGGACTTTGTCGCTTTCATCCAAGGCCTGAAAATTTTTCATGAGAAATATGTGATAATGAATCAATATATTTTCATATGAACTTTTTTCAATTTTTTTTTCAAATAAAAAATATAGTGAACACTCATAGAGAAATTCGCAAATATTTCTCTGTTCCAAACTTCCGGTTCGCGATCGAAAAACAAATCCCCACCTTATCAATGAGCCATCCATCGACAGAATACGAGGTGGCTGTGCGTTTTGCAGTAGCGTTTATCAACTCATTTGCAATTTTTGAGCTATCAATCTGAAAATAACACTTTCAATTTTTTGAAAAACACGAAAACAAATTTTTCTACTTACGCTTGAAAACAATTCACAGAATAAAAGAAAGCGAAGAAGATTAGCCGAAAAACTAACCGGACTTCCGTCGTCTTGCAATTTCAGCAACTTTGCGTACAAATCGTGTGGCATGCGATCGCGGATAAGCGGATAATCAAGCAGTTGCCTGAGAGTCGAATTTTCTGAGAGTTGGCTTTCCGATGGCACTAAGTCCGACTGAAATTGTTTCGATAGAGCGAAAAACAAATAATATAACGCACTGCAATGCTAGTAGTGTTCAAGTCAATTTTTCCTTTCGGAAAAAGAAAATTAGGTGAGGCCAGGAGTAAGTAGGATACAGAAACGATGATAGCTCCACCTCCAATCCACTTCGCTCTGTAAAACTTTCATTTAAGACGGTGAAAACTCAAAACAAATGAAAAAAAACAACGAAAGTATACTTTCAGACAGAAATTTTACCTGTTGCCTTTCGACCCGAAATAAGCAGTGAAGACAACGCAAGGAATGTAACCAAAGTCACCTGAACGCGAATTTTTCCAAACAAAAATCCTCACTAGATGAACAAACTAATTATAAACAGGAAAAAGAGAACTCACTTGCTGCAATCATCATTCCAGATGTTTTGGAAGACATTTGAAACTGCCGTTCAATGTTCTGAACCGCCGAATTTATATAACTTCCTCCAATCGCTTCCAAGAAATATACAACTGTGAATAACGCCAGAAAGACGTATATCCGCTCCATGGCGGCTCTGAAACAACTAATGTCGAGAAATGGACCCAAAAAATCAAAACAACAAAGAACACGAAGCAAAGAAAGTCCTTTAAAGGAAGGAACCTATGTTGACCAAAAAGCGGCCGCAAGTTCGAGTTCAAACGCACGATGTCAAAGAGGTTTATTTATACAAGAGCAGCTTGTTGAACAAGATCATTGAAGCCAATAAAATCTTCAGAGATCCTCCACTGACGGGAACGGTGATAAAGAAGATGCCCAGAGGCGGAGTCCGGCGAGGGTCGGTCGCGCCTTCGCGAACAAAGTGGCCAAAGGGGCACGGTCTGCGGAGAATCGGAGAAAACGGCACCACACATCTACCACAACACAACCTGTTACTGTCTTGAATTGGGCAAAGACGACGTCGGCGACCGTGTCAACGTCCAATATGACATCGACGACCTGCGAGTTGCGCGCAAAAAAACTAGTTCTGTACCTTTACCGGCCGCGTTGATCTGTGCTTTTAGACTATTTTTATCATCTGGTAGAATCCGATCTAGCACGAATTGGCTGAGAAAGGCCATGAAAATAAAAAAAAAGAATTTTCCTTAACATTCAAAAAATTGAGAGTACGGTATCTTAGAAAGTTTTGAGAACATACACAAAGATCTTACAAGCTGGTCTAGTACTTGGGACTTTAAAAAAAAGCATTTATCAAAAATTCGACAGTTCGAAAATCTCGAGTGCCCTATCAAAACTTTGTGAAAATATGAATAAAACTTTTTGGAAGATCTAAGATCTTGAAATACGATTTCAAGTGTTAAAAGAGAAAACAAGTCAATCCATCAGCCTAAAAAGTTTGATTGCGTCAGTGATAGTCCATCCCTAAAAAGTTTTCGAAGGTGTCTTGAAAGAACGGGTTACGGTGTGAAAAGGTATACCCTCCTGCCAGATAAGGCCACTTTTCTCATTTCAAATGAATTTAGAAAAAAGAGGGAATCTCGGAATATAATAGTAAACGAGAAAGTATCACTAGCGATGAAGAACCGATCTGCGAAAAATGAGACAATTTAGTTGATAATTATTTTTTTGAAAGAACTGACTTTTCTGTTGCAAAATAAAAAAATACAAAACTGATTGTGCTCAAGTTTTGATATAAAAGTTTTATGTACTCTCCGTCGCCTTAAATACTGAACAGAATGATGTTTGACGTTTCCTCTCACGATTCCTCGATTCAACAGCCCGATAATGTGTCTTGGCCAAACTAAAGATGAATCTTCTCGATACTGTCTTTCAAGCTGTCGGTTGATTTCTTTGATGGACATTCGTTCAAAAATATGAATCACAAGAGAAATTCGACTGGGATTTCTTTGATGCGTCATCTTGAACCTTCGAGGAAATAGAGATGGTCTCCGAATCCCCGTCCAACAAATCATCTGAATCAGAAATCACACGAATTCTCACAAAAAAAAAAGATGAATCCCTTTCTATGTTCTTTCTTTGTTTCAGCATGACGACCATAAATTTTTGCTTTAGAGCTTAAGAACGAAAATTTATTAAGTTTTGATTTAAACACAATTGAAAACTTTAATTGAGCCAGAAGGGCTGAAAAAATAGATTCCTTTTTTGAAAATAATCGGGAGTTTATAATTAGAATCCTCTAATCAAATTCAATTTTGCATTTTTTTTTTTTAAACTTTGTTTTCTTCTTATCATTAACTTGTTTTCTATAGTCATTTTAATCACTATGTTTCTGTTTTTTCGATCTTCCACTTTCCGATGTTTTACTGTGCCGCTTCCGCCAAAATAATCTGTTTAAATAAACGTATATGCCGGTTTCTCGAGGTCACAAGTATTATCACGATGAGAAAAGGCGAAAGAAGAGAAGACAAAGTGTCGTCAGTTCGGTTCCTAATTGCAAAAGTTTATTGAACCTTTCGAAAGTTCGAAAACTGACTTGACTTCTGTTCTCAAATGACCCGACTAGTTTCTCCATTTTGATGGTCTTTCCAGATGACTTATCTGACCTTTCGGCGCAGAATAAACTTTCGATTATGCTTATATGGTGCAAATTGAGAAGAAAAGTTGAAGATTTCACACATTTCATGAATTACACTTCTAAAAAAGGAAGTTAGATTTTCTCGTCAACATCTTGAAAGGAGAGAAAAAGTTTCGAAAAATTGACTCCGATTGAACTGTTTGCCGAATGATTGACGATGGCAACACTTACAGTAACTTTCACATATTTTTTCTAAAAACATGTGGTTTTCAATGAATTTCTATTAAGTGCAAGAGGTATCTGATAAAGTGAGTATTTGTTTGGTTTGGGTTAAAGCTCTCAATTAACTTGAAAGGAGAGCATGAAAACAAATTAGCCAACAAAACTACATAAAATTACTAGCAAAAGTTTCCAAATCGAAATCATGAATCTCAAAGGTTTCTGGAAGAAGTTTGCTGCTCAAATGAAAGCCAAATGATCTTCTCGGAAAGATCCTTGCCGTGTTCAGTGGAAAGTTTTCGAACTTACTTTGAAAAAAATAAATAAAAACAAGGTTTGCTCTCAATTTTGAGAAGCTCGTTTCGTCGTGTTTTCCCGACTTGAAAGGCAAGATGGGTTGACTGGCAAGGGTGAATCGTCGCGTAGCCGACGCGGCTTTTTTAAACTTTTTTACTCGTTTAACTAATTTTTTTAGAAGCCGCTAAAATTGCAAATTTATTGAAAAAAACTGTCAAAAAGAAGAGAAAAAGAAGGCTTGGGTTTGAGCTCGAGTTTCCCGCCAAAAAGCCGCTTCGCACACGCAATGCTTTCTATTGCTAATCTAGCAATCTCGCTCATTAAGTCGGGAAAAAAATTGATTTTGAGTGTGCGATTATTTTAAAAATAAAATCTAAAAAATTTTATTTTATTTTTCTCTAAATTGATTTTATACTTGAGCTTTCCGAGTTCGTATGAAAAACATCTTTTTTCTCTTACAACTCTTTTTTGTCCTTCTAAAAGTCACTTTTTGGTCTTTCAAAATTTACTCCAGTGACTTCGATTTTTCCATCGTTATTATAAAGATGCCATAAGGCTAAGCAAAAAAAAAGAAGTATGAAAAAGCGAAAAGTAATGAAAAGTAGCTTTTTATTTCTACCTCAGGATTAACAGACTTCAAATCGAAAATCTGCAACTGCTCAAATAAACTTTCAAGATTTAGTCGGTCACGGTTCGATTAGAGCTATTCAATGAAGCGAAAATTCATATTGGACACTTATCTTTCTGAAATTCGGGAATGAAGGTCTTTAGTTTATTATTGAGAGTAAAACTTTGTCATCGTTCACAGAAAAAATTTCAATTTTTGTACTTCAAAACAAATAATACTCGAGGAACAATAGTATTGAGTTTCTGAACGGCATATGCAAACCGTTCTTTTTGGAGGCTCACTTCTCAATGTTTGTACGACGTCCGTCTTCTTGCCGTTGCTCTGTTATTACCCCAAATAGCGCTGTTTTCAATTTTGCATTTTTGTTTTTTCAACTTCCATTTCTCCTTTTGGAAGAACCACACCTCCGTTTATTAGAACTATTAGAAAGTCAAGTTTGGCGAACATATATTTTTTTCCGCTGCAGAATGGCACTTCAACTCCCAAAACCGTTAAATATATTGTCCTTGAGTATTAAACTTGGCGAAAAGTGACTAGGCAAAACTGGAAGTCACTAATATTCTCAGCATGGTTTGTGAAAAGTGTTTTTTGAAACAAAAAAAAAAGAATTTTCGAGTCCAGTGAATCGGAGAAATGAATAAAATTTTTTGAAAATGTCTGGCCTAGTTCCAAATCGTTTCGAAGGTATTGTTCATTATCTTGATCAGATCTGCGGAGATTTGGACAAACCAAACGGTTCTGCAACATGCATCAAAGTACAAAGAGATTCAGATTGTGATTAAATCACTTTGAATCAAGAAATTAAATGAAGTTATGGTGTTATTTGTCATACATGAATACTTAATTTGAAACATTTCTGTCACCTTGGTGAGCAACCTTTCCTGAAATAAACAGTATCCTGTTAGTTCATTAATTCTTCGCAAGAAATCGTGGAACGGTGGTGATCTCATTTTATCTGCTGAGGTTGTTAGCTAGTAACTAATTCGGGATTTTATGAAACCGTTTTCGTCTATAATACAGTTAGTCGAGTATAGAGAAGCTTTAGATCCTTCCGATGAAGAAGAAATCTGACCGGAAATAGATCAGACCTACCCACGGTGTTATGAAAAACATTTAGACAAAAGCAACTTTTTAGTTAAAAGACCGAGGAGGCGATCTTTGTTCTGAAATGTAACATTACTCAAGTGTATTTTGAAGCGGCTGGTTTCTTCAATTTCTTTTACAGCACGTCGACATATGAAATACTATTATGAAAGCCACCTTTATAGTGAATTCCGCGCGAGACGGTCACGTTTTAAAATAACAGAGAAAAAGCTACCGTAAACACAAATTTTTGCTTCACAAAACAGCTGAGAAGACAGCAAAAAACCAAAGTCTGATCTAATTTGGTATACGGTATTTTTGGCAAAAGGAAAACCGTGAAAAGCTGGCGCGGAATGAGCTATAGGCGATTGTTTTTCCGAACTAGAACAGGTCAAAAATCTAACTCACAAGGAAAGTAGAATATTCCTAATCGCAAAGTTAAATCACTTTACTTGTTAGCTGTCATACAAAGAGAAATTGAGCTTTTCAGTTTTTGGGCTCATTTTTATAGCCGAAAGTATCTTTTTGGACGCTGCTTGAGAAAGAAGGCAGTGGCCTGCTCCATTTTCTTTTGGACAAAACTCAAGTTGATCTTGAAACCAACACAATCAGTAGCCTTACATAGAGTTAAGCGATTTGCTACCTGGAGAGCCGCGTAGGTAGTAGTTGACCCCGTGGCACCTCAAATATTTGCGTTAAAGAGCTTTACCGCTTCGTCGTGTTTGTGGCATCGGTGCAGCCGTTGACCACACACGCCGTCAATCGATGCGCTTCCTGCCAGTCAATTCCGGTTGATGATAAATCGACGACCGTCCTGTTAAGTTGCCCTCCGATCTTCTAAGCCGTCTAGGATCCTTCGTGGGTGAGCGTTTCAAATTCACATCTCCTTTCAATTCTTGATTGGACTTTTGATGTTATTAACTGTTCAACTGTTGTTGCTGGATTTTCTGAGCACCCAAGTGTTTCGTTTGGTTTCATTTCTCCTCATCTAAAACTTCCAATAACCGCTTGATCTTCCCATTTCATGCCGAGTAGCCCCATCGCTGTTGCTTCCATATAAAATAAGTTCTAAATTGATAAAAGTTCAAGATGAAATGAAATATTTGTGCGATTATGATTGACTCTTTGAAAAAAATAGGAATATTTTTACTGACCTCCATTGAATTTTTTTTCCGAAGGTTTGGAGCTTCTTCAAGTGTAAAATTTAGATTTAATATTCTTCTGATTACAAAAACATCTTCTTTCAGTAACGGCACATTTTGAAATGCGATATGCGCACCTTTTTCTAACCTTCTCTTTATTTTTTTATACAAAAATAAATAAAACTCGAATAGCTTTAAGAAATCGAAGATTGAAGCCGGTAGATTATTTCTTAAAAAACCATTTGACACTTGGAGAAAAGACGAAAAAGATTCTTTCCCACTCCATTGAAAAAGTTAGTAAACTAATATCTGCTTGTGAAACACAAAGATCTTTCCGAATTTCAGAAAACTATTATGATTATGATTGCAAAAAAACTACCCTTTTTCGTGAAAAGAATTCAACTATTTTTCTTCTTTGTTTTCTATGGAGTAATTCTTTACTGATTTAATCTATCAGCTTTTTTGTTTGTTGATGCTTTGGATTAGGTTCATTTATTCAAAATTTTTTTCCAACAATTTTTTTTTCTTTGTTTTTTAAACTATTTCGTGTGATTAAGTATCTGTTTTCACAGTCTCAAGTCTCCAGAAGCTGTAAAAATAGAAAAAGGTGACCGGAAAGCACAGCCGGAAACGGTTTTTGCGCTAATTGTCGACCGATTTGAGCATATTTGCGCTTGGACCGATTCGTATTGCGCACGTTATCCATGTCAAATCTGAGGCCTCGAAACCCCGTTCGGCCTCCATCGCAATCGCCACTGTTCCGTAGCACGACCCTCATCTGGTCGCTATCTTCGTTTTTGCATATTTCCCTCGTATTAATTACGATTCCAGCAAATCACTCTTATGATACTTTTTGCAACAGCAATTTGACCTTGAAAATTTTTTATTTGATTTTCTGCCAGGTCAACGAGTTCTTGGGAAGTACGAATAATTCAGACAGCTCCAACATCTTTGAGAGTGTCAAACCAAAATTCCAAACTTCTGGCGTAAAAGTATCTTAACAACAAAAATTATAGGGTGAAACTCTCGAAAGATTGCGCAAATTTTTAGTCTTGACAGCAGCTCCAATTTTATCAAAACCTGGAGCTCTAGGTTTAATTGGTATATATTACGTATATTGAAAAACAGTCATGAAGTTGAGCTAGCTTCAATTTTCGTACGGTTTTCCTTATCACACGCGTAAGAGCGTTAATAACACAAACCTTGCATATCTAACTCCAGGCGTGAAGTTTACATTCAAGGAAAGTCATTTGATTTGATGAATACGGAATTTCTAAAATACATTCAAAAGTAAATGACTTATCATAATTTCAAGTTTCGCGAATTTTTTTTTTTTTGTCCTGTCTTCGGAGATCTTGAAACCGTTTTTTTCGGTTTTAGGAGTTCACATGGTTATGCAGGTCACAACTTAATCTCAGCTCAATGCAGTCCCCTGTGGTCTGTATACTTAACTTCAAAATTAATTATTCTATTTTAGAAAAAAAAAATCCATTTTCCATTTTAGATGAATAATCAAAATGAAACTTTTTTTTTCCAAGATTTTTGCAATGAATAGAAGTTTTCTTTTTACTTTTGTTTGTCATTTGTTTTCTAAAAACTATAGTGTTATAAAATTGTTCATTTCTGCTGGATCTTTCTACTACGCCACAAAAGAAGAAATGTGACACATTTTTGTGAATGGCAAACCCTGGAGGCGATAAAAATCGAAGTCGAAGGATTGTTGGCTGTTAGATTGTTTGCGAACGCTTATTTTCCCTGTTGTCAAGCTGCTCGGATTGCCTGCACTTGAAGGTGAAACTTTTCTGGAATCTCCACTTACCACTTCTTTTTTTACTAACTGTTATTCAGACAGGAAGTTTAAATAAATAGATAATGGTATGCTTCACATTTTTTGTGTAAAGAGATAGGAGTGGCAACTGACAGTGTTTATACTATGAACTTTTTGAATAGTTGAAGAAGGCTCGAAAAAAAGGGATAGTTTAAAAAAAGGCAAACTCTGAGTAAAAAAAAAGCTTTTAAATCTTTAAAACAAAAATGAAAAAGAAAATCATTTTTTTTCACAATCCTGATGCTTCATATTCCAACTCTCGAAATCGATGTTTGTTTTCTTTTTTTTATTTCGTTTCCAGCATCCGTCAATGATTCTTTCGAAATAAAAAGGAACCGATAATATTGAACTTGAACGCTCTTTTTCATTCAAAATGTCTCATTTCTGATTTTTCCAATTTCAGTTGTACAAGAAAAAACAGAAAGAATTCCCTCTGTTCTACTTTTTGTGTTGTATAACGCAATAGAATAGCTTTTTTCTCGCGAAACAAAGGCAAGCTTTGTATGAAAACATGCACGTGCCCCTTTTGGTCATCCTTTTTTCGCAGTCAGAATTCCTCGCTTTAGTTGTCCTGTAGTTATTTGTCTGCTTCTGAATCTCGAAAGTCGTTTAATCAGAAGATTATAATGAGTTTCCAGCCATTGTATGGGAATTAGACGGGTGCAAGACGGCCCGAGGACGAGTCATCCGGACAGCTTCCACGCTTTTCTGACCACTGCGTTCTCGGCCCTTCTGGTTGGTTCTAAAACATTAAAAACAATTTATTTTTTCCCCTCTCGAAAGTATGCAGGAGTACTTTACAGCCCCTATAAACACTCCGATTTTTTTCTCTAAAGTTTTTTTCTTCAAAAAAATTTCTATTTAGTCCAGTTACATAATCCATTTCCCGATCTTGTTTTTTTATTAAAACCGCGTAAATTAATTCGAGAGCTGATTTCAAGTCCATCAGTATTTAGGTTTCGAGCACAGTTCAAATCACCATTAAAGCTCTGCAAATATCAAAACGATTCCATTGTTTTATTTCTTTATCGCAGTTGAAATTTGAAAAATTCTGTAAGAAATTTTTTTTAAACAGTGAAACCTTGTAAGAGTCTTTTTAGGTAAGAGTGTGAAATCAGGCCCCGGTGTTGAAAAGAAACATTTTTTGAGCCTTATTTTTGTTCAAATATATATGGGAACTTCTTTTTTAGTTTTTTAGGTGATATAACATTTTTTTCAATGTTTTTTTGTACACATGGTTAGCCCAGTAGATTGAATTAACATAATGACTTGCTCAAAAAAAGCATGGCCCAGAAGATTCAGAAAGCGTGTTTTTTTGAAAGTAGATCGTAAAAAAACGGAAACAATATCTAAAGAAGCTGGAGAAAAATTTTATTTTAAAAAGAAATTTAAAAAAACTTTCTAATGACAAAACGTCTTAATTCGGATAGAAAAGCTCGTGGTTGGGCTCGAAATCGGAAACAAACAAATGGTTTGGGAGAATGACCATCGCCGGCGCTCTTGACAACTTTGCAACGTCCTCAGAAACGGGCGCCGCAAATTCTGAAGGATAATTGCTTGAAATAAATTGTGGTCGCCAAAAGTTGCGGCCAAGACCGGTATTCGCAACTTCTTGCGACAAGCTTCTCTTTCTCGAACCATCTTCTATGAACTTACTTTGACTCTGCAGGCCATCGTTTTCTCCCTTCGGATTTTCATCTTCTCACAGCCGAAGCGTCAAATTCGGCATCCCAGCGAAGAAGATCTCGAGGTTGCCTTTTTTGCCAAGAAAGTGAGAAAATGAGAGAAACGTCGGCCTGTGACCAATACGTATAGTTGACCAACGTTTGCGCACACTCTTGACTTATATTTTGAGAACATCCCTTCAAAGTCGCGTTATTGCGACGTTTCTTCATTTTTTTCTCTTCCTGGTTAAATTTTTTTGATTCTTTTTTTGTTTTTTTAGGAGAAATTCCAAAAAAAGATACCCTCGATAGTTTGTCGTTTCCTTAAATAAGATTCAAAACTAATTTTTTTTAAAGTTCTTAATTTTTGATTATTCCTTTCTTTCATTTTTTTTTACTATTGCGCCAGCTTTTCTGAAAAGCAACATTTTTCAGAGCTATGCGGAATCTAATAATTTTTGAACAATACCGAGAGAGGTGAATAATGAAAAAAACAAAAACGAAAAAAATAATTTTTGTTCTTTACATTTACGTTATACGAATTTGTTCGCTGCACATTTCTTTATAATCGTTTTTTTCAAAAAGGTTCCAGTTTCTTTTCTTTTTCTGAACTTATAATTTATTTGAAAAATTATTCTTATTTCAAATAAAAGCAGTGAAAAAAATTGAAAAATTGAAAAATCCTTTTTAAAAATAATAGTTGCAACACTTCGAAAAAAATTAGAAAAGAACTTTTTTTGGAGTTTTTTTCCTAGCAACGTTTCTAATTGAAACTTGGAACTTTTTTTGCTTTTACCTTGATAAAAAAACATGATGTCTCCACCCAATCTCCGATTTCCATGAAGAATAGGAATATTTACATTTTTGATTTTTTTTAAAAATTTTTCTCTTCAAATATTATTTCCTATGAGAAAAATCGGAAAAAAAGTGTGGCACAGATATGAAAAAAACTCAAGAATTTCATTCGGCCCATCAAAGAGTTTCATGGCGAATTATCAAAAATTTCCTATCCGCAAAGTAAAATGACTTTCCTTGTGAGGTAGACGTTGCGCTTCGCGTCCAAAAACTCAATCTGAAGTTTAGCATTGTCAAAACCTGCGGTCATTTCAGCCTTCCGGTCAAACTCTAATGGTTTTCTAAATTTTCTTAAGCTTTTTTCCTACAAATGTTAGGATTTTTATTAAAGAAAGTTAACGAAATTTTGTCACGCCCTCAATGAACATTTTGAGGCGGCTTCCATAATGGAGCAGAGTTCCCGCGGGCCGCCGTCCGTGCTCGCGCTTCTTCAAACCGACGAGATGCCCAGCTCCTGCTCCGAGGACGAACCGTTCGTTTTTTATCGAATTTTTCCATTTTGTTTTTTCGTGATTCCAATCATTATATTGAATTAGCCGATAAAAAAATGAGCGTTTTTTTGATTGTTTCATTCACAAAAAAATGATTAAAATCGACTGATTTGAGAAGTATTTTCGATGTCTATCTATCAATTGTCATTGAAGTTCATGCGGAAATTGGATTTCTTTTTTTAAATTCGAGCTTTTTAAATCAAATAAAAAAATCGATGAAATCAACGTTCCTTTGAAACCGACCATTTTTCTCTACTTTTCAGATTCAATTCAAATTTTTCTTCCAATTTTTCAATGCGTATACCAAACTAAATAATAGTGCCATATATTCAGCTGAATCTTTTTTTCTAATTTTGGTTCATTGATTCCATTCGAGAATTTTATCCTGTCAGAATTTTTTTTCGTTTCCCAATCAGATTCACCAAGAGAATTGTTAAATTGCTAATTTTCTTTTAAAATGTTCTCGGAGTTTTTGATAATTTCAAGTAACTCGTTTTCATATGTTTACTGATTTCCTATCAAAAAACTGAAAAAAGGGAATAGAGTCATGAATTAACCTAGTTGAAAGTTCTATAATTTTTTTTTCATTAGCTCCTCATTTATTCTCAAGTTCTTGCTCTTGTCGGAATTTTTTTTTATTCAATCAGTTTTTCTCAGATCGACCTCAACGGCGGCGCCTCCGTTACCCTCATTACTGCAGTCGAATTTGCCGACCTACCTTCACACGATAAATGAAGTGAGATCTTACATTTTCCATTCAAAATTTCGATCTTACAAAAAACGTCGTGACTCGTACAATTTTTTCAGACTTTTGCAATTTTCTCACTCACTTGTTTGCTCTGAGAATCTCATCTGCGCCAATATGTTTGTTCTTCAAATTTATTTGAAAAATATACGTGTGGGAATTTTCGAATTGGAATTTATGATTTCTTTGAGGACTTCTCAACGGCGGATAAGATTTTTTTTTTGAAAAGTTCCTTTCAAGCTATTTACTCACTCTAATAAAGTTATAAACTTGAATATTGCACTTTTTTTGTCCAAAAAATTGTTAACTTTTGTTTTTTGTCCAATTAGGACGAAAGATTTGGGTGGCGTGAAAAAATCTTGCAATATTTTGGTTCGTTTAATTTACGAGTTGCAATATAATTGATGTTTTCTGTTATTAGTAACTTTGAAGTCACGGAAAACATTTTTTGAATCCATTTATTTTTCTAATAGGAGGCATAACACATTCTCACTGTTTTCATTTTATTCGAAGTCAATCAGTAGCCTATATTTGAATAATTCGCGGTGAAATTTTTTTGTTATTGTCAAATTTATGATTGTTTTGCAACACCAGACAGTTTGGAATAGAAGCGGATTAATCCATATTTGCAACCAATTTCTCGCGCGGATCTCGTTTAATTATACACAAATAGTCTAAAACGGGGCATTACGGCCGGGTAAACGGGGAACGGCGATGGATTACCGGCGAATGCGGCCCAACATCTCTAATGTGCGGACGGTGTCCGTGGTGACCGTTCATGACCCCGCTGTTTGGCCTCCAATGCCTGCATATGAGTGACTATGACTATGGCACTCCGTAGACCTTTCCGCCCTTTTTTTCATGTTCTACTTCTTGTTTTCATTTCTCAACCTTTCACTTCTCGAGTTTTTTGAAGGCTGTTGTATGCGTGAAACTAGTTTTTTTTTTTTCATTTTGAGTAGGTTTTTTCGCAACATTTCTGTCTGTCCTTGATGTAATTAAAAATGCGGTAGCTTCTCTTTTCAGTTTTCTCGAACATGAGCTGACAAATAGAAAAAATGAACCCCTATGGCTTCAATTTCTTTTTTTAGTGAATAGGTCTTTTGAATTGGAAGTTTGATGCTGAATTGTTACGGATGTTAGAGAAAAACGGTAATTGGACTGGAAAGTTCTCGAGTTTTTTCTGAGAATTTTTCATTTTTTAAAATTTTCAACATTCTTAATCAACAATAAAAATATCAGCTCCGCTCGTTTAAAAGCTAGCCTTAATATTTTCAACAAAACCTAACACTTTTCGAACGTGAAAAATCAACTTGTCACAGTTTTAGAAAGATCTTGCAACTTTCGTTACTTTGATCACTTCGAAAATAAAAAAGATTGAAACTGCTTATAGTTTCTTTTTTCAACCAATCAAACATTCAGGATAACTATGAAACCTGGATTTTTCAGGAAGAGTCGGACGACGTCAGGTCGGCCAGCAGTCTCGCCTCTCCACAGACCGTTGTTGATCGGAGGAATTCCGACCCATTTTCACAGCTTAGCCCCTTTCCCGACGACGATCACTACAGCAATTCTGAGGTGTGTTCATTTGCTAATTCGTTGTGATGGCGTTCCAAGTTGGTTGATGTTCTTTAATTTATTTGTTCTAGTTTCCAGTTCCGCTAATGTTCCAAAACCTTTTTTTTCATTTTTTTTTTTTCCAATAGGAAAACCAAGAAACTTTAATATAATGAAAGCCTTCAAGAAAAAAAAACAAAAAAAAAATCAAGTGGTTTCTTTTTTTTTATGTAACTACTGAGAAAAATTCATAACAAACATCTCAGTTTTACGAGCTCAGGAAATGATCCAATCGAAAAATGTTACTTGAACTTCATTTTTTCTTGGATTGGGAGAAGTATTTTAGACTTATCAATCACATTTTTGGCTTTGAAAAAAAAACTATATTTTTAGGTGGAAGACACAGAGGTGATCGTTGACGAAGTGCGGCTGTCGGTTTCGGAACCGGAAGTACGAGAAGGACCGCTGGACTTGCTGAAGGAACTCGCCAAGATCGGCAAGAGCTCTCAGGTGAGTTGATCTTCTCGCAAGAGATACTTTGCAAGTGATGCGGGTGTGGGATAACGAGGCAACCGAGCGAAGAGCGTCCGGTCGAGAGGAAAACACAAGAATAAGCACAGCGAGGTTAGGTGCAGAAGTGCGTAGAAGAGAATTGTCAAACAACCGGGGCCTGCCCTGTTTACACATATACACATACATACACAAGCTGTCTGTTCTTGTTCAATTTTTGCCACTGTCCTGCGGTCTCAGCTGAGGAGCCGTCGGCAATGTCCGCTGCGGACGCTGATATTTCGGGAGTCCCGACGACAGAGGAGGTTCAGATGCAGTCGCCTGAAACCAGTGGAGCAGAATCACAGCCGGAAGTTACCGTTACTACGGAAGAAGTCGTAGTCGTCGAGGAGGTCCCAGTGGACACTTCGAAACCTGAGCAACTGCTCCTTGTTCCTGAAATGGAAGCAACACCTTTGCTCGCCTTCCCGACTGTCTCAATGGAGCACGACGACGAAGAAATTAAAAAGGTTGGTTGATTCATACTCATTTTCAAATGGTCACTCAAAAAATTGGGATTCTTGAATGAGTTCAAAACGTAACTGAGAAGTGATACAAATCCTTAAAAGAGAAAATGAGGCTTAGAGCTTCAAAATACGCATAAATTTATATATATGAAAAAGTAGAACTATTTTTCAGTTTGGTATTGTACAAAAAAATTTTTCATAATATTTTTTTGTTTTTTTGGGAAAGTGAGATTAAAGACTTCAGAGCAGAAATCCTTGATCAGCTTCAAACCGGTTCACATATTTTTAACTAACTTTATTTCATAGAAAAACCGCGAAGGCTTAATATTTGCAGTAACACAAAGGTCAGCATTTTTCTCATTCTGTTTGAGAGCATGTAAATACTTTATTTGTTATTTTCAAATTTCAAATTCAAAAATGGCTTCTTGATTTCAACCAGAAAAAAATCAAGTTTTGAAAGCTTTACGTGCATTTGTTTACCTTAGGGCCAGATGGCTTTCAAGCTGTGAATTTATGCAAATTTTTCCGTATCGATTTATTCACACGGTTTACTGCTAATATTTGCGCGAGCGACGGCGCCGTGGGGAGGACAATTTACCAAAAACTCGACAGGAACGACGAGTTACGTGGCACATGAGTCAGCCCAGTACAGTCGCGTCCGGGTCTCATCGAAAAACTTTTCCCTTTTCTGACTGAACCATGTTCAAAAATCAATTTGAGCACCAAGACGCCGATCGAGACCAGGAGGAAGAGCTCGTCTTCAACGACGAACGCCGCAAAACTGTCACAATGTGAGTCCAATTACTTATCGGTACTTTCCTTCTTTCCTTGCTTTTCATATCATAGCTTTGTGCTTATTTTATGAGTTTTTTATTTAATTTTCATCTTGTTGAGATTTGAATTTTCACCATGTTTCATCTCCTTGCTTTCATTTTGCTTCCGGATTTGATTATTTTTTTACTAACTTTGATTCTGAAAAAGGCCTATAAATGAGCTCAAGGTTTTGTTCTCTTCGGAAAGTTGACGACTTAGTTGAATAGAGTCTAAATAAAATAGAGTTTTAGAACAGTTTCTTCACTCCGAAGATAAACTTATGACCAGATGGGTTTTGTTTGAGCTTTTTATTGTGTTTCGCTCATTTTTTTCTCTAAAAAAAGAAAGTATACTTTCCAAAAAAACTTATAACTCTGCTCACTCCTTTTTGGGCTCTTTGCTTCCAACAATGTTTTATCTGATCTTGGTGGAAATTGCACATAAAAAAATGCATTACTAAAGTTTAGTTCAAAAGAACAAACTTCAAACAAAGATACTTTCTTAGCTGAAGTTTTTCCTATCCTTTCATACTGGATCATTAGATGAAACCCCAAAAGCATATATCCATCCAAGACAGACCCAAACAAAGAATCCATAATATTCTGCGGTGGCTTCCGGCGAATTCGGATCCAATAAGGGATGACTGACCCTCAGCGGGAGTCAGGAATGCGGCACCCTGTGATTATCGCCTTGATCTTATGCAAAAATACGGGTTTCCTGGCACCTAACATGACTCCTCAAGACAAACATTTCGGCGTTTCATGCTTCAGATTCTCAGTTTCCTAGTGTTGACAAATTTGACGTTCATCTTTTTCAGCAAATCGTACGATGCCTTTGAGTTATAGGAGCCTTTTGGAAATATGCGAGTCAATAAGTTTATGGAGATGATTTTTTTAAAAATTTTTCATTCTGCATTTGTTTCAAAGTTATCCCGATTATTGTAGGAATTCGAATTTTTTCAGTGAACCTTTCGTAAAAATTGAAATTAAAAAAAACCGCGACTTTTTTTTCCAATTTTCTTTCGAACTCTCAAAGTTCACTGACGAGTCAACCTTGATACACCGATTCATTTCTCAAGTTTTCCTTTCTCCTAAAGAGAAACTCCAAATTTGTGAGATATCTCAGTTTTTATCGTCTCACGGCATCTTTTTCCGCTACATTTAGTCTATCGGCATCTCTTTTTAGTGCGTCTTTCGTTTCGTTTTTCATTACACTCGTCGTCTTTACTGTTTCAATTTCGTTGTTTTCCGTAAAGTCGATGACGTTCGTGTAGGAGTGTTAGTGTTAGTCAGTTCGTAACCGAAATAGGAGCGTCCAGAAAAATATATAGCAGGAAAAGTTTGCCCCTTACGAGTTTATACTAGTACTTTTTCAACTTTTTTGCTTCTTCTCAAAATACACTCATCATTTTTCACTGTCAAACTAAGTTTTTTTCTCAGAAAAAACTTCGAGTTCTCTGATTTCGAATTTCCTCTCTGAAAAACTTTTGGAAGCAAGCTTTATTGCAATACTTTAATTTTTTTTTAGTTTTATCGGAACGCTCAGCCCTGAAAAAGTTGAGTATAGACTTTTTTTCTTCGTGGAATTCTTAGTCCTTAACATGATTAGGCCATCTGAATTTTTTGTGCTTTATTGTTTGGCAAAGTTGAGACATGTGAAAGAATTTCTCAGAGTTGGTCTTGATTCCTAGGATTTTTTTTTCTAGGACTTTTTTTTGGCATCTTTATTATAACTTTACTGAAAAAGTTTTGCGGTAACCCCCCTGTTATCAGAAGAATCACAAATTGAGATGTGAAACAATGTACAAAAGCGGACTCATTTTTCGGTGTATTTATCCAAGTGTTTGCTCGCTCGGCTTGTCGCCCGCTCGCGTGTCTGATAACAGTGTGGGCACCTCGATTCAACTCCTTCTACGGCCTGAAATCGTCTCGCGCATTTCTCTGTGTGTACAAATACACATCAATGATTTGTGCCTGTATACGATCGCCTTTGCCAACGTTTTTATGACCAAGGTCCTCTGAAAAAAAAAAACGGGAAAAATGATCGAATCTCTCGTTTTATACTTACCGTCAACGGCTTTTTTTTTCTCTCGTTGCAGGAAGTGTTGCGATTTTATGTCTTTGTTTTCCGATAAGTTTTTTTTGATTTTGTTCTCTGTAATTTTTCTGATGTTGAATAAAATTCGTACAGGCTTTTTCGATTTTTTTTTCATTAGACGTCAGCAAGAAAATACTTGCTCGAACTAATTAAAAAAGGATCTCGAAGTAAAGAGAGAGGTTTTGAGAATTTACTATTAGCATAGGAGTATGTTTTCCTAACCGAATAACGTTTTTAAGTATTTTTTTGAACAGCTAGTTTTACCAGATTTCATCAGGAATTCTCTGTACTTCATCTCCTACCTCTCACTTTTCAAAAACTTTATTTTATCGAAATTCTCTTTTTTTCATATATTCTTCCAAAACTCTTTTTACTGGACTTGTGTCCAATTGACTTGAAAATGTCCAACGTAATTGTGTACCTCTCCCGTGTTTCGAAAATTTATTGTTGGCTGCTAATTTTAGCTATTTGAAGGGAGGACAACGCCTCGTTGCATTCGGCGTCGATCACACTTGACACGACGCGAGAAGAACTGCAGTTCAACGAGTCGGTCGCCTCGAATCCCATAGACGAAACCGTTCTCATGCACAGCTTCCGAAGGTTTTTATAATATTTGAGATGTTTTAGAAACTAGGACAGCTTTTTTCCCGAAAATTTTAAATTATCAGAGTAGGGTTTTGCAGTCCTCACGCTCAATTATCTTGAAAGTTTATGAAAAAAACGCTTTTTCTTGCTCATTTAGCATTGATCAGAAGTCTTCATTCTTCAAAGTCTTTAACTTTTTTATAACTCTTTGGTCTTACCAACTGAAGGATTTGCAAGCTTTACTCAACCAAAGAATGATAAATTTTTTTGACATTGAAGTTTTGTAAAGCAGCGAGTTTCTCATGTTCCGCTTCTCAGCTTTTCAGATGCAAAATGGAATTTTCTTCTTCCGAAAACACATTTTTTTTTTCAATAGCTTCACGAAGAATAGAAATTTTTAAAGTTTTAACGATCATTCCCCTGAGTGTTGAGTGAAGCTTTTTTTTTCAAATTCGAGAGGTCAATAAGTTTGTCTGCAATATATTTTTGAGAAAAAAATTCTGAGAATTTATAATTTAAGATTTAAAATTAGTGAGTTCCATGGTTTGAGCCAGGGATTTCAAAATACATTAAATCGTCAAATTCAGCTGTCGTCTTTCTTATGATGAGCTGTCTGCTTTCTAAACAAATGACTCAAATGTTTGACATACCTTTGCGGGCGTTGCTCTTAAACGTGGAAGAAATTTATACTATTTTGATTCCGTCCAACTTTTTCTCTTTTTTTTTGAGTTTTCCGAAATTCCTCTACTCTTTTTGAAATGGTAGTCGTAGTCCGAATTTCGAACATGCCCTATAAAATCTGAGAGCCGAACAAGGGCAAGAAAGAGATGTAAACGGATCGATTCAGCACCAAGGACGAAAAAGACACGGAACGGCCTCGATCACCTCTAGATCTTCCACCTCCGCCGACCTCACTTGCCCCTCAGCCGACAGTCGAATCGGCCATCTCAGCCAGTCGCATCTACCAGACGCCGACCGTCTGGAAGTCGGCCGAATCCCCACGGCTGCCAACGACTCTCATTGGAGCACAACCTCCGCCGAGCATCCTGAGCAGCAGGAGTCCGGCTCCAACCTACTCTTATCACTCCGGTTAGTTCTTTATTAATTTCAATTCTGCTACGGATTTAGTTTTTTGTATTTTTTTTTCAAGGCGCTTTTCAGTAATACTGTGAAAAAGAATGTTGTCACGTGACTGAGTTAAACTTGTGTGCTTCCAAAGTTACGTTCTGTTTCTGCACTGCTGATGTTTTAGTCCAGAAGAACTTGATTTTTTTCTTCTTGAAGTACATGCTTCAGTGAAAATGTAACCTTTCGTGAAATAGTTACCGTTTTGTGACCCTTCTCAACTTTGATAATTATCTTTATCATTTTTTTGGCCATGATCTCACTCTTCGTTTCTGGAAGATTTTAAACCGAAAGTATATTGAGTTTCAAAAAATCATATTGTAGAAAAATTTGAAGTCGTTGACCATTTGGAGTGTTATAAGCAAACAAAAACTTTCGAAATGGTTACTTTGTTTATTTTCTCGAATAATCTCAAAAGTTTGAGTTTTCAACATTTTTTCCCATTTTCCCTCGGCTCAAGATGAGACAATACATGCCTTCGACTGCGTCAGAAGCTATTCAAGGATTCTCAGAAAAAAAACTGACGCCGTCCGAATTAGGTCATTCAACTTTTTTTCATGCACTTCAGACAGTCGGGACCATTTTTTATTCGGGACATCCTGTCAAAAGTTCACTGAGATTATAATATTATAAGACGCATCTGCAATTTTCGAAAATTCTTGAACTAGCCTGAAATATAGTCGAAAAATTCTAAGAATCGCAAATCCTTAAGTAAAAATCAAGCATGACCAAAACAGAAATCAATAAGATCTGATTTCCAAACAATTTTCCACTGTTTGTGAAGTCGGCGAGAAGGCCTGAAGATTCTGTCAACGAGCCGTGGCTCACATTCGCTGCGTACACATACGCAGAAGCTCCCACAAACAATGAGTAGTGTCGAGTTGCCGTTCCGCGACCGACCGCTTCTGGCTTCCGCTTCCTCTTTTTCTTCTTCAGGAAGTAACTTTGATTGGAATTATGAAAAATTCAAGATGTGTTCCTTTTGTTTTAACTGTGCAGAGCAGTTAGAACGTATTTCCGTCCTGGGATTTTTTTCACTTGGTCCTTAATTTTCAAAAAGTCACAACTTTTTTATGCCTCATCACGTCTTAATTTTTTTAAATCGAAATTCATTTATTACCTTAGTGTTTCCAAAGTATATTCGGCTTTAATCGGGAAAGGCAGAGAGATCTACGAACATTTCTAAACACAATAACGTTCCAAATGAAGCTTCAAACTGAAACTTTATGTTCGGTGCTCTCAAAAATTGTTTTAGGAAAAGCTTTTGATTCATGAAAAAAATCCTTGTTCACTTTTATGATACCAAAAAAAGTCGAACCAATTTTAATTTTTTTGAAAAACAAAAAGCTTTCAAAAAAATGCAGATTTTTGTTACAACACGAGTTTTGAAGAATACACTTTTAATTTCTCCGATTATTTTCTTGAGCCTCAGCATGTTTGTTTGTGGGAACGAGTTTACGTCCACGTACGGTCGTGCCGCATCACCAACTTTCCCTTTTCTCATTATTTCGCTCGCGCCTCGCCGACGAAAAAAGGCTATTTTGAGAAGAAAATCGTGCATCACCGACAAAGCACATACATTCCTCAGACTCATCCGAAAAGAACGTTTAATCAGCAAAGAATACAGAAAGACGTGTGTTTTGCAGGAGTGACCGGAATGAGTGTGCCGCCGACGGAAGCGCCGCCTCTGCCGCCACCGTCGCCGCCGCCGCCACCGCCTGCCTACCTGCCGACGTCTTCTTTTCCCAAGGTTCGTCTCCATCATCATTTCCTGTGCTTTGTCATCGTCAATATGGCGCTTTTCCGTTCTCTCTCTCTCTTCCTTTTTTAGCTTTTCCTTTCCTCAGAGAAATTGTTTTTGGTTTCCCAAAACGCGGTCTTTCGTTTCAAGGACCCCTAATTCACATGAAATTTTCATTCAATTTTATTCTTTATCTTTTCAAGCTAATTTCACTATGTGAAATTTTTTTTCAAAAGGTGAGGTGCCTGACACATATCTCTAGGCTTTCGATTGAAAAAAATGCTTTTCCGTATTAGAAAAAATTCTAAAATTCTCAATTATCATAGTTTCCTTGTTTTCGACAAAGGGTTTCTGTAGATCCCGTTACCCGCCCAAATTCAGTTCTCGGACTTTTGAGATGGATTCTCCATAAGTTGTTCCGATTATGATTTTCAAATTCCAACTTCAGTATTTTATTGAGATTAGTTATTTTACAAAAGACTTGACCCCTGGATTTCACTCGAAGCATTCATTTCAGGTTCTTCTTTGAAGAACGCAATATTCTGGAACTTCTTATCTCCATCTCACATCAATCAGAAAAGTTATCGAATATTTTTTTATATCAAGTAACTGAAATTCCACCTTTTTGCACGAATGACCTCTGGTTGACTGTGATGTGAATCGCATCTTTTCGTGAGACGTTCAACTTTCTCTTCCTTCCAAAACTTCTTTGATGGAGCAGCCATTGTCCGATTCGATCTTTTTGTTCTGTTTCTGATGCCATATTCCTCCAGAAAAAGCAAAGAGAAATGCATATCGTAAATCTCCCAGGAGGCATATTTCCATAATTCCTGTTCTCAAATGTCGCGGCGCCTCACCTGCAAAAGCTATAGCTCTGCCTCTGGTCGGCGACGCGGCAAACAGCGGGGATCCCTCTGCACTCCATTCTTTGTGTCGCTTCGGGCAGTCGGCTGGCGGTCAGGTGCGTGGTGGAGGTCCTTTCGTGTTTGATCCGTCGGCTTGATCGATTCGCGAGCCGCGCACCGTCCGTCAGGACACAATAGTCTCCTTGTTTGCACGACGGATATGTAATTAGGGCCAGCAATCGGGTTGCAGTTGCAGATTAATATGGATTTCGTACTGTTCTGTTGATAACTTCGGTTTTAGTGTCCTTTTTGAACTTTTTTTGATCATTTTGAACTTCCCGCATCTTTTCAAATCGCAATCGATTCTTCCTTTGTTATAACAATTAGTGAACTCCAAGCCATGGTGTAGAGAAAATTATCATTATTTTTTTCATCTGACGATCTGATAGCAGATTTCCCTCGAATGCGGGAAAGTCAGGGCTTTATTTCTTGACGCTTGGATTTTTCTCAGATTAGGAGCAAAGTTCTCTGAAATCCAGTTAGGTAGAAGCCCACTCTGCCTGTAGAGGCCTGAAGGTTTCCTGGTTTTCCTGCACTATTTCGAGAATGTTTCGAAAATTTTAGCTGGCCAGTTTAAAATTTTGATCTTACTTGAATGGAAGAAACAGCAAAAAGACAATGCTAGATTATCCAAAAGTAAGAAACCCGTAATTCCATTTTTTTTTCAAAACTTGCAATCTCATTCGATTTTTTCTATTCATGAAGATCATTGTGCAGGACACAGAATAAAAGAACCAAGAATTTGATATGAAAAAAATAATTTTTTTAACGTCAAAAATGAGTCAACAGATGCCACTTTTTTCTATTTTACTTTAGTAGCTCTAAACATGAACTTCATCCCACAGATTGTCGAACTTTATACTGGGCAAATAATGCAGGTTGACAGTTCTGAAAATCAGTCGAACACAAACAGAAAGTGAGAAGAAGCCGAAAAGCTGGCCATCAATAGGAAAAGTCTTGGAAAACGGCAAACGACCAACAGAAATGGGCATAACAATGCGAGTCTGAGGCGAACCTGGCTGTTGTCGGTTGCACAGGCTGTTTGCCTTCACCACAACACGCTCTCACAAAACGTAGCGCCGTCCAGCCGGTGGTCCATAATTGCCGGTGACCGCTGGCCCTCCGTTTATTGCAACCGATAAGCGACACCGAAGACGTTCTGCCAAGGCCACTCCGACTTGTCCGGCGGGTTTTGTTTGCGTCGCCGTCTTCGCTCACCTGGATTATTTTATTTTTTCCTTCTCAGGAGAATGCCTTGCTTGCCTCTCCGCTCTTCGTCCTAATCCTTTTTCGAGTCTTATAATAAATGGCCTCAAGCCTCATTCGCTTTTGTTTTCCAGGTTTCCCAACTTTACCTTTTCAAGCTTCCAATTTTTATTTTCCACTCGTCGTATGTTTGGGTTTTTTTCTAGTTCGTTAAAAATAGCTTCAGTCAAAAATAAACTCAAAATGAAAAATATCACTGATAATCTACCTAAAGACTACAGATACTACTAAGAATGATACTTCATTTTTCCGCTGTTCTTTTCTAGTTTTGGGCAGAAGCTTATTGAGTTTCGTTTCAAGAGATTTTTCTTTAATTCGGAAAACTGACCGGTCAATCAAGATCGGTTTTCGTTCATTAATTTCAAAACAAGATTTTTTTCTTTTTTTCTACTCGACTACTGGCAAACATCTTTCATCTTTAAGGTTTCAACAGTTAGAGTTTATAAAATTTCTCTCTATTTTGCATTCCACTTTTCCTGGTGTTGACCTCTTTCCAACAAGTGCCATCTCAACAGAAAAAAAGCCCTTTTCTTCAAATTGACATTTGTTCTCTTTTTTCGGGACTGTCTTTCGGCCAATCGTCTTTTGCCATGTTATTTGCTGTGTTTTGGTGGAACTGGACCAGCCGCCGGCTTTCGCGCTGTCGAAAATTGGCATAGTAACGGTCGAATAATTTTTGTTCTGTATTGTTGCGGCTAATCGCCTCTTGTCCGCAAGATTATTACGTGTTTGTCTTTCGGTTTTTTCTGGTCATTTCTAAGAAAAAATTTTCTAGATTTTACAAGCCAAAAAAAGTCAAGGCGTTTTTTCCAGCCTCAGCTTGAAACTATACAAATAATTTATTTTGATAATATACTCTAACATTTCTCGTTGTTGAAGTCATTTGTCAAACTTTGTTCGCATTTTTGTTATTATATTTGGATTTTCCTACAGCTTTTCTTATATAAGTCCATCAAATAATTTGGATGAAGAAGAAAGCTCTGATTTTCTCACATGTACTTGTGAATAAATTCACTCATTTTCTTAATTTTGTTCACCTCCGGCAGCACCATACTTTTTCTTTTCAGATTAGTTATAGTTAACCAAAATTTGATTTTTGTCATTTTTAAGTCGCTTTTTCTTTTTAACTTCATCAAACAGGATTAAATCGAATTATTTCTGCATCAACCAAGAAGTGAATTTTTTTGTATTTATTAAAGTCGTTTTCAGTCGGACCACTCTTCTCGAGAAGACCTGCTCTCGGAGCACGCGACGTCGCGCTCGACGGTTCGTGAGATTCCCGTCCAGAGGGCTCCGTCCACGGCGCCATCGCATTCCAGCGTCTTCGACTACAGAATGCCGTCGTCATATCATCACACTTCCGATGCTCCCCCTTCAGTAAGCCTTTTTTCATTGAATCCATTTTTTTATTATTCATTTTAAGAGAACAAATTCTTTAGGTGTTTTTTTATTTCACACAGAACGAGTAACTTTAAACTTGCTTTTTATGAATTTTTTTATTACTTCTCATGTTTCTGTAGTGAATCAATACCAGAAAAAAACATTTTTTTCAAAAAGTATGAAAGAGGATTTTTTTCGATCGAAATTTCTTATTCGTAAAAAAAGACCAATGAATTGTTCCTATGAATCTTTTTTTCTCAACATTAGAAAAAAATTCTAACTGATGTTCAATTTTCGGATATTTTTTTCACAGCACAAAACATGAAAGCTCCGGGAAAAACTTGGAAAAAAATGAGAAAAAAATTTTTGCATTTTAATTTTGCAAAAGTACACAGTTCTGAAAAATACAAAAAGCTTTTTTTTCTTTATGTGTTGCTTCGAATAACTTGGGAGCGCTGTAATCAACCAATTTGCGAAGTTTGCTTATTTTTCTTGAAAGGTTTGTTTCAAGCTTTACAAAAAAAAAATGGACTACAGCTATTTTTCTCTTACTGAGAAAAATTTCACAGTACTTTTAACGGAAGCTGGCTCCGATTATTTCGTATACTCTTCGTTGAAATTTTTTTTTTAAAGAATTTAAATTAATTTGAGCTTTCAGTTGAAAATATAGACGTAAAGAATCAAATCAAATTTTTTCAAAGCTACTCATTGGCTTTGCAAGACATATAACTGACAGAACATCTAATGTGAATTATTTTATCACACCTGATTTGTTGCAATGTTTTTCTAAGAACTTCAATCTTTTCAAAGAAAATTCCTTTTCCAATCAGAGTTTTTAGATTCTCAATTTCAGCGACCCGCTTTGCTGGCGAGTGAACTATCGAAAAATTCGATCATAGTTTGTTGATTTGTTTTTCGCTGCGACCTAAAACCGGTATATTCACCTTTCCAGTAAATGAAACTTCTTAACCATTCAAAAACCACCGCCCTTCACGGCTGCTGTTTTTTCAACGCCCCTTACGTTCAAAACAAATATTTGCTACAGCCTAGGTACCTTGTAGTGGTGGCTTAGTTACGTCAGTTGAAGATGGCAGTATTCATTCGAATAATAAATCAACAGTTTTTCTTCATTTATATACGTTTTTATCAAAATTTTCTTCGTTTTCTTCGGGCGACTGGACGCATGACAAACAACTTGACAAAAAAACCTGGCTGTCTAAACATTCTCACAGTTTTCTCGCTTCTTTTTTCTCATCGTACAGTCACACATTTTCTATTGAAGCCTTTTCAAAAAGAAATAAATTGTTCCGAAAATCAGTTCAGAGTTTGCTCTCAGGAAAAATCAAGGAAGCCTTGGATCGTTCTCATTTCTCGCGATCATTAATTATAGCTAAATTTAGGAATAAAGTGAAAACTTTCGGAGTTCAGAAGAAAATCTCCGAGAAACAAAATTCCTTTCTATGAAATGAGTTTATTGTTTTGCCAACTCACTTCACAAACCGAGAAAAAAAGAAAATAAAAACGCGAGATGGCCTTGTTCTCTTTTTCCACGATTAATTGGACTTTTCTCCTTTTCTTTTTTATATTAAAAAAAGACCAGTTTCTTGCTCTTTTCATTATCTGTTTTCTATTGAAACTTTACTTGAAAAGGAACGAGTTCGTGCTGCCGTTTGTTTTCCTTGGAACTTTTTCTCCAAAATTGTAAATGCAACGACCTTCTGGAGGCTTTCCCATTCCAGAATTTGTGTTTGTACGCACCGCAGTTCAGTGTTCGCATGCACCAATGTTTGCGTTGTGTTGCAGTACAAACACGTCGCTTCTGAGGGAGGGACTATTTTTGCTCCGCGACACCGAGCCTTCGGCTCCTGGAGCTCAGCTTGGCCTGGGAAACTCGCCACTAAAAGTTGCTTCTTTCAGGACGAATACTACCGTCGTGAGGTCATGACGCGGACTATCATCACAAGGAGCACCGAAGCGCTTTCGCAGGTTTGTTTTTTAACGCTTTCTGTTCTGTTTTTGTCTGCTGATTTCTACATAGATGTTTGGATTTTGTCTAATTTTAGAATACTAAACTCATTTCTTAACTCTTGAATATTTTCCAACTTCAACTTTGTCTTCATCGCTTTCAAGGCAAAAAAAAATTAAAATAAAGACGCTTTTTTGTTCTAATATTCAACCAATTTTTAATGTTCTTTCAGAAATTAGGAGTTCTCAGCATCAAAAAAAAATTCTAATAATTTCAATATTTTCCTTTTCAGCCCCCTTTGGGAAGATCGTCGCCGATTGACAGATATCTGCAGTATGGTAATGATGGAAGAACAAGAGAAGAGAGAACAGTTGACTACAAAGTCACTTACCATCGTGACATCGAAGAAGAAGAGCGGAGAGTCCGAGAAGATCAAGAACGACGACGTCAAGACGAAGAAGATCGACGAAGACGCGAAGAAGAGAATCGCTTGCAATGGGAGCAAAAAGAAAGAGAAGCACTGGCTCGACTTCGTGAGCAGCAGCTCCAGCATGAGCGACAACTCGAAATTTCCATCTTAGAAAGGGAACGAAACGAAAAAGAGCGCATTGATAGGGATCGTAATGAAAGAAAACGACTGGAAATGCAACGACGTGCTGAGTGGGAACGTCTGGAAAACGAGCGGATTGCTCTAGAAGAAGCTGATCTCGCCCGCAAAAGACTTGTGGAAAAAGAACGGCTTGAGCGCGAAAAAGTTGAAGAGGAACGCCGTACGAGAGAAAGACTGGAGAAAGAACGTGAACGCCTTGAAAGAGAGCGTCTGGAGAACGAACGACGAGAGCGAGAACGACAAGAAAGAGAAAGAATCGAACGTGAAAGAATCGAACGTGAGAGGATAGAAATTGAAAGAATCGAAAGGATCAAGAGAGAAAGAATTGAAAGAGAGCGTAAAGAACGAGAAAAAGAAAAAGAGGAAGAGGACCGTCTTCGGAAGTTAGTTAATTTTTTTTTTGTTGGTTTGACTGCTGTCATTACAGGGAACGTGAGGAACTTGAAAGACTGGAAAGAGAAAGGCGTGAGCTTGAAATCCGTGAGCGCGAAGCCCTGGAGCTGCAGCGGCGTGAGGTAGACTTTCACTTTTTTCTCTCTCTCTCTGAAAAGAAAATTTTAGGCTGAAGAGCATGAAAGGCAGCGTTTGGAAGATGAGGCCCGTGAAATGCGTCGCCGTGAAGAAGAACGTCGTGAAGCTGAACTAGTTGCCAAAGTTCAGCAGCAGGCTGAAGAACGGGAGATGCTGCGCAAACGCAAGGAAAGAGAAGAACAAGAGCGTTTGGACCGCATCCGTCGTGAGCAGCAACGGATCGACATGGAGCGTGTCGATGCTGAGCGACGTGAGAGAGAAAGGTTCGTTTGAATGATTTTTAAAACCCTGCTTTTTTTTAGGAAAATTATCCCTTTTTTGTCATTATTCTGTTTTAGAGCCGAAGAAGAGCGACGAGAGCGTGAGCTCTTTGAAGCATCTCATCGAAGCAAAGAAATGCGAGAAAGAGAGCGACTGGAAGACCTGGAACGAGAACGTCTGCGTCAAGAAGAAGAACGACGGGAAAGAGACCGACGTGAACAAGAAAGACGGGCTGCTGCTGAGAGAGAACGACAACGACGCCTGGAAGAAGAAAAAGAACAAGCCCGTTTGATGGAACTGGAACGAGCAGCGGCTATCCGCCGAGCTCAAAGAGACGCTGAACTTGAACGTGAGAGAGAGCGCGATGAGCTGGACCGTAAAGCTAGGCAAATCGCTGAAATGGAGCGACTAGAAAACGAAAGACGCGAACGAGAAAGACTAGAAGAAGAAGCTGCACTAGCTAAGCTCAGAGACCAGGAGCGCCGTAACCGAGAAATCCGCGACAGAGAACGTCGTGAGGCAGCTGAACGTGAAGAAGCGCGCAGAAAGGTTCCCAACTGCATTCTTTTCAGAAGTTTCAATTTCATTTTACAGGAAGACCGGAGGTCTCGAGACAAGCTGGATTACTTGGCTCGTGAAAGGACAGAGAAAGAGATTTTCGAGGCTGAGAAACGACGTCTTCTTTCGGAGAAGGAGGCGATGAACAAGAAGAAGCATCATCTTCTTAGTAGCGAAACTCTTCAGAAGCTGACTCAGCCTGCTTATTATTCCAGAGAACCTGCTGAGTACACAACCAAAGTCGAACGACAGGTTTTTATTTCAAGTTGTTTAAAAGTAGATAGTTTTCCCCTTTTAGGTTATCGAGAGAATTGATCGAAACCTTTGGGTTGAAGATGCTCCACTGTACCCTACATCTCAAAACGCGATTTCATACTCTCTCGACTCGACAAACGACGAAAATGCTCGTGACCGAATTTTCAACCAAAACGATCTCAACAGGAACGGATCTAGCAGGTATTTTTTGGAATCACTCATTATTGATTAGGTCCGAAATTTTCGTTGTCGTGACCTAACTGACAAGCTTGATAAAAATGAACACGAAAGCGAAAATGTCTACAGACTATCGGTGTCTTTATATCAGGACTTGAATGATTTCAGAAGCCGTTACCACCGCGCGAAGATGGACAAAGCTCGCCGAGACTTCTATTCCAGCACTCAGGATTCCACCGGTATGCCATGAGCCTCAGCAGCAAATTAGTAGCTTTGAATCGTCGAGTTTTATCAAAAATAGAAAATCTCTTACGAATCTCTTCGAATATCCACCTCAAAAGAAGCCCCGTACAAATACAACTAGCGAAAGCGTTGAGAAAATTATCCCTTGATAATTTCAACGCCCTTTCGTTTGTCTTTATTGTCATACTCTTTACCTTTATCTGATGAAAGCTTAAACCCTTTCGAGTCGCAAAAAAAGTTCAGCATGCTTGTTTTCTTTTTGTTGAGCTATTTTTTTTACATTCTTTCCATGTGCCCATTTGCCGTGGCTTATCGTTCGGCCGTGTCCTACATACCCGTTGTGAAGATTGTCTCGATGTTACTGTTTTTCGCATGTTTCTATGTACAATATCTTTAGAAGGTCCAACCACCGCACCAGATTTTTTTACAAATTGGAAAGGAAAGGCAAATAACACTGCACAATAAGTTTACTTAGTTTAATTAGGTGTCATAGAAAAAAATCATGAAATGTTTCAGTAAAGTTTTTTTTCCTTCTGTAAGCATGGGAAAAGTTTAGGTGGATGGAAAAGTTCAAATCAGCCATGATAGGCTGTTTCTTTAAATTGTGACCGTCTTCATTCATTCACAGAAATTCATATGTACATAAATGTTTTCTCAACGATTCAAAAACCTTGGAACCAGCTCAAAAATCACAAGGTTGCATGATTTGTGCATGAAAGCATCCTCACAAGCACCATATGGAAAAAGTCATTCGTTTACATAATCGTGCCAACAAGTGTCTTAAGCTTCTAATTGCTGCTTTCTCTTTTTTCACTTCAAACTTTCAAAAATTTCGAAGATTTCACTTATCTGCATCTTCTGTGTGTTTGTGTGGCCCTCTTCTATCTTTCTTTTCATTTTTTTTTCTGCTCCTACCGACAATGCATTTATGTATTCATATATGTACTGATTTTTTTCCGGATAAATTTTTTTATCAGCTCTTTTTCTTCTCTTGGCGCTTTTTTTCTGGGCAAGACACAACATTTGGAAATAGATTTTTAATTTGATTGTTGAAAAAAAGATTGTGAAGGAATGACTTTGGACATGGCACGTGCGCACCTTTGTTGGTTAATTGGAACGTCGTTCACTTTTTAATATTTGGAAGAATATTAATGACTGTTTTTTTGAAAAAAAGAGTCGAGTAACTGGTGCACGTAAAAGAAGTCGGTGCGGTGCCTTTGTGTATAAAGAACAAGTTTTCAAATCAATGTATGGTTAAACCTTCCTGATTTGAAAGGCGAAAGAGGTTGATTGGCAAAGGCGAAGCGTTGCGTACGCTATGCGGCTTTTTGGCCGAAACTAAAAAGACGAAGCCAGCCTTTTTCGATATTTTTTTCATTTTAATTTTTTTCAATTTCTTTATGGTTTGGAAAAATAGTTTTAAAGGAATATAAGTCAAAAAAACTTTTAAATTATTTTTTTGCACTTTTTTTCTGTGATTGCGTTTAATCTCGAGTTTCTCGGCAAGAGTCAACGTTTCGCCCTTGCCAATTTACCCATGACGCGTTTTTGAATCGGGCAAAATTAACTATACTTAAGGATTGGTTTTTTTTAGGATTTGAAAAATTATGCCAGAAGATTTTTTTGAACAGCAATCTTGGGATATTTTTGTGAATGATGACGAAGGTTTTTCATTTTGGAAATTTTAGATTATTGGAAAAAGGGAGAAACAGGAAAAAGTCAAACATCCAGTAGTTTCGAATGATGGTCAACCGGTTTGAAAACGTTCAGACGCTGTTGGGGACCGATTTCGAAAATCGAACGATGACATTTCGGTGAGAGCTCGACCTGATTACCGTGGCCCTCTTCTCCAGAAGTTCCACGAGTCTGGCTTCAAGTCAGCCGCAGATTCCGATGGCCTTGCCTACCGACGCGTTGGACCCAGTCCCTATTCCCAGGTTTGATAATTAGGCTCATCCTTTTGCTTAAAATTCCCGCAGTGGTACAAAAAAGCTTGTAAACTGGCAAAAAATGGAGCTTTCGTTCGACTAATCTGAGACTTTCACACCTGGAAAAAGAAAAATTCACTGGAAAATCTGAAGCTCCATTCAATGTCATCGAAGTGTTGTGATGTTTTTGTTGGTTGGTGACCAGAACCCTTTTTGTTGTCTCTGTGTATCCCCAAAAGTTTCTGGCGCTAGTTGTCTCAAACTTGGGGGCGGCTGAACCAAACCTTGCTTTGACCATCGCCATTGCTAGGAGTTCGAGCGACTTCTCGAAGAGACGGAAAGAAAGTACGCCGCCTATCGCAATCGCATGAGCCAGCCATCGCTGTACGGCACGAGTAGACACTGGAGCACCAACTATTTAGACAATGCCGACAGTCGCAAGGTAAATCGCTTCTTAGCATGCTTTTTCCCTTCTATGTTCTCGCTCTGTGTTGGAGATTTGAAGTTTTTAGTGAAACGGTTATTTCAGGTTATCACAACAGAGATTCATAACCGCGCTGGTTCCGTCGTGGCCTATGAAAGAGACAGTCGCAGAGATTCGCCAGCTGACAATGCTCACATCCGAAGCCGCAGTGCTGACTACCTCATGGATCGCAAGTAAGAAATAAAAAGACCGGATGAAATGAGAAAATAAGTCAAAATGCTTATCAATTTACAATTATTGAAAAATTCGTCTCACTTCACAGTACAGAAGATTTTTTTCTCTAAGAATTGAAACAAGTGTTTAAATAGTATATAACGGATCTCACTATTCTGACGTTAGGCTGTTTTGGGATATAATTATTTTTGGATCAGAACCCAAATTCAAAATTGGCTCAAAGAATTGATAATCTTATTTTGGTGATTTGAATCCCGTTATTTCTTCAAAGAAAAACCTCTTATTGCAATTTTAATTTTTTCCTCTCAAAGAATAAACGAAAAAAGTTCAAAACTACGGAGTTTAAGTTCACGCATTACAGGATACGCGAAGAAACAGAAGTCCCAGAGAATCAGCTGCAGAAGTCAGCAGTGGAAACTTCGCCACCAGAGTCACGTCTTTCTGAGCACGAGCTCCGATTCCGCAAATCGACGGAGAAACTGACGGTGCCAGATTGGTACCGCGAACATCGCACTAACACTTCCAACACGACCACCACCTACCGTCCATATCCGCCGACAGCTCCTCAGAATGAAACTTCTGATGGAATCACCTTCCCTCAGGGCATGTTCGACAAGTACCGCGACGAGATCGAGGACCTGCGCCGGTCGCGTTCCTCGTTACATCAGCTTGCTGAGCAACCCCAACGACAGGTAGTCGCATTGTGATAAATGCGCCCGACTTTTTCCTTCTTGTCCGTCTTCCCGCTGCACGCAACTTCTCCCTATTCTTCCTGCATTTTCCATACTTCCCACTTTTTCTCATTTTACTTGTATTCCATAATAAAACTGCTCATCTTAGCAAAGGTTAGCTTCCATTAAACAGCATAATGTTATGAAATAATTAAAAGCTCAACCAGACCTTCGCTCACATTATTCATCGTGCTTAATATTTCTAGAAACAGAAAGGAATCTGATTTAACTTTTAATTAGATTTTATGAAGTTTTCAGCTTTTTTCCATTGCATGGTCCTTATTTTTTCACTTACATTTCATAAATTATACTAGCCAATAAATCTGCTGTCATTTTGCAATAAAGATAATATATTCCTTGTCTTGGATGTCATATCATTTTAAATGTGCTAATAAATAAAAGTATATCGGATTGATGTTGCAAAGAACAAAAGAAAAAGCCAGGTGCATGTCTTTATCCTTACTGATCCTTTGTTGCTTGGGAGAATAAAAATGAAAAAATTCTGGCATCGCAAAAATAATATAAATGTACGCAAACCCTCCGCTTTTCCCTGCTTGGTTCAGTTCTTGGGATTCCAGGCATGATCTAGAAATTACGATGGTTTTGTAGGGCTCTCAAATCAGTATAGCGGATCAGTCACGCGCCTTGCCTGGCTATACCGTTTCAGACGTTCCCAATGAGTGGAAAATTCAATCCAGCAGGTTTTTTTAAGCTTCTTTGTTCAGAAAACATATGTTTCTGAGTTTTCCATTCAACAAAGACTATCATTTTTTTCAAAAATATATGTATAAAAAAACCTTGAAAAATTCGGAAAGTAAGGCGTAGGAGGCGTTTTAAAGACTTTTTTCGAAAGATTTTGCTATACTCATGCTTTCGAATTCAGCCGATCTCGAGTTGTAGAAGTTGCAGACACGTTTGTCGGAACTTCCAAATCCACTCATGACTACGGTGATCTAATAAAAAAAAGAGCTAAAATCACATGTTTCACCATTGTAGGCAATTTCACCACAAGATATGGAGGCAGAGTAACTATTGAGGAAGTTCTTGACTCAATTTTCCAAAGAGTTGCTCCTACCTCCCGCGTTATCGACACCAGGTAAGGAACCAATTCAGTTTGAAGAGAATAACTGAATTATTTTCAAGTTATCCGATGGCGGATGACCTTTATCAAGGGAATTTGGATAATCCAAGTATTTACACTAACAATTTCAACGTTATGCATCAAGTAATCAAACAGCCTGAAAGAGCCGAACATTTGCTGCGGTGAGTTTTCGAACTCTTTCCGAGCATTTTGATTTTGGTTACCTTTTCAGAGATGAAGAGCTCTTCGTGAGGTGCGCACAATGTCACCGCACTCGGGAACTTTCTGCGGCTCGTCTTCAGTTCGTCTCTTGCAAAAACTGCTATACCTACTACTGTTCGAGAGAATGCAGGTTTGTTGAGTATATAGGTTTTTTTTTGTTAATCCATTGCTAAAAATGAAAAAAAATTGGTCCAGCTTTAAATTAATGACGGCGACGGTGGTTTTTGTGAGAAGTGGGCTGAATTTTGAAATTCCCACGCAGTCAAAAATGCATGAGCTTTTAAATGAAAGAAGGTAAGGGTTTGTGGTTGGAAAACTGGACGCGAATGTTTTTTCAGTATAAGTTGAGCTCCTAACAAGTATTTTAGAAAATAGAAATCGAAGCATCAACTTAACTTTCAGGAAATTTCCCCTGCATGAAGGGGTTTTCTATTATATCATCAAGTTCTCTGATTTAGAGCAAACAACTGGGCTCAGCACGCTGTTCGTTGCTCTTTCGCCCGAATCAACACATTATGCAAGGATGTCATAATGAAGGCAAGAGATTTTCTTCGAATCTCTACTTAGCACTTTTGAAAGCGGATTGGAAGCGTTTTTTTGGGCTGATTCAAATTTTCTCTCGACCCATTAAACCTTTTTTGTTTTCTTTCGGCCAACTCTCGGCTACTCAGCCGCCCACAAACTCGAACACGTTTGGCAAGAGATGAGAAACCAGAAGCCAAAAATAAATGTTCGATAATAATAAATTCATTCAAGGTGCGCGTTGATGAAGAGGCTCAAGCGTTCATGTCGAAGGTCGCTCGAGAAGGCTTCGCGAATAGTGGACGGGGCAGCGTCAACATCCGTTTGAACTCTCCGCAGCTTGCTCAGGTTCCCTGAGAACTGCAGAAAGAAAGAAAACCGTTCGGACTCGAAGTTTAGAAATAATGTTAACCGATTCTCTTATCCAGTTATTTAGAGCTTTCTGGTTTCAAATATCATTAGAGATTTTGAAAAAAAAAAAGAATTTAGTGAAACCAATGCGACTTTGCTCGAATTTTTTCTCAAAAGTTTTCTAATCAAACATCCGATTCATCGTGACATATACATTCAAGTATCAGACGAATGAATTCCCAAGAGAGCTCTTGTTTTGAATTTTGCTGATTACGTCGTAAACCAGGATTTCAGCATATGGGACGTACGCGATTGAAAAACGACTTCTGATTATTGACCATCTTTTTAGGCATACGTGAGTCATGGATGGCGCGCTCTTGCTGCCGTACCACTCAACCAACTTCTCTACTACTACACGATTGCAGCTTTAGTTCAAGAGAAAAAAGAACCTTCCCTGATCGCTTTGTGTCGGAGATACGAACCAAGGTACTGTTGAAAATGATTAGCAAACATGGATTTCGGATAAACCACATTTACTTTCTGAGCATTTTCTGTTGAGCTTTTTTTCACCTAAGTTTGGAGGAACTTTTTGAACAGAAATTCCTGGAGCCGTTATATAAAAATTTCTGCTTTAAAAAATGTGGGGATGATCTGAGAATCGAAATTCTCATAGGTTTATTGGCTGAACGCCTCCGGGTTTGAAACAAGCCAATTCGAGAGACTTAAACCTAAAATAAAGCCAATATTTTTCCTGCTTCGACGTCATTACTTTTTTGCTACTTGTCATTTTCTTCAGTGCATTCGTGAGAAGTTTTTAGCGCTCTCTCAAAAGTTTTTGGAGCTTAAACATTTGAGAAAAAATAACTTTGGCTTTAATTAAATACAACTCAATTTTGAAAAATTGGAAACGCATTTTCCATTTGTTCGTTGGGATGTTTGAAGATGTCATACTGAAGCTTCTAGTTTTCAGACATGGGGGAAAATTTGGTGTAAAAAAGCACCGCAAAATTCTGAAAATCTGGAACTACCTACAATAACTTTGATAAATTTGCCCAAGTTGATTTTTTTTTTTTGGAAAAAGGTAACTGTGTACTAATTTTTCTCTTGGCATCAAAAGCTGGAAAAATTTATTTAGAGGCTTGAACAGTCAAAAATCCAACACATTCAAATAAAGCTTCTCTCGAGACAAAAGAAAAAAAAGTAATGAAATGTCGAGGAGAAAGATTTATAGTGAAGAAAAAAGATGAGATCTTGAGTGCCGGATTTTCTCACGCATCTGCGGCAGCACAATGGACCATTTTGCAGGGAGAAGTTCATCCTCTCCGTGAGCATCATCGCCGACATCGAGCAGTGTCCAGAGACGCCGCCTCCGGAGACACGAGACTTGTCGGCGCCGGTGTCGGCGGCTGCTCTCCTCAGTCCTCCTTACTACCAGCCAGTACCGATTGCTCTTTTCACCGAGAGTTTAGTTCCGAGCGACGTTTGAGCCTTTGCCATCCCTCTTGATTGCCTTAATTCCACCACCAAATGAAGTTTTTTTTCTTCGCGGGCGGCCGAAAATGTTCCGCCTCTGCTCTGAACTGTCATATCTTCTCTTTCCTCTTATTTCGTTTCCTTGTATTCGTTCCTTGCCATTTCGGCTGGAAGTTAGAATGTATTCAAAAGGTGTTTTAGGTTTTTTTAAAAATATATTATAGCTGACTTTTTCTTTTATTCAAACCTGCGAACTGATGAAATAAAAAGCTCGGAATTTTGCTGAAAAACTGCTTAATTTTAAGACTTCTGCAAATCTTTCTTGTTTAGTCGTTTATTGTCAAAAGTTGTTTTTATTATAGGCCCTAAAGTTTTTTTTCTCAGAATTGACTTTTTTTATTTTATCGAAAAAAATTAATTTTGGTTGGCAAGCTCCTAAAAGATCGCCGTAAATCATAATGAGGCTGAAGGAAATCCAATCATGGTCTGGTGGTCGTTTTTAAAAAGCAGTATGCCTCAAATAATAATTTTTTCTAGATATTAACAACCATTTTCAGACTATAATCCTGAAATGTTTATTGCTTCAATTTTTTGATTCAAATATAAAGTTTCGAAAAAAAATACAACGAAAAAGAAACACTGGCGTGACAAGAGACTTAGCTTAAAACGACTACCGCTCATTTGAACTTAAAGTTGAAGCATTACCTCAGATTTTATTTGATGTTTACTCTACACAAAAATCGCTGCCGATGTCTCCGTTCTCTCAATCGCGCATGATTAGCTATTTTAACAGCAAAAACCACTCCCGATCCTCTCCAAATTGTTTTGGTTTTTCTGTCTTTCTTCTTCTTCCTTTTTATCAGCCCCACTCGTTTTTTTTGTTTCGCGGAATAAACTACGGCTAATTCATAAGCGCATTCGGCACATCTCCGATGTTCTGTTCAAGCAAGCGATAAAGCGAAAAATTCGTTCCTGGAAGTTGACAAATGAAAAAAAAATGCAGTAAAAAGTCACAAGGAAAATAGAAAAGAAAACCAGGAAATTAGTTTCAAAAATTGAGATCAAAGAAGTTATTCTTTTCAAAGACTCATCATAAATATGAGAATCGTTATTTTTTCAAGTGCTCAAAAGACTTGTTTCAAAAAACCTAAAGGAAAACAGAAATTAGCTCATTTATCAAACCGAACAGCGTGTAGGAATGACAAAGTATCCCAGAAAAGCTCCTTCCAGCCTCAGATTACTTTTTCCGTCTCTATTCTTTTACCACGGAGAAGTCAGTTTATCTTGTCGTCACAATTTCAGAGCCTTATCAGAAGTAACAACAGCTCTGGCTTCTCTAACGAGCGAGTTGAGATTACGAAAATCCAACTTTTTCAGAGATCTGTTTAAAAAACTTGTCAGTTACCACATGTATGAGATTTTAACAGGACGACATGTTTTCTAGAATCCTTTCCCTGGTGAATAAAAAATGAATATCAGTGCAGGCTCGTCGCGAAATTGATCAGAAATAACATCTTCTCTTTTCGAAAATCTTGGAAGGATCACAGACACATCAAAGTTATTTCCATTTTTTTTATAAAAATCGAAGATTATGAAAAAAATAGTTCAGAACCAGAAATCTTTTTTTCTCACCTTGAAGTCAACTGATCATCGGATTTCCAAAAAAAAAAAGAAAAAGGTATCATTTACGAAATTTGAAATTTTATTTCGTCAATTCAGTTCGAAAATCTTTTTAAGCTGTCAGGAAGAAGGGAATAAAGGAAGCCAATACAACTTTTGAGGATGATTTAAAAAATACGTTATTCTCAGCTTCGGTCAGTTTCGAAATGAAACAGTTAGAAATTCCCTAATAGACGGCACGCAAGGATAGTCCCATTGATGAAGGCCCGAATGCCATTGGTTAGTTCACGAAAAGCGCGGTGGCGGCCAGAAAACAACGAAATGAGCGATAAAAGCAATGAAAGCAGAAGTGTTGTCCATCCACACATGCAAACACATTACTGAGCCTAACTTAACGTATGCAAATCGGGAGAGAGATTTCGCCTAAAACGTCCCCTTCCATGCCAAAAAGTTCGCGAGTTAGTCTTGTGTCCTCGTGTTTCCATATTTGGGTCGCGCCCACTTGAACATTCAAATGTGCTTTTTCCCATCCTCCGCAGGACTTGATTGTTGCGTTTCTTTCAAGTTGATTTATGCGTTTTGCAGAAAGTTTGGTATTTTTTTTGTTTCACACGCTTCGAACCTCTTTGAACACATGCAGGAGCTTTCACTGCTAGAAACGAGGTTCGAAAAAGATTTTCAATTTTCGATCTTCCTTTTCCAAACTAGAATTTGAATTTTTTGCTCTGCGCTTAGGAGCTCGCTGAAAATTGGCAATAACACTCCTTGATGTGTCAAAAGAGGTTTTGAAAGCCTTAACCGGCAAAAGTTTCTAGTTTTTGAAAAAAGACAGCTCAAAGTCGCACAAAATCCTCAAAATTCGTTGGGATAGGTTTACTTGGAGCTCAGAGCCCTTATATATTCTAAACTAAAAAGTTTTGCAGGTTGGGACTTTTAGAATCTTCTTAAGGTACATCAAGGATTGTTATAACCAATTTTCAAGAGTTTTCTCAATCGCAAAGTAAAATGATCTTCCTTGGTAAATGAAATTGTCTTACGATGATCGTAGGCTGGTAGAAAATGTCATTCTGGCAGATATTTGACTTTGATTTGATCAGATTACAAATAAATAGTCCCTCAAGATCTTGAAAATATAAAACCTTGAACCTTCTCGGGAGCATATCTTCATCTAAGATATTCGGATGATACGTTTTTCCTCGATTTCTCACGATTTCAAAGTGAAGTCATTACTAACCCCCAAGACCACTGTTCATCAGGAGAATTGAAAAATTTCGCATGACATCGGATAGCTCTGACAAACGTTATCAAGTTCTACTTTCTGTTTTTGTGGAAGGAATTATTTTTTTCAAAGTTCACAGTGCAACAGCGGAAAATTCATGTTGCTCATGAAACTCGGCAGACGAATTGGAATTGCAAGTAGCGGAAGGCGTGAAAACAGAATAGACGATGTCGAATCATACTTTTTTATGCTCGTTCTTCCTTTTCACATTGTTCGTGCCTTTCTCGCCGTGTTGTCTCGTCAGACTGAATGGTAATTGCAACATGTTTCTACACACTATGAAGGCAGTGTTTAGACGTTCGAATTTCCGGACAGATGTATCTAAAAAATTCTACTCGCTCAACTTCTTGATTAAATCAATTCGATAACGTCTACATTTTTTAGCTGAAAATATCAAGGATTTGTTTATTTTTCAGAAGTTTGAAGGGTGCTGTGATTATTAAACGATACTTAACAATTATCAACCACATTTAAAATTGGTATTTTTTTACACAAAGCTACTGCATCGTTATTTTTTTGTTTCACTGAGAAAGTGATAAATTATTCTCTTGGAAAAAAATGAAGGTTTTTTTCCATTCTTTACGCCACTATCTCCCACATTTGTTTATTAACATTGTTCTCATTGCTTTTTTTGGCAATTCTATTTTTAAATATTTTGACTTTCAACGAAATCTCTCGTTAGAGATAGGCGGACGTATTCTTTCAAAAAACGTGACATTTGAACTCACCAGGAACGAATAAATTAGGAAAAGGAGTTTCCGATTTCATAGCTTTCCAGTTTGCGTACCTAAAATTTACATGCACCTTGGTCTCCTTAAAAGCGTTCCGTTTTTCTATTTTTTTTCAATCAAATTTATTATTAGGTTAACCCCACTGAAACGTAATCAATGGTGGAAATGTTGAAAACAGAGAGAAACAAAAATTTTCCGACTAAAAGCGGGAAACAAATTAAGAACGTCTTTCTTGAGGCCCGTCAAACGGCGTTTCGTCCAGAGTTTAGCCAAGTGCGCCGACCGAATCCCAAGTTTTCATTACTCAGCCCTTGCTATTTTTACTTTAATTATTTTCTCGGTCATGGGCTGATTTATTGTCTGTCCTAAATCATTTTTCAGATATTATAGGTGCTGCTCGCATAGAAAAAATTAAAATCAAGTTCATTGTAGAAAGCTTTATCAGTTGGAAAAATATTTGAAAAGTAGTAAAAAAAACGAAATACGATTTTTATGAGAAACAAAGGCCTTTTTGGAAAGTTGTCCATAGAGCGCGTTTGTTTCCCTGATCAAATCCTTCTTTGAATTATGTGTAATAATAATCTCAGCTCTAAGTTAAGGTTTCCGTTTTCTTTTTATAAGAAAGTATCAATTTACACCAGAGTGAGAAAATAAGAGAATCCACGAACAACGTTTCCTGCAGACCTTTGTCATGAGCATTGTTTGGTCTTGGCAATATTGTGAAGCCTCTCAAATAATAAGGTATTTTGGTTTCGTCACAATTATTTTAATATCTCACGTGACCGGTTTTTTTATGATTGTTTTTTTAGTCATTTTTTTAGAAAAAAAGGAAATGAAAAATAATGAGAATAAACGGTTGCTTTTTCCATATTTCTGTGTCTTCTCAGCTCATTTTGTTTGAAAAGCATCAAAATCGCAAAAGTTATAGAATTCAAAAAATTCCAGTGGCTCGCAAAAGTTGATACATGTCATATCAACTTGTCTCCACACATCTTCTTCCTTCAAATCTTCAAATACCCAGAAAAATTTTTTTACTTTTCAACGCGTTTTTATTCTTATTTTCCACTGATGATTTCTCATATCAAAAAGCTTTCTTTTTGGATCACCTTCCTTGAGCAATTTTTTTTTAAATAAAAATGTTAGAGAAAAAAATTCCTTTTTGGTCGTTTCCGTTTATTTTTATGGATATAACCAAGTTCGTTTTGACGCGTTTTGCAGTGCCTCGGGGCTTTGTCACGACGTCAAAGTACATCGACTTTTGGCAATTTTTGATGTTGCTAAAGTTCCTCCTTTTTACTTTCAACAGTCCTTTTCTCTATTTACACTGCGTTCAGGATAAGATTTTTGACGTTGGAAAAATTCTCAGAAACAACGCATAATTCAAAAAACACTACTGCATTGGACATGATTTGATTACAGATGATTACATTTTGCGCATGACACAAGATATGAAAGTTCATAAACGTATTGCTGACCAGATGGATTTTGCAACAAGTTATTTGTACGGAAACCGCTAGAGAATGAATGAGGATAGTACAAAAAGTCCCTATTCTGATAAAAAAAAAAGCTTTCTTTTTGAGTCTCCTCATTAATAGAGACCTCCTAAGTATTATTTCTGAAAAAGATAGGAAAAAATTGAGCTTCCTTCAGAACGATTCGAAATGTTTTGAACTTCCAAAGTTGTCGGGAAAACCTTGTTTCGACATAAATCTGCATTTTTTACGCAACGTTGCTCTTTCAAAACCAATTTCTCAACGCGAAAGCCCGTTCAAACATGTAGTTTGCACCTTGTTTAAAATGATCATACATGAACGCTTGGACGCTTCAGCTTTATTTCAGTTGCGCGGCGTTCTCCTGAGTTCAAACTCTGGCATTCTGTGCATCAGCATCCTGCAAGTATTTTGAGATTATCCCTACAAATACCCGAGAAAAAACCGCTACAAAGCGTTTCATCCCTGCAGTCGATCGGCCTCAGAGAAAGACGGAAAGTTGTGTCGTCACGAGCACCGTAACCAGTCCAAGTCTGGCAGAGCAAAATGTTTGACGCGGATAATGCGCGCGATGAGACTTGCTAACGAGCCAACAAACGCCTGTTTCCTTCCTCGGCTTCCTGTCCAAAGCGACGGCTTCAATCCGAAGAGTTAGGGCGGGTATCACGCTACACTTCCTTGCCCCAAACTTATTCTTCAAATTTTTCCGTCGAAAGCCATTGTTGTTGGACGCTCGGACGGCCTTCGTTTACAATTTCAAACTCTCCTTTCTCCTCAGCTTATGCGCTATTATTTTTATGCAGCCTTTATCGCAATGTAATCATATCTTGAAAAGGTTTGGCGGATTAAGAAGCTAGCCTCTCCTTCATTGATTTTTGTTCTCTTTTGCTAGTTATCTCTGATTGGTTTCCCGTTCTGACAATTCCTCTGAAAGTTTACTTCAGTCGTTTCTCTCAACTTTTTTGAGTTTTTTTTTCTCAATTTTTCAATCAACCTGTTTTCTTCTTTTTTTTTTCTATTCTATCTAGCGAGTTTTTTTCTTGATTAACCTTCCGATCATCGAAGCAACTACTATTTCAGTACGATAGACTTTTTCAATGCCGCGTACATTATATGGGCCATTGGAAAAAGGTCAATAGCTGAATATTTGTAGTCAAGAAATGTAGTTTGTTCTTATCCACTTATTTTTTTTTTGATGTTTCCGTTTCGACCTTTTGCTGTGAGCTAATCCAGGTCTTACAAACTTTCTCTCTGCTTTATTTTAAAACATTCCATTTTTTCTGTCCTACTTAAAGTAGCTAACTGGAAATTTTTTGCATCGATTATATTGCTCGCAATTTTTTTCAAAATTGGATGATGAAACCGATGTGAGCTTCATGAGGAAGCCGAATCGTTTCAATAAAAACTTTTTCTCAAAAAAACTTTTTTTCTTCAGAACTGAAAAATTAAGAGATTATTCGCTTGCATTGTGTTCATATTGTTCGTGGAAAAAAATCTGATAAGTTTTCTCCTGTTGTTTATCGACTATCGAATAATTTTATTGATATTGAGAATTAAATTTCTTCAGCGCCTCAGGACGATGAATGGGACATCGCCGAGCGCAGCGGCAACGGTAGGAAACCTCGCGTATTGTTACGTCCTACCATGTATCTGCGCCATTGGAATCGTCGGAAACATCACAAATCTGATGGTTCTGGCGTCGAGACGACTTCGAGCGGTGTCCTACATGTACCTACGGGCTCTGGCAGTCGCCGATCTCCTCTGTATGCTTTTCGTCCTCGTCTTCGTCTCCACCGAGATCCTTGCCAAGAACGGATCTTCCATCAATCAGTACAAGCTTTACCAGTTCTACCAGTGTCACCTGATGCTCACTCTCATCAACTGGGCTCTCGGGGCTGGCGTCTACGTGGTAGTCGCCTTATCTTTGGAACGCTATATTTCCATTGTGTTCCCTATGCACTTTCGAACTTGGAACTCTCCTCAAAGAGCAACTCGAGCTATTGTGATGGCTTTCCTTCTTCCTGCAATTCTGTATATTCCTTACGCTCTGACCAGATACAAAGGCAAAGAACGATGGGATCCGACCGTAAACGCGACCGTTTATTCAATGGATGATCATCAAATCTACACCACATTGCCTTGGCAGGTAAGGAAAAAAATAATAAATCTGAAATAAAGCTTAAACACAAACTTCAGGCCTACAAATGGACCCGAGAAGCTGTACTACGATTTTTACCTATTATCATTCTCACCGTACTGAATATTCAAATTATGATTGCTTTTCGAAAACGGCAGAAAATGTTTCATCAGCTGACAAAGAGGAAGGAGCACGGCACACAAAAAGTAGGTTCATATTAATTTTTCAAGATTTGATGTTTGATCTGCAGGATGACACACTGATGTACATGTTAGGAGGAACCGTGTTGATGTCTTTGGTTTGCAATATTCCAGCGGCGATAAATCTGCTATTAATTGATGAGGTTTGAGAGGGATCTTATTTCAAAATGTATATCATCTGGCGTTTGAAATAAAAAAAGCCTTTCTCTGCTCATCTTTCGAAAGAGCAAATGAAATAAGCTACTCTCAAAAAGATTCACTTTTTCATAAGAATAATTGAAAAGGCCAAAAAGTTGTGTGAGCTCTTGTTTTCAACTCAGTTCAATTACTTAATGTTGCTTGAGCTTCAAAATTCGAATTTTAGACGCTAAAAAAACGGCTCGACTATCAAATATTCCGAGCGGTGGCCAACTTACTGGAAATCACAAACCACGCTTCACAGTTCTACGTGTTCTGTGCCTGTTCTACAGACTACAGAACGACGTTCCTGCAGAAATTCCCGTGTTTCAAGGCATCTTACGCGAATCGAGATCGACTGCGTTCTTTTGTTCGCCGAACTCAATCCGTCGTCCACAAAGACAAGGGTTGCAGCCTCGATCAGAATTCTGGCTCCAAGGTTATTTTTCGAAGATCATAGATCTAAAAAAATCAATTGCGCTATTTGAATATTTATTTGCTATAATATATTATTTATGCGCTATAATATTTGAGAAAAAAACTTGTTGACTTTTTCGAGCGACAGTGGAGACCTCTGAAAATAGTTTTTTTATTTGTTACAAAAAAATCTTTTTCAAGAATTGCACCCTGGTTTATTTTTTAGTATCAATTAAATTGAAAATTGAGAGTTTGGAAAATAATTTGACTAGATTTTTTCCCCTTCTGAAATTTAAAAAAATTCAGGGATAATCAAATTCGATAGATAAGAAGTCACTAGTTTGTTGCATTATTCGCAAAACCAATTTGAAGCTTTTCAAGATTTTCATCAACTTTCTTGGAGATGATCAGAAACCGAGACACATTCCAGACGCGGGACTCAATATCACATCAGTCACTGTGCAAGATCCCTCGGAGTTACGGCGTCGAACAGGACACGATGGACGTGCAGTTGGCGTCAGGAGAGCAGAGCACGAGCGAAGCACGCGAAGCTGAGACGCTCATAAAGTACGGCGCTTTGGCAAAACTATCCAGTAACTCCAACGACACGACCTTCCTGTGATCGTCACATACGAGTCTTTTCCACCGGTTTCAGTCTCCTGTACTTTATTTATTCATTTTCTATTCCTCATTTTCCCGTGCTTTGATATTCTCAATAAAATCTCTTCATCACATCGACTCAACCACGAAATTTCGCTTCATCATTAGGAGAAAATGAATGAAGCAAAAAGAAAATGAATACAACCGCAGTCAGTCTGTGGTTTGTTATAAATTCAAGTGTCGCGAAATCCAAACCGAGTGGCTTTGCTTCGTTTTTTTTTCCTCACAAAACTGCGATATTCTGTAAATCCACCGTATCGAAGCCCATCTTGTCATTCTTCTCATTAAAATTTTGCATTTTCTTTCGCTTTGTGTTTTTGCCATTCTCGTAATGAAAATTTATCTTATAAAATTTCATTCATACCCAGAAAAAATTGATAATAGTCACATTCTCATCACTGGAAGCAGAAAAAGGTAACGGCACCTACTGAAATGGACGCAAAAGTGAAAGTTGTAGTGACTCGGAAAAGAAAAGACACGTAGATCTATGTACATACACACAAGCTTACAAAGTAACCGTCAGGTTGATGAGCATCGCAGTATTTATGACCCAAAAAAAATGAACAATTCCTCAAAGTTTTCATTTTTTTTTTCAGTAGAAAAAAAATTCTGTAGAGCTGTGCAAGGAAGCTGAAGGTGGGAAAAGTACAAACGGAGTGCATAAAAATCAAAAAAACATTGTTTCAGTAAAAACAATGAATGAAGTTCAAGTTTAATTCAATTAAAAAACTTTGAGATAGAAAAAAAAAGTTGGAAGAATTTTTCAAAAACAAATTGATTATGCATTCCGTTGATTAAACATTAACTTTTAGCTAAAATTCACGTACTATTAAGAAGTTCATACAAGAAACACTGAAATCCTTCATGTGTTGGTGTAAAATTTAAATCAGAGTTTCATTGGCTCTTTCTCAAACAGTTTTTTTGATTCCTTCCATCCTTCCATCAGTTTCTGTTATCAAAAAAATGATCTGCTGGTCATATTTTTCCAAGAACATCCTGTATTTTTGAATATCCACTAAAAATCTTCACAATTTCAGTAAACTTTAAAAAAATTTCCGAGTGAAATTATTTCCAATTATAAGGAATAGAAACAGTGCCATCTGGACGGGAATGGACCGTGGGGTTTTGAGAAAGGAGCAGGGAAAGACCAGTAACGACCCGTTTAGTTTCTTCGTTGGCTTTTCGAAGCCGCTTCACGCTGTCCAAAACGACTTCCAGTTGAAGAGCCGGTTCCCATTCCAGTTTTACGAGTCCCAAGTCGCTTTTGCACTTGGCAATTTCCAGTTCGAGTTCCTCCTGAAAAATATGATATTGGACAGAAATTTTGAATATGTCCCATACAAGAGTTTTCTGCATTTCGCGTTGCACTTGGAGGGATTTCGGAGCGTTTTCTTCTAAGAAAACAACAAGAGAGGCGACGTCAACATTGCAGGGAATCAGAAGACGGCCGTCGATTCCAATCGAGAGCTCGTCGTAGGAAGTGACCACCTAATGGTTGTATGCGTTTTTTCTTCAGATAAATTCAAAGTTGAAATTTCAATCTAACCGTCTCACGAAAATTTCAAGTGTTTCCTTTAGGACAAAATTGAAAATTAAACGTATCTACGTATCTATGTTGAAAAATTGAAGCTTTGTAGTTTTATGTGGACAAATAGATAAGGACAACGTTGCAGAAATTGTTGGGAAAAACTTTCTGAAGTTGAGAAGCAATGTTTAAAAATTTAACGAAATAAGAAGGAAAATTTACTGAATGAGAAAACCAACCTCCATGGTGGTTCCTGCTGCCGCCTGAGACAAACGAACTAATAGCGCTTCTCGATTCCAGACCCTGAGATTTCCTTTATTAATTTCTTGGCTGTTCTAAAAACATTGAACCTGATGATCAGAGATTGTATTTGAGAGACGGTCTGCGCCAGTCCTTTATAATAAGGAGTTAGGATTGTGGCTCCGCCGAATGTGGATTGCAGTTGATCTACGCACACTTTGAGTTCAGCGATTTGACATTTTCGAACTTGATATTCAGAACAGGCCTAAAAGTATTATGGGAAAATGAACGGAAAATTTGTTAGAAATGGTAAAAATCACTTTTTCCCATTGTTCTGGAACATTATCCGCCCCTAGTTGTATCGATCCGTCGCAGCAAGTAAAAGAACCACGGCCAAATCTGAAAGAAAGTCAAATAACTTGTTTTTCTATTTTGTATATTTGTGAGCCCATACAGAAAATAGAATCATCTTTACAAGACAGGGTTTCATAATTGAACATTTAAAATATAATTTTCCAGATTTAAATTTGAATCAAAAACATTTTCAATCTAATCTTTCATAGCAAAACTTGATAGAAGAATTTCAGGACGAGTCCGAAGCTTTCTTTTCAATTTCACTTTCACGTGCTTTTTGAAAATTTCAGTTTCAACTGGAATTAAAGACTTCAGTAAGAATAAATGAAATATAAGAGAAAAAAAAGAAAAACCACAAAATTTCATTTTAAAGGACGATAACGGTCTTTGGAAGTAAAAATCAAAAAAGATTGCTTTAAACTCGCCTCAAAACATTTTTGTACAAAGCGAGAAGAATGACTTGTTTGGTCTCGGCGTTGGCTTGATCGATAAAACGGTGCATATTTGACAGGCACCTTCGAATATGCTTTTCGGCCCAGTCGATTTCCCATAATATCTGAACAAAATCATCAAGCCAATTGGAAATATGGACTCACATCTCTGAGTCCTGTCCGAGACTTCAGCTCATCAATGTCTTCTTTTATTGAGACCCGAAACTCCGCCGCTTCTTTAGCCTGACTACTTGCTTCTGCTCGGCATCGGGTCAACGCCTCCGCCAGATTCAAGGCCGACGCTTTGCCTTTTTTCCGCAAGTAGCTAAAATTATGTTTTTAGATAAAAGTTTACAATTCAACTATGAAAATTCCTGACATAACCATAAGAAAGGCCATTCTTTCTCTATATCCATTTAAAAATTCGGACCAAACTTGGTCAAACTTCGTTACAAGACCTTTATTTTTTTTTCACAGTTTTGCAGAAAAAAAAGGCAAACAAGCTGTATTGATCATTTTTTTATTGATTTGTGAAATGTCGTTTGGAACATGATACAATATCCTGTTTCATCAAAGATTTTAAAAAACCCAACCTTTTCAACAAATCATTGTCGTATGAGAATCCACTTGTAAAAGGGGCTCCAGCTCTTTTTTCTGCAGCCTTTGAAGAACTCGACCTTGCTTTCTCAATATCTCTCGTGTTCAAGTCGCAAGATTTCAACGCCTTCCTGTTATTTTTCCTCAATTTGAAGGTTTTTGTCTCACGAACCTAACAATATTGATCGGATCTGTGCCAACCAGATGCAGATCGATTTCTCTAAAGGAGTTGGCTTGTTTGTCAGCGATGGAAAACTTGACCTGTGATAAGATAATGAGGCAAACAAAACTTGGCAGAAAAAGATGAGGAAGAAAAAAAAATCACTTTGACAGGTTGGATGACGTTTGAAACCGGAAATAAGTCGCTGATGTAGCCATTGAAGATCTTGAAACTGATTTTTAAGTGACCTTTCAGATGGAGGCCACATGATTATTTGGATTTAACATTTATTGGAATTAAGTTGAAATGAGAAGCTTATAAATGTCGCCTCAAAGTGAGAGAGCTATCAAATTGAAAAATTAAAATTTTTTAACCGACCTGCAGGGACCTTTCGTTTTGTTTCCTAATTTGTGGGTGCGACGCAAACCTGAACTGGTTAAGTCATCAAATTCGTTTTGAACTTTTTTATCTCTACCATCCAAATTCTTAGAAGAGTTCGATTTTTTTTTAGCAAAGACTTCAACAAAAATAACTAGCCTGTCGGGATGAACGGCAAAGTAGAAGGGCCTCAAAGCCACAGAGGCTTCTGTCTGTGTCATGCATCTTTTTGAACTGGTCCAAATTTCACTCGAAGCCCGTAAAAACATGAAAAAATCGCTGAAATTCGATAATTAGAAAAGAAATAGACCTATTCAAGAAGCAAAAAAAAAAGCGAAAACTGGGAGACAATAGATAACAATCGACAATAAGAACACGTGCATGTTGGAATTGATTCGCTTCAGCGCGATAAACTGTGTGAATGAAAAAAGCAAAGAGTTTTTGCGGGAGGTTTGCGGGAGAGGACGGCGAGAGTCCGCAGACACCGCACGTCGATTGCTGTTTAGCTACATTCTCTGGGCCAGGTTTTTTCTCTTTGGTCATTGAACTGCTAGGATTTGCCACAACATCCGATGACTTGACGTTTGCGGTAAATAAGCTCTGATCTTTTGTTTCTTCCTGTTTTCATAGCTTGTTGGAATGATCCTCAAGAATCGACAATTTTTCTTGTTTATGCTTTGAATTTTTTGTTTATTTTTTGTTTCTAAAAGTCGCGGTGTATGTCGCACAAGCATTCAAACATACAAATCTAGATTTTTTCAAGAACACTTTTCACGTATTAAAAGCTTTCACATTTCTTAGATCAAATGATAAAATGGAAATGTATACTGCGAAAGTAACTTTGTTTTCAAGCTTGATATAAATTACGAAAAATTAATAAAAAAATTCATTCAAACCTTCAACATTTTTTTACAGGAACATCGCATATCAAAAAAATTGTTTAAAAAAATACAAATGTTATTTTTGAAAAACCCTTAGATTGAAAGGTTTTTTTGAAGTAAAAAAACTTTAAAAATATTCAATTTTTGTAAAAGGTTTCAGGCATCCGATAAAAAGAGATTTCCCCATTTGAAGTTTTTCTTTTCTGGGGCGTATAATAAACTTCTACAATGAACCCAATGATTTTTTTCTTATGAACAAAGTATTTGAACATAACACTTTTTTTCTTAAAGTGACTTTTGATTCATTTTTAAGTTTGAAAAAAATTAGATCAAATATAACATTTTTATTTAAATTTGTCAAGCCATATAATTCCGTAATGAGCTATTTCAAAAATACACGCGGGAGGACACGGTTTTATAAGTAAGGAAAATGAGCAAAAGGCAAAATAATTACAGGGGTCGCTGGGTCAAATCAGGCCTTCGATGTTGGGCGGCTGCAGATATGGCAGGTCCTTGGCGTGGTGCTGCTCCTCGAACTGCGGCCGGTACTCGCCGTGGTTTTTCCTTCGGTCTCTCAAGTATCGGAACGTGAAAAATGCGACGGCTGCCAGCAAAACGACGCCCACCTGAACCAAAGCTCGTCATTCCCTTGAGTGAATTTTAATTTTAGACCTTTCACGCGAGCTTTTCATTTTAGGTGCTATAGAAAACTGCACAATAATTTTTCAAAATCTTAATTTACCGCTTTTGCTAATTTCGCGAAGGTCGAGGAAACTGTACGCCAAGAAAAAAATTGATGAATTCAGCGTTGAACTCTTATAATTTCAGATTATTTACGAATTTCGAAAAAGGACAGAATATTTTTTTAAAAAATTTTTAGCTAAAGGATGCTAAATGTTACGGAGTTGGTTGGCATTTTGCAGTTGCGAAAAAAATTCCTTTCTAATTATTTCGTGAATTTCAAAAATAATGCTTTACAAACACTCCTCTCCGTTTGCTGTTGTTTTTCTTTTTTCAAGATCTACATTGAAATAATTTTTGATTCAAAACTCACAAGACATCCAATGACGATTCCAGCGATCGCGCCGCCGGAAATTCCTTTCTTGATCGCGGCTTCCGTAGCGCCGGCATCGGCTTCAGCAGCAATGGTGGCGTTGACAAAGGCGGTTGACGTCGTCAGCTGCGACATCTCGAAGACGTGCCGCAGAAGTGGCAGATGAACTGTCGGGCATACACAGAAGACGTCCTTGTCGTCCAATCGGCAGCCTGCGATTATCGGTGCGAGGGTTGAAGCTGAAAAATAGAATTATAATCCGGATCGTTCAAAATGCTTGCGTAGTTTTCTCGCACAGAATTGAAAAAATGAAGTGTTTTTTTAGGAGATTAATTAAATTATATTGATAGGTTTTCCCTGTGGAAGAGTTTTTGAACAAAACAAAAAAACCATTGCGCACTGGTAGAACAGATAATACAGGAAATTTCACATGATTACGCAGAAAACGCTGGTATAGAGTATGTGTAATTTGCAACCTAGCTTCCATGATGTCGAAAAAAATTCCTAACTATGCAGCGACTTGATTTTTTTCGATAGAACGGTCTAGAAAAAAATCATAAAAATTAAAGAAAAAGAAATTGTTTGATTTTTCAAAGCTACAGCTTGTAACAGTCGGTGAAAACGAAGCAAATGAGAGCAATGGATTTGAAGTTCCGTCATCTTAAGGTCGACATTTAAGAAAAAAAAGCGATCATAGTCGAAAACCGCTTCCAAAGCCCACGAATGACAACACAAAAGGCATTTCTTTTTTTGTTACTTGAATATATTTTGAGAGCGTGCGACAAGGCAAAGAAATATTGTACAAGGGTGTTCCGAGGGAGAAGTTCCTTGGCTGAATCACACACTTTGGTGCCGTGAATCAAAGACAGACTAGCATCCGCTTCGAAACTTCATTCAGCCAGTTAGACTTTTGAAAAAGGAGGCTGTCAAGTGATTCTTCAGATTTCGTGAAGATTTGAAACTCACGATGGTTTCCCACTTGAAAAGCAGGACGAGGATTCTTGAAATTATGAAATTTCATTTTCTTGTCTCTGTATAAAGTTTGATGTTGGAAAAATAGGATCAGTCTTCCATCACAAAGATGAGAAAATGAAGGAAAATAAAATAAAAAACTGAATTTAACTAACAATCTCGAGTTGAAGAAACGCAGCCAAAGAGATTCTAAAGTGAAATGAAAGGATTCCGCCAACCAATCTCAATGTATTGAAAGAAAACGATCGTTCTCGGTCTGTAGATATATAAAAAAACAATAAATTTTAATTGAAAGCGTTTCAAAAACGCCTCCTCGTCGTTCGGAACACATTAAAAATAGATAAAAATTGCATTTCGCCCCAATTCGTAACATGAGATTTCAGGAGCAGAATTCATCAAAATGAGAATCGTTTTTTTGTGGCATTCTCATAAAATTGTTGAGAGAAAGTGGAATATTCAAATTTGAGAAAGGGCAAATTGTTTTTGCAAGTTTTTAGTCTTCAAATAGAAAAAGGGAATTCGAAAATGAATCGAATTTGGAATAAGGACACAATTTCGAACAGTTTAGGAATGGAACTTTCTTGTGCAAACGTCTACGAAGACATTTGTCATTTGGATTAAAAACAGTGAAAAATAAGTCAGACCAATGAAACCGCTGCAAACAGAACAAAAGAGTATGGGAAAAGATTGCGAGAAATATAAATTATCCTCAATTCTGATATAAGTTTAGTAAAAATGTTTTATACTCACGAAATAATCAACTTAAATTTACTGGAAAAATACAGAAAAAGCAAAAAAAGAACATATTATTTAAAAAAAAACTGATCCTTCCGTAGAAACTGCTCTTGCAGAAACTGAAACAAAAAAAATCAAGTCAGTAAATTCGTGCTTCTAAAAAAAAAATGGTTCATAGCTTAACGAAATTCAGGTGGTCCAAGCCAATTCACGTTGAATTTCTCAAATTTCAGCTTTGAAAATGGGAGTGAAAATTTCAACTTTTTTCAAATGTATAAAGGCGTTGGTTTTTTTCAGAACTAGAGTCAAAATTAACTTCTAAAACGAAAGAGATAATTGAAATATAGAAAAAACTTGCAGAAAGAAACTTTTCCTGTTAGAATAACTATCAAAATCGGAGTTTGGGTCCTCACAAAAAAATCAAAAAGGGGTCAACTGGATGAGTCAATGACCTTCCAATTTGAAACCCGCATAGAAAAACCGATAAAATCGAGAAAAAAGGCTCATGGGTTTGATTAAGGCGACGTGAGCGTGATTGGGATCGGAATTCCGAAGAGGCGTGGGAGCGCCCACGTCAACGCCCAGAACGAGTGATCAATAGCGGTCGGCTGAATGATAGCGACGATTGGGCATGCAAATCGCGAAAAACCCTGACGGCGGCCGCGCAATGGCAAAGTGCTTCGGTGGCGCTGTATAGTGTGTCAACATTGCTCCGTTGCGCAACCCTCACTTATTCCCGGCTTCCCTCTTACCTACTCGGTTTTAATTGGTAAGCAGTACTGGTTCTCAGAGGATGAGTATTAAATACGACTACTTTCGTAAAAACTCTTCAATTGAAAAAAAAAAATGAATCAGATCAACCGACGAAGAGGAAGTTAATTTTTCTTATTTCTGTTGTTTTTTTGCTGAATAACTTTATTGAACTTGTTTTTTTATGAACCAATAGTGTTCCCAAACGGGCGGCAACTAAGGTCCGTAGGCGTGGCTGACTGCAACAGCGGCAGCGTTTATTGCAATAGAGACGCGGGGATGAGAGTCAAGTTTTGTGGATTTAGTAGTTGAAAAAAGACCACTGAATGATTTTTTTTAGGTTTTCGCAAGTTTTTGAAGGGTTTTGAAGTGTAATACACGTTAAAAAAATCTATATAAATAGTAAAAAGAAACGAAATAGCTTTTTGCAAAACAGAATATCTCAAAAAAGGTTATTTTTTTGAAGAAAAATTATTCAAATCGAACTTCAAAAGATAAAATTGAAATAAAAAGTTCAGAGCACTTTTTTTTGAGATACTCTTTGAACATTTTAAAACAAAAAAAAAATACATAATAGCTTGTTGGAGAAAATTTATCACCCAAAATGACATTTTCATGAGTAAATTCGTCGAATTCTGTCTCCAAAAAAAATTCTTAGAAAAATCTCAAAGCGCTTTCTTCAAGAAAGTTCATTTGAAGTTTCTAAAACGAAAAAAACAAACGAAATATGTTATGCGAATTAAGTAATCATTAAAAATGTCATTTTCAGGGAAATTTCTGTGACAAAAACAGTCGAAAATCACTTCAAATCTTTGGAAAACGCGATAAACACGTATTTAAAATGAATGAATTTTTGTGGGGTTGACACGCGCCGCACCGCGTTGGGTTAGAAGGAACTCGTGTATTTCCCGCAAAAAAAGTTTTTTTATAACTTACACTACTTTATACACATAAAAAAACTAAAAGTTTGCATCAAAAAAAGCTCTAACTATTTCTAACGGTCCGTCACTATCAAAAGTTGAAAAATCTTGATTTGATAGTCAAATTTTTCCTAACTCAAACCAGGAAAAAAATTTGAAAGAATAGAATAAATTTTTTTACTTTGAAAAAAACGCGTGAAAGTAAGAGCGAAATGGCTGTTCTTTTAAGACTTCGCTTTTTAGGAATTTTGATTCACGAACGGAAATTTGAATTACTTTTCGTAGCTCTCCCTGGAAAGGTGTTTTTATTCAAAAAGAAAAAAATTATAAAAATAATAAAAAAATACTATTAGAAAGTGTTTCTCATTCCTCGTTATTCACCAAACAAACAAACCAGTCATTCATTTTGACCTCAAAAACCTTTGATTATTTGCACAACTAAGAGCAACCCAAATGCGAAACCAAAAAATGTTGGTTATTGAATTGTGATCCAGTTATGAATTCTCAAAATAAAATGGTTCTCTTATTTTTCAACATTGGCTTGAGAACAAATATTAGTGATTTTAAAGTGCTTTGGTAAATACCTCAAAATCTGAGCTTTCGTCGCATTTTCACAGAGATTTTCGGAAGTTAGACTATATCAGTTGTTTCTTAGTTTAGAAAAAAATATATTGTGACGAAGTAGTTTGGCCGTCAAAATTGTCGCGACTAGCGGAGCGAACGAAATTCTCAAGGGCCTAATTCGTTGGTAGACAACTGAAATGGATCCAGAAAGATAAGAAAACCTAGAAATCATCCGAAAATGGGAAAACATGGCTTTCAAATGGAAAACTCCTTTCGAAAATTAAACAAGCCCAGTTAGAAAAATTCTTAAATACCAGAATTCACAAGTGAGTTATAAGTGGAACACGAAAAAAAAACCAGTTCATCTCGGGACAAAATGAAGGCCATTGATATTTTATTGAGAAGTTTTCAATTGATCGATTTCGATGTTTTCAATGACTCAATTTTTGTCGGCACTCGTCATTTGCCCATCTTTAAAAAGTTTTTTTTTGAAACAGTGCTGAGCAGAATGACCAGTAAAAAAATTGCGTTTGAAGTTTTTTTAGTTCTGAAATTTTTTTAGATATGATTTATCAGCACTTTCGTCTCTTATCTGAAACCGCGAATTCAACAAAGATAAAAAGAAAGTGACATTCTTCCGTTTTCCGACTTTCTAATGGACATTGTAACAGAAAAACTTGAATATGATACTGTAGGTGAGAAAGATTTTCGATGTAAAAATGTATTTTTGTTTTTGGAGCGGTTGATAGCAGACGATGGCAGAAGGAAAAAATGCCCTCAAAATATTAACAGCGAGAAATTTTGAAATTTATTCTATCCTCACAATTTGAACTGCTGTCAATCAATTATTAGAATAAGTTGTGTAAAAAATTCATTGAAAACAGCGAAATCAATAAAAACAGTCCTGAATGAGTAAAATAATTCGAAAATTTTTACGATTTTTATAGTCTATTCATGGCTATTCAGGGTTCAGACTATAAAACTAAAGATACTAAATATAAAATTACAGTTGGAAGGGGACCTACTCAAAATTTATAAGAAACTGATTTTCTCATACCCACCTAACAAGCAATTGATCTGTCTGAAGCAGAAAATATGCGTACAGAGAGGTGATTCGCCACAGGCGGCATCGTCGGCAAGCAGTACAAAAGGCTCAGCTCGGCAGCTTGTCATCGAGAAGAAGAAGACAAAAAGACGTGCACCCGACCGTAACTGGGAAGCGGCGAGTTGTGAGGCCAAGCCGCTCTCGGCCAGGTCCTCCATTCAAGAGCATCTTTAGAACGGTTGTTCGACCTCTGGCCGCACTCAAAAAACGCCGCAACACATGTACGTACTCTTCTCAAGCTTCATGCTGCTTTCTTTTCCCCTTCGGACCTTGATTGAGCGTACCAGAAAAATTGCGACAAGTTCTGAAGACCGTGGCAATCAGGTTTCCCGGAAGAACTTGATTCATTTCTATTCATCAATCGACAAAGCAGTTAGTAGTAGCCGTCATCATCACCGGCTACCGGATTTCTCATCATTCGGGAGTTTTCTGATTTCAAAGTCCAATATGAAATTTTCATGTTTTAATGGAGATAAAGTCCTTGTTTTTTTTGTTCAAAAAAGTTTTTACAGAAAATCCTCCAAGTTCAACCGATGCAAAAATAAGCATTGACGTAATTCCCGCAAATGTATTTTGATGCTGCAATGACTTATTTGTAGTGTAATGTGAGCCATTCAGAAAAAACCGCTGTGACATTCTGATTTTGTCAGTTAATAAAAAAACACGTGGAAAAATATTGAGTTCATAGTTTCATACAAAATATTACGAGAGTGGTACGTTTGGCTAAACTTTTTTGAAGCAAAGTTTTTTGTGAATGAATATTTGTGAATTTTGATGGACAAAGTTCAAAGCTCTTGTATAGCAATAATGCCTTAATTATTGCGAGCTCAAGCTTCTAGATGAAGCGCGACATCGGCTGGTCCATATTTAAAGACAACAGAAGGCCGCGGCGTCGGATCGGACCAATTTTGACAGGCCTCTGAGCCGACTCGACACTGTTTGTCGTCGTCTTCATTGCGTTTTTTCCTCGATCTTACGATTCATCCCTTCAGAACCCATCAGCCTTTTTCGAATGGATGCGACCGCCGAGTATTCCTTAGATATTTTGTCACAGAGCTCTGTTATTTTTATCGCTATCTCGTTGTTGTTGGCCATCTCATTTGTGACATACAGGTGTGTTTGAATGTTTGACTTCTGATTTTTTTCTTAAAAATTTCTATCGAAATAGTTGTTATTTTTTTGAAAACCAATCTAGGTTTTTTTATAACAAAAAAAGCTTTTTCTCAGTAAAAAGCGATGATATACAAGAACGGATTTATATTCGAACAAATCCTACAAGCAGGTTTTCTTACGAACAGTTTTGCTGCTTTCGATGATTTCTTTGACTGCTTAATTTTTTTATTTGAGAAGAAATTTCTCTAAATTAAAAAAATAACACAACGGGGATTTCAATTAATAAAATTTATGGTAAAAAAACACGAAGACGTTTAGATCTTCGTGGTTTTTGCTTTCCAATTTTGATCGTACATTTGAAGAAATTTGAAAAAATTCAAAAAATGTCCAAGCGCAAGAATGATAAACTTTTCTTTTTTCGACAGAAATATGCAGCATTCAAAAATCTTTTCGATGATGAAACACCAATGATTCCGTAGAATTCTTATTTGACGTCAAGGCTCTTACGTTAAATTCCGCGTTGTCACTAGAAGAAGATTGATCAAAATAGCGAAGATACCCTGCGTAAAACTGCGTCTTGTTAGGCTTCTCCAACAAAATCCACCTCTTTCAGATGTCTCCAGAAGACCTAAATCTCCGACAAACGAAACTCGGACCTTCGAGGCACAATGAGTTCTTTTCTCCGCTATCAGTGCTGCCATGGAGATTTGACTCTGGGCGGATATCAACTCCCCTTCTAGTTCCTATGAAGTGTTTTCCGGCTTCCCCCCTAATTCTCATTGTTCCTTGTGTCCGAAAATTTCTTTTATTTTCAATGCCTATGGTAATGTTTCCAGAAATATCTCAGTTGGTGTAAAATTTGAAATTAAATCTATCTCAAAACAATAAATTTGTGATTGTTTCTTCTGCGATTTTTCGGAAAAAAATTACTGCTTTTTTTCTGTGAAATGCAAGTTTTAATTGTTTTTTTGTCAGGTTCGAATTCTTTCCTAAGTTTTTTTACTCTTTAAAAGATTACAATGATACAGAAATTTTCACCTCTCAAAAAAATTTTCCATTGGAAAAAATTAAAAGTTTTGAAATTTCAAAAGGCGCTCTCATCTTCAATACTTACTCAATATACTTTGCAAAATGCACTTGTCTTTGGTTATTCTCATTGTGAAAACATGAACATGTCATAGACAAAATATTGAAGTTAACTTTCGAGAAACTTCGCTTTTTAAGCGTATCCAGATGGAAAAGTATGAGTTTCTGTGCTGCTTATGACGTGCTCCGCGTTTTCCGCCGGTGTCTTAGCTATTTTTCCTGTGACCAAAAAAAGCTTTATAACTATCCCACGTTTTCAAAAAAAATACCCCGAAAAATTTCCACAGAGCTATTTTTGAATTTATTTTTTTCTAATCACAGTATATTTAATCGAGAAAAATGAAGATTTGGATTTCTGATGAACTTGCTTTTCAGACTTGCATAAATCATAACAATGTTTTGAAATGCAAGCGGTAAACTTCAATCCAAACGACACAAAATACAAAGCCTGCTGCTGCCACGCGAAAACTTTCACGATCGTCGTCGGGATTCTCGAAATCTTCACCATTTGCTTTATTCTTGTGGCAGGTTGAGGGAAAAAATGAATTCAATTTTTTTTCGGATTGAGGCCAAAGACAAAATAATTTGTCCACCGCATTTGGTTAATGCGAAGATGTCATTTTGCCATTTTTAAAAGTTTCAGGCAAACTTTATCACTATCAAGTTTCTCACCAACGGAATGAGTTTATTTTCACCTCCAGTTAAATTTTTTCTACGCAAAAAACAGCACAATGTATTTTGCCATTTTTTTTTCAATGCAAAGGTTTATTCAATGTATATGATCTTGTAAATTTGAAAATTCAACAAAATCTGCTGCTATTTATCTGTTTATCAAATAAAATACGCATAGTTAGTCATTCTCCCAAAACATAATTGATATATCTGTATTCGAAGACAAGCAATGAATAAAAATTTGTGAGCTTCACACGGAAATCGAAAAAAAAAACTGGTGCTTTTTTTCATTTCCGCTTTTCAAAAGGCTTGTATTCAATACGCAATCAATTTCAATTGCCCAAAAAGGAGAGTGATTGAAAAAAAAATTAGAAAAAGATGGATATTACGAAACAAAAATTGTAATTTTTTCCATTGCAGTTTTACCGGATTTGAACTCGAGAATTTGCGAAGGATATTACAATGGATACAACGAAACGAGTAACTCGAGTTTTTATGTTGCTCAATCAGTTAGTTCGAACGACAGGTATTTTTGTGAGCTTCAAGAGAATTCTGTTTTTTTTTCAGTACCACTGGAGCTGTGAAAGATGTAGAAAATTTTATTTGCGAACTGAACGTCGTTTTTCTGATTTGGGCCGTGGCTCAGGTCAACTGAAATTTTTTCTCTCAAAACTTTCAAATGAAAATTTAGATCGTTTCAATAAACGTCATGTTCTATGGAATCAAAATAATACGCTGGTTCCTTTTTGTACCTCACATTTTGTTCAGGTATTAGATTCCTAATGATGAACCAGAAAAATTGAGTTCAGGTTATGTTGTGCAGCCCTTCTTGTTGGTCTGCAGGGCATATTCGTGTATTTCTGTCTCATATCCAACGGCGATTTCACTTCTTACGTGGTCGCCATCATTTTTCTTACTCTGTTGCTTTTATTCTGGCTTTATGCAACGGTAAGAGCTTTTTATGAACATTTTCTGGAACCAAAACAAAAAACTGATGATCAAACTGAATAGAGCATACAAAAAAATTGTCTTTTTCAATGTGGATTTTTTTATCATTTTTTTCATTTCCTTTTTGAAACGAATGTTTCTTTACTCAAAAAAATGACCATTTTTTTCTAATAAAAACTAAAAATTTTTTTGAGAAAAATCCAACAAAACTCTGTTCGCAGTTTCATCCTTGAACATCATTTTAGTGGATTGAAATACGATGTGCACATTTCATCAAGAGATCTCAAGAAACAGGATTCTCAATATCCGTCGCTCGTCCCATTGGTCCCGCGACGATTTCTCTCAGCGAAAGAGAAGCGCCTCCACCGGTGAGCCCAGCTTTGAGTCAACTCTTCCATTTTCCAAAGCTCACGGCGGATGGAAATTTTTCAGCTGCCCGTTCGTCAACTCCCACCTCTCCGTCACACGCGAAACCCTTACGTGACCCAGGAGAAAGCAGAGTAGAAAATGATTCGTCACTTCGTTCAAGGAATCGAACAAAACTAATAAACTGAAAAAGACAAGGAAATGAGACCACATTGTCAGAAAAAAAAACTCGCGATAATAGAGAAGTAGCGTGTGACGAACTCCGTTAATGGGCTCTGTCGACGTGAAAAGTTCCGAAATCTGCTTGGGCTGCGTTGAACTTCAGATCATTATTTTTTGGCAACATGACAAATTTCAAAACAATTTTTTGAGAAAACCAAGAATCAGCAATTAAAATATTGAGACGTCTCCGTGTTCGTTACGGAAAAATTTTCATTCATAATTCATCCAGAAAAAAAGGCATCCGAAATTTACCAAAAGTACAATGTCCAACGAGGAACACGTTTGAGAAAAACGACATTTTCAGGTTGGTTCTCATGTTTTCAACCCGCAAAAAAGCGGAAGTAGACATTTAGTTTTAAGATCCAAAAAAAAATGAACTTCCCAAACGTCATAAATTGACAAAAAACCCCTTTTCCTTGGAAAAAACGCACCGCGCAAAAAATGGGCAAACGTACAAACTATAAAAAAAGCATTGAAATAAAACACTGATTAAACTTGTAGTAGCGTTTTCTCAAACAGTTTTTTGCAAGTAACCTCGATCCAATACGTTTTTAAACGAGAACTCGAAAATTCTTACGTTTGAACATTTTTTTTCGGTTTATACACAGTGCCCAACTCCTTGACACACGCGGAAATACTTGACGTTTTCATTGGTTCTCATGTTCTCAATTCAAAAAATGTAGACATCTAGTTTCTTAAATCTGAAAAAATAAACTTTGCCAACGTCACAATTTGGCGTGAAAACCCGTTTTTTTTTTGAAAAGACTCCACTTGCCAGTTCAAAAACATTTTTTATCAAAAATTGAAAAAAAATGACAGTTTTCGAGTTCATGCAAGAATATTGGGAGAGTAAACTTTTTGCAGCTTGTGAAATAAAGTTTGTGCAACACTAGAGATGCTCTGAAATCCAGAAAAAGTGAAGAAGCTTCAAAAAAAAAGTCCATCGAAGAGGCGAAATACTATTTAAAGAAAGGCATACAGTCGAAATTCAAGCTGAGGTCGTTTTTAGACGGTTTTTTCATTGTAGGCGGCTAAAAAAGTAAAAGTGTTTAAGCATTAACATAATGATTGTTATCACTGGTTAACTACAAAAAAATGACTCTGAAAACAGATTCTGTCAACTTAAACTGAGAAGAAATTGCGTAATTTTGGTATCCGCGCCTATTAGGACGACCGCTTCAAACACAGTGCTTGCTGCTCTTTTATGTAATTATAAAACAAAATTATTGAAACAAACAAAAAAATTCGGTTACTTGAATACTGAAGCTTTTTTTGAACTTCTTGATCATACCGCGAAAACTTGTTCATTTCATGAAATTATAAAAAAACAATCAACCCTGATTCATTTTATTTCGAGAAAACTCAACAGAAAAAGAAAGGACTTTAAATTTTTTTTGAATTTTTCCCGCACCAGTTACAGAATTTAAAACAAATGCTTAAAAAGTAAGGTGGCACAATCTAACAGGCCCATAAGTCGACGGAACTGATACGAAAACGCGCCAGACAGTCTTTTGCCCCGTGTTTCTCGTCACTTGACACACACTGTTTGTGTTTCTAGTGCAGTACAACTAGCTGCCGACTATTTTCCCCTCACCTTTTCTATTGGTTCTAGGCCCCATTTCTCGGATACGAGTTCAAATTCAAATAATCTGATGAATTCTGAAAAGCCCGTTTGCTTTGTTTGCGGCGACTCTGGAGACGGTCATCATTTTGGCGTCTCTGCTTGCAGGGCATGTGCCGCTTTTTTTCGCAGAACTGTCGCACGCGGCAAAAACTATTTCTGCCGTGAGACGTCTTCTTGCTGTATTGATTTATGTGAGTTTTCAGGTCGAGTTTAAATGTAAATTTTAAGAACTGAAGGAAGTATAAAATCGGAGAAAAAAGTCTTTAGACAACGTTTTGAGGTACAAAAATCACAATAATTTTTTTTTAGTTTTTCCATAAACACACATACACGCATTTTTTGAATCTATTTTATGTAAATTAAATTCCAAGCCATTAATCAGCAACTGTAGGAATAATAAAAAAACATTTTCCCAAATCTCACCATTTTATCAATTCGCTTGTTAAACTTATTCAATCAAATTCTTTAATGTTTTTCCCTTATAATATTTTTTTTCCGACTTTTACGATTTTTTTAAACTTTTTTTTAAAAATTTGTTTCGAAAGGAACTGAAACTTCAAAAATAGTTCGAATGTTGTGACGTCAAACAAGAGGATACTGGTCCCCTCAAGGAGTCAAAAGTGACCGTAACGATTTTATATTTTGATTCGTAATATTTATTTAAGTGGTTTAATAACTTAAGTTTGAGATAAATTCTTCGTTGGACTGTCTACTGGGTAAAACCACAAGAAAAGAAACAAGAAATCGGAGGACTCTGCTCATCAAGAAGAAAACTGAATTTTCTGAATTACTTCAAAAAAAGGAAGGAATGAAGAGGACATTGGTGTTTCCCCTTAATGTTTTCGTTAATAAACGGTGAACTAATTTTCTACCTTTTTGCAGCAATCCGAAGTATGTGCAAAGCCTGTCGATATAACAAATGCCTAGCAGTTGGTATGAGACGGTCAGGTAACTCTTTTTGTTATTTTTATTCAATTTATTCCACTTCATTTTCATTTTTTTACAGCTGTTCAGAAGAATAGAGAGCCTCTTGGAAACCGCGGTGGAAGCATTTCTTTGAAAGACGTTACTCGGAGTGAGCTCGAGGTCTGGCCTGACTTTTTTTCTCAACTTCTCTCAAAAAAAACCCCAATTGCTCTTAGACTCGACTGAATTCCCAAACATCTTCACATCTTCTGGGAACAAAACTCGATTATCTTGAACGACTGGTAAGATGTTACGACGCCTTGAGGAACGCTCGGCTGTTGGTTCATGCCGATCCTTGCAGAAGCGTTGGTTGAGTATTTTCTTGACATCAAAACTAGATCAGTGTTCAGGAACCTCGAATAGCTCAACCTACGATGTTTTTATCAGCAAACAGTGTCCAAATGAAAGACGCCCCGTTGGTTTATGACTTCATTCAAAACACATTTCCAGAACTATCTGAACTAGACTTCGCACAAAAGGTTGGTATTTGAAGTGTTCAGTGCGATAAACTTACAGGAAATTCTGTTCAAAAATTGCTTTCCCACTTTTGGAATTATTGAAGGAACTTACAACTGCATGACAAGTAAGTTACACATTTTTTTGACAAACAATGAAAATTGAGATCGACGAGATGTGTACTATCTAGCAAATGGAGATTATATTGATTACAACAACCCCGCCGCAGGTACGTCCACGGACGAAGAACTCAGAAAAAACGAGTGCGGAGCCAAGTAGGAAACTATTATTCGTTCGTATAATGTTGCAAAATATGTTCCTGCAGCCTTTTCAAATCCGCTTTTGATTTCTTTCGAAAGTCCGTTCTTTCATCGATGATCAACCACGGAGTCCTTTTCGTTGAGATGTTGGCTCTTCTCGTTTTTGTAGTTTGGGATGTAGGTAAGTTTTTTTATATTTGATTCAAACTTTGAATTTGACTTTTTTCAGGACTCGATGGACAGAATGAAAAAAGCGAAATGATTGCGAGAAAAGTTCGCGAAACGGTGATGAGAGAACTGTTGCAGTACTATTCCTCCAATCAAACTTGTTCTGAACCGAGCGTCAGGATGGGGAACCTCATGCTAATCCCGTACACCGCGCTGGTCACTGAAATGCAAAAAAGCCTATTTTTTTATTTTTGTTTTTAGAAATCCGTCCGTCGGTTCCAGGAAAACGTGGAAATTTCTCGAATATTTGACTTAGGACTGGTTGAAGGCGCCCTGTGTGATCTTATTGTACAGAAGGAGTAACTCAAATTGTTTTTCGTGTTTATAAAAAGCGGGTTTTTTTGTATGAAATTCTATAAAAAAACACTGATTTTTTTTTTTTTTTAAACAAAATACCGGAAAAACCAAGAAGAAAAGATGTATGTATATATCAAAGCAAAAAACTGCGCAATTTTAACGAAGGACTTTCCTGTGATATTTTTCCAGACAACCATGTATCAATTGCAAATCTACTTTAGCTATATTTCTTTGCGTGGGTTTTTCGCAAACCAAATACAACTTACGTTTTTCAATGACAGTGAATTACTGCGAGACAGAGAAACATCTGCTCAAAAAAAAGAAAGACTGATATCCAACGCCAGGAAATTCGCAGTTTCCAAACATACGGATTTTAACTCTGAAGAACTATCCAATAGAGTATAAGCTTACAGTTTTTCCGAACTGCTTGTAATCTTAAAATACTTGGATGATCTCATTCCCCGTAATTTTTTTTTTGAAAATCAACAATGCTGCGAAAAAAAACCTCTTTACTAAAAAGAGGAAACAGCAAAAAAAAACAGCAAAAACAACAGAAGAACACAGCAACAACGAAAACAAACAACAAAAAAACAAACAACAGCAACAAAAAACAAAAAGCAAGCGAAGAGAGCCGACCGGCTAAAACACCAGAAAGAACCGGCGAAGCGAACGGACTCACGGAGCACCTCCGCCTGAAAAACCATGTTTACTCGAATGAAAAGACCTTCCTTTGCAACAACTTGTAAATCTGAGAATTTCTGTCCAAAATGCATATTTTTTAATTTAATTTTGTTTATTTTTGACTGTCATCCTACTCTGATGAACGAAAATTAGGTTTTTGAATAAAACAAGGCAAACAGAAAAAAAAAGAGTTAGTTTTACTATGGAGTCCTGAATAACCATAATGCATAAATAAATTCCTACCAAGCTCCTGGAGAGCAGCATAAAGCTGCAAGTCGTCGCATCGGGCGGAGTAGTAAGCCGACTTGGCCTGCTCCAGATCCCGACGAGCTCTGAATTTTTCATGTTCATCTTGGAAATCGAATTCCACAAACCTCGAAACGCTGCACCGGCGAACCTGCACCTCAGCCTCCGCCTGGCGGAGGGCCCTCACTCGGAAGCGCACAGCCTCTCTGGCCTCCCTCACCTCCATCAAGGAGCTGAAACCATTTCATATTTATTTATACAAAATACCCAACTTAGTAAACCTCTCCAACTCAGAAAGCTCGACCTGGAGCTTTCGCTCCAGGAAACGAACCAAAGCCCGGCAACGGCAAACTCGCAGCCACGAACGACGCTGAGCACGACTCATCTGAATCTCTTGAGTTTTAATTGATAAAAACATGAAGAGCGATCAGAACAACCGTGCCGAATGATATTAAAAGCGAAAACCAGGAAAAATATGACAAGTTTTCTAGTTTTTAGGTCTGTGAAATATCGATGAAATTTCTTTGAGCTATGAAAAAACGTCCCGTTTCAAAAAAAAACACATGTTCTTCATTTTTTCATTACAAGAAAACGGGAGAACGAACATGAAAACTCGAAAAAAATAACTGAAAACGTTGCGTGTTCTGTGCAACTGAGCAACATTCACGCGTACACGCGGAATTTCGTTGTTCAGTAGGGCGAACAAAGACTGTTCTTCATGACTAACAATAATTTAGTGTCTATATACGGTTATTTTTCTTGTTAAATATTGTCTTCATAGTACTCTCACCCTAAAAGATTGAAGATTTCGTGTTTTTGCCTAAACTATGATATCAAGCACGAGACGTCATGTTCAAACAGTAAGAGACATGTTTTTTTCATTGTTTCATTACAAGAAAAACGGAAGAACCAACATGAAAAATTCGAAAGAAATTAATGAAAAACGTTACGTGTTCTGTGCAACTGAGCAACATTCACGCGTACACGCGGAATTTCGTTGTTCAGTAGGGCGAACAAAGACTGTTCTTCATGACTAACAATAATTTAGTGTCTATACACGGTTATTTTCTTGTTAAATATTGTCTTCATAGTACTCTCACCCTAAAAGATTGAAGATTTCGTGTTTTTGCCTAAACTATGATATCAAGCACGAGACGTCATGTTCAAACAGTAAGAGACATGTTTTTCATTGTTTCATTACAAGAAAACGGAAGAACCAACATAAAAATTCAAAGAAATTAATGAAAACGTTACGTGTTCTGTGCAACTGAGCAACATTCACGCGTACACGCGGAATTTCGTTGTTCAGTAGGGCGAACAAAGACTGTTCTTCATGACTAACAATAATTTAGTGTCTATACACGGTTATTTTTCTTGTTAAATATTGTCTTCATAGTACTCTCACCCTAAAATGATTGAAGATTTCGTGTTTTTTTGCCTAAACTATGATATCAAGCACGAGACGTCATGTTCAAACAGTAAGAGACATGTTTTTTTCATTGTTTCATTACAAGAAAAACGGAAGAACCAACATGAAAAATTCGAAGAAATTAATGAAAAACGTTACGTGTTCTGTGCAACTGAGCAACATTCACGCGTACACGCGGAATTTCGTTGTTCAGTAGGGCGAACAAAGACTGTTCTTCATGACTAACAATAATTTAGTGTCTATACACGGTTATTTTTCTTGTTAAATATTGTCTTCATAGTACTCTCACCCTAAAAGATTGAAGATTTCGTGTTTTTGCCTAAACTATGATATCAAGCACGAGACGTCATGTTCAAACAGTAAGAGACATGTTTTTCATTGTTTCATTACAAGAAAACGGAAGAACCAACATGAAAATTCGAAGAAATTAATGAAAACGTTACGTGTTCTGTGCAACTGAGCAACATTCACGCGTACACGCGGAATTTCGTTGTTCAGTAGGGCGAACAAAGACTGTTCTTCATGACTAACAATAATTTAGTGTCTATACACGGTTATTTTCTTGTTAAATATTGTCTTCATAGTACTCTCACCCTAAAAGATTGAAGATTTCGTGTTTTTGCCTAAACTATGATATCAAGCACGAGACGTCATGTTCAAACAGTAAGAGACATGTTTTTCATTGTTTCATTACAAGAAAACGGAAGAACCAACATGAAAATTCGAAGAAATTAATGAAAACGTTACGTGTTCTGTGCAACTGAGCAACATTCACGCGTACACGCGGAATTTCGTTGTTCAGTAGGGCGAACAAAGACTGTTCTTCATGACTAACAATAATTTAGTGTCTATACACGGTTATTTTCTTGTTAAATATTGTCTTCATAGTACTCTCACCCTAAATGATTGAAGATTTCGTGTTTTTGCCTAAACTATGATATCAAGCACGAGACGTCATGTTCAAACAGTAAGAGACATGTTTTTCATTGTTTCATTACAAGAAAAACGGAAGAACCAACATGAAAAATTCGAAGAAATTAATGAAAAACGTTACGTGTTCTGTGCAACTGAGCAACATTCACGCGTACACGCGGAATTTCGTTGTTCAGTAGGGCGAACAAAGACTGTTCTTCATGACTAACAATAATTTAGTGTCTATACACGGTTATTTTTCTTGTTAAATATTGTCTTCATAGTACTCTCACCCTAAAATGATTGAAGATTTCGTGTTTTTTTGCCTAAACTATGATATCAAGCACGAGACGTCATGTTCAAACAGTAAGAGACATGTTTTTTTCATTGTTTCATTACAAGAAAAACGGAAGAACCAACATGAAAAATTCGAAGAAATTAATGAAAAACGTTACGTGTTCTGTGCAACTGAGCAACATTCACGCGTACACGCGGAATTTCGTTGTTCAGTAGGGGCGAACAAAGACTGTTCTTCATGACTAACAATAATTTAGTGTCTATACACGGTTATTTTCTTGTTAAATATTGTCTTCATAGTACTCTCATCCTAAATGATTGAAGATTTCGTGTTTTTGCCTAAACTATGATATCAAGCACGAGACGTCATGTTCAAACAGTAAGAGACATGTTTTTCATTGTTTCATTACAAGAAAACGGAAGAACCAACATGAAAATTCGAAGAAATTAATGAAAACGTTACGTGTTCTGTGCAACTGAGCAACATTCACGCGTACACGCGGAATTTCGTTGTTCAGTAGGGCGAACAAAGACTGTTCTTCATGACTAACAATAATTTAGTGTCTATACACGGTTATTTTTCTTGTTAAATATTGTCTTCATAGTACTCTCATCCCTAAAATGATTGAAGATTTCGTGTTTTTTTGCCTAAACTATGATATCAAGCACGAGACGTCATGTTCAAACAGTAAGAGACATGTTTTTTTCATTGTTTCATTACAAGAAAAACGGAAGAACCAACATGAAAAATTCGAAGAAATTAATGAAAAACGTTACGTGTTCTGTGCAACTGAGCAACATTCACGCGTACACGCGGAATTTCGTTGTTCAGTAGGGCGAACAAAGACTGTTCTTCATGACTAACAATAATTTAGTGTCTATACACGGTTATTTTCTTGTTAAATATTGTCTTCATAGTACTCTCATCCTAAATGATTGAAGATTTCGTGTTTTTGCCTAAACTATGATATCAAGCACGAGACGTCATGTTCAAACAGTAAGAGACATGTTTTTCATTGTTTCATTACAAGAAAACGGAAGAACCAACATGAAAATTCGAAGAAAATAACTGAAAACGTTGCGTGTTCTGTGCAACTGAGCAACATTCACGCGTACACGCGGAATTTCGTTGTTCAGTAGGGCGAACAAAGACTGTTCTTCATGACTAACAATAATTTAGTGTCTATATACGGTTATTTTCTTGTTAGATACAGTCTTCATAGTACACGCGAGACGCGATCTCATCTGGAAATGAAATTCGTACCTCTCGATGTTTTTTTTGGTTTTTCGAGACAAGCATGCTTCTAGTCCCGATCCTGTGACGAAATTTTATAAAAAAATTTTCTCGTCTCGGTCTCAAATCATAGTCCTATCTGACAAGGTGTCTCTAATTTTTCCGGGTAACTCTATGCAAAATTATCATAGAGACATCACGAAAGCTTCAGTAACAGCTCCCCACCGCTTGAAGCGGTGCTGGGAATTCGAATTAGATCCTCTAATTTGTTTGAGCGTAAACATAATTAACAGATTGATAAGAGGCACTTTTTTCATTCATTTTAGCTTCATGTTTCCTTATGAAGTGTTTTTCTCCTCTAATTTTTAAGAACTTTGCGAAAGAGCAAAATCAGTTCAAGCGTTCTAACGATACCTTCGTACGTACAATCCTTTTCATTTCGTAAAGCCCACGCGAATTCGAGTCCATCCGAGCGTCTCGTTAGGTTCATTTGGTGAGAAGTCCTGATTATTACCAAAAAGCGTAGGCGCTGATATGAGAAACCACCATTCCATGGTCCATTTGGCTCATGATTCAGCTGTAAGTAGAAAGGGCTGAAGGTCCTGCGCGAACAAAATTTGTTTAAAAGGCAGTTTTTCTCACGGTCACCTTCATTTTAGTTCGAATATTTCATTTTTCATTTTCCGGAATTATACACAGTTCAAGCTAATCTTTATGCTTTTTTTCCAAAAGACACTCCTCAATTGATACTTACAAGAACAATAGAAAAATATTCTTTTTTTGTAATGTAAAAATAGGAACTGGTTATTCACCATGCCAATTTGCGGTTTGCCATTTTACACTCTGCGACTCTTAGACATTTCAGAAATCGGTTTGAACATGTCTCGTCGGTCGGGAGCGCCTATGCAATTGAACGAAATCGTATCGCCTTTTGGAGAAGAAGTGAGAAGACAGGTACTGTCGAAATCGGGTAGACAAATAAGGGAAATACTTTTTTTAGTTCCGATCGGAAGTTATCTGTTACATAAGATTCACTGCTCTGTTCATCGTCCGACTTAATCATGATGCCATCCTGCTGGAAGAACGTATCAGAAACACAACAGCTCGCAGCGAAAAGAAACGGTGCCTTCAGATTCAGTAGCCGTCTTGATCAAAGTTTTCAGTTTGAGAAAGAGACTCAGAAAAGTTCGCGCTGCGTTGAGGATGTGGCTGAACTACTACAATCAACTCAGAGCATACAATTTAGGTCAATCATTCAGTAGCCATTTCAAAACTTTTTCCCTTTTTTTTAACTGCTGCAATCAGAAAAGCCTCAAAAATATTGAACTTTTTCAGGGAACTGAATTCATCAAGATCGACTGTTGCATCGCTATCTGCATTGTATTTCAAAAAAATAAAGAAACGTCTTTCTATATAACAATGTTTTGATTAATCGTTAACAAACACGCAGAATGAACATTTTTTCGTCTTTTTTTACTTCTTGAAGCACAAATAGAAAAACCTCTCGAAAAAAAACCTGGTTCTCAGACAGCTAAGGCTCTGATTATTTTTTTTGTCAGGAAAAAAATATACAGTTCTGAAATGAATTTCTCTCATTTTTCATGATGCTACCTAAGGCTTCTGCTCACCTTTTGAAGCATTTTCTAGCACTTACGATTGGAATAATTAAAAATTGAGAGAGAGTTGGGTATTTTAAATTTCAGCTTTTTTTGGTATAAACTGAAACAAGGCAATGAGAAAAGATGAAACGACACGGAAAACGTTTGATTATAACTTTATATCCAGTTTAAAAGCTGGAAAATGAAACATACACCCCGCACGTATGCGCAGCAGGCAGGCGCCGTCAGTGCCTAGAATATGTGCAAAAGAGATTGAAGCAAATGATTGAAAAAAAGTTTCACTCATGATATGACGTTGGCTAAACTGAAAAAAACTGCAAAGCCCATCAAAAAAATCAGGTACTCTCTTTTTTTCTCAGAAGACACATTAATCATGAACAAAACTTGACAAGAATAACATTTACTGTATGTACATGTGAGAGAAAATTTCAACAAAGAACAAAGAAATGTGCATAGAACAAAAAAAAAAGAAACAATAACGAAATCCGTGTAAAATCTTCATTCCGTGCAAAATCTTCACTCGAAGTGGTCTCTCTCATTCTGAGGCTTCCACCGAGAGCACGGTCTCCGGGCTCCATCTACACCATCCACTACATTCTGAGCTCGTCAAGACGTAACTGGATGGACTACGCGCAGAAGGACGAGACGAAGGACCGTAAGACCATGCTTTCAACTCTTTCGACTACACGTTCGGACTTCTAGTTTGCCAAAGGCGGTTGTTCGTTATAGCTTTCAAAGTTCTTGTTCACCGTCTAGTCGATTACATCAGACTAAAACAACAAAATAAATTAATTGATTTGAATAACAGTACAATGAGCAAGGAAAAGAAAAACACGATAAATATGTGAGATGTACATTTTTCAGCGCTCGAGAAATAGGTGATCGTGTGTGTGTGGAAAATGGCAAAAGTATCGGAAGTTTGAGGGTGATCTCTTTGAGAAGCTTCATCCTCGACGACGAGACTCTTAAAATGTTGAAAAATGACAAAAAAAATCCAGTCGATTAGAAAATTCCTATTCAAAAAAGATAGACAGTTTTGTTGCGGTTCGTTGGATTCTGTTACGAATAATAAAATTATTAGTACCGATGAATTCGTTTCTTCTTTCCTGATCCAGTTCGATAATTGCAACAAACAACTTTTGGTAGTCGATCGTCGCTTCGGACCAAGCTGCTCGTGCGTCTTCAACATCGCGTCTGAAATGTTCTCCAGTTGTCTTCAGATATCAAAGTTTGCGAACCGATTAACTGATATGTCTTCATTTGCAATACGTCGTTCCAAATTTCTAAGTCGAGAGCGAGCCCGACAACAATTGAACCACGATCGGCGAAGACCTCGCGTCATTTTAAACAATTTTTGCAATCTGAACAGCATTTCAACGGTTATAATGGACAACAACGGTATTATCCATTTTTCGAATATAAATTGAAAAAGGAAACAGAGAGAGAAAGTTCCCTTGCCAGTTAGTTGTTACTTGAAGTTTCGCTCAAAGAGCTACAGAAAGGCCAAGTCAGACCCCTCACGATGACTATCTGCACAAATTTCCATTTTTAAAGTTTTGAAAATATGACATTTTAGAGTATAAGTGAATTCTGAGGTCAAAAGCTCCTATCTGCTAAAAATTGGGCCACACTTATAATGACATTTGAAAGGGGATTACAGGAACTTCCAAACTTCCTATTCAAAATTGTCGTTTTAACCAAAAAAAAAAAAAAATAGGAACAAAAAAATAAATTGACAAATAATAAAGGTGAAAAAAAAAAGACGGCGATACAGATCGACCATTTCCGAGAGAGACGTGCAAACGAGTAGAACGTCATTGTGCGGTAGGGCGCGAAAGACGTAATAAACGACAGCATTTTCTCAGAATTACGATCAGCACAGAGCAATTCTCGTATGATCTTTTTTCAGGTCAGTGACTTTTTTTTGTTGGTATTTTTGATATGAAGTTGAAGCATATTTTCATGTCCAAACTACTTTTCACTGTATTAAAACCCTTTTTATGTAAGCTTGTTTTTAGTTCATTCATTTATTTCATAAGTACGTAAAAAGATACCTTAGTAAATGTTGATTATAGTGCTACTAGAAATACACCCACTCATCACAAATACACTTAAATATTTTCTCGCTATTTGAGTCTATTCAATTTTTTTTCACCTTTCGACCCGATTTTAACCACAGAATGAACGGTATCAAAAGTAATAATTATTCCCTCGTATAAATTTTAAATTTTAAATGCATTTTTGTTTTTTAAATTCACACGTGGATTTTTTTTTCTTGCTTTTTCGTTGTTTCGGCTCTGTGGTAAATTTTTTCTTGTTTATGCAGCGTTCCTGACTTTCAAACCTGATGTTCAAAAAAATTATCTGAAAGCAGTTCATAATTTTTTCGCAATAATGAGGATTTCTGAATGAATCAGAAGTTGAAATTTAATACTCTTCTTGTTATTTTTTGTGGCTGTGAACTCTCTTCTTTTGACGGTATGCTCATATTTTCGGATTCCCATCGTTGATTTCTGTTTCAATTTCTTTCAAAATCGGCAAACTGTAGCACCAAGATGATTCAACGTTCCGAATATTGCAGAAATGTGCTCTTTCGTTTCGAATGATCACACGGAAGGGAAGAAATCATCCGAGCGTCTTCTTGATGGAAAGCCCTGATTGATACCAGAGCGTGGGTGTTCTTTTTCTCATCCGTTGATTAAAAACCCCACAACTTTGCGGTCCGTTTAACTAATGATTCAGCTGCTGTCAAGTCAATGATTATTAGAAATTTGACTTCTTTTGTAAACAAGGTTTTAAATGAACATCTATAGCTCTCCTTTGTTGGGAGCCTTTTAGTTTTTGGGAAGCATAAAAACAGGCGGAAATTACAACTACAAACATCCGTCTCACTAGGGAACGTTTTTTACCCCCCGGTTGAACTTTTGCTGAAACTTTGCCGAAGTGTACTTTAGGACCCCCTGATTCCAGAACAGGAAGAAAATTTCTCGCAATAGATCTCGTTTTCGAGTTAGGACACTTCAAAAGCCCGAAATAGCGCTTTTTGGCCTAATTTGCGTATTTTGCACACTTTGAAACTCCATAACTCGGAAACAAGATCTATTGCGAGAAATTTTGTTTTTGATCTGCAATCGGGGGGTCCTAAAGTACACTTCAGCAAAGTTTCAGCAAAAGTTCAACCGGGGGGTAAAAAACGTTCCCTGGTCAGTTTTGCAGAAACTTTTCTGATTTTGGCTTTTTTGAACTTGTGGCTCTTCACTAACTTTTAGCTTCAAGTTGAAAACTATCAGTTCATTAGATTTCGTGCTAGACGGCTCTTCGAAAAATTCCTGAAGTATGATATTTTATTCACTATCTTTCCTTTTGATCGACATGAATCTTTCTCAACCTACAGCTTTTGATTTCTTCGAAAGTACCCAGAAAACTCTTTGATGTCTGATTATAATTATGGCTACATGAGAAACGGGGCATGATTTTCTTCGTGGGAGCCAATTAACAGGAATTCCTGAAAAAATTATTCTCCGCGCTAATCAAACATGTTTGATCAAAAAATGTTGACTGTTATCCACAAAACGCATTTTTTTGAAGTTACAATGCATCTGGAACTGTTACTTCCAAGAGTAATTTGATTCGAAGTTTTTTATATAATCAAGAGCCACTCTGAAATTTGAGACATTAAGGCATACTAAGAAGTTTCACTCTGGTAGGAATTTTAAAGGAATAGGTCTTTTTCATTAGTTATCTTTAGATTCATTTTTCCAAATTTAAAATTCTAGCTCTTCTTAGAAATCGCACAGCTTTTTGAAAAATTATTTTTTTCTATTGAACAACTGTAAACCTAAAATTATTGCGCCAAAAAGACGCAATTTATGTATAAACGCAAAAACCGTTTTAAAGTAATTGAGAAACTCAACATTATTTTTGGAAATTAAGCTACAAAGTCAAAAATTTTCACAGAATTTTTTTGCTCCAAAAATCTAGTGTTTTGTAGAAGTTTGAAAAACAACGTGGCCTTTGCTTTTTGGAATATAATATATCATACAGGTTGAGCTTTTGTAAACCTTCTCATCATTAAGCCCAGGTTCAAACGAGATATGAACATACTGTAAAAAAACCTCTTTGTCGCTAAGATATTTTTTTTCTCATTTTATTTTTAATTCACACTGCAATTAAGGTTTTTTCATTATGAAAAAAATACTCGCAATAATTTAATAGTTTCAGCTCTTGAAATGAACCAACGTCTATTGCGGAAACGGGAACGTTTTCCAATGTCTTTTTCTAGTTTTCCTCTTGTTAATTCTTCTTCTGACGGGAGAATCTTCCATCGGCAGATCAAACAGAAAAGCCCCCACTGCAAAAAATGCACTGGAAAAAGAAGCTCGCGATATCAAAAGTAACAAAATAAAAAAGGTATTCTTAACCTTGAAAAACAAAAAGGTTTATGAGTTAGGATCGAACGACTTTCTTCCGATTCACAGTCTCCGTTGCTGCGACTATCAACAAGCTGAATAACGAGATTCCCCAGTTGGAGAAACAGCTGGTAAACACGAAATCTTGTATGAAGAGACAATGGTTGGTTTTATTTTTACAAATTCTGGATGAAGTTGAAACTTTCAGCTTGATTAGAAAAATCGAAAGAGCAAGGACAGATACTAGGGAATGGTCAGAACAATATAAGAAGCTCAGATCACGCCTTGATGGTTGGTTTTTTTATGTATAAAAAAAGAAATTTTTTTAATTTTTGCTTCTGAATGAGAAACTGACGTGTTGTGTTGTCAAATTTATATTGAAAAAAAAATGAGAATTTTCAGAAAACTTCGATGCTGACCTTATTCGTCGTACGTTCAAAATCCCCGTGTGAGCTGTGACACACATTTTTTCAATTTTTTTTTATTTGCGATAAACTTTCGTAAAGTCAACAACCTAACAGAAAAAATAGAGCAACACAACTAAAGTGCGAAATGAAATAAAAGCAAAAAAGTTGAAAAACTAGTCAAGAGAAAAAGTTACCCAAGTCAATTGTCAGAATATTTCGACATTTACTTTATGAAATTGAAGACCGAAGGAAAATCAAGTTTTTGTCTTTCACTCAAAACTTATACACATGAGTCATACTTACGATGCTGGATTATGAAAATCCCTGCAAACAAATTCTGAGCAAGACGAGAAGAAAGGTTGAGAAAAAAAAACTTCTATTTGAAATGATATACTTCAGTCCAAGTTCAGTCCCATGGAAAAAAATGTTCGGCACAGAAAAAAATTCTGAGCAGAAGATTTTCAGTCATTCTTCATGTTAAATATTTTTCTTAACAAAGGATTCATTTTTTTGAATGATTCCAACTGTTCAACTTTTATCAAAATTTTGCTCATTATGTAGTCTACAAGAAGTTCTGTATGTCGATTCCTAAAAATTTCGAATTGCAGATCTTTTAGCTTTTGGCGAAAAAACTTTGATTCAACAACAACAAAAAACGATAATTGAGCTCTGAAAGATACATTGTCAAAAGTTAGAGTTTTTTTTAGATTTGAAACTCAAGACTCTGTCAAAAAGTGTATCAGACCAATTTTAAAAGTTTGTCAGTTTTTCTTGAAAACGCTCTTTTTTTCAACATCTCTTCTCCCATCGTTCCTGAGGAATAAACTTTCAGTGCTTAAGGAAGAAAAAATCTGGACTGTGCAGAGTGCTACAAAACTCAAACATGTCCAGAAAGGAAGAAATGAGAAAAAAAAATCTCGTTTTTCTTCCACGTTAGGAGAAATTAAATTTTGATCAAAGCCAGAAAGCGCTTATAATAAGCGAGTAGTCCGACGTGTAGATGATGGAAAATATGCCAAAACCAACAGCGAGGATAGCAATTATTTCTCGAGATGTCGGCACTCAACGCAGAAAACAATGGTATTACACGTTGAAAAATGGGTGCTCGACTTTGTGGCCGTGAAAGGGAATGGCTTCAAGTCGCATTCCGAGTAAGATGCCCCATTTGTCAGTCTTACCGCGTCCTAGCGCTCTTCGCCTTGATTGAACTTTTTGTTGTTTCTCCTTGGATTTGATCGTCAAACGAACATTGTTCTTTGAAACTATTTCTCTGAACAATTTTCAGTAACCAGTGATAGAGGTTTTTGATTACATCTATCTTTTATCATACGTCTTCATTTTTGGTTGTAGAATCTCTTTGTGACTGAATATAGGGTAGTTTCGATCGTTCCATGAATCCTATTTCAGAACGTCGTTTTTGAGACGCTTTTGAAAGTTTTCTGAA